ACAATTTTTTTGCTAAGCAATTTCCCTGGATGCAATGCCTTTTTATATATATTCAGTAATGCATTCAGTTACAGGCATGCTTTGCACTGGTATATGTGCTTTTTATGTGCATTACTTGGCTGTCTTTCAAGTTTGTATCTCATTTCAGAACGTGCAGCCCACCCTGGGACCTTAGAATGAAGGACAGATAATAAATCATCATTATAAATTAGGTAAGTTCACCTTTCAGCCTGTGAACATGTGCAAGATAAACATTATCGCTTAAAAACATTACAGCTGTTTGTGCAAAGCAGTTTTTTGCTCTGGCCACATGGCATTGTGCTCAAAATGTCAGACTACCAGAGTTCTCTGAGAAGAGGGATTGAAAGTTCAAGCACTCTGGGAATTGTAGCTCTGTGAGGGAAATAAGTGTCTCCTGGCAACTCTCAGCACCCTTAGCAAACTACAGCTCCCAGATTCTTTAGGGGAAGCTGTGACGGTTGAATGTTGCTTCACAGGGCTTGAAATGTGTGGTGTTTCAATGGTCAGGAAGCCATGGTTCAAATCCCCATCACAAATCCCAGTCTCCTCCCCCATCGTTCAGCCTGGACACCAAGGTCCTCCTCTGAGGATCTTCTGCTGGTTTCTTACTGTGAGAAGCAAAGTTGCAGGGAACCAGGCAGAGGGCCTTCTTAGTAGTGGCGCCCTCCCTCCTTCAGATGTCAAGGAGATAAAAAATTACACAACTTTCAGAAGACATCTGAAGGCAGCCCTGTGTTGGGTTTTTTAAAAATGTTTCATGTTTTTATTATGTTTTTAGATATGCTGTAAGCCACTCAGAGTGGCTGGGGAATCCCAGCCAGATAGGCAGGGTATAATTATTATTATTATTATTATTATTATTATTATTATTATTATTACTACTACTACTACAGTGGAACCTCGGTTTTCAAACTTAATCTGTTCCTGAAGACCGTTCGACTTCCAAAACGTTCAAAAACTGAGGAGCATTGGGCAGTCAGCAAAATCAATTGCGAAAAAAGAAAAACACACAGCGGAAGCCGTTCGACTTCTGAGGCACGTTCAAAAACGGAAGCAATTACTTCTGGGTTTTCGGCATTCAGCTTCCAAAACGTTCGGCTTCCAAGACGCTAAAAAACCGAGATTCCACTGTATTATCGAAGCTGCCAGAGTGATGGTGAGCAATCGCTGTCTCTCAACCCAGAATACCTCGCCGTGTTGTGGTTTTTTTTGTGTGAGGTAAAAAGCAGGAAACTAATAAGTATTTTCCAAATTCTTTGGAAGAAGCCTGGAAGAAAAGAAGTGTAACAAACAAAATACTTATGGGAAAATGGAGTTGTTCCAACGAGATGCCAGCACTTCCTGTTCGAGACATTGTTCTTTCACCTGCTTTTCTCTACAACGAAGTAATCATGGGGCCAATCCAGGGTGAAAAGTGGAAAACAAGGTGCTTTTGGAAAAAAATGGAAATGAGACAATTTTGGGTGAGTCATGACTCTTTGTGGGCTTCCTTTGGTAAACCAATATTGTTTAACCACTCTTACTGTAACTGAGCTGCTGGGAGATTAAAAGGATGGAATAAGATGTTAAGTATTATTGATAGCAATGAAATATAATCGTATTAAATATTGGGTGGGGTTGTTAGTACAGTGATACCTCGGGTTACGAACTTAATTTGTTCCGGAGGTCCATTCTTAATCCGAAACCATTCTTAACCTGAGGTGTGCTTTCGCTAATGGGGCCTCCTGCTGGTGCCACACCGCCAGTGTGCAATTTGCGTTCTTATCCTGGGGCAAAGTTCGCAACCCAAGGTACTACTTCCAGGTTAGCGGAGTTTGTAACCTGAAGTGTTTGTAACCCGAAGCATTTGCAACCCAAGGTACCACTGTATATGTAATCTTAATAATTCTTAAAGTAACCCAGTGGCATGTGCCGCTTTTATTATCTTCATCTGGTATTTATTATTTAATAGGTTTAGAAACTGCATCATGGCCAGAGGCCAATTCCTAAAAGCCACAGAAGCATCTTTAGAAAACTCAAAAGAACACAAAAACCAGAGTTTACAGAAAACAATAAAATAACCTCTGCTCCGCAAATAGGCAGTTAATATTCCGTAGGTGCTAAGTCACTCCCCTCATCTCCTCCCCAAAAACCTGGAATAAAAATGTCTTCAGTAGGCCCTTAAACATCATGGCTTCAGGTGCCTGTCTAGTTTTAGCTTGCGATTGAGTCTAGAGGGCTGGAGCTGCAACACTAAAAGCCCAGTTGCTACTGCAAGCTGAGCACACCTCTGGGACATGAGACATTGTAAGTGTGTGTGTGTGCGCGCACACCCGTGAATAGCATCTGTCTTGCACTTAAAAAAAGAAACAGCCGAGAAGGGGGAAATGTGAATCACATCGGTACCACGATGCTGAGGAAAGAGGTTGGTGGTAAAGTTTTCCTGCATAGGCGCCGGCTCCAGAGGGGGTCAGGCTCTTTGGGCCCTCTCAAACTTTTTTTTTAGGGAACCGGGGGCTCCCATTGTCAAGGCTGAATGTGGGGCCAGGGGCAGAGCGACATCGTGCATGTCGCACATGTGACATCAGGACATTTTGTGATGTCGCGTGCACGATGTCAAGACATTGCGTCAGGCCCCCTCAGCATTCTTGTGCTTCTGTTTTCCTTATCTACATGTCCCAATCCTCAAAACTGCAGTTTGCACAATGGAAACGGTGGGTGGGGAGTTTGATTAGGGAAATGTGTGGGATGTGATACATAAGTAGCAGTCAAGTACAACATTCCTTGTTTTCCTAGAGTGGACATGCGGGGGAATGTTTGGTCCAGCCAGTCGAAAATTTCTGGTTTCCTCCTGGCTGGGACATACTTCCTTTTGCATGTGACTAGAGGTGGGTGTGACCTTACCTGTCCAGGTAACAAAAAGGCAACTCACGCAGCATGTCCTCTCTCTTTGACCTCCTCCGTCGTTGGAGCAGCTTTTAGCTAGAATTGCTCTGTTGGCTCTCAGCCAACACAGCACACTGTGATTATCTACATATGGGATAGATCAGGGGTCAGCAAACTTTTTCAGCAGGGGGCCGGTCCACTGTCCCTCAGATCTTGTGGGGGCCCGGACTATATTTCAAAAAAATAATAATGAACGAATTCCGATGCCCCACAAATAACCCAGAGATGCATTTTAAATAAAAGGACACATTCCACTCATGTATAAACACCAGGCAGGCCCCACAAATAACCCAAAGAGGCATTTTAAATAACAGGACACATTCTACTCATGTAAAAACACGCTGATTCCCAGACCGTCCACGGGCCGGATTTAGAAGGCGACTGGGCTGCATCTGGCCCCCGGGCCTTAGTTTGCCCACCCATGGGATAGTTCCACATGTATATACTTTGTAACTAAGTCTGCCTTCAGAGATCCAACAGATGATGTGAGTAAACCTCTTTTATATACTTTACACAAGATTGTGGTGTGTTTATTCTTTTAAGAGGGGCATAAGGGAAATTACCAGGAACCTAATATTGAGAGGCTTAAACAAGCCTGCAACCAGCTATCTGCTGTGCATTTAAAAGGGGAATGTAAAACTCTGCTAAGTTATAGAACTTGCTAGCGCAAGTGAGGAAGGATATTAATAAACAATATATCCTCTCCTACCTCCCTGAACATTCCCACAAAATGGTGCTGGGGGAAAGATTAAGACAATCTTGACCCGATTCACTTTCCACGGGTCGTGGTCCTCTCTTTGAAGGGCTGCCTGCTTTAAAGCTAAAGAACCCTATCAGGAAGGAAGCAGGAGGGGCTTGAAGCTGCTCATCGCTAGTTAGTACATCCAGACAGCAGACGCATCAGGCCTGCAGCAGGTCACCGGTTTACCATCTTACCTGCTCCAGTGAGCTAGGTTGTATTTATTTGGAAATTCTAGCAATTCCTTCTACATTTGCACCTATTACCAGCACATGCAGACTTTATGCAAACACCTGCCTTCCTTTGGTGATGCATAAGTCGCCACCCTACCCAAAGCTCAGCATCCCCAGAAAATGTCAGCCCCACAACCTGCTGCCTTTAGCCATAGAAGCAGTTGTACTTGATGCCTGGGGCTCAGTCCTGGAAAATAAGAAGCGAGGCAGGAAGAAAGTGTTAGGATATTGATGTTCTGTTCCACCTAAAAAGCTGTGTGGAGCTGTTGTATGTCACATGTCTGTTTACATTCCAGCACAGCTTGCTGGGAACTTCCGTTTGTGTATAGCTTTTGCTTTATGCTGCTTCTTCGTTGGACATGAAGGAGAGCAGACATGTTTTCTTTGTCCTGAATAAACTGCTTGTAAATATGCTTTACATATGCCTCTGTCTGCCCTTCCGTCACGAAGAGTTTGTTATCTCTGCTGGCTTGCGTGCTCAGCTTCTGAAAGGCGTCTGAAGCTCTGAGTCACAGTTTTGATGCAGAACCGAGGACTGGAGTTCGACCGGCTGGTGGGCTGGAGCCAGCTGGGGGTCTGCCAATTGCCCCTGTTCCCTTGGGCGCATCACAACAGAAAGGCCCTCTGGAGATGAGCAGGGGAGCAACCTGTCCCTCCAAGCCTAAGGTTAAAGGAGATGGCTTTTAGGTTATGGGTTGGGATGTGGTTTCCATTCCTGGTAGGCTTCAGCACATCCCCTCTTAGAAATCAACCACAGGTTTCAACACCTCAGCCTCTCTTCCTCCGACTGCGCTCCAGCAGCCAGACACTTCGCAGAACATTCAACTTGGTGGTTTTGAGGTAAAAGGTTTTCTGCGATTCAGTGCCGGAAGCGCACAGCTCAAAAGAAAAGAGGCAGCAAATAAACACACATTGAAATAGCAGCAACAAAGTGACCCACAGGACGAGTGTTGAGGCGGAAAAGCTTGGAGGTGGGTGTATTTCCAAAGGGCAAACCCAAGCCGGGGGGTGGGGGAAGGCTTGTGACAATGGCTTTTGTTAAAACCCATAATCACCAGCTCTGTGTGTATCTGTGTACAAGAGGCAGTGTGGTGCAGTGGTTAGAGCGCTGGACTAGGACCCGAGAAAGCAGGGTTCAAATCCCCACTCAGGCATGAAGTTCACTGGGTGACCTTGAGCCATTCACTCACTCTCAGCTTAATTTACCTCACAGGGCTGAGCGGTCCTTTGGCAGATTCAAGCCAATTATTAACAGAGATTGTGGCTAGATTTCCCTTTCTGGGTGCAAAAAGGTGAAATCTCCCCCCGATTAAGCCTACCCTGTCTGGCTACTGTTCTCATACATTACAAATCTAGCTGTGTTATTTCCCCCCTCAACTCATTTTTAGGTCCATCAGTTCTAACACCCAGCATTCGGTGACCACTGAGCATTCTCTGCTCGAATTGGTATGAGTTTTGGGAGGAGAGGGTGACCCTTTGCGTTGTTTGGGTTTTTTTTTAAGAAGAGTTGTTGTACTTCTGCATTTATTTCTTCTGTTATAAGTTGCTTGAATAATGACACTTGCCTTTCTGTTCCCCCCCTTATTCTGTTTGATATGAAGGGTTATATTTATTTGATAGATACATGGTCTGCATTCCTTATACTGTAAAGTATTGTTCTTCTGTTAATGCAGGGGTGGGAACAGGGTAGGATATGGGGGACTGAGAGAGTGAGGTGGGTGAAATCGGGGCTTGAATGTGTTCACTGAGACAGGGAATCCCCTGGCATTATGTTGATTTAGCTGAAGTTCCCACAGTGGTAGAACAATTGGGAAAACCCCATTACTGAGCCTATGAAAGTGCTTTGTCAGATCATCAGTGACCATAACAGCATTTTTTCAAAACTCCAATAAATAAATAGATCTATTGGCTACAGCCCTTGCAAGCTTCCAGGAACAGATCTTTGCAAGCTATGCAGCCTTTCCATTTATTTAAGGGATTAAGTCAGGGATTGAATTCGCCAGCTGGTATATATAATTCATGTGCTCTCTTGCTGAACTCTCACATGCCTTCCCATTCTGGTAAAATTTCCCCAAACTTAGTCTCAAACCAGGAAACTTCCTTGGTTTCACAGGGCAGGACCTAAACTTGAGAAAAGTGATAAAAGCAAATTCTTAACAGCACATAGGAAGTCACAATCTTTCCCAGATTTAACCGTCAATCCCTTTGACCTGGGGACTCTGGGAATCGTATTTTTATACACAGGTGAATAGAAATTCTCCCAGCAACTATCAACACTTCTAAATAAACTACATTTTTATCCATGTAGTATGTGCATTTTTGTACGCATTATGCGAATTGAGTACTGTGTTCCAAAATTCGAAGTGTGAATTTCGAAGGCAGGCTGCATCTTTGTTTCTGTATTGTTTAGAGAGCAGGAATTGGGTAGAATTGCCTTTAAAAATTCTGCCCTGTTTAGTAACTCCTTTTTGAGATTCTTCTGCTTGTCGTGGACTCTGCGTTGCCAACCAGGATTATCGAGCCATGGGCATCATCCTGATATTCATTTATCAAAGCTTATTAAAACCAACTGTCCTGAAATCTGAGGTTTACATAACATTACAAATTCCAGCATCACCTGGTCGCTTTCATTCTCAAGGTTCCCACTAATTTCGGTCTCATTCACTGCAGAGCCAAGTCTCAGGCTGCTTCTACTCTGTGGAAATAGTCCCATTTTAGTCGCTCTCTCTTCTCACATATGCAAGCTGTGCTCATAAAGATGTTCCTCCCATGTTTTCCCTGTTCAGAATCCCAGCAGTCCTCAGAAAGTCCAGCTTTAAAGAAAGCCCAACACAATGGATATTGATCAGCCCCCTAGGTATAGCTGTTCCGGATGGTTATCACCTATGCAGATGGTTCCAACAAATTCCTTCTCTATGGTTCATTTCTCATCTGTATAAATCAATAATTGTGACCGGCTCTATCTGGCTTCATATGTTGTTCCTCATTCCATCCAGGGTGAATGGCATAAACTGCTCCTGCCCTTCAAGACAGGGTGAGGTGGAGGCAGGCTCACATTGCTGCAGGATCTCCTTGAAAAAAAATGGGGGTGGGGCAGGGCCCCTCAGTTACCCCTCCCCAGCTGCTGCCCCAGGGTGGACGTCTGAAAAACCACAAAACCATGCAGGGCCAGCGCCAACAATCAGAAAATCCCAAACCAAGCTCTGCTTTAAAACCTCAAACTAAATCCCAAACCAAGCTCTGCTTTAAAACTTCCAAGGAAAAAGAGTCCATCGCCTCTTCTGGGAGTCTGTTCCACTGTCAAACAGCTCTTACTGTCAGAAAGTTCTTCCTGATGTTTAGTTGGAATCTCCCTTCTTGTAAACTGATGTCATCGATTTGGGTCCTAGCTTCTGGAGCAGGAGAAAACAAGCTTGTTCCATCCTCCATGTGACAGTTCTTCAGATATTTGAAGGAGCCCATCATATTTCCTCTCAGTCTCCTTTTCCCCCAGGCTAAACATACCCAATTCTCTCAACTGTTCCTCAACAGGCTTGGTTTCCAGACCCTTTATCATCTTGGTTGCCCAACTTTGCGCACGTCCCAGCTTGTCAACATCCTTCTTAAATTGTGGCACCCAGAACTGGACACAGCAGTCTAGGTGTGGTCTGACCAAGGCAGAATAGAGCGGGACTATAATTTCCTTGATGTGGACACCTTTGCTGATGCAGCCTAGAAGAACATTAGCTTTTTTTTTGCCGCTGCATCACATCACTGAGTCATGTTAAGACCCCCTAGATCCTTTTTACATGTACTACTGGCAAACCGGGTGTTGGCCCAGCGCCAAGGGCCTTCTGGCGGTTCCCTCCCTGCGAGAAGCAAAGGTACAGGGAACCAGGCAAAGGGTCTTCCCGGTAGTGGCGCCTGCCCTGTGGAATGCCCTCCCAGCAGATGTCAAAGAGATAAACAACTACCTGACATTTAGAAGACATCTGAAGGCAGCCCTGTTTAGGGAAGTTTTTTATGTGTGACATTTTAATGTATTTTTAATCTTTGTTGGAAGCTGCCCAGAGTGGCTGGGGAAACCCAGCCAGATGGACGGGGTACAAATAATAAATTATTATTATATATGTGCACCTGGTTCTTCCTGATTAAGTGTATAACTTTGCTTTTGTCCATGTTGAAATTCATTTTGATATGTTTTGGCTCAGTTCTCCAATCTATTAAGGTCAGATGCAGCAACAGTTGAGTGTAGGATCCCTCCGGTCTTTCAAACTGGATGCTTTTCCAACCTTAGGCATCCAAGTTTCTAACAGTTGTGCTAGATTCAATTACTTACACGACAGTTTGTATCTCACCCTCCCTCTAAGGAGCTCATGGACCGTATCATTGTGTGTCCAGTCCTATCCCCACAAGAACAAACATAAGAAGGGGCTGCTGGATTAGGCCAGTAACCAATCTAGTCCCACATCCTATTCCCACAGCGGCCAACCAGATGCCTGGGGAAACCCGCAAGTGGGACCCAAAAGCACCCTCCCCTCCTGTGGTTTCCAGCAACTGATATTCAGAAGAATTACCGCCTCCCTCCAACCGCAGTAGGTCAGACAACTTGCGTATGATGTTCCAATGAGTTTCATGGCCGAGTGGGAGATTTACACCCAGGCCTCTCACCTTTAAGCCCAATGGCCTAACCACTGCACGACGCCTCTGTCTTTCTCTCTCTCAACCGCCTCACCAAACCTTTGCATGAGACCTCAACACAGGCTGCAGAAAAGGACAAGTGACTTTCCATTTCTGACTAACAGAGAACGCCTCTCAGAACTGTTTTCCCCCAGCTCAACCCACCATCCTTCTGACCTTTATCTCTTCAGAGCAAGTGTTTGAAAATACCACAGCCTCTTCTGATTAATATCACATCGCTACCATCTCCCACCCCAAATGGCAAAGCATCAGAAAACCTCAACAGTGGGGTGTTGTTGTTTTTCCCCAGTCAGGCTCCAGAATTGAGCAGGGACTCTGCAAATGAGAACATGAACAGAATGAGCCCCAGGCTGTCAGCAGTGCCATGCCAAAGGAGGAGATGGAGTTGGACAACAGCTGGCATGAGGGGGGTTTCCCACCCATACCAAGGAGCCCTGAAATCTTGGCCCGGGGGAAGAATGATCTGGCAATCCCCCCCATCCGCCCCTTTTTTCATTTTCCCAGCCCAAGTTTGGTTCTCTGTTTTCCTTTTAGGCTGGCAATTTGAAAATATGAAAAACAATGGGCAGTGGGACAGTGCCTTGCTCAAGGAGCGATGGGGTGGGGAGAACAGTTCTCTATCCAATGCTCTGAAACACCTTTGTACTGCTCCTTTCGACCTCTGAAAAACCAGAAGGTTAAAGGTGCGGTTGTTTGTGAGCTTTGCGACAGCGCTGCTCTCTGCGCTTTGAAGTCCCAGCAAGTGGGGCTTCCAAGTGCAGCATCCCTTGACATCACAATGATGTCAGGTGATGGGCAGATGGGCTGCTCCCGCAAGGTTCCTTGTGGAGAGGGATTGGCCGTTAAACCACTCTGGGAACTGAAGCTCTGTGAGGGGAGTAAAGGTAAAGGGACCCCTGACCATAAGGTCCAGCCGTGACCGACTCTGGGGTTGCGGCGCTCATCTTGCTTTACTGGCCGAGGGAGCCGGCGTACAGCTTCCGGATCATGTGACCAGCATGACTAAGCCACTTCCGGCGAACCAGAGCAGCGCACGGAAATGCCATTTACCTTCCCGCCGGAGCGGTACCTAGTTATCTACTTGCACTTCGATGTGCTTTCGAACTGCTAGGTGGGCAGGAGCAGGGACCAAGCAACGGGAGCTCACCCGTTGCAGGGATTCGAACCACCGACCTTCTGATCAGCAAGCCCTAGGCTCTGTGGTTTAACCCACAGCGCCACACACCCAGCAGAATTAAAGAGTGATCAGCCTAACTCGGGTGGGGAACCTGTGGCCTTCCGGATGCAGTACTACAACTCCCATCCTCTCTGACCATCAGCCATGCTGGTCTAGCAACATCTGGAGCGCCACAGGTTCCCCATCCCTGGTTTAACTAGTGTGGGGGGGACCGACCTCTGGCCTGCGAAGCTCTTTTGGCCAAGCCACACCAACCTGCCTGTCACCTGATTGCCAGGGCTTCAGAGCATCACATGGAGCAAAAATGAGTTGCCTGACGTCTCTGTGATATTCATGGCTGACAGGTGAGCACCCTTGCCTAGTCTGCAGGGCTTGGCGGAGGGGAGATAAGGATTTGGCCCACATCCAGTTCTGAACCCTTGATCTAATCCCTACATGGCAGGGCAGGGGGCTGGTTTCATTGGAAGGGAGTGGAGCTTTGTGAATGGGACAAGGGAAGATGGCAACCATTGATTCTCCTGGATAAGGAACAGATTCAACCAGCTATAAATATAGAAACATTTCCACAGCAGAGGGGTTTTATAAAAAACTACCAAACGATCTTTATTCTCAATCTCAACCTTTCCCAACCCTGATTGCTTTTCACTTCAGCCCCACTGATCCAGAGGCTCAGTTGGCAAATATATCGCCCATGGGCATCCAAACGCTTTTACACTGCGTGGCCTGGTAGAGAAACTCTTCCCCAGCCCCCTCTCGTGGGTCAGCCCAGCAACGCTCCTCCGCTCCATAATTCACCCAGGTCCTCTTCAGGTTCCCAGCCGAGGCCCATTCAACAAGTGCAGAACCCTAGGCGGAAGGGGAAATAAAAACAAAATAAAGCAGAGGAATTGGAACTCTTCCAAGTTAAGGGGTTCCTTCATTGATCTCGGGCAGAGGTGTGCTTTTTTTAAAAAGTTCTTGATCTTCAGTGGTCATTTCTGCCCCCAACTGACTTATCTATCATGTAGAACTCATGCCCACTGCAAAGGCTTCTGGGAAATATTCTCATGTATGTGCTCAGTCCCGCTGTCTTCACAGGCTTCAGCATCATGGCCTATGAGCTGAGAGTATGCCCTTGAACAGTGATCTACCTGGTGAGGGCCACAAACCCCTATATGGGGCCCATAGCATCAGCAGTGTGCCCCATCGCGGTCATGGGGGTCAGCAGTTTGTCAAGACTGCTGTGTGCTGCTGGCCTTAGGCCTATTCACATATTATTAAACGTAAATCACTTGGTGACCTTTAAGGTAACAAGCGACTAATAACGTCTAACAAATGATACAAAATATTTATTAATGTGAAATTTTATAATCTGTGCTTTCATTGTATATATATCAAGGTGGTTCACAGAACATAAAAAAATCCAAAGAATCAGTTCATAAACATCTATAAAACAAAATAGAAACATCAGGAAATACTGGTTGGTCAAAAGAAAAATTCAGATTGTGAAGGCCTGTCTAAACAGTACAGTTTTCAGAAGACGTATAAAAGGAGGAAGGGGGTGGTTTCTGCCTCACCAATACAGGCTGGGAGTTCCACAGGGCAAGCCTGCCCTGCACACTAAAGCCAAACCTCAGGGGAATGGGGAACTACCACAAGTGCCCCGTCACAGGATCTCAGTGTAACGCCCGTGGTGGCAGGCATGGTGTCTTTCAGAGACGTTTGTCCGTCACTGCTGGTTTTCTCCCTGAGGAAACCATGACAAACTACGTTCGGGTGAGGTAAAATGTACTTTTGGCCTCCAGACTGCTCCTGAGAGATTAGGGATGGTTCTGGAGAATACAAAGTTGTTACTCCTCTTAGAGATATTTGGATTCTCCAAAACTATTATCTCACCCAAACACAGTTGATTGCCAGGCTTGAATAATAAAGGCAATGCACTACCTCCCCATAAAGGCCTCACTATTATCAAGGGCTGGGCTTGGGCATTACTCCACAAAAACCTAAAAAAATCATTAAGCAATGTTACATAACCTTTTTCTTCACACATGATTTCCCTTTCATGCGAAGCCTGCAGGCAGTAATCTCTCTCTCTCTCTCTTTTGGCTGCACCTTAATTAAACCTAGGTAGGGGCCACTGGGGGACACGGATGGTGCTGTGGGTTAAACCACAGAGCCTACGGCTTGCTGATCAGAAGGTCGGCGGTTCGAATCCCCGTGACGGGTGAGCTCCCGTTGCTCGGTCCCTGCTCCTGCCAACCTAGCAGTCTGAAAGCAAAGTGCAAGTAGATAAATAGGTACCGCTGTGGTGGGAAGGAAAATGGCGTTTCCATGCGCTGCTCTGGTTCGCCAGAAGCGGCTTAGTCATGCTGGCCACATGACCCGGAAGCTGTACGCCAGCTCCCTCTACCAATAAAGTGAGATGAGCACCGCAACCCCAGAGTCAGCCACGACTAGACCTAATGGTCAGGGGTCCCTTTACCTTTACCATTGGTGGACAAAATAAAATTGCTTTTCAGGTTGAGCCGAGACCACTTAATGGGCTCTGGCTTCAATCCAAAAAAAGCCCATTTCAGAGAGTCCTGTAGCCCTGCTAAATTTTCCCTTGACACACTTCTGTGTATTGAGACAGGAATGCAAAAGCAGCAGATTTCTTGGAAGCAGACAATCCGTTCTCAGACTTTCTACAGATGAGAAACACTGGCTGCGTACTAGTTTACTTCTCAAAGAGCTACAATTCCCAGCACTCTGAACAAACTACAGTTCCTGGAGGGAGGGGAAATGTGCTTTAAATGTATGATGTGCACACAGCTACTGATAGAGGTTGAGATGTGCCAGTATACTAATAGGTAGGAAGAGAAGCTGAAAATTAATCTGCCTGGTAGCTTGGGAGGTACTCCTGGATTCATCCTCATCTAGTGAGTCGCAGGTAGCAGCTATAGGCAGGAACACCTTCTACGAGCTCAAGCTTGTACACCAGTCGCAACCCTGTCTGGAGCAGTTGGACTCGCTCTTAGTCATCTGTGCCCTGTTTTTGTTGGTATATGTCTGTCTCAGAAGACAATGGAGGAGTGAGCCTTTGGGGGTCAGTCAGACCATTTCAGCTGGAGCAGAAGGTGGCTGTACCAGACTGGTTAGCTCCAAAACTAGGCTACTGGAATGGACTTCACCTGGGGTTGGCTCTATGATTACTGTAAGTTTATTAAGTCCACACACACACAATTTAGTACAAAATATCCTTTTCCAATGCTTAAAAACAAGTAAGGATAAAGAAAGAGGAAGAAAAAGTTTAAAACTTGTGAAAAGGGAAATAAAATAAGGAAATAAAGTATACAAAGCAAAAACAAATGGGAAAAAGGAAGGGGTAACTTCCAATTCATTGTCTGTTAGCTATATATAGAAAATTATTCAAAACATTCGCTCCAAGATAACCCCTGACTTTTCTACTTTCTATAAACCAGTATTTTCACACAGGCTTAGCTCTGAAGGGCTGTAAATTGCAGCGGGCACAAAATTCGGCTTGCTGGATGCTGGGGGAAGCCAGATGTCTGAAGCATAACTCTGAAGCTGTGCCGGCTGTGGGCAAAGCTTCCTTTAAAGGTTCAGAGTCCTAAAGAGCTTGGGGCAAAGTTATTTAAAGGACCATTTTCACTCATAAAGTCCTGCACCAGCCTAAGTTCTGCTTTGGTGGGCCTTGAGTTTCCACCTCAAAATATCGGTTAGGTTGACCTGCACACACAAAACTGGGCCTTCTCGATGGTGGCCCCAGAACTTTGGAACTAATTTCCTATTGATTTGCACCTTGCCCCAGCGTTGGTGAGCGCTGGAGACCTTCTTCAATGCTACCATTAATGAAGATGGTAACCATAGTATCCTAGAGTTGGGAGGGGACCCTGAGGAACATCTAGTCCTGAAATGCAGGAGTATGCAACTGTTCTATACAGGGATTGAACCTGCAACCTTGGGGTTATCAGCACCATGCTCTAACCAACTGAACTAACTGGCCAGCTAGGGCATCACAGAGCAGCTGCTTAGTTTTTCTGTGTGTTTGCTGCTGTGGCTATTCTACCTTTATACTTTGCTAAGTCTTGTTTGCGTGTTGCATTGTGAGGCCACAGGATACCAAGTCCATCTAGCTCAGCAATGTCTACACAGACCGGCAACAGCTGTTTTCTAACCCAGTAGATGCCAGCGATTGAACATGTGCTAATACCACTCCGATATTGCTCTTTCATACTAAAAATGCAGAGCTTCATGCAACGTGAGAAACCATGCATGTGTGCTTTTACACAGGTCACAGAATTCACCTCTTCATGGTGCAGAAATAAGTACATACAGTGGTACCTCGGGTTACAGACACTTCAGGTTACAGACGCTTCAGGTTACAGACTCCGCTAACCCAGAAATAGTACCTCGGGTTAAGAACTTTGCTTCAGGATGAGATCAGAAATTGTGTGGCGGCAGCGGGAGGCCCCATTAGCTAAAGTGGTACCTCAGGTTAAGAACAGTTTCAGGTTAAGAATGGACCTCCAGAACGAATTAAGTTCTTAACCTGAGGTACCACTGTACAGCCTTGATGATGACTTCATTTCTCTGAGAGAAGAAGGTGTACTATTGCATATGTAAGGATCTGGAACTTGCTTTATTTATACAGAACAAAAGCAGAGATTCTCAGGAAGCTCAGCTCTGTCCTGGTAGCATATTCTGCATTTTTCTTCCCAGGGCAACTGCATTAGATTGCCGCAGTATTTGCAAGGGATACTCACCTCCTTAGAGCCAAAGTACCACACAGCTTGCACATCTTGGTGTTCGGCTAAAGCCCGGCTCAAATGGTCCCGGTTGCCAGAGATGATGTTCACTACTCCACCAGGAACGTCCGAAGTATCTAGTACCTGGTAAGAGAAGAGATGGACGCCATTTCTTGCAAAGGTGACTGGCACTTTAAGACAAACTCCTAGAGAATTCTGGTCACATGACTAGAGCCTGGGAGGTTAGTTCATTGTAGCCTGGATGAAACCTGCTAACGCAGTTGTTGTTCTGTTCAATTACCATATTTTTTGCTCTATAAGACTCACTTTTTCCCTCCTAAAAAGTAAGGGGAAATGTGTGTGCGTCTTATGGAGCAGATGCAGGCTGCGCAGCTATCCCAGAAGCCAGAACAGCAAGAGGGATTGCTGCTTTCACTGTGCAGCGATTCAGAATATCTTTTTTCTTGTTTTCCTCCTCCAAAAACTAGGTGCGTCTTGTGGTCTGGTGCGTCTTATAGAGCAAAAAATACGGTAATAACTGTACCCTGTATTGCCTCTGCAACTATTTCCTGACTGCACCATTGTACTGGTCGGCACCAAAATAAATCTTGGAGGCAAGATTTCAAAGGTCCCATATAGACTATGAGGCAAACTGGAAACACATTTTAAAATATGGGTTTATTGGTAACACACCAAGGATTATGTAATATCTGGTTTTTGGTTTTTTTAAATAATGCAATAACCCCATTGTCCTTGGGTTCTATACAAAAGTGCCTGAAATTTCTTTTGTTGGCTACAGCTCCAAAATCTTCTGGCTGGTGTTAAGAGTTTGAAGTTCTAAATTGCACACTTTTTTGTCCCATTTGGGTCCCAGAGGACTACTGGGAGAGATCCACAACATGTTGGAATACTTCAGGTGTGCCACGGAAGAGAACGGACTGTGCAGAATGCGCATCAACATTTGAGGGATAATGTAACTTTTCAGATCTTGTGTGGGAAAAGAGTAGAAAAGGAAGAAATCTGGGGCATTGACTTTCAACTGCATGTTACCAGCTGTCTCCACTTAGCCATCTGTCAGAAAATATACAAAACCGAAAACCCAGACACTGTACTATTGGGCAAACACCATCCACTCCAGAAGCATACAGTCCCACAGATATATGTGTGCTCCTTTTCATTCCATGTAAAAGTAGTTGGGGATTCAATGCCTGAACATTGCAGACGGCTCTTGCTTCAGAATAATGACAGCTACATGTTCCTTCATGGGAAAATCATAGCATTTTCCTTACCAGGCAGCAGTAAAGGAAATCTGGGCTAAAGCACACACTTGTATCATTTTAACAATCATGGCTTTCCATGAAGAATCGTGGGAACTGTAGTTTGTTCAGGGTGCTCAGAATTGCTAGGAGACCCTTCACAAAACTAGAGTTCCAGGATTTATTATTGTTTTTTTTAAGGGTGGGAAGCCATGACTGTTAAAGTGGGATAAGAGAGAAGAGAGAATCCCAAAGGGTTCCTGCCAGCAATTTTACAAGCTTTTTGTGACAGTGATTTATGAATGAGTCACTGCGTAATTTTGAAATCACTTGTTATTATAAGCCTTTAGTTCTCTCAAGGGGAAAATTATAACTCCCTCCCAGATTTTTGTATAAACACATTTTTTTTTATTAGAGTAATAAAAATGAACACCAAACCAGAGAGAACAGAAAGCTGCAAGCTGTTGCTTACAGCAGGCATAGGCAAACTCCAGATGTTTTGGGACTACAACTCCCAACATCCCTAACTAACAGGACCAGTGGTCAGGGATGATGGGAATTGTAGTCTCAAAACATCTGGAGGGCCAAGTTTGCCTATGCCTGGTTTAGAGGCTTTTACGCAGCAATATATAGCAATAGTTTTAAGTTCTGTGTTCATTTCTCTTTCCCATCTTGCCTTTGTCTGACATCCTTTCTGTACAATTTGTGTCCGCACTGTGCAGATAGGCAGTTACTCTTCCAGATGGACTTCCGCAGTCACATAAAGGTTTTAGAAGGGATTTGATAGCCCTTTCTCCCTTGTGTAGGTCAGGTGTGGGGAACATTTGTCCTGCTAGATGTTGAACTACAAATCCCATCACCCCCAGCGAGCATGGTCAGTGGACAAGGCTGATGGAAGCAGCAGTTTAGCAACATCTGAGAGGTTCCTCACATTTAGTAGGTTATGAAGCCATGCCAGAACGTGTAAAAATCTAAATTATTTGCCACGCCCTTGTTTGAATGAATGCTGTATTCCAATAATTGCTCTTTGCCATAATTCCCAATACCACTGATTTGGGATTAAGCAGCCAGCCATCTTTGAATTCTTCACTATTACCTGTTGAGCTGCTGGTATTATAAACTTGATTAAGTTTGGAGAGTCCTCGTGGCTTACGAGGAGACCCTCCCTGGAGTCCAAAAATGTCCTCTTCGGATTCCAGGGAGGGTCTCCTCGCAATTCCCATTTATGCGAATTTCACTGGCACGCATGGAGGCCCGGAATGTAACCTCCGCGTAAATGGGGAGTTGCTTGTAATACAAATAGATTTTTTAAAAATAAAAATTGAAAGGGAGTTACAGCTTGTTTATTATTCTGAGCACCTGCTGCTTAAGAGGCCCCAAGATCTTGACAAGGAGAAGACTGATTTCCCCCTTAAATTGTTGAACTAATCCTAGTGGCCAGTAACAGATAATTTCAAACTAGATAGTGGTACATTCCTGCATCAGTGATGAAAAAGAGGTTGCATTGCTGGCAGGAACCTCTTGAAGAGTCTGTGCAGGGAATTGGAGAAACGCCCTGTGTCTCCTTGGGATAAGACTTATTTGGTCTTTCTGTCTGTTCTCAAACCAGTTGCCATTGCAGCTGTCATCCTCAATGTTTTCAGCTACACAGCTTTCTATGCTAAAGAGCCATTGGTTGCCCCAGCTACAAAATGTTTTGCAGTATCCTTACTTTCCAGAGGGGGCGCATTCACACGTGTGGCAAAGTAGGAAGCTGGACGTGTAGCTCCGCTTTCACCTGCCGATTTATATATGTGGATTGTGGTACTTTAAAGGCTAATAGTTTTAGGTTTCTCTGACAAATGGACACTAGGCTATATGCATAAGGAACATCATTCTGTGGTGCAGATTCAGGAAGTTACTCTCTTTTCTTTCTCAAGCTGCTAACAGCTATCATTCTTGGTGTCTCTTAATATCAAAGTATACTAAACAATAGAGACACGGGTGGCGCTGTGGGTTAAACCACAGAGCCTAGGACTTGCTGATCAGAAGGTCGGCGGTTCGAATCCCCGTGATGGGGTGAGCTCCCGCTGCTCGGTCTCTGCTCCTGCCAACCTAGCAGTTCGAAAGCACGTCAAAGTGCAAGTAGATAAATAGGTACCGCTCCAGCGGGAAGGTAAATGGCATTTCCATGCACTGCTCTTAGTCATGCTGGCCACGACCCAGAAGCTGTACGCTGGCTCCCTCGGCCAATAAAGCAAGATGAGTGCCACAACCCCAGAGTCGGCCACGACTGGTCCTAATGGTCAGGGGTCCCTTTACCTTTACCTTTATACTAAACAGTGGCGATAAAGCAGAACCACCAACTCATATATCAAATGGAGATGGTGTCCTGTTTGATAAGCTACTTAGGGTGGTTGTTACTGTTTTGGCCAAAGTTGAGCTTTAAAATTTTTTTTTGCCAAAGTTGTTGAAATTTTGTGGCAGGATCTGAATAAACAAAGTTTGAGCTATTTTTAAGGAGACACACCAAAATCTACACTTCGGTTGCCATACATCTGGATTTTCGGTGATTTCCGCCCAGGTACTGCTTCCAGCTGCAGTATTCAGGCTACGTCTGGGAAATACCAGGCAACCCTAGATTTACTATAGAGGTGGGCTCAGAGTTTTGGGATAGGTAGGGCTGTAGAACATGCTGCTTTTTTTTTGAACTTATTATACAGACAGGGACTCAGTGCTGAGACTTCCAGGTCTTTTATTACAGTAGATAGTTTAACAAGTTTACTTTAGAGAAGTATGGTAATATAGTAATATAAGTTTATTTTGCTGTTATGAGCCCTAATCTAAACCTGACTGGTTTCTTGTGTCATCCTCTCCTCTAGGCTGAAGTAATAAGGCAGGGGAGTTAATAACATGATGAAGATGAAGAGCCATCATTTTAGCTTCTGCTCTGCCATGCTCCTAGAACCAGCCTGGTGATCCCACTGGGTTGTGTTCTTGCCTTACGCAGAGCAGACCCACTGACGTTCATAAACCTTAGTTAATCATGCCAATTCATTTCAATGGGTCTGAGCAGGACTAGCATTGGATACGACCTTCTCTCTCTCCATAGCTGTCAACTTACAGATTGGAAAATAAGGGACCAGCAGCCTCGAAAATAAGGGATCAGCAGTCAAAATAAGGGATTTTCTGGGCACAGGAATGTTCAACTTCTGAGCCCCTCCGAGCCAAAGGCAGAAAGCCCAGCCAGCAGCCAAACGAAGCCTCACCAATAAGGGACAGCAGCGGGACATGGCGCTGGGATAAGGGACTGTCCCGCCAAATAAGGGACGCTTGACAGCTATGTCTCTCTCTCTCTCTGCTTTGCCTGGTCACATAGATGGAGAGTCTCACAGAAAGGCTCCTCCACATTCCTTGACTAAATTGGGACAAAACACTCTGGGCTCAGCACTGTATTTTGCAATCCTTGGCGAGACAAATTCTGGAAATGCATATACAACATTTGCCAAAGAGAGCGCGGTTTCTGCTTTGGCTGCTTTCATAAACGCCACACAAGATTCTCTCTCCGCCCCCCCCCCCCCCCGAATCTGAAAGTGAGCCATGAAGAGGAAATCGAGAACATAAAAAATGGCAACGAAACTTGAATCCTCACACCGAATCAGATCGGTATCCTGATCAACACACCCAAAGGAAAAAACAGAAGTGGGAAAAGGCTGCCATTGTGGAACGCTACTGTTGCCGGTTCCCTCTCACCCCGCAAGCAACTTGACCACCGCTTAAGTAATCGTGTTATATTGTATTGGAATGTGGTTTCTGTATGTTATTATATTTGCTATTGTTTTGTTATGTTATTATGGAATTGCTACTGTTGTGCTATGTTATGAAATTGTTGCTATGTTTTCCTATGTTCTTGTGAAATTGTTTTCATAGGATTTGCTTGAAATTAATCCCCTGTTTCTTGGTTGTAAGCTGCTTTGAGAATGAGTTTCTGGGTGGAAAAAGGGCACACAAGTAAAATGAATGAATGGATGAAAGGCAGATAATGGGATGTCAGCTGGTCCAATTCATTTAACACATGCTCAAGTACAGGTAAACAGACAGAGTACCAATAACAATATTAATTAATTGATCACTAATCATATTGCAGGGGTTTGCATTGCAGGGGGCTGAACCCCTGCAATGTTCAGCAATGTTCAAAGCTGGGTCCCTTCCAACTTGACAAATCTATTATTCTACTATATCATTATTTATCCATGAATAATAATAATAATAATAATAATAATAATAATAATATTTTATTTATACCCCGCCCTCCCCAGCCAAGACCAGGCTCAGGGCTGCTAACAACCAATAATAAAAACAAGTTGATTAAAATACAATTTAAAAGATTAAGATACAACATTAAAAGAATTAGGGAGCAATCTCTTCATAGGAAGAGAAAGGAAAAAGAAAGAGGGGGAGGGAATCAAACTGATTCTGAGCGAAAGGCCAGGTGGAACAACTCTGTCTTACAGGCCCCGTGGAAAGAGATCAGACCCCGCAGGGCCCTGGTCTCAAGAGAAAGAGCATTCCACCAGGCCAGAGCCAGTGTTGAAAAGGCCCTGGCTCTGGTTGAGGCAATCAGACCTCCTTAGGGCCCGGGACCTCTAGGGTGTTGTTATATATGGACCTTAAGGTCCTCCGTGGGGCATACCAGGAGAGGCGGTCCCATAGGTACGAGGGTCCTAGGACGTGAAGGGCTTTAAAAGTCAAAACCAGCACCTTAAATCTGACCCTGTACTCCACCGGGAGCCAATGCAGCTGGAAAAGCACTGGGTGAATATGCTCCCATGGCAGAGACCCTGTGAGGAGCTTCGCTGCAGCATTCTGCACCCAGAACAACGGGCCAATTCACCGTATGCCCTTGCTACTAAAGTGTTTGTGTGTTGGCCGTTTCTTTTTACGTAACAGCACCACATATGGAGGTAACAGCTTGTTTCCTTTTGTTAATGACTTGTATTAATGTATTTACAGTGTAGTACTGATATTAGTAATAATATTCTCCACCCCAGTTTTAGTAAAAAAACAAAAACAAAAAAAACTACAACCTCAATGAATGTTGTTAGGATATATTTATTCCTACTTTCAGGAGAGGCTGCCGTGGAAGGCAATGCCCTCTCTTTTCACTGGAAATATTTAAACAGAGGCTGAGCAGACACCTGTCCCAGATGCTGTAGCTGCTGCAACCTGAACGGTCCCTGGAAAACCACAGAAGCACTGACACCCTCCATGAAACTGTCTAATATCTAATAAATAATAATAATAATAATAATAAAAATAAAAATTATACCCCGCCCTCCCCAGCCAAAGCCGGGCTCAGAGCAGCTAACAACAGTAAAAATAGCATAGTTTACATAAAATCACAGTCAATTCATTGAAATACATTTTAAAATCAGTTCAGAATCAAATTAATGGCAACCATTGGGCTAGAGTTCTATGAAGATTACAGAAGGAGAGAGAGCGTCAGTCAGACTGTGCCTTGGCCAAAGGCCTGGTGGAACAGCTCTGTCTTGCAGGCCCTGCGGAAAGATGTCAAGTCCCGCAGGGCCCTAGTTTCTTGTGACAGAGCATTCCACCAGATCGGGCCCCAGATCAACAGCTGCCTACGCCTGCAGTCATCACTTTTACCTTCCAAAAGAGAATTCCACAAATTAATCCAATAATATGTAAACAAGAACTTCCTTTTGCCTGCCCTGAACTGTCTCCTTGTCTGTTTCACTGGAGGCTGCTGCAGCTGCCCTCTTGCGGGTCTGAGTCATTCTGAGAGCGGTTTTCCCTAAACCACTTTCTTCACACTGTGCCTACATTTTATAGAAACTTTCATCACATTCCCTCAACTAACACTGCCCCCCACCCCCTGGGATCATTTCATTGGAGGAGTTCATTCCCTGGACAACTATATGTGACACATGCCTAACCTCACCAAGCTGCACTCTTGCGAAGCCAAGTTCTGTATTAATAATAATAATAATAGTAATAACAATAATAATAATTTCATTTCTACACCACTTTCTATTTTTAAGCAAGAAACCTTCAAAAGTGGTTTATAACATATTAAACTATCAAATAAAATTTGCCCGCTCCCAATTTAAAAAAAATAAAGGGAACATTTAGGGTGCATTTTGTACATGGGAGAAGAGTCTAGAACACAAAAGAACTACATTAGGAACAGAAGGGATGAAAACAGGAAGCTTTCGTTTCCAGTCTTGAAAATTATGCTTATTCAAGCAGGAAAATGAAGGGTGCCATGACCTCCCCAAACTTCCTCCATTCTGCATCCCCAAAGCACCACAATTTGTGAATGAGGCTCATGGGGAAGAGAAACTGAGAAAGCTTCTTCTTTCCCCGAAAGAGAAAAATTCATGGGGAGGTGTTATATTCACCTCCTGCCTTCCAGTTAGCAAATCACGTTTGACTGAAGTGGCTAAGCAACACCTTTTTCATCTCCCCCTTCTTATTCATTTCTTTGCAAAACAGAAAAAAAAATGCACCTCTCTGGAAAAGCTGAATTATCCCCCCATATCAGAGCCAAGTACATGTGTGCTACCGTCTTCAGTTACGCAACTTATGGAGCGCAGACTTCGGGTTTCCCCAAGTGAGGGAATCTGCATTCCTTCATGGGGACCACAGAAGCCACACTTGCTTGTGTTCATGCCAGAAGTTCTTTAAAAAGGGAACCGTGCGAGAAATCCCCAGGCAAATGGGTCAAAGAGAAACCTCCATCGTCCAGCTGAATGAAAAAGTGGATGCCGTTGCCCTGAAAATGACATCCCTGGAAGTGCAATGCAGTCTGATTTCCTCCCACCTGCATCCTCTGACTTTGCTCAGGTGTTGCTACTATTGACTGAAGAGGATGGGAGGCCAGTCTCTCCTTTTCTCCCCCTTCCTGCCCTTGACTCCTGGTATCTTGTACTTCAAATGCAGCAAGCCATGCAACAGAAGCTATGGTTAATATCTGCCAGAACAGCAGTAATGTGAGAAGCTGGCGGAGGAGGATGGAAACCAGCTAATGGGACGAGGAGGAGGGGAGTTGAATTCTTCCCTGGCTCAGATTAAAATCCAAGTCAGAGAAAAACTGAGGTGTACTGGTGTAAGTGCAGTGAGTTGCTGAGATTCATATTCCAAGTCAAAGTATATGAAATTGAGCAACGTGGCCAGTCTAAACCCTTCCCCTCTATAGTGGGGATTTGGGATCATTTTAATAACAGATAGGGGAAGGAAAAGGGGTGCATGTATAAGTTATGCTTACACTGTCCCTTAAAAACTTGGAAAGATCCCAGCTGGAAAGATCCCAGTGATACTCTGATTTGAATCATCTTGGCACACACACACATCAAAGGTTCTAAGTTCTATACACTTAAATGCTAATGAACCCAACGAGAACAAATGACCGATGCATAAAAGACCATCTGAATGGATGGAGAGGACACAGAGATACACTTTATTTGATCTACAAATGGGACAAGGAACCTCCTGCATCCCTGAGGGCCACAATCCCTTCCAAGAGTCGCATGGCAGTGATGGTGCCAGAGACAAAAGTGTATGGAGAAGCCAGTGTAAAAACATTCAAGGAGGGTACTAAGCAGAGCCAGTAAGGGTTGTGGTCTGGCAAAAGTCACAAGGACCAGGCAGAGAGGCCTGGGGGGCTGCATTTGGTCCCTGGGACTCAGACCCCCTGCACCCTGATCTACAAGATAGGCTAGAAAGCATTGTACCTGGTAGAAATCCAGGGCGAGTAATGGGAACCGCTGGCTGGGGACCATCACCACACAGTTGCCACGGACAACAGCAGGAGCCAGCAAGCTGACGAAAGCGAGGAGAGGCTGTTCATCGGGGCAGGCGATGCCGACGACACCGAGAGGCTCCCGAAAGAGGAGGGAGGCGCCGTACAAAGAGGTTTCCTGCAACAGAGAGAGTAATTTCTGTAGATAATATATGTGAACAAAAAATAGATAGAAGCAGTAATATTCTGTTAATAATAAATCAGACAAGTTTAAATATCGGATATGGAAGGGAAGGGAAGTCTGATGTTCATGAAGAAATTTATTGTTTGAAAGTTGTTCTGTTCTTTATGTGTTTTGTGATGTTTTTGATTCGATGATAATAAGATGGTGTTGTAAAGATGTGATAGTGAACAATAAAACATAAAAAAAGGAAAGCACGCAGAAGGCGTTCAGTGAGTGAGGTTTGGGGTGGTTAATATAGACTGTGAAAGGAGATAATAAACCCACCCCCAAATGGAAGCTCCATGTGGACACCCCCACCATCCAGCCCGCTCCCCAAAGTCTGCCTTTCTCTCTAATCTGGCTAAGTGCAGACATCATATGGTGCTCATTAAAAGATAGAGACTAAAACACAGGGTCACCCAAACAAAAAATATGTGCAAAACTTCCCATCCAACTGTTCGGCATCTGGGAGGAACTTCAGCTGACCCACAGTCTGGGCTGCATCATCCCTTGGGATATAGGAGGTTTTGTGTCTCTTTAATCCAGGATCTCAGCTGAAGGCCTTTCCCATCCTTTGCTGCTGGATCCTTTTACTGGGACATGCCAGGAACTGAAGCTGGGACCTTCTGCCTGAAAAGCCCATGCTTCCCTGCTGAGTTGTGGCCCTTCTCCCAAACCTTTCCAAGCTTGTAGAGCCAAGTCCCCCAAAAGCTATAGGGGTGGGGAGTGTCCTGTGCCATGTGCTTAGCTCTATGGCCCTGCCTGCCCAGTTCGCACCTGCACAGCTCCTCCGTATTTATCGGAGTACGCCGCCCAGTAGAAGAGCCGCTGCACGCAGAGGTCCACCTCCTGCAGAGACGCCTCTTTCTTGGCACCGGCCAACGCCTCCAGCCGCGATGCAACCTCTGCTCGGCGGAGTTCCAGGTTCTCAGCCAGGTAGTACAAGATCTGCGCCCGGGCATGAGGCGTCTGCTTCGCCCACCTGGGGAGACCAACTCCGTGTTAGATCGGGGGAAAGGGCAGGCAGAGGAAATGTGGGTTCTGGTGGTCTCACACCTCCTGGCGACGTGCACTTTGGAGACCACAGAAGGCTTTGTTGCTCTTCCTAAGAACGCCTGAAGAGCCCCTCTTGGATCAGATGGAAGATCCCCACCCAGCCCAACATTCTGCTATTCCCCACAAGAGCCAGGCAAATGCCAGAGGGAGAGATGCAAAAAAGGCAGAGATGAGTGAAGGCTGCTGAAGAAGCCACAGAGTCTCCCCCTCCTGCTGTGAGCAGCTCCCCTCCCCTCTGGTCTCCCAGAACAGAGAGAGGAATGAAGAGGGTGGAGCCAAGAGAGACAAGGCGAAGGAGCTTTGCGGGGGTAGGACCCAAGGGAGAAGCCTTAGAGAGTGGTGGGAGGGCAGGGACCTTCAGTCCTTGCAACTGCCTCACTGGGGCAAGACCTCCCGGGAAGAGTTGCTGTGATCGCTAGGCCTGCGCTGGTTTGGTTTCTTTGAAAAAAAAGGGGGGGGAAGAGTTAACATCACAGGCCGGCTCCTGACACTACAGTGGAACCTTGGTTCTTGAACCGCTCTGTTCCCAAACGTTTCGGCTCCCAAACGTCGAAAACCTGGAAGTAAGTGTTCCAGTTTTCAAAAGTTCCTTGGAACCTGAACGTCCGACGCAGCTTCCGATCCACAAAAAGCCTAGCTGCCAGCCTATCGGAAGCCATGCCTCGGAATTTGAACATTTCAGAATTCGAACGTCCTTCCGGAACGGATTACGTTCGACTTCTGAGGTTCCACTGTACGGCTAAGCTATGGCACCTTCCGCTGTGAATCTCCGCCTGCTGTCCTCCCTGCTCCCTTCAGCAGGGAGAAACTGTGTTCAGTGAGTCGTGTTCTGTAAGTCAAATGTGCTCAGGGTGGCACCCTAACGCAACTTAGCACTAATTTTTCCATTGGTGCATTTGACTTAGTTTGGACCCAAGATTTACAACTTGGAACCAAGGTGGGCAGGACCAAAGTGCCATAACTAGGCCTGGCAATGGGCAGACACCTCACACTAGCACAGACAACGGACAACACACACAAACACAGGCAGCCGGGGGGGGGGGGAGTAGAGAAGATTGTTCAGAAACAGGGAAGATTTAGGGCAGATCTACACATCCAAGGCACATTTAAAGCACATGACTTCCCTCCCCCCACCACAAAGAATCATTGAACAGTACAGTAGTTTGTTAAAGTTTCTGGGAATTGCAGCTGGGGGGACAAACGGACTGCAGTTCCGAGGATTCTTTGGGGGGGTGGGCAAATAATGTGTTTTACATATGAATCGGATGCATTCTATATTTATGCTGCAGATGTGTCCTTAAAACAGCTGAGCCGTGGCAAGGACGTGGGCTGATTTCCAGGAACCTCCGCCGAAAAAAAAGGAGAAAGGAGGAAACACGAGCACTGCAGGAACCGAAAACATTTAAAACTTGAAAAGTCATTCAAAGGAACAGAAACAAGGCAGGAAAACGAGCAACAGACGACACTGGAGGAATCGCCAGAAATAACTGGTGGCAGAGGGAAGAATCACAGAATCATAGAGTTGGAAGAGACCAGAAGGGCCATCGAGTCCAACCCCCTGCCAAGCAGGAAACACCATCAGAGCACTCCTGACATATGGTTGTCAAGCCTCTGCTTAAAGACCTCCAAAGAAGGAGACTCCGCCACACTCCTTGGCAGCAAGTTCCACTGTTGAACAGCTCTTACTGTCAGGAAGTTCTTCCTAATGTTTAGGTGAGAGAGCATTCCCACAGATGACATAGCAGAAAAGATGGATGTGGACATCTGGCAAAGGTGGAATTGGAAGCCCCCTGAGCTTAATGTCATCGCTCCAACACTGTCAGGAAGCGAAGCTGCCTGTATCTTAGCAGCTGCCTCTACATCTTGTCATTTTGCATCAAATCTCACCTCATTTGTCAGAAGCCAGGCCTTGTACATCCCTATAGTGTCTTAAAATGGAGGAGAACTGGATAACCTTTTCTTTCCCCAACTGGAAATGATATTGCGATCAAGGGCCAGAATCCAAATATCTACTTGCAACATTGCCTGGTGAAAGTTTTAACGCTTTCCTGTAAAATCAGCAACCGCCACCCCCAAAAAACTGCTCTGATTTTGAGAAATCCCTTGGGGATTCAAAAGACGTTTGCTGTGTGGCATGGATGGTCTGATGCTCAGCAAACACAGGCCATGGGAAGCGGCCTTAAACCCAAAATCAGGCCTGCCTATATTTCTTCATCATCTCCTCTATCACACCCCTTTCCCTTCACCTCACCATCCTGCACAGGCCCATTGACTACCAGCCTCAGCAGTTTCCTAATTCCACTCTTAGATCCTGTGCCTCAAGCCTTTTCATTGCATTTGAAGATGCCCTTTGTCCCTGAAACCTATCAGGCTGTTGTCAAGGGCTTGTCAGGCGGACTGGATGTAAGACAGCCACAGGTTTCTTGGGAAGGACGGGCTGTTAAGCCACTTTGCAAATCATCACTCTGTGAGGGGAACAGGGGTCTCCTAACAACTCTCAACACCTTCAACTAACACTGCCCTCAAGGGACTTACGGAGGGGACAACAGAGGAGGGAATGGAGCCAGGAGGAAATGTTCTGTGCACACCATACATTTAAAGCGCATGCCTTCCTTTGCGGAACCATGGGAACTTTAGTCTGCCCCTCACAGAACTACCATTCAAAGTACCATATTATTATTATTATTATTATTATTATTATTATTATTATTATTACTACTACTACTCTGGGCAGCTCCCAACCGAATATTAAAAACACAATACAGCAGTAAACATTAAAAACTTCCCTTCAGATCCCTTTTAAAAGTAAGATAGTTGCCTATTTCCTTGACATCTGATGGGAGGGTGCTCCACAGGGCAGGTGCCACTACTGAGAAGGGTGCCACTACTGGAGACGCTCTTTCAGGTATACTGGGTCAAGGCCGTTTAGGGCTTTAAAGTTCAGCACCAACACTTTGAATTGTGCTCGGAAATGTACTGGGAGCCAATGCATGTACCCTTAGCAAACTACAGTTTCCAGGATCCTCCGTTCCTGTTCCTTGGAGAACATCACCCAGCAGGTGCAACCAAGGAAGCTTCCGTGCCAGAATCAGGCCCAGAAACAGATGAATAAGCATCTACCAGGCAAGCGATCAAACAGGCTGTTATGACTCATAATGGAATGCAGTAATAGGCATACAAATGCCTCGGCGTGACTTTTATTGCAGTTACAATCTTTAGATTCTAAGCAAGCCCATTGATTCGGGTTTTGTGTGTGCATAACTTGGCCCAGGAAGCCCTGCGTGATCCTTAGCAGCAGGAGATCCCTCATCAGCCTCTCACACCCAGACTCTGCATATTTGTTAAGAAGCATTCATGCCAGCTTGAGCCCCACGGAGTTCAACACAGCAACTCATCCAACCAACCAACCAAAATATATTACAGAAACACCCTCAGGCCTGCCCGCCTCCCTGCATTGTGCCAGGCATCTTTTTCACTGTGCATTCATGGTGATCTGCGATTGCCTCTCTATCTGGCTGGCTCTGCAAGAGTCTGGCTTTCAGCAGTGCGCTTTGTGCCTACAAACCAGACAATACGGAGCAACAGGAGAGAAAAGGCTCGAATCGACGGAGGGATTATGCAGCCGCTGCCCACATGAAAAGAACCTGTTGGTTATTATAAGCTGAACTATAGGAAATATCGGAGCTCTTTCGCAATGTTTCCAACAGCAATCTTCTCTGCGGCTTCCAAGATTGCCGCGGATTCAGTTCCAACCGGATGAAGTCGATGCAAAGGCCGAGGCCCATTGGGGAGGAAAAGAAAAAGAGCCACACAGCTGTGCATCTGTCAACAAAACTTTGGCTCGCCATCTAAAACTGGACATCTTGAGACCGGCAGGCACTCTACGGCCGTTGGTGAGGATCTGCTGGAGCTTCCAAAGTGAGTGGGTGTAAATCAAGATCTTCTTCCTTCGCCTCGTTCTAATTCTTCCTCCGTTGAGGGCCTTGCTGAGTAGGGTCAAGGTGAACGTAACCCAAATCTCATACAAACAGCAACTCTTGAGGTTGTTCAGAGGCAGCATCCAGCTGTTTTTATATGCGTTGCAAGCCTCTCAGAGTGGCTGGGCAACCCAGCCAGATGGGTGGGGTATAAATAATACTAGTAATAAATAATAATAATAATAATAGCAGCAATGGTTTGGAGCTAGAGAAAGAAACCCGGTGTAAGCCTGCCACCCTCTCCCCCGCCCCCTCAGCACATGGAAATTCCTTTCTCCACTTTTTCTGGTCTGAGGCAAATTGCAGTCTCCTATGTCATCCCGCAAATGGCGAATCAAAGCTAGGATCAAGCTCTGTGCCAGGAAACGTGCAAACCATTGTTTGCTGGGTATGGAGAAATGGCAAACCATGGTTGGGCTCAAACTTGGAAAGAAAGGAGCTAATCAGTATGGGCAATATGCAACAGAGTTTTTTCCTCAGAGTAGACCCACTTGAAATAAAGGAACATGACCAAGTTAGGTCCATTAATTTCCATAGGTCTGCTCTGAATAAAACGTAGCTGAACACCACCTCGTGTGCCAGAGGAGAGGAAGGAGCAGGTGAGCCCGAGGCTTCAGCACATCACACTGAACTAGGGACATGATGTGAAATTTGCCCTGGTCCATCAAGTTCTGATTCCGGATTCCCAGTGTGACCACAGCCATGTGCTTTTGGGAAGCCTGACAGGTACGGCAGGGAGGCAAGTGCTCTCTCGCAGCGTTTGTCTTAAGCACCTGGTTTTCAGAAGCACGCGGTGTCTGAACCTGGACTGCAGGTTCTGTTGGCTATGGCAACTACTAGGGAACAGGCCTATCAATGACTATGGGTGTCACCTTATCCTTATTTTAAGAAAAGGACCAAAGCCAGTGGCATATCGTTTCTCGGTTTACACCGGCCTTCCCTCCCTTTCTCCTTGTCTCCTCCGTATGCATCAAATTGTAGGCTGTAAGCTCCTCAGGGCAGGGGCCTGTTCACTCACATCGCACCTGATGATGCTGTTAAAAAACCTAAACAACAGAAGAGAACACAGGCTGCTAGCCCAGCCTCCTGCGAGATATGAGATGTCACGGTTGGGAACGGAGCAGCTCTGGCAAGCGAGCAGGTGTATTTGCCTGCCGTATCTCCTCCCACTTCCCACTTTGTTTCATTTCCAGACCACCCCGTTGACCAAAGTCCTCTAGGCAGTTTTCAGACAAATAAAAACCAATGAAAATGTACACCCTATCACGCTAATCATGAAACAAAGCACAATGCAACCTCCTTTTTCCTTTCCCCTGGTTTCCCCTCGTGCCTTATCTGCAGCTGGCTTACATCACCACCTGGCCGGCTGCCACTTTGGCGCTGCTGGACTTTGAGATTCTCACCTGAGCAAAGTCCCCTGGGCTCAGCATCTTTGAGAAAAAGGCCCTCTGGGGAAAAACGACAAAGGCCCGTGGGTCTGCAACTCCCATTACGCACTGGGGAAGCTGCCTTGCACCAGGTCACACCTCTGGTCTGTCTACCTTGGTGCCGACTCTCAGGCCTAGTTGCTCTGAGGCAGAGCAGCTGAAAGAGCCCATCCCCAGCCCAAGGCTCCCAGTACATTTCCGAGCACAATTGAAAGTGTTGGTGCTGACCTTTAAAGCCCTAAACGGCCTCAGCCCAGTATACCTGAAGGAGCATCTCCACCCCCATCGTCCAGCCCGGACACTGAGATCCAGCACTGAGGGCCTTCTGGCGGTTCCCTCCCTGCGAGAAGTGAGGTTACAGGGAACCAGGCAGAGGGCCTTCTCGGTAGTGGTGCCTGCCCTGTGGAATGCCCTCCCAGCAGATATCAAGGCAATAAGCAACTATTTTACTTTTAAAAGACAACTGAAGGCGGCCCTGTTTAGAGAAGATTTTAATGTCTGATGCTGTACTGTTTTTAATATTCAGTTGGGAGCCGCCCAGAGTGGCTGGGTAAACCCATTTATTAATTATTATTATTATTATTATTATTATTATTATTATAAGGCGCTCTGCGTAGCACCCAAAGCCAGCCAAGTTACTTTACTAGTATAGGGATTCCCAGGCGTATCTCTCCCCAACCCGTGCCAGTCAATAGAGAAGAATGATGTTGGATTACAGCCTTCATCTCTCCACAAGGCTTTTCAACTGAGATTGTCTTTTGCCTGCAGCTGTATTGCATTCTCTTACACATAATTTTTTTACTGTTTTATCATCTGTTGTCTGCTGCCCTGGGCTCCTTTGGGAGGAAGGGCGGTGTACCAAACGAGTAGCCATCCATCCATGAAGCTCCCAGCATCCCTGGCCATTAGTCACACTGGCTGGGGCTGAGTTTTCACCCACCAACTTCCAGAGGCCTACAAGTTTCCCATCCTGTCCAAGAAAGGAAAGCCCAGCATAAATAAGGAAAGTCATTCCTTTGCCTATTTGGGCATTTAATAAATAATAATAATAATAATAATAATAATAATAATTTATCATTTATACCCTGCCCATCTGGCTGGGTTTCTCCAGCCACTCTGGGCGGCTTCCAACAGAATATTAAAATACAATAACCTATTAAACATTAAAAGCTTCCCTAAACAGGGCTTCCTTCAGATGTCTTCTAAAAGTCTGGTAGTTGCTTTTCTCTTTGACATCTGGTGGGAGGGTGTTCCACAGGGCGGGTGCCACTACCGAGAAGGCTTTGTGTTTAGGGCTTTGTGTGTCCACATTATGTAGAAGAAACGGTCTGGAGGAAGGAGATGTTTTGGAATTGGATTTTACTTTGGTTTTTCCTACACTTGTATTCAGGGCCGGCCCAGACATTAGGTGGGATAAGGCCATTGCCTCAGGTAGTGACAGCACCTCCATGGGCACTCTGATGCCTCAGTCGCTGACATCAGCGCTGATTTCTGGCAAGATGTTGCCAAAATCATGCGGCATCAGGAGAAATCTGCGCCAGTGCAGCAGACCCAGTGTCGCAGGGCAGGGCAGCACTTCTCAAGCGGCAAAACAGGACGCGTCCTCCCTGCTTGTATCTCACCTTTCTTATGCTATGGAACAATGGACCTGCAAATCCCCAGGCCCAGGCCCTGTTCAGGCTCAGTTCCACTGCTGCAAGGTGGGGCCTTCAGAGGCCTTGCCTCAAAGCAAGTAGAGCCCTTGCTTTGCACGAAGAAGATCCGATATGCAAGGCCAATTTAAAGAAGCCTGGAAGTACCTTTCAAAAGCGACCTTGTGGCAAACACACGTGATCAGGAAACAGGCCTTTGCAAGGCTCTCAACTTGCATGTCTGTCAGCACCCTGCAGACATGCCTCAGAATGCCTGGAAGGGGAACGGGGTGGAGCCTGCCACACACCTGAGGTTGTGGGACAGGTGAAAACATTGCTCAGTTGAAAGGCGACTCCCATTGTCTTTTCACAGGCACTGCCAATCAGCAAAGCCCCTGCACAAAGCTCTGTGTATGGCAGCTTGGGAATCAGAGAGCTTTGGAAGACCAGTAGCCTCCTGCCCCTGCAGCTTCAAAGCGCAGAGGGCTTTGAAAGATCCAAAAGGTCACCTGGTTGTGGCATCAGACAACTGGCAGTTGGTTGGATTTTGGCCTGCACTGGCAGAGGAGAGAACGATCCCACCCGCTGGATGGATCCAGTTCCCCACCGCTAGATGAACCAATTATTTGATTTAGCAGGAGGCAGCCAGGCCTATGTATGTTAGGTTTGGGGGCAGGGGGGGCAGGAAGCCCTTCTGAAAACCCAGGCCGCCCATTGTCAGCCTGGAGGTGGGGAGGAGGCCAGTCCAACTGACTCAAGGGGCAGGATGGCAATATTTCCCCAAGAATATGGCAAAGACCGTTGCCTCTGTTGCTTTGTCAAGATCACGGCGAAGAAAAACTTGTCTCTGACTCAAGAAATGCAACACCTGGCCAAACAAAGGAGCAGCGATGCCACGAGCGACTCGCCTGCCTCTTTCTGTTTGTGTGCATGTGCCAAAATTGTTCACAAGAGCCTAATCACAATTCCGGAGAGTTCTGCCCCCTGGCCTCCCTTGGAAGCACCGCAATGCATAATTGCTGTTCTTGTAAACAGAGCAGTTCGTAGCAAATCAATCTTCTCACGTCAATTAAGACATTTTAAAGACTTGTTACACTTGTAGGATATGCTTCGTTATCAGATAATTAATCAAAGTGGGGTTTTCTTGTTTTAAAAAGTGACATACTGTACATTCATCAATGACTCCATGTAAAATATACTGAACTGTATTACAAACGGAGGCGAAACTATAAAGGTATATCTGGGGTCTCATGAACCCTGGAGACCTCGTCCCACCGCTCAAACTCGAAACGTTTTCGGAGAACAAATCCACCCCCTGCTTTACAGTTCCATAGCAGAGCTTTTTGCATTTTCTGTTACATTAAGTTATTTATTTAGGACTGAATAGTCTTACCTGCAGTGCAGCAGCAGTGAAGTACTTTTGGACTCTGGACATAAGCCACATCCACACCACACACATTTAAAGTGTTATGGCACCACTTGAAATAGCCGTGGTTTCCCCCAAAGAATTCTGGGAAGTGTCGTTTGTTAAGGGTGCTGGGAGCTCTTCGGAGACCCCTATTCCCCTCACAGAACTACATTTCCCAGAGTTCCCTGGGAAAAGGGATTGATTGTTAAACCCCTCTGGGAACTGCAGCTCTGCAAAGTGAATAAGGGGTCTCCGAAGAACGCTCAGCACCCTTAACTACAGTTCCTAGAATTCTTAGGGGAAAGCCATGGCTATTTAAAATGGTATCATGGTTGACATCCTATGCCCTTAAAAAAAGGGGGGGGGCGGGCTGTTATTGGGTTGTTGTTTTTATTTTGATTATGTATTTTGTGGTTTTATATTTTGATTTTGTTCTGTGAACCACACTGAGACTTCTTTAAATAATAATACAGTGGTACGTTGGGTTAAGAACTTAATTCGTTCCGGAGGTCCGTTCTTAACCTGAAACTGTTCTTAACCTGAAGCACCACTTTAGCTAATGGGGCCTCCTGCTGCTGCTGTGCCACCACCACACGATTTCTGTTCTCATCCTGAAGCAAAGTTCTTAACCCAAGGTACTATTTCTGGGTTAGCGGAGTCTGTAACCTGAAGCATCTGTCCCCCGAGGTACCACTGTACAGTCATACCTCATGTTACGTCCGCTTCATGTTACGTTCTTTCAGGTTACATCCCACGGCAACCTGGAAGTACCAGAAAGGGTTACTTCCGGGTTTCACCACTCGCGCATGCGCAGAAGCGCAAAAAGATATCACGCCCATGCGCAGAAGCAGCGAATCACAACCTGCATGTTGTGCTCTTTTCATGTTGCGAACGGGCCTCTGGAATGGATCCTGTTCGTAACCAGAGGTATAATAACAATAACAATAACAACAATAATAATAAATGTGAATGAGGCCTTTATGGACTTAATGTGGACCGTCCTCTTTGAATGGTAAAATGTCTGCATTTTGGGGGCCCTTTCTGCTGAGTGGGGCCAAACCCTCAAGCCCTACCCCTGAAGGCACCACTGCTTATCTGACTCCCATTGAGGCAGTGGCTCTCCTCTGCCTCCCACCTCCTTCCCCTGCTCAGACTCACCCCGGAGCAGCCTTGTGGGCGGCTTCCACAGCATTACGGATGTCTTTGATGCCCCCGTCTGCTACGTAAGCTGCTATCTTGCCAGCGTGGTCAAGGATGGCTCGGGAACTCATGGAGTCTGGCCTCTTCTGCGCACCCCCGTAGTACAGCTTGTAGGTTCGGTCCACACTGCCATCACAGAGGAGAAGGGAAAGGGGTAAAAGCCCAGCATTTTGTGCCCCTAGCTCACTGGGCTGCTTGTTTCAGAGAAAACACCACACATGTCACCTTTCGTCACGAAGTCCAAAACGGCACAGATTTCTTGCTCAGCCCCTACTACACAAACCCCCTAATTCCCGGACTTTTAGTTTGTGAATTAAGATCGCAAGAAAAGGCCTGTGTAACCCTATTCTCACAGTGAATTCTTCCATGGGGAAAAAAAGACACCTTCTCCTCAATTCATCTCTTCAGGAAGCCACCCATTCCAGTGGTTGTGCTGAGAATAAGCACAAAAGAGAAGGTGGAAAGGGCTTGAAAAGGATTAGGGGAAAGAACTCTTGAGGTTGGGCTCAGGGTGGATTTAGTTTAAATCAAACTGATTTAAATCACGATTTAAATCACTAGTCAGTAAGACTTGATTTAAATCATTATTTTTTTCAGAAAGACTAATTCTTGCTAGTATAATCTTAATATTTACAACCAGATAAAGGTTTCATTTTTGGAATAACTAATTTTCAGAGTATTTTTACTGCTATATCAAAAACGACTGATTTGGTTATACTGCTGTATTAGAAATACATAGATAATTATGAAATTATTGTGAGGTTTAATAAGTTAACTATTTATATTTGGACAACTTTTCTTCAGTACTTTCTTGGAAGGAGAAAAATAATCATTTCCTTAATAACAATTTGAACAATTTATTTAACTAAAACAGTAACATTATAGCATATTTATCCATGTTTGTTAACTGATGTGCTTAAACAATTAAAAAAAACCCCTTAGATTTAGTTTTAGCACACGTGAAAAACTTAAAACAAATCCTTATTTCCTGATGAATACCCGTTGGACTACAATGTAACTTAAATAGAAATCTTTCGAAAGACTTCCCCCCCAAAAGCATTTTATTTTTAAAATCTGATTTAAATAAAAAAAATCTGATTTAGATAAAAAGAATGGTTTATTATTATTATTTTTTTAAAAATCATTGATTTTTATCCACCCTGGTTGGGCTGCATAACTTTACCAAAGCAAATTCTCTCCCCCCCCCGCCAAGTTCCTACATTTAAAGCATAATACTGGAGGGGGGGTGGAGTGGGGGCACAGTGAAAGCAGGCACATTCTAGGTGGCAGATTTAAAGCACATTTAAAGCCCCAAAGAATCCTGGGAACTGTAGTTACCCTCTCATAGTGCTGCAATTCCAAGGACCCACGACAAACTACAGTTCCCAGGGTTATTTCTGGAGGGGGGGGGGGAGTCACATGCTTTGAATGCGAGGTTTGGATCTGGCCCAATACACCCTTACTTTGGAATGTTTCCTTCCAGGTCAGACGCTGAGGAATGTGGGACTCTACTGTCTGCAGCAACCGAGGGGATTTCAGCCCCTTGTGAGGTAGCAAAGGTCTTGAAGTCCAGATCCACAGCGCCGGGATGCGGGCGAGCCTGCCAGTTTGGTCTCACGTACTCAAAAAGGCCCTGAGCAAAGAAGATAATAAAATTGAAAAGTCAAATTGTTTTATTTTGTATCCCCGCCCCCCAACGAACCAGAGCCAGACCCCAGAGATCCCTCTGCGCCAGCATGAAGCCAGCTTCTCCAGCTAACCTCTTTGCCTCCGTCTCGGCCATAACCGCTTTCCTTGTACCCCCCGAAAGCAGATGCAGCGTCTAGCATGTTGTGGCCGTTGATCCAGACAGTCCCCACCTGCAAACTGGGGAGGCGGAATGGGAGAGGGTCAGAGAAGGCCGGCCCTGTACACAGGGCTCCTTAAATCTCCTGAGGGAACTCGGGTTCCAAGGCATTTTGGAAAACACCTCACATTTCTCCGCATAGTCCATGCAAAGCCTGGCAGCAGAATGAGACGGAGGCGGCAGAATGGACCGTACCACCTCAGAACACAGGGGCGAAGGGCATTTATCTGCAAGGCAAAACTAGGCACAAAATGGAACAGGATAGGCTAGAGCAGGGGTCAGCAATCATTTTCAGCCATGGGCCGGTCCACCATCCCTCAGACCATGTGCTGGGCTGGACTATATTTTGAAAAAAAATAATAATGAACGAATTCCTATGCCCCACAAATAACCCAGAGATGAAATAAAAGCACACATTCTACTCATGTAAAAACACCAGGCAGGCCTCACAAATAACCCAGAGATGCATTTTAAATAAAAGGACACATTCTACTCATGTAAAAACAGGCTGATTCCCGGACCGTCCGCGGGCTGGACTGAGAAGGCGATTGGGCCGCATCTGGCCCCCGGGCCTTAGTTTGCCTACCCCTGGGCTAGAGCCTTTCTCCCTGCTTTTTTGTTTTACTTGCAGGGAAGATTTTAAAAATAAAATAAAGCAGAAGACCATTAAAAAAAAATGCTATTGCCCACTTGCATTCTGAAGTGAAACATTTCACTCTACCACCTCATGATTCTACCGCCTTGTTCTACTGCAGGCATAGACCAGATCAGAGACAGTCTCCCAGGTGATTTGCAAACTTCTGTGTTAGTGGGGTGGGAAAGGTAGGCTGGAGTGACAAAACCTACCTGTGAGCGACTTCCAGAGCCAGGGGAAGGGTCTCCGTCCACACACTGGCAGCCAACCCATAGGGGGTGCTGTTCCCCAACGCCAACGCCTCCTTGGCTGTCCGGAAATTCAATGATACCAGAACCGGGCCAAAGATCTGGAACACACGAAACAAATTTTGAACAAGAGGAGGAAGGGTGGAAGAGGATTCTAGGATCTGACATGCAGCATACTCCAATCCTAGAATGCAGGCATAGGCAAACTTGGACCTCCAGATGTTTTGGGACTACAACTCCCATCATCCCTAGCTAACAGGACCAGTGGTCAGGGATGATGGGAGTTGTAGTTCCAAAACATCTGGAGGGCTGAGTTTGCCTATGCCTGCATTCTAGGATGCCTAGAATGTCACAAGAAGAAAAGAAAAAACCCTGTCTCAAAAGCTCTTTCACTAAAATATTGAATATTGAAATACTTTATTGTCACTTGTACAACTTGCATACAGTGAGATTACACGAGCACCCCCCACGCAACTCTTAGTCTTAATTCCCCTCGTTTACTGACGCAAACCCACCAAACCCAAAAGTCAGTTGCTCTGTTGTTATCTTTTCATTCAGCAACCTAACAGCCCATGGATAGAAGCTGTTCTTTACCCTGTTGGTGCGACTAATCATGCTTCTATATCTTCTGCCTGAGGGCAGGAGATCAAGAAAGTGCCGGCCAGGGTGTGAATCATCCCTGAGAATTTTCCTCACTCTCTTGAGGCAACATTCTTCCGCTGTTTCATCCAGCGGATTCATGGGATAGCCCATAATATCTTGTGCTGTATTCACCACCCTCTGTAGGCACTTCCTATCAGCTGATGTCAAACGAGCGTACCACACCGTGATGCAGTATGAAAGGACACTTTCTATCGTTGACCGGTAGAAGCAGATCATCAAATGTTGATTGACATCATTCTTTCGCAATATTCTGAGGAGATGGAGTTTCTGTTGGGCTTTCTTAACCACCTGGGTGGTATTTATTTTCCAAGTAAGGTTTTGAAAAACTCATGCAAGATTCCAGTCCTCCTGGTTTGGGAGGATAGAGACAGGACTGGAAGCACGAGAGCAGTGCATGCAGAAAGCTCAAAAATTAAAGTCTTCTGTGGTTGCAAGGCAGGAATTCTTTACGCCATTGCTCTGCGTGGGTCTCTTAATTCCTTAGCAAGGTTTTGCTCTGCTGTCAGGAAGAGAGGAGAGGCCATCTCAGGCAGTAGAGCACGAGACTCTTAATCTCAGGGTTGTGGTTTCGAACCCCACATTGAACAAAAGATTCCTGCATTGCAGGGGGTTGGACTAGATGACCCACGTGGTCCCATCCAAATCTACAATCCTATGATTCTATGAACGAGAGCCGTTCATATTGGCCATCACTTAATTTATTGACGTATTTTCACTTGCTGGAGAAAAGGATGGAAAAAGAGCCGGATTCTTAATCAACCAAGTTTTGTAAACAGACATTCCATCAGTTCTCCTGGACCTAGGATCCCAATCTGGTAGAGAGTCAGTAGAACGGGGCGGACACCCACCCACGTCAACATCAAGGAGAAGAAGTTCCCCTTGCTTTGGCTAACTCTGAGGGGGTTTTTTATAGCACAGAATATGGGAACAGGCCCTGCTAGTTGAAGGGAGATGCCATACAGGGGTGGACTGTCATGTTAGGGCTTTGCCTACTGGGGTGGGAAGGGAATTCAATATGCCCTCTAACCATTAGGCCACACTACCCAATTTAGTTTCTGTTCACTCCATACCAGGGGTTTCCCCAATGGTGGTCAGTGGTCCACAAGCTTCATTCAGGTGGTTTGTGGCATACTTGTAAAAATAAGACTTAAAGATTACACAGCATCCAGCACAGCGCATTGCAATTGCTCCATCTGGCAGAAAAACTATTAAGTGGTACATCAAGACCCTCAGAAGTTTTCAAGCAGGGGAAGAGAGGGAGAAAGTTGGGGCACCACCACTCTTTGATTAACTCATCACCTGCAATTAAATCTTCAACCTTTGTAAGGAGTAGCATGGTGGGGCTTTTTTTGCCTCCTGTCCCTCTCTGTATTACAAGGACCCCTTTGCATTTTTGATTAGGAGGTAGAGAGAGAAACCAAAAGGGAGGGCAGCTGTCACTTCTCTGTCTCAGGAGCTCAGTCAGATATCTTTTTACACCCGCCTGGAGCTTTTCTGGCTGCACACAGTGACGTATTTAACACCACATCCCATGTGCTCCTTTTTTGCTTAATATCCAGTCTGATAAAGGAGTCTTGGTGAAAATTTGCCCACTTTGTTGTTCTAGCCGGTCCTGGGGTCCCTCCATACTGGTGTCTTTCTGCAAGTGTATTCTGCAACGTATCATTGACGCCATAATCGTGCATTAGCATGTCTGCCCCAAAACATTTGCAGACACTAACAGTATTGAAGTGGGACTGCGTATAACCACCTTGATTCCATCATGAGCACGAATTATCATAAATAAAAATAAAAAGGACATCTGAAGTAAAGAGTAAAGTAAAGCAGAGCCAGTGTGGTGTAGTGGTTAAGAGCAGTGGACTCATAATCTGGTGAACCAGGTTCGCTTCCTCGCTCCTCCACATGTAGCTGCTGGGTGACCTTGGGCCAGTCACACTTCTCTGAAGTCTCTCAGCCCCACTCACCTCACAGAGTGTTTGTTGTGGGGAAGGAAGGGAAAGGAGAATGTTAGCCGCACTAAGACTCCTTCGGGTAGTGATAAAGCGGGATATCAAATCCAAACTTTTCTTCTAAAGGTACTATACCATTTCTTTGATAAACAGTATTTTATGTGGTAATACTGATTTCTGCCAAAAGAGGGCTCCCTTCTCCTTTCTCTTATTGGTTAGTTGTCTTTCCTAGACAGGCTCAACAAGTGGACAATTATGAACAAGTAATACATCCCCTGCTTAATCTTTTTTTTGGGGGGTGGGGTGGGGGAACTCACACCAACCAGAAAACTATGGGACTAAAGTCTTGGCAGTCACATCCTCCTACCTCTTCCCTGACGCAACGGGAGGTAGGATACACGCCGGTGATTAAGGTCGGAGGGTAGAACAGCCCACTTGAAGGAAGGGATGCCCATGCCTGGAAAACCTAAAAGGGGAGGGAAATGATTTATTTCTATATATCGCATCACTGAGGTGCCCAAGAGCATAACACAGTTTAAAAAGGCAAAACAATCAGGAGGCGACATATTTTACAAATCCAGGAATAGGCCATGCCAAAAGCATTCTGAAATTGCACATTTTAAAATGTAAAGCTTCTGCTAATTATTTGCTAAGCAGCGTACAGAAAAGAAATCATACAGAACAATAAAATCGTCACAAAACCAAACAGAAGCGGAAACGCTACTGTAAAATGCCTGCTGGAATAATGCTTTGTCACGCGCCTGAGCAAGAGCTACAATTCCCAGAGTGGTTTAACAACTGGCCGCTCTTCAGAGGGAATTCTGGGAGTCGTAGCTCTGTGAGGGGAGACAGCTAACAACTCTCAGCACCCTTAAGAAACTACACCCTGCCCCCGCAACGATTATTTGGGGGACACCATGTCAAGATAGCTCAGGTGGTAATGCATGAGACCCTTAATCTCAGGAACACGGGTTTGAGCCCCACGTTGGGTGAAAGATTCCTGGATTTCAGGAGGGTTGGACTAGATGACCCTCGGGTCCCTTCCAGCTCTACAATTCTCCGATCCTCTGAGCCATGTCTGTTTGAAGTAGCATCGCAACACTTTAAACATATGGTGTGCGTGTGGCCTTAAAGACCACCCCCCCCCTTCTCCAGAAGCCCCAAGAGGCCCAAGCCCCTCACCTCAGCGCCTTCCGCTCGAGCTTCCTCCACCAGGCCCTCGATGGCGTGCCGCTGCTTCTCGCTGACCAAGGCTCCCAAGTCCACGGCCTTGTCCAGAGAGTCCCCCGCGCGGAGCTGCCCCATTCGGCGCTTCAGGCGTTGAACGAAGTCTTTGGCAATGGATTCCTGCAGGAGCAGCTGAGACCCAGCACTCTGGGCCTGAGGAAGAGAGGAAAATGCCAACATCTTGAGGGAATTGATTTAAACCGAATTAATACTCCCCCCACCCCCCAAAAAAACCCCCTGTTACACTCTACAGTGGTACCTCGGGTTACATATGCTTCAGGTTACATACGCTTCAGGTTACATACTCTGCTAACCCAGAAATAGTGCTTCAGGTTAAGAACTTTGCTTCAGGATGAGAACAGAAATCGTGCTCCGGTGGTGCGGCGGCAGCAGGAGGCCCCATTAGCTAAAGTGGTGCTTCAGGTTAGAACAGTTTCAGGTTAAGAACGGACCTCCGGAACAAATTAAGTACTTAACCCGAGGTACCACTGTATGTGGTAACACCTGCCCAGCTTTGGAGAAACATTTTCTCTTCCACATGGCTTAAAACCTGACAGAATTCCTACTACATCAGGGGTGAGGAAGCTCTTTAAACCCAAGGGCCACATTCCTTTCTGGGCAACCTTCCCAGGGCCACACGCCAGAGGAAAAAAGGGAGTGGAGCAAACTTCGTAGCGAACAGTTCTTTCTACACAGATCCACACACATCCCTCTCTATCCTCCATCCAGGCAAGGAAGAAGCATTATCCAGAGTTCAAGGACTTCATTCCAGTCAGGCAAAAACGCTCAAGGGGTGGGTGGGAAGTAGGGTCAATGTTGCCTGAAGGAGGGAGTGTGGCCTGGAAAGAATCCCGAGGGCCAGACCGAGAGGCTTGGGAGGGCCGCGTTCAGCTCCCACTCCTCAGCAAGAGCCAAAACGCCTACCAGAGGCCTGGCAAAATTTAGGGGCTGCCCCAGACCCGCAGGCTACTAGGTGCCAACTCTGTGGTAGAAAGGAAGGGCCCCCAGCAGTATGTTAATTCAATAAATAATAATAATAATTTAAAAATGCCAGTTCTAGACCTCAGTCTGCCTACCCCCAGTTCAACCTACCTGCCCCCAGTTCTGCCAGACGGCATCTACTAGCCCGTCGACAGCGCTGTCCAGGTCAGCCGAGTCAAAGACGATGAAGGGCGACTTCCCTCCGAGCTGCAGAGACAGCTTCTTGCCAGTCCCAGCGGTGGCCCGGCGCAGGCTGCGGCCCACCTGAAGCGATAGCAAAGGGACTGTGCACATGAGAACACGGCTTTGTGCGTATTTAAGGCGGCACACTTGTTTTAAAATATTCATGGGCCGCCTTTCGGAGCATCACTTTGTCAAGGCCGAACAATTTAGAATTCGGCATTGGAAATAGCAAGCCCTACATATAACTCTCTATCAACGTTTAATCGGTAATGGGCAGCAAGGCGGGGCTGTGATGCTCACCCGGCCTCCCACCATCAGAGTCGCTGTAGCACACTGAGGTGGAGAAGGGGAGAGGAGTGGTTAGCGCGGTGAATACCTGCTGGCAGGAGCACCGGATTGGCTCTGCCACGGAATTTGCCCTGCGCCAACCTTGCTGCCCCTCCTCCACCTGGTGTGCAGAAGCAACCCAGCAGGAAAGAAGCCATGTGAACAGCGCTGGCTGCTACTGCATCAAAAACGTAGGAAATGGAAAAGCAAAATTTCTGCAAAGCCATCAGCTGCAAAGGAGCATGCTAACTGCACTCATGCATAAGCCGCAGGGACAGAATGTTGCAGCTCTCTGAAGGGTAATGGATACCGGAATTGTAAGGCCCCAGACCAGGGCTATTGTAAGCCACTTCTCTGAGGGGAGAGAAGCACTCACCTCGGCAGAGCCAGCAAAGGCCACTTTGTCAATGCCTGGGTGGGCGACCAAAGCTTCTCCCAGACCCTGGTCGCCTGTGATGACGTTGAGGACCCCCGGAGGGAGCCCAGCCTGGGCGCAAACCTCAGCCAGGAGCAGAGCCGTCAGCCGGGTAGTGCTGGCTGGTTTCAGGACTATGGTGTTTCCTATATGGCAAGAAACGAGGGGCAGGTTGAGGGGAAGAGTGAGAGAGAAAAGGAGAAGATGTGAAGAAGAAAGCAAAGGAAATATCCAGCTTTGTAGTCTGCACTCCACCCTGGTCAACCAAGGAAAGAGAGCAAAGACTAGAATCACACATTCCGGTCCCCCGTTTTCTGTTTACAACCTCGCTTGCTAGGGCTGCAAGAAGGCACATTGTTTTCCCTTCAGCTGGAACTAGGAGGTTCACATCCATATGGGGACGCAGGAAGGCGACCAGTCAAAACTGGTGAAAAGCACTCCAGGCCACAGAGGCCACTTGTGCCTCACAGGGGTGTCAATTTGAATAAAAAATTGGGGGCCCCCAGTAAAGCCCTGCATAATTGATCACCAGACATGCTGCATGAAAGGCAATGCTCAACAACTTTGTGGGGGGCTGGCCCCCTCAAATATTTTATTGGGGAGGGGAGCCGAAGGGACCTTGGCCCCTAGGAGTTGGCTCCTATGTTCCAGGAGTTATCCCAATGGAATACACCGTGCCCTGATATTTTACAGCTCCAGTTTCCACGTCTCTGTTTTTTTTAATAGTGGAAAAATAAGCCAGCATGTCAATGCAATATAAACCATTTTTATGCCGTTGACTTGGGAGGGCGCCTGCTAAAGGTTTGCAAAAGTATGAAATGGTGGGGGAAAGGTGGGGAGGGCGAGAGATTCTCCCACTCTCCACGTCCCCACTTGTCACTAGAGCTCAAGAAAACTGACAGAACCGTGGAGCCTTCTTCCAAGTCGGCCGGCGAGCTGAGCCGAGATTTGAACCCGAGTCCCACCAGCTCTAGTCCAACCGCTGTGCCACTTTTGTCACTTTTCTCAGGGTCAACAGATGCTCCCACTGCCCTCCCTCCATTTCACATACCCATGGCCAGCGCCGGACACACCTTCCAAGTCAGAGTCAGCAGCGGGAAACTCCTGGGAATGAGAGCTGCCACGACACCTGTTGGAGGGAAGGTTGGGTTTTTATTGGACCTCTGGGCACAGTTAGAAACCGCAGTGTTAAAAAAACAGGGAGGGGGCAGTGAGCTGAGGTGCTGCCATGTTCAGCGGGGAAAGGCGGGGCAAAGGGGAGGGGGGTGGAGGCCCCTCTCTGCCCTGGGAAGACTATCCAGCCCCTCCAACTCACCGAGAGGCTTCCAGCCCTTCATCTCCACCTCCATCAGCTGGGCCCAGCCGGCGTGATGGTAAAAATGGCGGACGACCAAAGGCAGGTCTGCATCTCGGGCTTCCCGGATCAGCTTCCCGCTGTCTAGGCTCTCGAGGAGACCAAGGAGCCGCTGGTGTTTCTGGATGGTCCTGGCCACGCTGGGGAGAGGGGGAAGAAGAGATGGCTACCAGTCAAGTGAAGGTGGGCCTCAGAAAATACCCAAAGGGCCTTTGTATGTTTCACAGTAAAAAGAGGGAGCCATGACACCTTAAGAGAGGAATAGGAAGCAGGTCACCTGTTTATGTGAGAGATGAGCATCCCAAATGCTAAGTACAGTGGTACCTTGGGTTAAGAACTTAATTCGTTCTGGAGGTCCATTCTTAACCTGAAACTGTTCTTAACCTGAGGTACCACTTTAGCTAATGGGGCCTCCTGCTGCCGCCGCACAATTTCTGATCTCATCCTGAAGCAAAGTTCTTAACCCGAGGTACTATTTCTGGCTTAGCGGAGTCTGTAACCTGAAGCATTTGTAACTGGAAGCGTCTGTAACCCGAGGTACCACCATAAAGGGCTGATACTCACAAGGGTTGCAACATTCCAAGAAAAGACCTTGTGAGGTCCGATACCTTGTGCCTGAGGCAGTTGTGTAAATTGACACAGCTATACCTGCTAATAACAGTCTTTTTGTGTTGTTAAGAGCAGGTGAGCAGTAGGCCTGCTCTGTTCTGCCGCTGCCTGCCTGGGAATTAAGTCCGTGTCTGTAAGAACGCTAGTCTTGCTGATAAATCTATATAACAAATTAGTAACGTAAGTAATACCTGCTTGCCTTGTACGTGTATATTGAATCTAACAAGTGCAAAGGGCACTGTGAGCAAAAGTTATTGCTATCCAAACTTTGAAAGAGTGTCTTGCACAGTTTTTATAGGAGGGAACAAAAGAAGCCTAGGAAAAGTTTTCACGAGTCAGAAAAGGCTGGCCACTTACTTGTACAGGTGCCGGGCCCGGACATGGCCAGGGAGCTGGCTCCAGGTTTCGAACGCTTTAGTGGCAGCATCAACCGCTGCGTCCACGTCTTCTGTGCTGCCCTGAAGGGTGGTGGCCAGTGGCTCCCCTGTGGGGTGTGGAAGAAAGGAGAAGATGTCTCTCTCACCACTCCCAGGGCTGGTTTTATAGCAAATCGTAAACTCTGCAAAGGCATCAGCACAATGTGGAAGGAAGGATGCAGACGCCTTTTCAGGGATGGGGAATCTGCAGCCCCTCCAGATGTTGTTGGAATGCAATTCCCAGTATCCTTGATCAGGCTGGCTGGGGCTGACGGGAGATGGAGCCCAACAACTTCTGGAGGGCCGCAGCTCAGCCCTGTTTTAAGCTAAGAAGAATCTGGTAGTTGAAGACGACGATAAAGACAAAGAAGAAGGAGAGAGAGAAAAGAGGGTTCTAGTCCTCACTATTTTGGTCAAAGCAGTAACAACCTCTCCAATTTGGAAACAAGAAGGGCAGTGGAGGTGCCACTAGGCCCCTGGAAAAAGACTAGACCTGGGTAATATCAATACTCAGAAACAGCCTTTCAGCCTCAACTTACCTTGGTTAATAGCTCTGCAATGTGTTCCCCGCCCATCCTAACCTTCCCTGCCCAATCCATGCCAATGCAGCTCTCAGAACCAAGATATGCAAATAGAAAACAGCTTGGATCTAACCATTACTACCAACAGAAGATTGGGGTATAGGAGGTTCCTTTGCCAATTCCCCTCCCCCCCCCGCAACACTTTCTGCCATCCAAAAACCTGCTCCAGAGGGTTGTTGGGGTGGGGTGAGGTACCCTCTGGAACAGGGTAGGAGGTGGTGCTGGGGACTGAAGGGGGAGCTTCCCCGCCTCTTTCCACCAGGAATATTCCCACTGCTAGATCCCACTGCCTTGTATGGATGGAGGGCAACATCTAGAGCCAAGCCACTGTTTGCACAGATAGCTTTTTCATCTTTGAACATCACAGGAACTGAGCTTTAAAACGAAGAATAACAGACAGCCCCATCAGACACCCCTGCAGCTTTTTGGAATTCTATGTTAAAAAGAAAAAAGCAGCGTCAGATTCTGTCTCTTAAAAAACCAGGAATATTAATCTGTTTGACAATTTGACTATCTGACAGCATCTGAAACAGGAATGGACAGAAGGCAGTTTGGGATCCACTGGGAGACCCCTGGATGATCTGCAAGAGACCTTTTGGATATTGTGGTGTTATTGCAATGCACTCTGCCTGCATGAGGCTGCTCTTGAAGACAACTCAGGAAAAGCCATTTGACAGAGATGCAGTGGACAGGTTACTGGCTGGAGTTCCATCGAGATCTCTGTTTTAAAACAGCTGCCTTGGCTGCCACTTTGTTTCTGGGCCCAATTCAAAATGCTCACATTAGCCCTAAACAATTCAGGCCCCACACAGACTCCCTCTTTCCCTACAGAGACCCTCATGGGTGTAAAAATCAGTGGAGAAGCTCTTTCGGTTGTCTACAGAAGAAGAAGAAGAGGCGTTTGGATTTGATATCCCACTTTATCTCTACCCAAAGGAGTCTCAAAACGGCTAACAATCTCCTTTCCCTTCCTCCCCCACAACAAACACTCTGTGAGGTGAGTGAGGCTGAGAGACTTCAAAGAAGTGTGTCTAGCCCAAGGTCACCCAGCAGCTGTATGTGGAGGAGCGGGGATGCGAACCCGGTTCCCCAGATTACGAGTCCACTGCTCTTAACCACTAAACCACACTGGCTCTCTAGCTTCCCCAAGAAGCTTGGGGAGGGGGCAGGGGAGGGCATGCTCTGTGGCAACCCCTAAGCTGTGGAGCTCATCTCATCTGCCTCTACCTGTGGTAGGATTCTTGGTGGTGCAGGTCTCCCTTCCGTCCGGCTTCAGCCATTCTCCGCCTATGAAATGCCCGAAACTACGGCCGTGGGATTCCAGCCATGTCTAAAAAGTAAGGGGGTGGGGAGAGAAAACGAAAAATTAAAGGGACACCCAGGTTTGTGTACTCCATCTTTCTTCTTTTCAAACAGAGCTTAAGAACTTGAATGTTTCTCCAGAAGTGTGCTGGGCTTTTAAAACCGCTGCCGTATTTATTTTGCAATTGGATGCTTCTGCATGTCTTTAAGAAAGTAGTTTAACTGTGCCTGTAAGGCTGCATAAGCCCTTCTTAAACAAGCAAACAGAAGATGTCTTCCCCACATTCTTCCTCGCATACAAAGCAATGCCGCTTTCAATATATGGCCACAGACCCTCCAAGTGTCCCTATTTTCCAGGGACGTCCCTGATTTAGAGAAGCCATCCCAGTTTCTTATTTGATCCCAGAATGTCCCACTTTTCTTCAAGAAGTCCCTATTTTCATTGGAGAAATGTTGGAGGGTCTGGAGCTATCTGATCCCCGATCCCCGGCAATCCTGTATAGGTAAGTTTTGTTAATGTTTAATGTTTAATTATGTTTTTATATGTCGGAAGCTATCCAAAGTGGCTGGGGGTCCCCAGTAACATGTGTGGGTATAAATGGTAAACTTATCATTGTGGAATGGGATGTCCCTATTTTCACGGGAGAAATGATGGAGGCCGTGTGCCAGCAGCAATTCACAGGAAGTATTCATCCATCCCACCCCACAACCGAAAGTACTGCAATATGCAAATCTATACAGACCCAAGCTATTAATTAATGGATCCAATCAGCTAAAGCTTAAACGATTAATCAACCAACAGCACAATCCTGTGCAAGCTAATTTGGAACTAAACCAGAGCTTATTTTTAGGTCGAGTGAGCAAAGGACAGCAGTGATGGAACTCCTTAATCAAGCGAAGAAGAGGCCATAGCTCAGTGGTAGAGCATCTGCTTTGCATGCAGAAGGCCCCAGGTTCAATCCCCGATATCTCTGGTCAGAAAAGAGCCCTGCCTGAAACCACTGGTAGTAGACAATGCTGAGCTAGATCAGCCAAGGGTCTGAATCAGTGGAAGGTGACCAACAATGATGCTAGACCCTGGCAGGAGAGGGACAGCCAACCACATGCTTTGGTTCAAACCCTGGTTGAGAGCCAGTGATGGGGAAAGACCACTGACACCCCCCCAGGGGCTGCCAGACAGAGCAGACAATACTGGGCCAGGTGTAGGGACAGGAGGATGAATTTGTTCAGTCTACACTTCAAGCCTAATTTGCTAAACCTGAACTTAGGCTAGGTACACAACATACATTTAAAGCACCGACACACAGACACAGACACAGACACAGACACACACCAAGAATCCTGGGAGTTGTAGTGTATCCCTCAGTGTGCCACAATTCCCAGCATCCTTAAACTACAGGATTATTGGGTGTGTACGCTTTAAATGTGCTGTGTGTATACAGCAATTTATTTGGATGGAAACACAGCTATCGATAGGATTAAATCTGTGATGCGGTTTTGGTTCAGAAAATGTGCAAAAAAAATAAAAAAATAAAAAGAGGCATATTTTCTGGAAAGGAATACACAGAAAAATGTGTATTTTTTGGAAATGCATGTTTTTAAAATGTGGGTTTTGGGTGCGCTTCTTTTTATAAAAAACGATCCACAAAAACCGGGAAGACAACTGAACACACGGAAAACTGAACACAGAAGACAGATGGGCTGGTGGATAAACACCCTGGTATTGAGGCATCCTGCAAGGGCCCTGAGACTTGTGCCATCACTGGGTCGGCCAAAGGCTTCCAGCCGATTGCGCCCCAGACCATCCTCTGGATTTGATGAGGCAGGAGGGAGTTGCAATGTGCGCGGCTTAGAGACCACAGGAGGAGACATAAGTCCAGGGGTGTTAACCTGAATGCTCAACTTTTCATTTACCTACTCAAGGGTCTACAGGCTGTTCCAGCTATAGGTGGGTGAATGCATGCATGCTCTCTCTCTCACTCGCCCTTCCTATTGTGGGCTGTTGTTTGGTCATTATGTGCTTGCTGTATTTTGACAGATCCACCTGCCTCTGCACACCAGAGACAGAGACTCAACCACATTGGCAAGGTCACTTCAAAAAGAACACGTCTAGAGAAAGAAATAATCTACTGCCACAATGATTACATGGGTCTCTGCTTTCTTTTTTGTTCACAGCCCCTACTTATATTTTGTTTAAACGATCAAGGGTTTTAAGGCTACAGCCATTCATGGAACTGCCAATCACAACAGAGGCTGGCCCTTTAAGGCCAGTGGGGCACTGCCCCACCAACCTCCCTCTGCCCTTCCCCACCTGCCTGCCTTCTTACTGACAACAACCAGTCCAGAGGATGGCCTCCTCCTCCTTAGTCTCAGTGTTGGCCCTTATAGAACTCAGCAGGAAGAGGAGGGCAAAAGCAGAATCAGCTGGCCTGCCATTGTCTCTGGCGCCACCTACTGACGGACTCCCTGCCTTCCGCCCTACCGACACAATGGGCACCAACCACTGATGACTTATAACCCTGAGATCACTGGTTAAGAGGCTTTTAGAATGTTTTCAGATTTTTTCCAAAAGCTGTTTTCATGGTTTAATTTTAAAAGGTTTTATTGCTGCTGTGCCTGCTGCTTGGGGCTCCTTCAGGAGTAAGGGCAGGATATCTCTCAAATAAATAATAGCAATAAGATCAGAGAGGCCCTAAGAAAGGGCACTTTGGTGATTCTAAGGAACTGGAAAAAAATGACTTAGGGTGGGGACTGGGGATCTGGACTCCTGGGTTCTCCGAAAAAGGAGCAGAGGTCCTATCAGGCTGCTACAGTGCAGGCAACCTTTAAGAGGAGGGGCTCTTGAACGCTGGTGTCTTTCCGAGGTCCTCCTTCAGGGTCCTTGCAGAGCTCCCTGCTCCAGCTCTCCTCCTTGACTTGCCGAGGCCCATCTGCCTCCCTGCCATCTCCAGCTGCCTCTCGCTCCTTCTGGCTCTTGGCCCACATCTGCCGGATCCAGTCCATCTCGGCTGTCCACAGCCTCCGGTCCTTCTCCCGCTGGGCTTTCTCCTCCTCCCACAAGCCCTGGAACAGCTTCTCCCTCTCCCGGAAGTGTGCCCGGATGTCCCGCACGAGATCATCAAACTTGTCGTCCCGGGGCCTCTTCCTCCTGTTGCGGAGCTGAGCCAGCTTCTCCCGGGTGCTCAGCAGGGTCCGTGGCCTGGAGAAAACTGCAGGGGGAAGGAGTTATTTAATTTTTGCAACATGCTTTATGTGGGGCTGCCCTGGTACCTGCTCTAGAAGCTGCAGTTAGTGCAAGGACTGCTCACAGCAGCAAGCTACCAGAAACATGTTCCTTATCTGCAGAGGATCGCTGTTGCCAATTTGCCAATGGGCCAACTCTGAGGTTGTGGTGCTGAAAGCCCTAAGGAGCTTGGGCCCAAACTCAAGCAGACAGCTATCTCGAAGCTGGATAGCTCAGTTGGTTAGAGCACATTGCTCACAATGCCAAGGTTGTAGGTTTGATTCCCCATAAGGGGCAGTTGCATATTGCTGCATTCCAGGAGATTGGACTAAATGGTCCTCAGATTCCCTTCCAACTCTATGATCTCTATATGCGATATCACATACCCTACCCAGCCCAATGCCACCATTGGGGGAATAAAGCATCACAGATTCTATATGAAATAGCACCACCATCAGGTCAGCTGACAAAACTACACATAAACCAGGATAAAATCCAACCCATCTCTAAGAGGCAAACTAAGGCCTGGGGGCCGGATACGGCCCAATCGCCTTCCAAATCTGGCCTGCAGACAGTCTGGGAATCAGTGTCTTTTTACATGAGTAGAATGTGTCTGTTTATTCAAAATGCATCTCTGGGTTATTTGTGTGGCATAGGAATTTTGGTTTTTTCCCCCCTTCCAAAATATAGTCCGGCCCCCCACAAGGTCTGAGGGACAGTGGACCGGCCCCCTGCTGAAAAAGTTTGCTGACCCCTGGCTAAGAGCCTCAGTGCGGTACAGGCAACTGCTGATCACTTCGACTTGCCCGTTTACCTCTGGCAATTAAATAATAATAATTGTGTAAAGTTGAGGAGGGTTGGTTCTTTTTCTCTTCCTCTATTCTCCAGACCAACAGCTTGCCCACATGGGTTACATGGATTAAGTAACCTGCAAGGCTGCTTTTATGAAGCGTAGCTGTGAATTGTAGATTCCTTACATTCTCCCAGAAAATATTTAAGAATTGGAAAGCAGTCCAATCACACCCCAAGTGGCATTATATTGATTTTATTAAAAAGAGCAAGATGCAAGACGGAAAACAGTGGGGCAAGAATGACCTCATAAAGACGCAGTTGGTTCATTCATCCTAAGAGGCCCCTGTGCCTCTTTGCTTCTTAGACAAGCTTTGTACATAAGCCCACTAACGTTATTAGCCTGCCTAAAACAAATGTACTAGCCTTGAGGGTGGGGAGGGGAGATATAGAGAACCCCACCCTCCTCCTCCAGAAGCAGACTGCATTTCTGTGAAGGGGCTTCCTTCATCTGGAAGCTTGTCTTGTTCCTACACTGGGCACAGAGGATGGATGAGGTTCCATCACTTCTTCACCAACCCACTCACTTGCCTGCCTTCCCGTCCTTGTTGCCCAAGGCGAATGGGTAAGGCTCTATTTCGCATTCCAATGATATTCCACTTACTCTGATCATCCAGATATAATACAGTAGCAAAAACAGACCATGGAGTAACAAACTGATACCATGAACAGGATGCAAAATTGTGGTTTTTTTAAAAAAAGAGTGATTTCAGGATATTGGCTGGGATATTAATAGGTTGGTATTTTTTACGTTTCCTGGTTTTTAGCCTGGATCGGCTCCAACACACATAGATATATCAGGAAAGCTTTCAGGATTTTAAGTTCAGCATCCCTTTGCCCATCAGAGCCCAGTAGCCAGCACATGTCTAGGTTCCTATTATGAGAAAAAAGACTAGGCAGAGACCAGTTCGAAGGAAAAGGTTATGGGCCAAGATTCCTGGGGGCACAGATTCCTTTTTATACCGAGTCTGACCCACTGGATGTGTCTAGCTCAATACTGTCCACACTGACTGACAGTAGCTCTCCAGGTTATGAGACAGAAATCTTTCCAGCATTACCTGGAGATGCCGTCGACCAAACCTGGGACCTTCTGCTATGCAGAGCGGATGAATGACCACTTAAGCAACTCAGTGCCCATGGAAAGGAGGGAGTTTGAAAGCCAGACAGGAATCCTGGGCATTCTGGAAGGTGGCGATGCCTAGCAGTTGTCAGCAGGAAGGTGAAGGAAGGACTGCTTGGGAGCCTTAGGAAAGGGATGTAGTGCTTTTGGAATCCTGAGCCTCAAGAAAGGTAGAGGTGGCCAATAGTGTCAAGCCAGATAACCAGGAAGGCGGGTGGGTGATGGGTGGGAAAGAAGCTGCCAAGATTTCCTGGGTTCTCCAGTAGGAAGTGGGTTTAGCAGGGATGCCACGTTGGGAAGGTGGGTGCAGGAAAAGGGTCAGGTCATCAGGGTTCCCGGGCCAGGCAGAAAGAAGCCATTTATTGGGGAAACCTTGGGAGTGGAAATGTGGGAATGCAATGAGAGACAGGATTCCTGGCTTCAGTGTCATTAGGAACAGAGTGCAAGGCAATTCTGACAACCTGGGCATCAGGGCTGCAGCACCAGGGGAGGGCCGGATAGAAAAGGGCTGAGGATCAGAACACCTGGGTTCTCTGGAGAGTAGCCACGGGATATGTATATATAAAATCACGTGTCACATATATTCCTCCTCCCCGTCCCATCCAAAAACTCCACCTCTCGCTCCACTCACCTCTCCGGTTCAGCGCTGGTCTCCAAGGAGCCTCTAAGTGCACCCGGCTCTCCCGGCGAAAGAGAGGCTGGTCCGCCCCGCCGGGGGTCTCCACGTGGGCGTCCTCCTGACCGTAGAGGTAGGCTCCCCCTCCGCCCCGGAGGCCGCTCTCTTCTCTCCCGGGACTTTTCTCCTCCTTGACGATGCCGCCTGCCACGTGGTGGTGGAGGGCCGGGTCCTCGGAGTGGAGCAAGCCCCCGACCCCTGCCTGGGAGGAGGACGACGACGAGGCGGCGGCGGCCGCTACCGCGGAGGAGGAAGGCTCGCCCTGCGGATCCCCGTCGCTGCCGTCGGTCACCGACACCTGGGTCCACGCGTACTCGTCCTCGTGGAGCTCGGGGTCGAGCTCGGGGTCGCTCTCCTCCTTGATCACCACCTGGCACCAGGGCGCCGCGCCTCCGCCCCCTCCGTTGCCGCTGCCGCTCCCGCCGCTGCCCAGGATGGCGTCGAGTTCGTGGAAGAAGCGGCACCTCTGGCGGGCGATGCCGTCCTGCAGCTTGGCTTGCTTGTAACTCTTCTTCAGGTCTTTGCCTTTGGTCCGGCACTGGTCCTCGTCGCGGAAATAGCCTTTCTCCGCCATCCGCTCCGAGATCCACTGGTAGACGTCGGCATTCCGGTGGCAGCGGTTCAGCTGCGTCTGGATCCCTTCCTCCCCCCACAGGGCGAGGAAATCCAGCGTCTCCCGGTGGCTCCAAGTGGCTGCCCGGGTGCGGGGCACTTTGGGGCGATCCGCGCTCTTGGGGCCCAGGAAGGAAGAAGGGGAAGGCGAGGACATGCCCGCGATGGGAAAGGACCGGCGATTATAATAATAATTATAATAATAATAATAAAATAATAATAGCAATCATATAATAAAATGAAATGGAATAGGGGGGTCCCCCCAGCTCGGTTTAATGAGGAGCCTAACCCCGGTGCACGCTGGGATACAGCCCCCTCCCTAACCCAGAAGACCGAGCGAGGCGGAGTAAGAGGGGCGGGTACCTCCGCGGTAGCACGTAACCCGAGGTGGGACTTACCACGGGCGCGCTGGCCAATGGGCGCGCAGTATGCATATGACCCTGATTCAAATCGGGCCGCTCGGCCACGCCTGTTGGAAGAGAACCTCTCTTTGCCCCCGCGAAGCAGAGAGCGGGGCGCTGAACCTCCCGGGGAACCCAGGAGTCCGAGCGCATCTTCGTCTACCTCGCCTCCTTTGGGCGCTCTGCTCATTCAACGCAGCAGATCCCTGCACGGCACGGACTGGTCCCCCCCCCCCCAAGGTTAGCTAGTCTAGCTGCAGCCCAGCAAGATAGCAAGAAAAGCATAGTTTGGGGCTTGCATATCCGCAGCATAATCCCCCCAGTTAGTTCCTGTGTTCTCTCAAGGGGCGGAGAGGATGTCCTACACGGGGTTGGGATGCAGAGGTGCATTGACATTCAGACGAGACGAGAGAGAGAGAAAGGAGCGAAGCGGGAGCTTTGGCAGGATTCGAGCACGGGCGAGACTTTGCTTCCCATTCTAAGGTTGTTTTGTGCACTGCAGCAAGGCTCGGCCGGACTCCTGGGTTCTACAGGGGATCCCAGCTCTCTTAGTTAGAGCTGACTTTGCAGCACGCGCAAGTTCTTCCGCGTCCCTTTTCCTAAATGCAGACTTAAATAACAGTAATAGTTGAAACGTGCCGCCGTGAAGAGGGAGACCTTTGGAGCTCGGATGGTCAACGACACCCACGTGAGAGGCGGCGAGTCCAGCCAGAAGACCGCTGGCTCAGCTGAGGAGCGAAGGTCAGGGTTGGAGAGCGGCGGGGAAGAGAGGGGCAAAGGCCAGGGCAAAGGGCGGCGGGCTCTGGGGAAGGAAGGCAGACCCTCCCCATGACCTTCCTGTTTGCAATCTACTCCTGCTCCCGCCCTGCTTACTAAATAGCCTTTGCTTTTGAAGAAAAGAAATCCACACCTTCCTCCTCTTCCAACATCTCCCTGAATTCCTAACCCCCACCGGATCCCTCTCCCGCGCTCTCCTCTTCGGGGACCCAGGCGTCCGGGGGGCGCCTCCCAGCCTGCTTCCCTTACCTGGGCTGCCCCAGTGCCCTCTGGGACAGGCCCATACTCCATGGAGCTGTAGATATCGGGCACTGAAGGGGCCCCACGCCTGCCGCCGCCTCCCGCCGCTGCTGCTGAGCCAGCCATGGGCACTAGTTGGGCTGCTTCCCCCTTGGCAGTTGGACTAAGCACCAGCCAGGCTAAACATTCAGCCACCCGCCCCCTTTAGGGCGGCACTTCCGGACTCCTGGCTTCCATAGAGACTGAGAGGTGGAGAGAAGGGACGCATTGGCACCATAGAGATGGAGAGGGAAGAGGTATATTGCTATCACAGAGCTGGGGGGGGGGAAGAGAAAAAGTCTTTGTAACCTTTTAAGAATTCTTATAAACTTTCATGACTACAGACGAGGCTTCCTGGTTACTTTTTATTTTGTTTACCAGAAAATGAAATGCATAACAAGGAAAACCCTCCAACATTGAGGTTGCATCTTCTTGGTTACTTTTGAAAGCTGTTTTGTTTGCTAGTTGGGACTATAAATATCAGCTAACCTTCGGAATCAACAGCTAAATCCAGGATTTTGGCGTGAATGGGATTGATTGGCCAGAGGCTATTGCCTTACCCTTCCCCACCCCCTGCCCCCCACTCCAAGAGAAGAAAAACCAGAGCTCAGCCTTACAGAGAAATCCAAGGTTCCCTGGTAAATGTGTATAGGATTTAACCTTTATTATCTCAACACTGCAGGTTACAGGGGAGGAACTGAGAGATAGAGAGGAGCCTGCAATGTATTCTAAGATTCTTACATACTTAGGAACATATACCAAAGCCTGGCTATTGGTGTAGTTGAAGAATCTGGTTTGTTATATAAATGGTGTTTTATATTAAAATGCTTGCATTGCCCCAACAGCATTTAAGGAAATAACCCCCCCCCCAGTATTAGCATTAAAACAAAATAAATTAAACGCAACAACAAATTGCTGCTCTTCCATGACACCAAAAGCTCACTCTTGTCTAATAGCGCGCCCAGCCCCGCATTAATCCAAAGGACAACCCCGAATCTAACCGGATGTTTGAGACGCTAGTCTAACATTTGTCTGACCTCGCGTCCTTAACTCTATGGAGTTCCTGCATCCTCAATACAGAGCGCAGAGATAGGAAGCCTATGAGAAAGAGGCAAAGAGAACTCGACTTCCGGTCCCGCTTCTCCGCAAATCGAACCTTCTGGCGCCCGCGCGTGTCGTCGCTTCCTTCGCCTCGGAGCCGACGACAGACAGATATATAAACTAGCAACGATACCAAGGTAAACATGACCCTGGAAGCTATGATTTTTGAAAATCGTTATTTATAGATCATGTGCATGGGACTTGGGAAGAGGAGTGGCATTAAAGTTCATGGCGTATAGAGAGGCAAGTATTTCTCTCTCTCCCCCCCCCGCACTTCCAGTCCGTTGCTGTAACCATTAGGCACTATTTCCTCCCGTCCTTTTCTCGGTAGTCAGTACAGCTAAGGTCGGGAGTCGTTGCCATAGCAACAACGGAAGTTTGATCCGTTGATTGGAAAGGAAGTTCGATTTGGCAGCGGCAGGTGCGGGATCTTGATTCCTGGAAGGGGAGATCTTAAAAGGGCCCCCCCCCTTTTTTATTTTTGGAGACAGCAAAGCGTGAAGCTGAGATATCACGAGCTTGTATTCAAACCCAGCTTCAGCCAAGTAGCCTTGGTAGCCCTACTTCACAGGGTTGTTTTCTTGAGGATGAAGTGGAGAGTTGAGAAAACGTCATCTCCTTGCGCTGGTCTCCTTGGAGGGAGGGTGTAGCAGCAAGTCTGGGGGGGGGGGAGCAGTGAGTTGGGACCCTTGAGGCTTGATTTTGGTTTAGGGTGTGTGTTAAAGTTAAATCTTAAAAGTTAAGTCTTTCAGCAGAGAAAATTTTATTGAATTAGATGCCTGCAATATGGAAATTATCAACAGGACAACGGAAATGGTTTTTCCGTGCCCTAATGGCGGCCAAGAGATTGATATTGAGGTTTTTTTGGGGGGGGGGAATAAAATATATGATACCTTTCAATCAATGGGCTGATGATATGATATCACTGGCAGTTTATGAGCGGAACTGCTTACAGCAGCAGACCCTGTATGGATAACCATAATAACATTTGGAATGAGTTTATACAAAATGTAGTAAGCTATTAGCATTTCCATAAGCACTAGGACAATAACAATAACACTATACCAATTTATACAAGAACGTATATCATATATTGCTTTTGGGGGTATATTTTCGTTTTTATATGTATCTTTGCTGATGTTTTTCTCCTCACATTTCCTTCTTTTTTCCTGTATCACTTTATTTCTTTTAACTGAAATCACCTTTATAAAATATAAATATTAAACTCTGCAGGGTCCAGCTAGCACCACCATGGCATCTGTAGCTGACACATCCCTGTTATCAGCCGAGCTGCAGGAGGAGGAGGAAGAGAAGGAGTTCCAACGTCTTCTACTCCAGGTCTGCATGAAGGCCTGTGGTGGGGGTGGGGAGGAAAAATTGGGGAGCGGGGACCATGTGTAGCTGATGGACTCTCCTCTAGGCCCCATCTGCACTATGCATTTAAAGCTGTTTCATACCACATTAAACAGCCATGGTCCCCTACACCCCCGATTCCTGGGAAGTATAGTCTGTTAAGGTTGCTGAGAGTTGTTAGGAGACCTCTGTTCCCCTCATAGAGCTACAATTCTCAGATGATTTAATAACCAGCTCTTATTCCCAGGGAACTCAGAATTGTAGCTTTGTGAGGGAAAGGGGGGTGTCGCCTAACAACTCTCAGCATCCCTTAACAAACTACAGTTCCCAGGATTGTTTTGGGGAAGCCGTGACTGTTTAAAGTTGGTATAATACTGCTTCAAATTTATAATGGAGTTCAATTAAGCTGACCTGAGAAACACAAAGTGAAAAGACCTTTTGGGTTGAATGTTGATGAATGTGATATGAAGGGTTGGGATCAGGGAAGGACATGGGGCTCTTGGAATGTCTGATTCCAGATGTAAGAGGCTGCAGCCTTTCATCTCGGAAAGAAATGGGATCGGTATAAGTAATAATAATAAATAAATAAATAATAATAAATAATAATAATTAATAATTTATTATTTATACCCTACCCATCTGGCTGAGTTTCCCCAGCCACTCTGGGTGGCTCCCAAGAGAATATTAAAAGCACAATAAAACATCAAACATAAAAAATTTCTCCAAAGTCTGAGTTGTGTAGCTGTGTCATAAATTTATCTCTGCCTCTTAGGCAACCCAGAAAATCCAGAGCTTCATGCCCTCTCCGGCAGAATCCAAGCCTATCCGTCCACTCCCAGGTAAAGAACAAAAGGAATTGTGAAGGTTTCTAAATGAACTTTTTTCTAAACTGGGTATATGCTTGGGCAGTCAAATGGCAAATGCCTTTCATTGCAAACAAGGGCATAGTGATGCAAGCTGGGGCGCAAAATAATAATAATCTAAATTTCACATATAAGCTTATGGGGTGGCTAACCAGGATGAGATGTTTGGGTCGTAGTGGGTAGCTCGATGGAGAAGCTGATCCATTGTGCAACATCTGTGAAAAAGGCAAATGCCACACTGGGGATCATTAGGCAAGGAATTGAAAATAAAACTGTCAATATCATAATGCTGTTATACAAATCTGTGGTGTGACCACGCTTGGACTATTATGTACATATGTGCTATTTATACAGCCATCTCATCTCAAAAAGGATATTGCAGAGCTGGGAAAAGTTCAGAAAAGGCCATCAAAATTATCAAAGGGGTAGACCAACTCCCCTTTAAGGAAAGGGTGCAACATTTGGGGCTTTCTAGTTTAGAGAGAAAGGGTGAGAAAGCAGGGAGATGGTAGAGGTGTATAAAATTATATAAAGAGCAGAAAGAGAAGCTTTTCTCCCTGTCTCATATAACCAGAAAAGCAAAGATCTTGGGATTACAGGGGAGTGGGGTGGATGTTAGAGGTGCAATGGGGAGACAGGGTGAAAGTGGTCCATGGCCGGCAAAAGCAGATTCCCTAGTTGTTTAGAGAAACCTGCAAATCTATGACTTGCTTCTCTCATCCTTCCCAGGATTCTGCCTTAAAACCCGCACAAGTTCCGGTGAGAAGGTCTTCGTGAATGTCTGCCGGTCTCCCCACATCCCCTCACCTCCTGACCTGACCAACGAAGAGCTTGCCTGCCTCATTGAGTCGGAGAATGCCTCCACCTTCAGGATCCCCATGAGCTTGGGAGAGCCCCACGCGGAAGTGGACAAGAGTGAGCATCCGCCTCATTGGTGCTGAGAGGATGGGCTAGCCGTGAAATGAGTTGCTAAATCTTAAGGAAAACCAAGGCTGGAGCACGTGCTTCTACAGAGCCAGCCAGGTCTTGGTGGACATTTTGGTCCTTCTGCCTAAGAGAGCTGTCTGAGTAGCACAAGGAGTAAGGAACTTGGTCACCTAAATCCCTGGCTCAATCCCTCTCATCATTTGAAGGACACTCCTACTACTACAGTGGACACTCGGGTTGTGAACGTGAGCCGTGCGGGAGGCACATTCGCAACCCACAGCGCCACGTCTGCGCACGCACAGGTTGCAATTCGGCGCTTCTGCGCATGTGCAAAGCGTGATCTAGCGCTTCTGCGCATGCGTGAGCACTGAAACTTGGAAGTAACCCGGGTACTTCTGGGTTCGGCGTGGTGCGCAACCCAAAAACGTGCAACCTGAAGCGTCTGTAACCCGAGGTATGACTGTTCTACTACTATTTATTTATTTATAATTTATATACTCCCCTATACCCACAGATCTCAGGACAGTTTATAGGATAAAAACACAGACTACATAATCAAAATAAAAACAAACACCTGAGTAACCCCCCTCCCCCCATTTTAAAAAGGCATCGGATGACAATCGACCAACGGCCTGGTTAAAGAGGAACGTTTTTGCCTAGAAATCAATTGGCATCCAAAACATACTTGCTCCCTTTTTATTTTTATACGGATGATCCATTTTTTGCGTAGCTCACAGAAACAGAAACTTGCAGACGAATGCAGCTTTGTGGAGGGGGAAAGTTCAAATGTTTTTAAGAAAGCATTGATTTGTACCCCCCCCGGCTCAAGAGAGAGAAACACACCTGATCTCTTTGTTTTTCCTCGTGGGGATGTCTCTGCATAAGAGCGTCTCCCAAGTGAGGTGGTGCAGTGTGGACTCAGCCCTTGAAGGGCAACTGTGAAACCAAGGCTCCTTCTGCCTTGGAGGTTTTAGGAATAGCCCCCTCTTCTGTAGAAGTGGCCTGACCCTTCTTTCTTCTTTCCCAGGTGGCAATGCTTGCACCGTCTATGACGTTTCCATCAGCACCACCTTTTACAACAAGATGGAGGTGAGTTGCCTTTTTGAAAGGGAGCCTTTGCGTCCCAAACGGCTTCTCCTGTTCCGCTCAGGGGCAGAATTCCTGCTGTGTCCATGGCAGGCAGGAACCTCTCTTTCCCAAAACCACCTGGGTGCTGTTTGCTGTGCCAGAGTAGGGGGATGATGTTGGGAGACAGGGGCATAAGGTTACCAGATGTCCCCATTTCCTGGGGACAGTCCCTGGATTTACAAATCAGTCCCCATACAAAATCCATTGAAGTTCCCCGGATTCATTGGAAAAAATCTGGTAACATAATAATAATAATAATAATAATAATAATAATAATTTATTATTTATACCCCACCCATCTGGCTGGGCTTCCCCAGCCACTCTGGGCAGCTTCCAACAAAATATTAAAATACAGTAATGCATCAAACATTAAAAGCTTCCCTAAGTTTACTCCTGCAAGTTTACACCTGCAAGGTAGGCAGGTGAGCCTCTTTAGTGTATCTTTGGCTGCTTATGCCATGAATGGATGCATCCCTTCCTCCGCACCATCTCCCCAAATCGGTATGTGTCTGAATATCAGTTTCCAGCAATCACAAGTGATGAGCTCTGTTATACTTGGCCCTTGCTTGAGGGCTTCCCATAGCTGTCATGAGCTGGACTAGGTGGGCCTGTGGCCCAATTCAGCTGGACTTTTTATTTTCATAATCACAAGGCCTTGGGACTTCCTACATATGCATGCAGTTGGGTGGCAGTTACTTCATTGTGGAGTAATCCATGTGCTGAGAGAAGGGAACCTAACCTTCTCCGCACTCCCATCTCTCTCTGTTTTCCCTCGCTGCCTCAAGAACAACGACTTCCTCAAAGAGTTCTTCATCACAATCGCCATGGAAGGATTGTCGGAGAAATACAAGATGGATGTCAACAACCAAGGTACGGGTGTTGGTGCCGGGAGGCAACAGGCCCCCCTCTTGGGGCCAATCCTGAGGTAACATTTCCCCTCCTTGTGGGGGGGCATACCCTTGAAAGAAAAGCGACCTTGGTTTGGGAGACTTTTAACATCCGTTCTGGGTGCTTCCATCCCTTTGGGGCTGGGCCAGAGCCTTTTACCCCTGCAGCCAAGCTAACAAGGCTGCTTGCGCCCCTTTCCAGAATGGCGGATTCTGAAGAACAGGAAGTTTATGGGCTCCATAGCCGAGCAGACCATCCGCACCAAATCCAAGCCTTTCATCCAAGAGATGGATAGCAGGTACGTTGGACACAGAAGGTCCTCTACCGGGAGTCCTCCTACCCGGACCTCTAAGAGTTGTGGGACTACCAAGAGGGGTCCCCCTCTGCTCATCTTAACACCCAAGAGGGTGCTGCTAAATTGGGATGATACATGTCATTCATCTGGTGAAGTGGGCTCTAGTGCCCTGCAAGATTAGTTAAATTTTCAGGGGCCTTGAGACACTTCATTTTTCTGCAATGGACTAGTATTGGGGTAAGCTTATCTCCTCCTCCTCTTAGCATGAGAATCACTGGCTGCCATTGGACCATCTGGATGAATTAGGAGAGTCTTCCCCAATCTGGTGCCCTCTAGATGCTGTTAGATTACAGTTCCCATCATCCTTGACTATCGGCCATGTTGGCTGGGGCTGATGGGAGCTGGAGTCCAAGTTGAGGGTAGTGGAGTTAGGAGAGATCTTTCCAGTGAGCGGCTGCTATATGGAAATGTTAGCATGGGAGGGGCTTGTAACACATGAGGGGCGGCAGAGGGAGAATTAAGTCATTTCAATTGTTAGCATTCTACGGCATCTTGTCAGCTGAAGCAGAAACCAATCTCTGGGGCCTGTTAAAAGTGTTTGGGACTCTGGACAGAGCAGAGAGAGCTGTTGGCCCAGACTTGAATGGGGACTTGGTACAACTGTAGTAGTCAGATCAATACTTCCTTCTTCATTTTTACAAGGCGTTTGTCTCTTTCTGCAGCCAAGTCAAGGAGGAAGGCAGGAACCTTTTGCAGCCATCTGCGTCACAGAGGTACGGTGTGGTTGGGATGGGAGGGACTGTACAGTGAGGATGGGGGTCAGGGTAATGGAGGAATGGAATGACCCGTGATCTCAAATATGGTCTGCTATGATAGGTTGGACTGGTGCAATGCATTGCTCATGGGGCAGTCCTCTGAAGACTGGCCAGAAACTGCCACTAGTACAAGCCCAAGAAACCCCTCTGGACTGCTCGGTTGTACCAGGCATTTAAGAGCAACCAGGAGTGATGTTTTGAGTATGCTACCTGGGTGTCAAATTGGGTCTGCAAACACACAGAGGCATTCTGAATAGCTGCCCTTAAGTGTTAGAGTTTTCTGCCCTTGGAGACTTGGCAAAGCCCTAGCCTTTGCATCTCCCAGAAGTACAATAAAGCAAGTTTATTTAAACTGGCCGATAGTGGCCAGAATAGGACTCTGTCGTCAGCCGCCCATAGTGCAGGTTGTATGTCTAATGAATTAAATAAAGTTCAGTTAGATCGGGCAGGATATTGTGTGTCAGAAGCCCACAGTTGCATTTCTGACTTGGCTCTTTAATCTATTAACATGTTGCCTGTCCCTGTTTTTATGAGTTGGCAATATCTGATTCCAACTGAGTGTTTTTATCATGACACTCCTCCCCCCCCTTCTCCCTTGCTGATTCTGTTGTGCTTCATTCCGTAGCTCGGCCACAGTTCCTCAATTCACCATAGTTGCTGAGCCATCTATCAGCCACCCTGACCATCTGGTCGCGAAAATCAGCCTCCCTAAAATGGTAATTTGGCATGCGGTTTGTAGGGTGGTGTCTTGGGTGCTCTGGTCCCCAAGCTGGGGAAATAGCAATAAAATTGTATTTTTTTCAGTGTTTCTTTGTTCTCCCACCCTAATCAGACCTCAGTAAGATCTCTCGAGCTGGACCTGGGAGAGGACCGCATTGTGTTACAGGGACACCCCCAACTCTACCATTTGGACATCTTCCTCCCCTACATCATTGTTCCCGAGGAGAGTAGGGCCCAGTTCCACAGAGGAACAAAGGTGAGTAACTAGGATGAGAGAGAGAGTGAGACATGCAGAAATCTTCTCCCTCCTTCCGAACCACACCTGAGTTCTTTAGCTCTTAAGAAGCTTCCCCTTCCTTTGTAAATGTGTGCCTTTGAAGAAAAGGTCTAAGTTGTTAGTGCCTTTGACAATGTGATGAGGTGCTACAGGCCGGTATCAGATGACCGGCATCACCTTTGTCAGCAGTAGACTGATAACTTAAGAAAGTGGTTGCTCTAGTTCAAAGGAAGCCTTGTTTTGGCTACATCCCAGGCCGCTTAGCCCGTTCTCTCTTAGTACATGACCCAGTAGCCTCTGAGGCTGCTTTCCAAGGACACTGGTGGTGTTAGAAGAGCACAAGAGCCCAGGCCAAGTGCATTGCAGCCTTTGCTATGGAAAAATTCCAAAAGTGGAGCTGTTTGTTCTTTTGACCATCGTGAGAACCACTTTGAATAAAGGAGGAACAACTCTTTGGAAAGGTAGAAGTGATACAGGTGTAGGTGTTTGTGATGGACACTAGAACACCATAGTCCTTGCCAGGCAACAATAATAATAATAATACACACACACACACACACACACACACACACACACACACGGGGAATGTGTGTCTGGAGATTTCCTAAGGTAGGCAAATTTGCATGGCCCAAACGTTTCCTTTAGGGCTTCCCCAGTTGAAGGGGGCGTATGACGACATACAGGGTTGCAACGCTGGCCTTTCCAGCACCCCTATGAGACTCAGGGGCCCCCTGTGGCCTTGAGCATGTGATCTGGCTTCCTTTCTTCAGCCACTTGCAGCTATGGTCTGCCGGCCTGATAATCCAGCTAGTGGCTTCTCCTAGATTTTCCTGGTCATTATCAGGACGCTGTGCATTCTGCACTATTTTCAAGTAATAATTAAAAAATTATTTACCTTCGGTCATTCCAGATTCTGTGATCTGCATAAGCCATGCCAAGCTGCGTGCCCTTAAACCACAAATGGCCGATGAGCCGGCAGCTTCCTCTTTGCTTGGCATTGTGTGGTCTGACTCAATTTAGCTTCTGTACCATTTACCGTAAAAACCCCTGTGCAGCTTAACCGCAGCAGCAAGGGGGCGCTCTAGCCTCTGAAATGACCCATTTTCCTCTCTCCTCCCTTTCCAGGTCCTGACTTTACTGATGCCCATCCAGCGCCCCTTACTGTTGCCGTGAGCTCGGAGGAGGAAAAACCATCCTGGAGGCGGAGGCCCTTCTTTGAGATACCAGCCGGCGGAGGAAACAGCAGGGTGAAGAAGGGAGGTGCTGGGAGAGAGGCTGGACTTCCTGTCGAAGGAAGGGGGCTAGGTTTTGGTCAGGGGTGGCAACCTCCACAATGCAGACTCTGCACCTAAATACGCGCGCGCACACACACACACACACACACACACACACAGCGGAAGAGAAAGAGAGAGCGTGTGTTGTACACGTTGGATGGGACCCAGGACTTGCCTCCATCTCTCCTCCCACAATTTGTGTTCTCAAACTTCCCTTCCACCCGCAACAGCTGCTGTTCTTTTTGGCTTTTCTATTACCTCCTCTTTTTCGGTCTGTACATGCGACCTGCTTGCCTCTGTTGACGCCTGCAGTCAGTTCAGCTCCTCTCTCTCTCTGTGTGTTTTGAATCGGGACGGGCTCTGGGCTTCCAAACCTCCCCTCTTGACCCCGTTAGCAAAAAATGGAGGACCTGCTCTGAGTCAAAACATGCTGGGGTGAGAAAGGACAAATGAATCCTGTGGCAGAGGGACGGGTTATATGTACACTTCGGGCTGCAGGTGGGGGACACTTTTTAAAGCTTTAAAAAACAAAACACAAAAAACCACCTACCACATCAGGAAAGTGGGTAGGTCAATATTTTTCTTCCTGTTGTGTTACGTTTGCACATGAGAATGCCGAAGGACCACTCAGAAACAGAATCCTCCCCTGCCATCTGATATGGTACAGTCCAGCCTGCCCTCTGCCACTGCATTCTTGCCAGTCCTTGCCTGACTGCAGCTGGCGATGGTTTGTTTTTTCCTCATGGCTGCTATAAGATGCAGACTTCTCTGGGTCTTTTTAATGAGGAGCCCAGGGTGCAAGTGGTTTCATCTTTACTCCCCCCCTTGTTCTGAGCTGCGTAGGTTTTTGAAAGCATCCTTGGAGAGAGCAAGGCAGCCTTCTCTGGAGAGAAGGTGCGTTCAGTGATGCTCTATTGGAGTCCCAGCTTCTAACCAAGGCAATGTACTCTAAAGTTCATAGCCTCCCAGTTAACCCAGCCGCCCTCATAGTTCTGTGCATGGTTCCGCCTTTTTCATGGATCCTGCAGTAGCACCCTTTATCTAATTCTGCTGCCACTAGCGCATCCCCTGTATTGCATAATGCTCAGAAGAAACGAGATGTCCCCTCTCCTCCTGAGAAGGGTGACCCACAAATTTATTTTCCAGAGTTGGTACGTTATGTCCAAAATTCTTTGTGGCATCTCTTCATCGTCACAACAACTCCCAATGCAGTTGTGAAAAACTCATTCTCAGGCGTCTTCTGTTCAAACCATGTTCAAGTTTCCTGGGGGGAAATGCCAAGATTTCTATCTTTGAGTTGAAAAGAGAAGTCTGAAATAAGCCACATAGCTGAAGTGTGTCAGCATTGTCTCTTCTGAGAACTTTGAGCTAAATCTTTTATTTGGTAAGAAGATGAAGGATTCCTTATGATGCTGTTTTTAATTTTTGCCCATCTCTGCAACCTCCCAACATTTTGGTGTGTGGTTTTTTAAGCTTAAATCTCCGTAGGTTTTTGAAGCAAGTAAGTGTGAGCCAACATAACACAGGTTTTTGGTACAGGTGTTGGCAGTGCTTCCTTTGCATGCTACCTGTCTGCCTTTTCAGTGGAAGGTATGGTGGTGTTGAGGCGGGGAGAGGCCCCTGCGTCCCCATACTTAGGGAGACAAGGGAGGGTGGTGCATCTTCTGTAGGGGGAGAGGAGCAGGGGCTGAGCTATTTGTACCCTGGATTGGTTTGGTTTGGCATCCATTAAAACATTTCACGTTTCTGGTTATTTTACGTGTGGACTTGTGTGTATGTATGTGCGTGTAATATTAATATACAGTGGACGCTTGGGTTGCGAACGTGATCCGTGTGGGATGCACGTTCACAACCCGCAGCGCCCGCAACCCACAGTCTGTGCATGCATGGGTTGCGATTCGGCGCTTCTGCGCATGCACAAGCGCCAAAACCCGGAAGTAACCTGTTCCAGTAATTCCGGGTTCGGTGCGGTGCACAACCCGAAGCATCTGTAACCCGAGGTATGACTGTACTGTACTTCAAAAGTGCAAACAAACAGAAAACATGAATAGAAAACATAAAATAGAGAGCAGATCATGTAGAAAAATAAAAGAAGCATGACACATCATGAAAGCCAAATTCTGTGGTTTGGTGGGAGAAGAGAGTTTAAAATGTTCCAGGTCTTCTTTACCCCTAGAAACCCCTAATATGTGAGTTACTTTCTCAGCAATGTCTAGAGTCCCCATATCTTTGCACCACAATGTGTAGGCTAACTGCTGCTGTGCCTTCCACTTCTGAGCCAAGGAAGTTTTCAGTGCCGCCAGCATACACCGAAGAAGCTCATTAGATCAAAAAGTTGTTGCTTGATTGTTGCACAAGTTCAGAAGGGAAAGTTGCAGAGCGGCTCAAATGGGGCATTTAAAATGTTTGGATACTTCTTGTGTGACCTTAATAATTAAGAGAAAAAGTTAACACAAAGTTTCTTAGCCCAAATGCAGGCAGATGTCGTGATTTGTGGGAATAAAATGTGGTGTCCGTCTGCACACATCCTCAGCCCAGGGGATTTGTTTTCAGTACCAGAATTGAGGCCCTTCCAGACTGGTGTGATTTATTTTTTTTTGCTGCTGTATTCAACAACATGTCATTGACGGAACAATGGTGCATTTGTGGTGGATTGTTTGATTGCATTTATTCCCCCCTCCCCTTCTCCCAAGGCCTCAAGGTGGTGTACGTGGTTCTGCCCCTCATTTAATCTCCGCAACAACCCTGTGAGGTAGGTTAGGCTGAGAGGCAATGACTGGCTCAAGACCACCCAGTGGGCTTTGTGGCTGAGTGGGGATTTGAACCCCCAACCTACTGTGTCCTAGTCCAGCACTCTTAACCATCACACCACACCAGCTCTTTGATCTTTCAACCAGATAAGTGGGGGATGGAACCTGCAACCTATTGCATGCAAGGCAGGGGCTCTACAACTGAGCTATTGGATTGCCCTACTAACCTTCCCTTCCATTAAGTTTTAAATATGCAAGTTTCTGGTGCGCACACACACACATCACATGAAGCTGCAAATTCTTCTTCCTCTGTTCCTGTCTCAGCTTGCTCTCCTCTCCCCCCTGCTTGTACAGCCTGTTCCAGAAGCACATGCCCATCACTGCCACCCCCGCCAGCTCCCCCCTCGCTCCTTCTGTCTCTTCCTTTTTTTCCTTCATACAACCCGTTTTCCCTCACATCCACTTTGCTGGAGGAGAGAGATGAAGGGGACTGTAGGATATATGTTTACTACAAAATGCTAACCCCCCCCCCTCTTCAGGGTATCTGGCTACAGGGCAGGGCAGGGCATCTGATGTGGCAGAGTGCCTAGAACAGAGCTAGGGAGCCTGTGTCGTTGGACTACAATTCCCATCATCCCTGTCCATTGGCCAGTATGTTGACTGGGGCTCATGGGAGCCAAAGTCAAATGTCCCTATCCCTGCTGCAAGACTAATGGATGCAGCTGGACTACAGTTCCCATGATCCATGACAATGAGATATAGTGGCCAGGGCTAATAGGAGTTGGAATCAAACAACAACCAAGCAGGCCACAGGTTCCCCATCGGTGCTGTACGACACCCAGGTGAAGTTGGACTCCACCTTCCATGATCCACGGCAATTGGTGATGCTGCCTGGGGCTGATGGCAGCTGGAATCCAGTGTTGGGAGCAAGCAACGAATCACATCGAGTGAAGTCGACTATTATAAAAACAGGCTCTGCACTGGAGTGCCAGGCCTAGTGAGCACAGCAACTCTTCTTTGGTACCTCTTGCCCGCTATGAAGCAGTTGTGGAGTCTGATTGCCCCCGCCTCTCCAGGGCTTTCCCCAAGAAATCTGAGACTTTGCCTGCATGTCTATCTCTGCTCCTCCCACTTCATGCCTCTCTGGGTTTTGGGAGACATGGGGGCGGGGGAAGCAGAAGCGGGTGGGTGGGCGACATCTGTGACTCCTTTTGGCTTCCCTCGTCCCCTGCTTCCGCTTCTGCCTCTGATTCTGGTTTCCTCTCTCCCACAGACTTTCCCAGCTCACTAAGCCCTGTTACCCCTTTAGCTTCCACCACCTCCTCTTCCCCTTCTTCTCTCTTTGGCTGCTCATCGTCATCCCTCCACCAATCCCCAGGCTCTGAGTCTTCTTTCCACCATTCCTTCCACCATTTCAACCAGTCCATGACATCCAACAACGCCTAGTGGGCCACCCTTGCTTTAGTGGGCACTGTGGCCAAGCCTGCTTGGCAGAGCGTCTTTGTGTCCCTGTGAACTGCATGGGAATTTCCACACTGAGCTGCATTGCTAGGCCTGTATGGCAGACGTGTGCTCTGCAGAAAATAGATACAGCTTTTAACGTACTGTGTAGACGGCTTTTGATTCATGTTAGGTGCCAACTTATATTCCCCAAGGGCTCTTCTGTCTTCCTTTAATGTTGGATTTAGGGACGCGGGTGGCGCTGTGGGTTAAACCACAGAGCTAGGACTTGCCGATCAGAAGGTCGGCGGTTTGAATCCCCGCAATAGAGTGAGCTCCCATTGTTCAGCCACTGCTCCTGCCAACCTAGCAGTTCGAAAGCACGTCAAAGTGCAAGTAGATAAATTGGTACCGCTCTGGCGGGAAGGTAAACGGCGTTTCCGTGCGCTGCTCTGGTTTGCCAGAAGCGGCTTAGTCATGCTGGCCGCATGACCTGGAAGCTGTACACCGGCTCCCTCGGCCAATAAAGCGACATGAGTGCTGCAACCCCAGAGTCGGTCATGACTGGACCTAATGGTCAGCGGTCCCTTTACGTTTAATTTTGGATTTGTTTATTTGTTAGTTTAATAATTTTTTATCCCAACTCCAAGGAGCTCGAGGTAATGTATTTTTCGCTCTGTAAGACGCACCAGACCACAAGACGCACCTAGTTTTTGGAGGAGGAAAACAAGAAAAAAAATATTCTGAATCTCAGAAGCCAGAACAGCAAGAGGGATCGCTGTGCAGTGAAAGCAGCAATCCCTCTTGCTGTTCTGGCTTCTGGGATAGCTGCGCAGCCTGCATTCGCTCCATAAGATGCACACACATTTCCCCTTACTTTTTAGGAGGGAAAAAGTGAGTCTTATAGAGCAAAAAATACGGTACATAGTTTTCCTCTCCATTCTATCCTAACCCCGTCGCGGGGATTCGAACCACTGACCTTCTGATCAGCAAGCCCAAGAGGCTCAGTGGTTTAGACCACAGCACCACCCGCATCCCAATCCTTACAACAACCTTGCGAGGTAGGTTAGGCCAAGAGTGAGTGACCCGAGATCACCACCACAAAGCCATCCGTCGCAGGAAGAATTCTTGCCCTGTCAGAATTAACCTGGCAAGGGCACCAGTGTGTGTGTGTGTGTTGTGTGTGTGTCTTCCCTTCACTGTTTTATTCTCTTCCCCACCCTGCTGCCGCACAGCAGCCTTTGCCAAATAGGGAAAAGGGGGGGAGAGGGAAAAGGGTGATGATCTAGCACCGGAGAAATATCCGAGAACCTGCCCCCCTCCATACTGTCCTCTGCTGACACTGCTTCCACTGTGAATATATTTGCATCTTATTAGCACTAACACACACACACACACACACACACACACACACACAGAACAGCTCTCACTGTGGGGGATTTTCTCTTCCCCCGCTGCGATATCTGTTAATTGCCGCTTGGCAGAGAGCGTGTGGTGGGATCTTTGCAAAGAGCAAAAACGGGTTTGGGTCAAGGGGCTGCCGCTTTCTACTTAAGGGAAATAGGATTGATCTGCTCAGGCCGCTTGCCTCTTTCTCCCCCCCTCCGAGAAGCGATTTCGTGGGAAAGAGCAAAGGAAAAGAGGCACCATCTGTTGCATTTGTGCTCTAAGTTGGGGGAGACAGCTGGGGGGGCAGTCTCCCCACTGCCCCCCCCATCCTCCTTCCCATTTTGTGCTTTAATGGAGACAGGAGACTAACGCCACATTCACACCTTGCCCAGCATGAGTTGCTGGAAGAAGAACAAATCACTCTTGCCCCCTCGAGGGCTTGCAGCTCCTCCTCCTGATATGCCACCCATCTATTTCCCCTGCTCCTCTCTCCCCCCTGCCCCCAACCTGCGTGTAATTAAGCCACGGAGGTGCTGGTTCCTCTCCCCTGCCTTACAGGGTTGGCAGTTGCAGGTTCCTGGGCCCAATCCAGCCGGCTGGGGCGTATTCTTGGCCCTCCTCCCTCCCTCCCTTTGGCCAACTATGGCCCTATTAACGCCATACGTTTAAAGCACTATGATGCCACTTTAAACAGCCATGGCTTCCCTCAAAGGATTCTGGGAGCTGTAGTTTGTTGTGAGTTCTGAGAATTGTTAGGAGACCACCCCTCCCCATTCCCCTCCCATAGTCCCCCTCCGCTGTGAAGAGGGGTTGATAGTTAAAGCACTGTGGCAATTGTAGGTCTGAGAGGTGACTAGGGGCCTCTTAGCAACTCTCAGCACCCACAACAAACTACAATTCCGAGGATTCTTAGCAATGATATTGCTTTAAATTTATAAATTTATGATCATATGGGGACTTCCGGCAAGGAAAAATGACGGGCGCCACGGCAGCGAGCAGCTCCTGAAGCCAGCCAGAGCCAACTGCGCTACCAGGCTGGCTCTGGGCTGCTGAGGCTGCCGCTGCCACATTTCCCGGGGACAGATTTGCAAATCTGGGGACATTCCGGGGACATAATTTGTCCGCGGACAGATTTGCAAATCCGGGAAATGTCCCTGGGAACCGGGGACATCTGGTAACCCTAACATAAAGTAGATTAGGCTGAAGAGTGAGTGACTGGCCCAAGATCACCCAGTGAGCATCATAGCTGAGTGGGGATTTGAACCCCAGCTTCCTAGGGCTTTAGTCTGACACTCTAACCACTATACGACACTGCCTCTTCTCATAAGGGCTTTTTCCAAGCATGTTAAAGAGGAAAGAACCATACTGGAGGTTGCGTACTTTATCCCTCTGGCTGCTTATCAGTTGCAAAGGCATTGCCTCCCTATCCTTCCCTAAGCTGGAGGAAGCAAATATATATTGTGCGAATATTCACTTCTAAAAACTCTTTGACTTCCTGGTTTCACTTGGCTACTACTTATATCCCCGCCTTGAATTAGTCACATGGGTGATCCCACCCAATCAGGTAAGATGTAGCAGCAGGGACACAAACCTCACTGACCTTCCAGATATCACTGGGATGCAACTCCCATCATCATCCTTGACCCACTGGCCATGCTGGCTGGAGCGGAGGCGAGTCGGAGTCAAGCGACATCCAGCTGAAGTGAAGAGGCTGGTGTCATATGTTGGATGGGATGACATAATTGACCACTGTCCAGTATAATGTGGATCCACATGCTTAACCAACTTTGAGCAAATGAAGGCAATTGAGAGAGAGAGTGTGAGGGCAAGTGAAGGTATTTTAAACAATCGAGCACTTTCACAAATTCTCCAAGGCCTTTTGCAGCAGCAGAGGGGTGGGGGTGGGACTAAAACCCTGAGATATCCATTTCAGCGTCTAGCAGGTTGTTACACTGCTGGAAAAGCGTATCTGGGGGAGTTAGTTCTTGTGGAAGGAATTCTAGCATTGCAAAAAACAGGCTGCTTAAATATTCTCCCCTCATCGACCCCCCTGCCTCCCCCCCCGTCCCCAAAAGACAGCAGGGTACTGTCAATTTGCTCAAGTACTTCTCTGCTTGTACTTCATGCAGCCAGTGGTTCATCTCTGGCATTTCCTCTCCCATAGAGTTCACGCTGCTTGCACCACCTTCCACCATCCTCCATCCTCCTGTCCTGCTTGGAGAGCAGCAGGGAAGCTGCGTTAAGGACCGTGCCGGGCTCAGGGCACAGATTGGTGGAGCCTTCTGTCTCCCATAGGCCCTGGGGATCTCCCAAATGTTGCTGCATGGTTGAAACAGCAGTCTTCTTGTACCCTGGACACTTTCTTTAATTTCAAAGAGACAGAGCTTTGAGGCTGCAGTCCTATATACCCATTTCCCTGGGACCAAGCCCTGTTGAAGCTGGTGGGGTTTACCCCAAAGTCAACATGCATAGGATTGCGCAGTTAGTGCAAGGGTTGTAGGATCTTTGGCCCTCCAGATGTGAGTGAACTACAACTCCCATCAGCCTCGGTGAGCATAGCCAAGGGCCAGAGATGGTGGGAATTATCTCATAGCAGCAGAGGTGGATTTAGGGCAGGGCAACCTGTTCCATCGCGCTGGGTGCCAAGCCCAGGGGGCACCACAGGGTGGTTCAACTCTGACCTCGCGAATTGAGCAGAATGGAAGGTGGGATGTTGGGAGGGGGATTTTGGCCCCTGAAATTGGAAAGACCAAAGTCCACCCCTGACAGCAGTGTATGGAGGACGAAAGACTAGCTTAGGCTTCATTTCTTCTTCTGGAGAATCCAGGAGTCCCTAGATTCCCACCCAGACATCTTCAAGGGGAGGGACCATAAGAACTTAGTGGTAGTCTAGCTTCGCATGCAGGAAATCCGAGGTTTGGTCCCATGTCTTCCAGTAGAAAGGGTCAAGGATCAGGTGATGGGAAAGACAATGGGCGATCTAGAAGAGTGTGTCTGGTTCTGTTACATTGCACGTGGAGCTTCTGCAGGGCTGCAGCTATGATGCCCAACAGAAGGTGAGAGGCGGGGACACAAGCCGAATTTTGGCATTGCAAAGGGTGCCACTGAAATTTGAGACTCCAAGGTCCACCACTGAGAAAGGCCTTGGCCTGAGACTCTGGATGAACTAGAAAACACTGGGCAAGTTGGAGGAACTGCCTTTGAGTTTTAACTGTTTTTAATTATCTCATCTGTAAATTGTCTTAGACACTAGGTTTGAAGATTAATGAATCAATTGTAATAATAGTAATAATAATAATACATAACAATACTATCCTGATGTGGTGTAAGATAGCTTCCTTTGCACCCAGAAAGCAGGAGTGGGGAACCTCAGGCCTGGAAGGCTGGATGTGGCTCTCCAGACCTTTCTATATGGCCCTTAGAACATTCCATTCCTCAGGCCACACTGTTTCATGGCCCAGCTGCACAACCCAATTCTGTTTACCTGGTTGGAATGTGTCCTTGAACTCATGATAATGCCTCTTGGGTTGCCTGGAGGAGCATGTGTCAAAACTAGCCTACCGTACAAAGATAAAAATTTACATCCTTGCTCCGCCCATGTTTGGCTCCACCCACCCATGTCATGTGACCTCAAAAGTTGCCCGGAAGGGAATGTGACCCTCTGGCTGAAAAAAAAGGCTTCCCACCCCTGTTATCAGGCTCTTTGGTCTTGAATGTGGTTATGGACCTTCACTGCAGAGACTGAAAGGAACAGCCTGGCCAGACCACAAACCTGGCTGGGTTTGCGTTGCGGTTTTATTCTCTCCCAGCACACAGCAAGCCTTGCGATATTGCAAGTGGGGAGAGGTGATGGGGGAGCAGCAGACAGCCAGAGTGGATGGGAAGAGCCATAGCTCAGTGGTAGAGCATCTCCTTTGCATCCAGGAGGTCCCAGGTTCAAACCCCAGCATCTCCAGGTAAGTCTGAGAGACACCCTGGGAATTCACTGCTGGCCAGACTGTACTGAGCTAGATGGACCAGACGCCTGAGTCAGTATAAAGCAGTTCCCTGTGTTACCATGACTTGCTGTAAGGAAGCTTCCTGTCTTCAACTCATCTCCCCTTTGCCCTCAGCGCTACTGGCTCCTTCCCGTACATCAGCCCTTTCTTCATCCCGACACACAGCGCCATCTGGGTCCCACTGGGTCCCCCCTCCCTCCCTCCTTCCCTTCCAGAGTCACACTCCTCATCCAGAGCAGCCAACTCCCCGGCCGTCTGTGACTCAGCTGACAGCTGGCCTATCCCCAGAGCCTAGTGGAGGCTGAGAGATGAGCCAGCCTCAGACAATCCTGACATCTTCTTGCCTCTGCCTGTTTGTGGGGCCCAGTGCCAGATTTACATATAAGCTAAACAAGCTATAGTTTAGGGTCCCACTCTCTTGGGTGCCCCCCAAAAAATTAAAGGGAAAAAACACACTGGGTGTACATTTCCAAAATATAAGATAAAAAAACAAATAAAATAAAACCTACATACAGCAACAGTGTTTTGCGTTGTTTAGGCTCCTATGATGTAAGTAATGGGTCCCGCCTGCTAGCCTGCTCCCTAAAATATCACTGGTTTGCTCATTTCTATATATAGGGTGCCTACATTCTGCATGGCCTGGTTGCATGACAACATGTGCAAATGGCTTTAGATACCTATTAGGTCCATAAATTGCCATATAGCATATATTCAACACACAAAAAAGCGACAATTTGTTGTTGACAAAGGACAGCTGGACATATAAAGGGCCCCATTACCTCCAGTAGCTTAGGGTCTCATCAAACCTAAATCCGGCCCTGGTGGGGCCCTCCAAATCTGAAACAGAAGCCCCCGTCTCTCATGAGGGAGGGTTGAAGGATGATTGGCTGGGCTTCCTTGAAGCCCTGGTTTGCAAAAGTGTAAGCTGCAATCCTTAGTGAAAGGGAGACCCCAGTGCCACAGTGGGACTTGCGCAGACACCATTTAAAGTAGATTTAAAGCACATGGCTCCCCGCAAAAAAGAATCCTGTAGAATCCTGTAGTTTTTAAGGATGCTAGGAATTGTAGTTCTTTGGGGGAATGTGCTTTAAATGTATGGCATGTACACATGCAGAGGATCAGAGTGCTAGCCTCAGGACTACACTTGTCAACTGATTTAAAGAGTTATTTTTAAATCATTGCTATGTCCAGCTGTTTCTGACAGAGTATACTTTTATATATTCTGCTATGTTTCCAATGATTTCATCAAAAGGGCATTTTTGTGTGTGTGTCTGAGTTCTCTCTCTCTCTCTCTCTCTCTCTCTCTCTCTCTCTCTCTGTGTGTGTGTGTGTGTGTGTGTGGAGGGGGCTTGGCACCTGCTGGAGATACCTGAGAACTTGCATATTCAGCAAAGGAAAGCTCCCCACTCATTGGCTGAGTCCTCACTAGGGATGGACAAAGCTGTCCATTTCGATTCTCTCTGCTTCTCATTATTCCCAATCTCAAAGTCAGTTCTCCACATTTCTTCAATTTGCAGATTTTAGTTAAACTAATACTCATGAAAAGTCACCAGTATTTTAGTGCGAATTTCTCCTAATAAACACTTTCTTTTTTGTATACAGTTTTGAATAATGTGCACATATTTGCAAGCAACTTCCCCTGATGTGGTGCATTTTAATGTTACTTTCATTCGCATACGCATTTATATGCACACTTTACAAGAGCATATGAATTTCTGTACACATCACTTGGCTGGAGAACTACGACAGTGTGAATTCTGAAGGATGGTTGTATTGCTCCTTATGAGGATGTGGGTACAAGCCTCAGGCAGCCCAGGCACTTCCAGGGGAAGGAAACCCCTCCTCTAGACACAGGAGTGGAGCCAAGTTTTTCCCTTCCTGCCCCTGCAGCCAGGAGGGCCTGGCTTTACAGTACAGTGCAAACATAACTTTTATATGCACTAGGAAACCAATAAAATTGTGTGACTCGCTTTATTGCAATATTCACTCAGGTGGTCTGGAACCAAACCCACAATATATCTGAGGTATGCCTGTACTGTTTTATATATTTTTTGTAAAATGCTTTGAAGCATTTGTTGTTGTTGTTGTTACAACCAAGTGGTGTATAAATTTTATGAAAGAAAATGGACTAAACTGCCAATATAGCTTTATGCAGAGTCAAACCACTGGTCCATCTAGCTCAGTTCTGCTTACACTGACTGGCAGAGGCTCTCCAGGGTTTCAAATGGGGAATGTTCCCAGCCTTACGTGGAGATGCTAAGGAATGAACCCGGGACCTTCTGCATGCAAAGCAGACGCTCTACGCCTGCGCTAGGATCCTTCTCTCAAGGCTGCTCCTGCTCCTTCTTGCTCTCGTCACTGCAGCCCTACTAAAACCTTGCAAGCAACAGAAGAGAAGCCAGGGTCCCTGGGCAGTAGGTCAGCAGCTGTGGGTCACCTGCTGGGGTGAGGAGCCTCAGCAGGTGCCCAGGGATGCCAATGCTGGATGCCATCCCTGCAGGTGTATCTGATTAGCAGCAGTTGGTCTGGCAACCAGGTTTTCTGAGAGAGAAGTTCCTGAGCCGACAAACCAGAGGGAAACAAGAACCTTTGCAGGTTGAATTCTTGACATTTTGCTGCGTCAAGTCCTCCTTTCCTCCCCCTGCTGCTTCCTGTGCTGGCCTAGGTCCACCCTCCACCGCCTCCCGCAATCAGAATTATGAACAAACCTCATTAGGAAGTCCTTGAGAGCACACACTTTTTAGCTGCTTTGTGCATGGCAAGGTGGGATGGGGAGGACATTCAGGGTGGGGTGTGTGTGTTTGAGGACTCTTGCTTCCCAGCAACCCCCATCCGTGCTCCTTAATCCCCCCTCCCGGCTCATGAAGAACTCAGAAAATACCTCTCCCCCTGTAGTGTCTTTTTCCTACCTGGACTGACATGTCACAATGCCCGGATTGTCAGCGCCTTTGCTCTAAAACTCTAGTTCCTGCTTGCTTTGCTGGTGTGATGGGACAATTGCAAAGGGGTGTGTGTGTGTGTTTCGATTTTACAAAACCTGTGGACCCCAGGGATGCAGGCAAAGGAAAATCCCCCTTGTAAGGTTGGCTTTCGTGATGCGTTTAAGGGAGAAGGTCTAGAAATAAGCACTAAAATGTGTGGATTCTCCTGGGATATTTATCCACATAATAAATTTCTAATTTGATACCCAATTAACCAGGGAGCAGACTTTCTGAACTCCTATCTTGTGCTACTATTATATTTACTATACTATAGGCTCTATATAAACTCCAAAACCTGAATTCTATACAGTGTGGCTGGGGGGTGGGTGGGTTGTGTGTGCATAGGTGCATTATTACACTAATGTAATAATATGCAGGATGTATAATTTGTGTAAAAGTGTGTGTGTAATTCAAAAAGGCAATTCTTAGATTTTTTTTATAATGGTATAACAAGTGGTATAAGGCCCCCTCAGCCAGCTTCATGGCAGGGGGTTAGAACTAAGTTGACTAGTTATACTATTATAACTGAACTCTTTTATTTTATTAAGAAGAATGCCCCCTCATCATCATTGAACTAGTCAACTTAGTTCCAACCCCCTGCCATGAAGCTGGCTGAGGGGGCCTTATACCACTTGTTATCTCTCAGCCTATGTGGGGTGACATAGCTGTAGCTCTCCAGGGGTTGGACTACAACTTCCATCAGCCCTAGCCAGCATGGCCATTCATCAGGGGTAATGGGAACTGGAAGGACCACAGGTTCGCCATAGGTTCTCTTGGTGGGCTACTTTGGGAATTAAACTACATTGTATCCCATGCTGAGCTCCTTGGTGGAAGAGAAGGCTAAACATGTGATCCATCACTCATTCAACCAATCAATAAAATATGCATCTGCCTAACCCAAAAAACAAACAAACAAAAAAGCCCTCATCAGCTTCTGCTGATGTCAGTGAGGACAAAAGGAAGCCACACAAGCATACTTCTCTCTAATGGCACAAAAGGAAAGTATTACTCAGGTGAAACACATCCGTCCCATATTGCAATGCCCAGAATGTGGAGGACAGGACTCCTGAACCTTTAATACAGGATTTTGCTGCAGAGACAATGTTCAGCAGATGTCGTTTGTCATGCAAGCTCCACCTGCTAATATACTCTCAATTAAAGTCCAGGAGCCCTTTTCTGTTTTGCAGTTGGCCACTGTGCTTTTTACACAGTGGCCACACAGTGTATAATGTATTGTGAACTCACAAACCAGGGAGTGTTGGGCTGTTCTCTCTCTCTCTCTCCCTCCCTCTCTCAGAAGCAACCCCATAAGTGCATGCCAACTGGAAGCCCATGTCACAAGGGGTTGGCCATGCCATTTCCCCCGGAAAGATCCTGTGAATGGGTTGCTTTGTGTCCTTACTACTCATGAAATCATCACGTGCTCACAACAGGAGAACATTGAGAATATCCCTGCTGAATCAGGATAAAGACCCATCTAGTCCAGCATCCTGCTCTTACAGTAGCCAGCCTGATACCTGTGAGAAACCCACAAGCAGGACACCTGAGCACAAGAGTCCTCTCCCATCCAGCCGTTTCTAGCAAACGTAGGGCTACCATCTTTTCCCAGACATTACTGGAAGTTCAAAGGCGGAATTGATGTCCAGGAATTTCCAAAAAGTGCTTTGTCCTAGATCTTAGAGAAGTGAACCGAAAAATCATGGTTTCTTGGGTTTTGCTTTTTTAAAAATGCTCAGCAACTTTGTGTTTTGTCTTAGCTCAACAACTTTCGGGGTGTCCTGTTTTTTACTTTTTGAAATAGTGCAACCCTAAGCAAACGATACTTAGAAGCATCAGAGCTAGTAGCCACTGATATCCTTAATCTCCACGAATTTGTCTGATCCTCTTTCAAAGCCACCCAGCTTGGTGGCCGTCACTGCCTCTTTGCGGGAGCCAATTCCATCGTCTCCAGAGTCCAACACAATTCCTTAGAAACCCCGAGTACCAGCTTAAAATGTTGGGAGAGGCCCCGCGCGGAGATAGAGGAACGGTCGCCTTGCAGAAAAGCAGAAAAGCTATGGATCAGCAGCACCTCCCCGCCCCTCTTGTTACGCAACACACCCTGGAGTGCCCGAGTAATCGGGTGCTGCTGGGCTGTATCGTGGGAACGAGCGGAATCCATTCCCAGGTCTGCAGGTGTCCTACTGAGCAGTTTCTCAGGAGACCTCTCTCTCTCTCTCTCCCGCCCCCAACTGATCTCCCAGCCCCGCGCGCGTCTGAGGTCTCGGGAGGAGCAGCAGCATCTCTTTGCCTCCGCCAGCAAAGAGGCACCTCCGCGCCGCTGTCTGTTTGACCTGCTGGGTCTGCAGTTGCTCCGCTCCCTAAGCCCTTCCCAGCTTCCTCCTGCCTCTGCTTAGTTAAGTACTTTTGAAAGATTAATGACGGAGCTGTTTGCCTGCCTTCCTCTTGGGACGCGCCCGGGACTTGCAGGGAACTCGCTCGCACACACGCTCTCCCGTTGCTCGCTCTGCTTTCTCCAGAGAGAGACGCAAAGCCCTCGTTCGTATTTATTGTGTCATTATTATTATTTTTCCTCCAGACGTCCGTCCGTCCTCATTAGAGTGTATTTCTCTTCCCAGCCCTAAAAATAAGAACGGGTCGATACATTTGTCCTCCTCCTCCTCCTCTCTCTTTTCCTAGTTTCCGTTCTTTCTTTTATTCTTTTTCTTTCGTGCATTCTTTCTCTCCCTCTCCTCCTCTCGACCTCTGCTTTCCTCCCAATAAAGCTCTCTGTCCGCGCACTCTTTATCTGTCCGCCTATCCATCCCCCACACCTCTCTAATCTCTTATCTAGATCCCCCCCCCCTCACACACACACACTCGCTCGCTCACACTCACACACGCGTAGATTGAGTCCCTTAATCCCGCGCCGGAGTCCTGCGCTCTCCGCGCGCGTCGCTGTCCGCGGTGCTGAAATCCCCTCTCCGGGCGCCGCCCAGTTCTCTGGGACGCTCAAAGTTCTCCGCCGGCCCGGAGCAGCGCCGCGCCTCCCCTCGCAAACCCTCTCGGGGCCGGGAGCGAGAGGCGGACCCGAGCCAGGCTGGTGGAAATCTTGCCTGCGGGGAGGGAGCAGTTGTCTAGGTGTGCGTGTGAAAGAGAGAGAGATCAGATGCCTCTGCAGCGTCCCACGCAGGACACGGGCATTAGTGCATGTGGGCAAACGCTTCCCCAATGACGCTTCAAGCCCGTGTCGGTGGCGGAACGGGCACGGGGCCAGGCAGGCAGAGCCGGTGATGGTTGCATCCCCACGCACCGTTCCTCAAGTTGAGATCGTGGTGCCATAAGAGAGAGGGGGGGGGTAAAAGAAAAGGATTTGCGCTGCAGGAAGAGGGAGGAAGAGGAAGAGGGGGAAAGAAGAGAGAGAGAGAGAAGGAAGGAAGGAGAAGAGAGGACAGAGAACGAGAGAAGGAAAGAAGAAAGGGGAAACGGACAAATAAAGAGATCCTATTATCTATCCATCGACCGCACCAGCAGCGACCTCGCGCCCTCCCCAAAGAAGCCTCCGCGATGTTTTGGTGGAGTCTTTAATTTATTTTTAACCTCCGTGTCGCCAAAGGTGATACTGGGACGTAGCCCGGGGGCACCCTGCCTCTTTCTCTTAGCAGAAGAAGCCAGAAGCCATGGAGATTCGGACAGACGAATTAAGGAAGTTCGCTGGAAGGACCTTAGGGCAGTTAAACAGGTAAGGTTTGGAGTGTGTGTGTGTCTGTGAACAAGATTTTCAACGTTGGAAGGAAGTTTAATGCAATGTTGGGAAGACGAGGTGGAGGAGCGCTGGTTCAAAGCTCCAGTTTAGCTTTACCCACAAACAATATTCTGTGTATTTCTACTTCTTGAGCTTATTAATAAATGTCCTTGGGTGTGTGTGTGGAGTGCCAATGGTTCAGATCTGAAGTGGGAATGCTCACTCCTTGTACACTCATAGTCCCATATGCAGACCCAGATGCTCACATCCCTGTGCGCACGTAGGCTCACAAGTGTGCCCTTGCATTCGCACTAACGCAGCCTATTGCAACAACCCCTTGTGCTCCCTCTCTGTCACCACGGCTCCCTCGTCCCAGCAATATGATCTAGTGCAAATTCTCTTGTTTGCGGTCAGGATAGGAAGTGCGGCATAATGGCTAGAGTGCTGCGATTAGCCAGTGGAGAGGCTTAGGCTCCAAACCCCCACTCAGCCAGGAGGCTCGCTGGGTAACCTCAGGCCAATGGCCACCTCTCAGGTCAAACCTACTTTGCGGGGCTGTTGTGAGGATGACATGGGGGGTGAAGAGAATATGTCACATACAGTCTTGAGGGTCACACCCTATTGTCACAGGCCCACTTTCCAGCTGCAGACACACCATATGTTTAAAGTGCAGTTCTCTCTCTCCCCCTCCCCATAAATCCTGGGAACTGTAGCATGTTAAGGGTCCTAGGACTTGTAGCTCCACAAGGAGTAAACTTCAGGATTCTTTGGGTGGGGCAAGTGTGTTTTAAGTGTGCTTTGAATGTATGGTGTGTGAGCAGCCTTATTATCTTTTCTGACACTCTTCCACAAGCTCTCTCCCTCAACATACCTCTTCCTTTTCCTCGCAACTTTTGTCCTGCACGTACATCATCTCCACCGCAGCCCTAGTCACCCCTCCCTCTCCACCAATCCACCTTCCATCCAGTTTATTTTTAAAACTCTCTTCCCTTGCTTTTAGCCAGATGGAGCCTCTCTCACTCTCTCTCTGCTGCAAACCTGGGCATTTGGGTGTCTTTTGCATCATCCTGTTCTGCTTGTTTGCTTGAACCACATGTGCAAAACAAATGTTTGTTGTTATTGCTTTGGCCTTACCAATTGCATTAAAAAAAAAACCCTTCTCTCCTCCCCCCCTGGCACTTTTGGCTTTACCATGTCACCACTTAACACTTAACTCTTACTAACCTTTGCATGTTGGGTCATCAGGAAAGCAGGGAGTGGTGGGGGGGTGGAGAAAGAGGTAAATGCAATAAAAACAAGAGGAGGGAAACAATTTTCTATTTTTAACCTTCATCCATTCATCTGTCCACCCCCCTCCCGTGCGGTAATCTCCCCCGCCAACCCCACAACGCACACAACTCCCCAATGTATCTAGGTTTATTTATTTATTTTGCCAGGCTGAATGCTCCGTGTTCTTTTTCCCCTTGATTAAATTTGATCTCTCCTCCACCAGCACAGGGGAAATAATAGAGAGGAGAGGAGAGCAGCCCCTGAATGGGCTTAAAAACAGTCAGATAGGAGGTGGGCGGGAGAGAGCAGTGGCGATTATGAATGTATCAAACCCATATTATCTCCTTAAGCCTACCGGGGGTTGAGTTCGGAGAGGTTGCCTGTTTCTCTAGGGTGGGGAAATGGAGCTGGTGGAAAGGAGAGCAAGCGAGGAATCCCTCAGGAGTTGAGCAAAATGAGCTGTGGATCCTCAAGGCTCGGGGCAACCAAACCCACCATAGCTCAACACAACCCTAATTTAGGGATCAGTAGGGTCTAGATACTTGGCACAGGCCCAACTGAAGAAGCAAACTTTTCAATAAGGAAGGGGCAACGGGGCTTGCCATTTCACCAACCCTCCTCCTCCTCCTCCTCCTCCTCCTCCTCCTCCTCCTCCTCCTCCCAGGTTTCTGTCAAACCAAAGCTCTCCAGGTCTCAGAGAGGTCACACAAGGTCCTGATTGATGCAGCTAGAGGATGGTTGCTTTCTTTAAAAAAAAAAAGTTAAGCCAAGCAGGGGAAATAATAAAAAATTAAAATTCCCAGCCCACCTTGGATACGGGAGCGAAGGTTGGCGGCCATAGCAAAATTGCTTTACATAACTGGCATGAGTTCCAGTTTGAAATATGCACCGTCATAGCAGAACTTCATAAAATATTCACCAGAGTTATAAGTGGCTACGCGGAGATCTCTCTTGCCTCTCTCTCCCTATATATAAATATATTTACTCACATATATTCTGTGGCTCTTGACGTGTTTGGCTGAGATGGATAACTGTGCAGATGCAATGGAACGTCCTTCCCCCAAATGTGGATGCCTGGGGACATCAGAAGCATTTATAAAGCATGTTTCTAATAGGGAAATTCTATAACTAGGCTTGCCATATTTTTTAGGAAAACCCCCAAGTTGTTCAATTGTCTTGCCTAAGATCCAAAGGTTTCTAGACCTTATGGCAGCAGAGATGAATTTGGAATCAGTCTTAATTATGCAAAATATACTCTAAAGGGTTTATTTTTCACAATCCATTTGGGTGGCAGAATCTGGCTTTTCATCCTGCAGAATTCAGATTGCATTTGGATGTTTTTGAGGGCTGGGTAGGTCCCTGCACATCAGGGATGTGAAACTCTTTTCTGCTTGAGGGCCACATTCCCTTCTGGGCAACCTTCCAAGGGCCATATGGTGGGCGGGGCCAGAGACAGGTGTGGGTGGAGCAACGCATGCAAATATTGCCTTTGCACAGTAGGCCAGTTTCTACACACACTCAAGTGACCCCGTCTACCCTCCGTCTAGACAAGCAAGAGGCATGATCAGAGTTCAGGGGCACATTCCGACCAGGCAAAAACTCTTGGGGTCTGATGCTTGGCCAGCGAGACAGTGAGGACTTGAGAGAATCCAGAGAGCCAGATAGAAAAGCCAGGAGGGCCACATTTGGCCCCTGGCTTCGAGGTTCTCCAGCCGCACTGTATATAATCCTTTTATAAAATGTCTGTTACAAAGGCAGGGTCTAGGATGGGGGTCACAAGATCTCACTGCAATGGTGCATCCAGGCTGAGGGTTTTTAGACCTGCCCATTCCTTGTTCTCCTACTGACAGCTAAAACCACTTTCCATGCCTCATCAAGTACTGCCATCTTCCGCCATGCCAATTTCCCCTCACTTTTTCACAGGGCAAAGAGTGGGAATTCTGCATTTAAATCCCTGGTGTAGAAGTGCCCTTAGTCAGAAACAGCTACCCACAGAATTAGGCTGGATTGAGCCCGGGGCAGAATTAAGCCAAACATTATCATAACTTTCAACTCAAATTTGGACTGATGGAAGGGGAGGAGGGCAATTAGCCCTCCCTCCATCAATTTAAGGGTGGGGTTAGGTGGGTTTTTATTTTATTTGTTTAAGAAAATTATATACTACTTGGTTGTAAAAAAGAAACAACCCTCCACATGATTTACAGCAATAGAAAATAAAACATTGAAAGCTGTTGTTAAAACAGGTATTAAAATATTTCAAAAGGTGATGAAAATCAACAGTAGTTTAAAAAAGAAGAAGATGAAAACAGTTCAGCATTCTACAGACTTGCCCAAACAAAATTGTTTTTAAGCAGCTGCTGAAAAGAGCACAGTGAAGTCACCAGCCCAATGTCAACAGCGAGTTCCAAAGTGTAGTGGGGCCACACAAAATGTTCAGTTTCTTACAGGCATGAAGCAAGTATTAAGTAGTACTTATAGCAGTGCCAGTTCTGCAGATCAATGTGGTTTAGTGGGCCCGGTATGGGGTGAGGTGATCTTGCAAGTAAACTGGTCCCAAAGCTGGGAGGAAATTCGTCACCGTGGCCTTGTGGTTCCCCTTCCAAAATTTCTACGTTACTTGAGGGCGTAGGGTCAGCTTAAGGGGAGCTCCTTTTTCGAGGGGCGGAATGGCACCTTCCACTGGTGACCATCATTAGTTCCTGGAAACTCCCATCAGTGTCATTACAGAACATCATTCTGGGGACTTTGGGTGGGTGTTTCGGAAGTGACATCTGCCAACAGCCAACAGCTGTTTGGAGAACCTCTGGCTTTGGCTGTGACTTCCGCCTCATCCCGTCAAATCGTCCCAAGCCCCCTTCACTTTGCAGCCTGCAACTTGGGAGGCAGGTCTTTTGAGGACCAAGCCTATGAATGCTCACTTGAGTCAGAAGTCAGTCCAAAATGATGAGGTTCAGGTAGGACATTCCAAGATGAGCCTCAGTACTCTAAGGGTGGTGGTAGCTCACTGGAAAGGATGGCTTAGGAACACATGACATTCTCAACCCTGGGAGTCTTTGAGAAACGGCCAGGCTAATATTTCAGCCTGATTCCTTTAGATGGGTTTGATTCATAAATCAGGAGGAGGCGTTGGATCAGAGGTGGCCAAGGGGTGGCCAATGAGCCACATGTGCCCCCAAAGCAACTTTATTTCACACACACACACACACACACACACACACACACACACACACTGCCCCAGTAGCCGTACTAAATTTTAATCTAGGTGTGACATCGGGTGATCTGCATTTCATCAGGGAGATGCAATGAGGCTGTCTGTGTATTTCATGCAAGTTTTATTGCATTGCTCTCTCGTGGCCTCTTAAAGGAAACTTTCAGGAAGCACATTCATTCTTCAGCACTGTTCCTTTCATTAATGGTGACCTCATAATAACTAGGAATATGTGTCCTCTATATGCTGGTGCCTCAAGGACCTTGTCCCCTGCCCCCCGAAGCTTGGGATTGGGATTTGGGGCCATCTCCATAGGCCCACACCCCAGCAGGGTCTCCCCAGCTCCTCTCCATGGCCCCGATCCTTTTGCCTACTCACTTGCAAGCAGGGGCACGAGCAAGGCAAAAGCGTAGCAGCCTGCCTTTGCTTGCCTTCTCTGCTCCTTATGGACAATGACGCCAATTGGGCTTACGGGAGAATAAATCAAACAGGCAGAGCTGATGGTGGCAAGGAGGTGGGATCATTTAGGAAAGTGGGGAGCCCAAGCCCACCACACAGCTCTGAAGCAGACAGTGTGATCCTGCCTGCTTTAGGGGAAATAGATGGATTCCTTTCTAAAACGTGCATTTTTGGGTACTGATGTGCATCTTTGAGTCAAGAATCAGAGGAATTCAAGACGGAGGGGATAAACGCATTCTGACTTGGGTGGTAGAGTTTGCATTTAAAGGTGGACTTAATGGTTCTGCGCTTTCCAAAACAATACCAAAACAGAAATGCAGCCTGCCTTCAAAATTTGCTCTTAAAAAAAATAAATCCTATGCAGTTCTCCAGCCAAGTATTACGTTTTTCAAAAATGCATATACTAGGGGAAAGTGTGTATAAAAATGCACATATTAGTGAAGATAACTTTCATAACACTTTGCAAAAATGTGTTTGGGGGGGAGGGAGGACAATCTTACAACAATGTGCATATTAGGAAAAATTAAGCCAAAAATTATCATTAATTTTTATAAGGACTGATAAAACACACAAAAACAGAAATGTGCAGAACTGGACTTAGGACTGTGGAGAAAAAGAAATAAACTGAAATGCACCGATTTGCCCATTCCTAATTCTTATCAAAGTCACTAGTCTGGGAGGTGCAGTTCAGGTGTCTTATCTTTAAAAAATGCAGACTCAAAGAAATCCCTGCTGGGCAGATGGACTTTGGTGTGAGTGACCCAGACAGGCACAATTCCTGTGTTAAGGTTCAAGACACCCTCATCCCGCACCAGCTACGTCATCCTGACTAATAGCAAATCATTTCCCAAAGCTAACAAGGCAGCAAGGCAAATTTTGCGTGTGAAATGGGTGCCCCTAGGCAGTCAAAGCTGCCCTGTCTTTGACAGCCAAGGCTGGGGGTGAAGTGGAGAAAGGGACGGATTCAAAAGCCTGAAGGTTGTTACAACAGTTTTCGAGTGCATTTTCTGCTAACCTGATCCTCAGTGCACACAGTGGCAGAGGGGGAAAGGGGGACTTTTTCATTAACTGGGGGCGTATTTATGTCACCAATCTGGAATGACGAGGCAATGCAGAGTTTGATGTTTAATTCTAATTTCTTTCGTACAAAAGGATGAGCTCCCCACACGCTTCCCATGAACTTTGTCCGTATAAACTCAAACTCCTGAGTCTCCGTCACCTATAGCATGACCTAAGCCTTTCCATTTCCTTACCCATTTGTTCATGAGGCAAGAGCGTTGGCCTGTGGCGGAGAGGTCCAAGTTCAAATCCTCGCTCAGCGCTGATTCTTAATGGGTTAATGCTCGGCCTAGTCTTTCTCTCAGCCCATCCTGTTGCCCAGGGCTGTGGCGAGGATAAAATGCTTAGTGGGGTCTTTGTATGCTACTCAGATCTCCTTGGAGGAAATAAATGAAATTAAAAATAATAAATCTGTTCTCCTGCGGCTCCCTTTACTCTTTCTTCACATATCTTCCCTAATCATAGCTTGATTCCAAAGCAGAGTCAGAAGCCATTGCTGGTTTTGGAGGCAAAAATGGCGAGTGGTAACCATGGTTTGCCAGATTTGGATGTCCCAGTAAACTATGGTTCCCATGACCCAATAAGTGCAGGAAGAAACTGAAGCCTGTCTCTTACCCCTCCACTCAAGTCTTTAGCACTTTCCAGATATCTATCCCATTGTTTATTTCTGCACCATCATTGTTACACATCAAGGCCTGATTAAGACATGCGCATATATATATATGGATGCGGGTGGCACTGTGGTCTAAACCACAGAGCCTAGGGCTTGCCGATCGGAAGGTCAGCAGTCCGAATCCCTGTGCTGGGGTAAGCTCCCGTTGTTCAGTCCCTGCTCCTGCCCACCTAGCAGTTCGAAAGCACGTCAAGTGCAAGTAGGTAAATAGGTACCACTCCAGCGGGAAGGTAAACGGCGTTTCCGTTTGCTGCTCTGGTTCACCAGAAGCGGCTTAGTCATGCTGTCCATATGACCCAGAAGTGGATGCCGGCTCCCTCGGCCTATAGAGCGAGATGAGCACGCAACCCCAGTCATTCGCAACTGGACCTAACGGTCAGGGGTACCTTTACCTTTACAGTGGTACCTCGGGTTACATATGCTTCAGGTTACATACGCTTCAGGTTACAGACTCCACTAACCCAGAAATAGTACCTTGGGTTAAGAACTTTGCTTCAGGATGAGAACAGAAATCGTGCTCCGGCGGCGCGGCGGCAGCAGGAGGCCCCATTAGCCAAAGTGGTGCTTCAGGTTAAGAACAGTTTCAGGTTAAGAACGGACCTCCGGAACGAATTAAGTACTTAACCCAAGGTACCACTCTATATAAATATAATAAGATGACTGCTGTCATCACAGATGACTTGCATGTGTGAATAGGCAATCACAGATCTAGCCACAGCAACAGAAGTAACACATCACCACACACATATCGGAGTTAGTTCACACATTCACCTGCCAGTCATAAAATGCAGATAAATCAAGTGATGTCCTTGCATTTAAGAACCTGGTCCTAATACATCACTATCTGTCAGTTTGTTATCCATACATATACATACATCATCCACCCGCTTTGTCTCTTTATAACTCCCATTACAACTAACCACCCATCCATCCATCCATCCATCCATCCATCCATCTGTGGCTATCCTCTTTCTGCCCACTGTCTCCTTTTCCTTCCCATTCTCTCCTTCTAACTTTGGCTGCTACCACCTACTTCTGAAATTCACAGCAGACTATGATACATACACAGACACATATATCTATAAAGTCCCCTAACTGGAGAAAATAAGCAATGCATAGGCTCAGTTCAAACGTAAAAAATCTTGGTCCAATGAACCATGGCTTACTGGGCAAAGATTGAGCAGTGTACCCATATCCTCCCTCTTCCTTTCATGCAGCCAGTTTCAGTGCTTATATCCTGTTTTGTTAAACCACAATTTCCCTTGACACCTGAATGAGGAAAGGGTGGTTTTGATGGCTCCCAACAAAACGGGATATGAAATCAGGATCTAATTCTGCTGTTGATTTCAGCAGCACTGCAGTGTGTGACTAACTCTCTCTCCACTGAAGCTAAGGTGTTAAAACCTTTCCTTTCCTCTTCCCCTTTTCCTGGCGTTCATTCTTGTCTTGCATGCCTTTCATCCTGGTGTTGTGGGTCATTTAGGCCAGACTTTTCCCAAAGGTCCTTCTTCCACTCTTAGCGCTCCCCAGACCAACACCTTTCCCAATCTAGTGCAAAAGGGTGATATCAACCCTACATCAATCAGTACCAGCGGCCAAAGAACTCTGGGAACTGCAGTTTTGTGTGGATCCTGACATTTCCCTAGTCATCTGTCCATCTAGTTCACCCGCCTGCCCATGCTACCTCCCAATCTCGCCTTCCACCTACCCAGCCCAGAGTTATGGCTCTGTCACAGTCAAAAATGGAGTTTCCAAGTTGACTCCAGCCAAATATATCTCGGCACCTTCAACGCCTGTAACAGAGGGAGAATCGAAGCTGTATCACTCATTTGCCGGCTCCCTTTTTCTCTGGAGCCGGCCGACGGCTGTAACATTTTGTGTGCGTTTGCAGAGAATAAGACAGCTGGCCCCAGAGCTAATCCTCCGCCTAGCATCCGGCATAAAATCTTTTCATAGATGCTGTTTGGCTTTCCCGCCCCCAATACTCTAACCCTTATATAATGTGACTGTCTCTGGATGTGTGTGTGTGTGTGTGTGTGTGTGTGTGTGTGTGTGTGTGTGAGAGAGAGAGAGAGAGAGAGAGAGGGTTTGTGCATTCAGTGGATAGAAGAAGTTCAGTTGCCAGTGCTGTACCTGAAAAACAAAACAGAATTAAAACACACACACACACACCGAGTGGGGAAATGTGTGGAAATTCACCCTGTCAGGTTCTCAGCTATGACTGAGACATTTTAGCATGTGGGAAAAGGCTTCTCAGATGTATAAGCCCACACAATTAGCCTTTGGCAGATGGACCTGTTACATGATTTAAGTGGGGCCTAAATCAGCAGTTCTTGTTCTCAGGGCATCTTATTGTGATAATCACTTATCTAAGAAGGGAAAAAAGAATGAAAGAATGCCGTTTCCTTGTTTAATAATAAGTGAGCCAAAGGCTTCCCTATTGACAAACATGTGCTGCAATTATAAATGTGCTTACAAGAGAGTAAGTACCCTGCCGAGTAGACATACAAAATATTGCACCGCTGAGCCTGTTTTGTGACTGTATTACTTGTCATGCAGCTGCCAAAGGAGCCTGGGAATTTGGGAAAACCGCAGCTTAGGGGCTGTGCGTGGCCCTCCACTCCTTTACACGTGGCGCTTCAGATGCTGTGGGCCCACTCTTGCTACCTCTGAAGGCAGCCCTGTTCAGGGAAGTTTTTATTGTGTGACATTTTAATGTATTTTTAATCTTTGTTGGAAGCCGCCCAGAGTGGCTGGGGAGACCCAGCCAGATGGGCAGGGTACAATTATTATTATTATTATTATTATTATTATTCCTGGATGCACACACACCCCAGGACACACATCATGTGCATGTAAGAAAGAGAGAAAGGGAGGTGGGAATGCTTCACCAAAAAAGAGGTGAGAAAAGAGGACAGATATTTGCATGGAATTTGCACATGTTTATTTACTTATGCAATTTATATACTTCTTAGATATCATATTCTATAAAAACTACAAAATCAAACTTCAGTTAAAATGCCTGCTGAAATAAAAAAGGGCTTTCAGTCGGTGTCAGAAGTTCAGCAGGAAAGGGGGCTTGCCTGACCTCAACTAGGAAGAAGTTCCATAAAATTGGGTCCACAATACTAAACTCATGACTCCTGGTGGATGCGAGCTTTGCACCCAAGCCATAGGGGGCCACTAACAGTGACTCTCCCCAAGACCTCAGTGATTGGGCATGGATATAAGGGATCAGGTGGACTGTCCTTTGTAAAGTAGGTCACATGGCCATTGCACCATCAACAAGCAAAACTTAGGTTGCATCATTCATTCATTCATTCAACAAATACACCTGCTGCTAAGGAACCTGCAGTGGTTTGAATTGGGTAATGAAGGTTGTGTATACTTGTTGTTAAAACTGTTCATTTATTCATCGCTTGAGCATTCACACTTTTTAATCTTAATATATCAAATAGATATTGTTATATTCATTAGACTGACTGCCAATCTGCCCTCCTCACCCTGCTGAAGGAAACTTGAGGCACTATCATTGTCCTGATCTGCCTTACCTTCTGTCTCCTTACCTGAACTTCCTAATTTCCCTTCAATTCCACCTCCCCCCGACTCTGCTCACCCTCCTGTCTGTCTGACCAAAGACCAGTTACTAGAGAGCAGCACTGGAAGAGTGCTAGGGCTCTTGTCTCAAGCTTACGGGCTTTGGTGGGGCAACTGATGAGCCACTATGAGGAAAGCACAATGCTGGAATGGCTAGACCTATGGGCTTTTATTATGTTCTTAGGATGCTGGTGGCTCTGTGGTCTAAACCACTGAGCTTCTTGGGCTTGCCGATCAGAAGGTCGGCGGTTCGAATCCCTGCAACGGGGTGAACTCCCGTTGCTCTGTCCCAGCTCCTGCCAACCTAGCAGTTTGAAAGCATGCCAGTGCAAGTAGAAAAATAGGTACCACTGTGGCGGGAAGGGAAATGGCGTTTCCATGCGCTCTGGCTTCCGTCACAGTGTTCTGTTGCACCAGAAGCAGTTTAGTCGTGCCGACCACATAACTCGGAAGGCTGTCTGTGGACAAACACCGACTCCCTTGGCCTGAAAGTGAGTTAAGCGCCACAACCCCATAGTCGCCTTTGACTGGACTTAACCATCCAGGGGTCCTTTACCTTTTACCTATTATGTTCTCACTCTTTACACACCCTTAATTGGCTAGAAGCCTGCCCTAGCTTTAAAAAGCAATGGTGTTGAATTTCAGCTTGTGGAATAGACTCGTGCCTGGATTGTGACAATTTAGTTCTGAAATTTACTTAATTGGCTGGGTGGGATTGAGGAGACATTGCAGACATTAAGTGTTCCCAGCTAGCTGCTCAGATTATATTTTAGGTAGAAAAGCAAAGTAGAAATCCTAAGGAGGGAGGATTTTTGAGGCACCAGATCAATATTCAAAGCATTTTCCCTCACTGGGTTCCCACCACTCAGTGATTTCAACCACCCAGTGATTTAATAATAATTTTATTTACACCCCGCCCATCTGGCTGGGTTTCCCAGCCACTCTGGATGGCTTACAGCATATATTGAAACATAATAAAACATCAAATATTAAAAACTTCCCGATACAGGGCTGCCTTCAGATGTCTTCTAAAAGTTATGTAGTTTTTATCTCCTTGACATCTGAAGGGAGTCAAGGGAGTTCCACAGGGAAGGCGCCACTACAGAGATTAAAGTAAGTCAGGAGCTGGGCATTGGAGGAGGAAGGGGGTGCAGTAGGAGCGGCCTGCCCTGGGTGTCATCCCTGAAGGGGTGTGACATGGCCCCCCCTATCACCCTGGGACGCTCGCCCCGCCCCGCTCTGGGTGCCAGAGCAGCTAGCTCCGCCTTTGGAGCTGTGTACGCTGATGAAAATTTCTGCAGAGCATCTTCCCTGTTACCGACACCATAACAATAGCCTTACATAGCAAAGGGTGGAGGAGGAAAAAAGGCATCCTTATGCACTTTGCTCTCGTGATCATGCCCACTTCCTGTTTCTCAGGGAGTGAAATTGACCAGGCCAGGCAGAGGGTGAAACTTATGATGATCCATCCAATCCATTACACAAACCCTTCCATGGAATTGTTTGGGGAGGGAAGTAGTGGAGAATGGAGATCAAGACGAGAATCAACAGGCTTCTGCCAGGCCACGCCTCCAGGAAGAAGAGACTCTCCCCATATATTTCCCCCCCCATTATCTATAGTATGGCTCTCAAGATGTACTGGACCATTGCTAGGGGGAAGCACTCCCAAACTGCCCTAGTTTTGCTATCTCTGCAGAGCCTCCAAAGTTTACCGTCTGTGCAGAGCCCAACTCTTGTCTTATTCCACTGCCTTTTAGGAAGCTGCCTTGTACTGCTCTGTGGTCTCTACGCTGCCTGGCAGTGGCTCTCCAGGTTTTGGGCCAGGAGATCTGTCCCAGCCCTAGCTGGAGATGCCAGGGATCAAACCTGGGACCTTCTGCATGCAAAGCAGACACTCTGCTACTTAGATGCAGCCCTCCCCTCCCCACCAATGTCCCACCATACGTCTTTTATATGTGGGTGGGTGTGTCGTGGCTGCTTCCCAGTGCGCCTCTTAAGGCTCTTATCTCCACCCTTTCACCCAACCAGAGAGCCAAGCTCATAGCTCTAGTGTGGGCATTTTAATATTATTAGCACACCACATTCCTAAAGATACACATGCGCAACAAAAAGCAAAATTGTTATCCTATTGCCATCTGTTGATGCCTAACAGTAGATTTTAAGGCTTCTTTTGTTTCTCGCTGTTCGTGAGTTCTCATCTTAATTGACATGCAGCTGGCTGCTTGCCAAGCTTATCTCGCTTATTTCAATTAACTTGCAGAGAATCTCTTGAAAGAACAGTGGATTTGTGCGCTAGCAGCTCAGCTCTTGCTAGTCTTGTCCACCCTAATCGGAGGTGCTCTAATATGGCCTAGCAGCTCAGTTCCAGTCAAAGCTTATCTAAATTTGCAAAGGAGCACTTTTCAAAGTTTGGCGTTAGGATCCAGTAGCTCCACTCTGGCCATTATTATTGCAGTTATCCTGGTGGCCTCACAGAGGAGAATTTTCAAAGAGCTTTGGTTTGCTACAGCACCTCAGCTTTTGCAAAGTTCATCTTGATTTTATTCTGTGAATCACCCTGAGATTTTTTTGATGGAGGGTGGTATACAAATTTAATTCATAAATAAACTGCCAATAACATCAGCTAAGATGCTTCAAGAAAGAAAGAAAGAGACTCTACCTAGATAAGTATGCTGCAATGAAAGCAAGGTAGGAAGTAGACTGCAAGGAGGCGAAACTGTAAGGAGATTGATTGAATCAAACGTTAATTGTATTGCGTGCAGAGATATCAAAAAGCTCACCTCCCTCCCTCCACCTGGGTGAAAAGGTACAGGCCAGATATAACTGTCAGAATTCCACCTTAGCAAGTAACACAACTGTCAGGGACTCTGGGCTATAACCTAACTCAGGGGTAGTCCACAGGGTTCCCTTCCTGATCATGCGGGACTACAACTCCCAGAATCCCCTGCGAGAATGGCCAATAGTCAGGGATGATGGAAGCTGTATTCCAACAGCATCTGGAGGGAACCATGTATTCTGAGGCTATGGATGCCCAGGCTTCAGAGTCCTGTTTAGGAACGGAAGGGAATAGGAATGTAGAATAACAGATACTGTGATTGGCAGGTGATAAGAAGAAGCCTCTGGATTGGCCGGGCCTTCTATAAATTCTTGTAGCCTATCCCTCTTTGCTTTTAAAGCCATCTAAGCTAATTCCCACAGCCATATCACGCAGCTGCAGATCAGCCATGTGTTGTGTGAGAAGTATATTTAGTATGTTCGCCAATCAGTTTCACAGAGTTATCCTGTGATGAGATGGGAAGGAGGGGTGGAAAAAAGCTTTATCCACTTTCACTATACAGTGGTACCTTGGGTTAAGTACTTAATTCGTTTTGGAGGTCCGTACTTAACCTGAAACTGTTCTTAACCTGAAGCACACTTTAGCTAACGGGGCCTCCTGCTGCCACCGTGCCGCCAGAGCACAATTTCTGTTCTCATCCTGAAGCAAAGTCCTTAACCCAAGGTATTATTTCTGGGTTAGCGGAGTCTGTAACCTGAAGCGCCTGTAACCTGAAGCGTATGTAACCCGAGGTACCACTGTACCATGGATGGGGAACCCATGGTCCTCTGGGTGTTCTTGGACTACAATTCCCATCAGCTCTAGCCAGCATGGCCAATGGTCAGGGATGTTGGGAGTTGTAGTCCATCAATGTCCAGAGGGTCACTGCTTCCCTATCCACGTTCTGCATGTGCTTATAGAAGGTTCCTGGTCTTCTGAATCCCCTGTGTGTGTTTGCGTCTCTCTGTGTGTGACTGTTCAAATCAGGGTTCAAATCAAATTTTACAAATTATCTAGAATTTGATGCAATAACAGAGTTCAAATTAATCTGTCACAGTTTCAAAACACATCATATTTTGTTTTGGATATCCAAATTTGCAGGAGACAGAAAAAGGCAAGAATCTTTCCTCTTGCTGTTAAGTTGCAAAGCAATGAAACCTCGGTATTGTGCCAAATTCACAGGCCCCAGAGTCTTTCTGACATTTGTTTCAGCACATCACTTTGTCAATCCATCCACTGAAAGCAGTGAACTGTTATTTAGAGACACAGATGCCAATGTTAGCCAGTTAAGGCCCTTTCACGCAAGTGTATGTTGTGGGATTGGTGCTATTCGTATATGCAGGTCTGTGTGACATTGTTGGCCTCAAAATGCCAACCTGTATTTTCCCTCCCACTGAAGCTGGAAAACACAATAAGTTCAAAACAACAATGATGCGGTTGCCAAATTCACAATATCTGAGTGGCCCGTTTGAAGCACAGCAGAAGGTCAGAAGACCCCTGCTGGGTCAGGCCAAAGGCCCATCTAGTCCAGCATCCTGTATTCACAGTAGCCAACCCAGATCTCTCTTTGGAAGACCACAAGCAGGACCTCAGCGCAAGTTTACTCTCCCCGCCTGTGATTCCCATCAACTGGCATTGAGAGCCATACTGCCTTCAGACGTATTCTGCACTTTAGGCATTCTCAGAGGCTGTTCCTCCTTCTGACTTTGGCCAGGTCTATGTAGTAAAATAAAAACAGAAACCTATACATAACATCATTTTTAATGATAAATAAGTCAGTGGTTAAGCATTTCTCTTTCTGACCTGTTGGGCAGAGATGGCTCTCTTTTCTTTTGTTAAATTTATTTATTTGGTTTTTCAGATTAAAACTTTACAGTCGCATATCCAACATACAACATAAAAACAAGATTCCAATGAATCTCTTAAACTTCCCTCCTCCACTTTGTGGGTCCTACTGTTAATCATTTCCTCCTACATCTTTTATTATAATCAAAATCTTTTACTTCTCCATTGTATGCAAAATTCATCATTAAACTACAAGTGATACTCCAATCCTACTAATGATTTTAACTGTCTACAATGGTCTTTTAACTGTCTACAATGGTCTTTAAGTTATAAAATTTCCCCGTTCCTTATTAAAATTTTGGTCTTCCTGATTTCTGATTCTTCCGGTCATTTTAGCCATTTCGGCATAATCCATCAACTTGGTCTGCCATTCTACTCTGGTAGGGACTTTATCTACTTTCCAGAGCTAGTCTCAGTTTATTGGCAGCTGACTCCTTGGCAAGCTTGATCTTCAATTCTAAGCTTGAATTCTTACAAGGAGATGTGGCCAATGTCACTACTGCTCCTTTGGTGTCGTCACTCAGTGTTTGCAAGCTTCTCCTCATCTACATACCCCATGCTGGATCAGACCAAAGCTCCAGCTTGTTCATGACTCTCTGTCCAACAGTGGCCAAGAGATGCCCTTGGGATGTTTATAAGTAGGGGCCAGTGGATATGTTTCTTCTGTCACCACTGGCCCCAAGACACTCGTCCCCATGCCAGAAGAACCCAGGAGACCCAAATGCAAGGCAATGTTTAAAATAATTTTTTAAAAGAAGCAGCAAGAGGGGCGGGCAGAGAAAGCACAAGCAAAGTTTTAATTACATGAAATATAGATGGAGGAGGAAGCACTGAGTGCTAGAGGGGCATGAATTATTCAAGATGGCCTGGAGCAGGTTTAAAAGGCATCCCGCGTGCGCATTCCTGCGGTCCCTGGCCACCTTTGTTGCTCAGCATGACAGGAAAGGTTGCGAGACAAGGCACTTGCGTCTCCCAGCCAGCGCACCTTCGCTAGAAGCCATTACGTCGTGATGCCTCGGACTCACTCTGAACTGAAAACAATGGTTGCTTTGGGAGCAACGGATGCTCCCACCAAAGGGTTAATGTATGTGACCTGCCTGTTGCCTCCCTGAACACCCGGAATCTCCCAGAAGCTCAGCCATTGGCCGGTCCGCTGAGACAACACACGGAACCCTTGGGCACATTCCAACTGCTCTGGGGGAAAGCTTTCCGTGACTGCATGTTGACCGGCTACACTGTTCCTGGGAGGGAAGGTTAGCTTGGCAGCTAAGGCTTCCTGTGGGATCATGGGAGTTTGAGTGTGATTTGCAGGACGGTGGTATGAAGGACGAGAGCTGGGAATGGTGGAGTGATGGACCTCAGGGAAGCTAAGAGAGTTGAGAAACCATTGTGTGGAGTCGTAGTTCTGTCCTGTTTACGCAGAAGGTCCTGGTTTCAGAGATGCCACCAGGACATGTCAGGGAGCAGAGCTCAGGAAATGCCTTTCCCTGAAGATCTCAACAGCAGGTGCAGTTGCTGACCAGCACAGATGGCTGCTTCACATGGTCCTATGACAGGAAACCCAGAGAAGAGTTGCCACCTAGCTAAGGAACACAGGGAGCTGCCTCACACACCAGGGCAGACTATCTGTTGCCTGCTCCAGATGTGGGGAAATCTCGTTCAGCCTGAGGACCACGTTTCCTTCTGGGCAACCTTCCAGAGGCCACATGCCAGGGGTGGGCAGAAGTGGGCAGGGCAACAAATGTGGATTGGCAAAGGAGGCTCGTCTCAACACATGTACACCGACACCCCTCTCTGTCCTCCATCCAAGCATGCGAGAAGCATGCATGTTCTGGGTTCAAAAACTAATTCCAACCAGGCAAAAGCCCCTGAGGTTGGTAAAGGGGCATTGGCTGGGGAGATGAGATCGCCTGAGGGGGAGTGCAAAGACCAGACTGAAAATTCTCCTAGGCCACCGTTGACCACTGGGTTGGAGGTTCCCCATCCCTGCCCTGTTCGCACTAGCAGTGGCTTTCCAGGAGCTCCACTAAGGGTCTTTGACACCCCCCTTGTCCCTTTAGCTGGAGATCCCAAGGCTTAAACCTGGGACTTTCTGCATGCCAAGTTTATTTATTTCATTTATATACTGCCCTTCAACATAAGATCTCAGGGTGGCTCACAGAATAAAATCTTATTCCATCAAGTATGAATGAAGCCCACTGATTCTTGACCCGATTTGCCTGGTTAGTTAAACTAGACCGAAGGTTTTCAGTTTCTTGAGCAGTGTTCCTAAAGCCGTGCTTCTGCAGCAAGATGATTTGAAATGTCCAAAAGTCAAATTCAGAGCAAGCCAACAAGGTGGCCAACTAAAGAAGCAAAAACTCTGGGTGGGAATTCAAGGTAGTGCTAAGGAGATTGCAACCATTTCTGCTTGCCTGGCAGTAAGATCTCCCTTCTCCTCTCCCACCCCACACTGTGTGTTTTTTTTTGGGGGGGGTCTCCTGTCCCACTCATAGTGAATTTGGGGGAGGCATGGGGGGGAGAGAAAGGGGAGAAAGGCCTGTTGCTCTAGCAGGAGTCCTTGCACTGGCTTCCCCTAGCAGAACAGGGTAAAAAAAAAAATTAATGCATTGAAAAAATGCCTTGTAACCTACTGTAAACTCAGGTTGAACTTGCGAATGTACACCTCTTTCAAGAGAATGCAGAATATATCCAGAGCCCTACCTGCTCAGACCAAAGGTGCATTTCCTCCAGCACCCGACTTTACACAGCGGCCAACAAGATGCTCCTGGGAAGCTCATAAGTGGGGCAGGAGGCGAAAACTCCCCCCTGTTGTGTGTCAGAGGTGTGCTGATTTCTGATTTCCACACAGAGAATCATAGAGTTGGAAGGGACCATGAGGGTCACCTCTAGGCCAACCCCCTGCAGATGCAGGAATCCTTTGCCCAACGTGGGGCTCAAACCCACAACCCCAATATTAAGAGTCTCATGCTCTGTGGACAGAGCTGGGCCACTGTTGTCACAACCGAGACATCCCACCTATATATCTCCCCATTCTACATTGAGGCAAGCAGGACTCCAGGGGTCCCAAGTGAAAGGGTCGTCGGGAGGGAATAGAGGCAGGTCTGCTAGCTGGACATAAGGCTGCTGGCCACTGTGACTCTGTTCCGCCTCCACTGTCAAAGCCAGTATTTCTTTGAATGCCAGTCGCTGGGTGTCACAAGTGAGGAGAGTTGCTGCTGCCCTCAGGTCCTGCTTGCAGGCCTTCCCTAGACACCTGGTTGGCCAACTGCAAGAACTTGACAGGAATGAACCATTGCCTCTATCCATCAGGGTTCTTCTTGTGGCCATAGGGCCCATGCTGCATCCCTCTTGCTGAAGCTGAGCAGGGCTGCATCTGGTCCAGTAGTCGTGTGTGTGGCAGGGCAGGAACTGCTGCTTACCTGGACAGGGATGGGGCAGGGGAGAAGCAAGGTGGAGCCATGCAGTCGCATTGATGTGTTGCGGGAGGCTCTGCACTCCTTTGTGTCACCTCCCACTTGTGGGAATGTTCAGGGATGCAGGAGAGGATATATTGTCTGATTATAGCCTTTCCGACTTGTGTTAACAAGTTCACAATTTAGCAGAGTAACATTCCCCTTTTTAAACTCAGCGGATACGTTTGCGCAGGCTCGCTAAAGCCTCTATAATAACTGTTCTGGTGTTTTTCCCTTATTCCCTCATAAAAGATAAGACACGACATAATCTTCTATAAAAGTATAAAAAGAGTTTACTCACATTCTGTTCACAATCGGATCCCAGAAGGCAGACTTCGCTTAGAAAAGTAACATACACTTGGAAACTATCCCATAAGAAGACAGCCCCTTTGTCCTCTCTTGGCTGGAAGCCAAGAGGGCATCTTTGGCTAAGCAGATGTTGCTTCTTCGATGCATGTAGACAAAGAGAGAGATAGTTGCCCTGCCCTGTGCTTTTGTCGTTACCTGCACAGGTGAGGCCACACCCACCTCTAGTCACATGCAGAAGAAGTCTGTCCCAGCCCAGAAGGAAACAGGAAGTTTACCTGCTGGCTGGACAAACATTCCTCCCCATGTGTAAACATGTTCACTCTAGGAATGTTGTACTTGACTGCTCTTGTGTTTCACATCCCACACCACTAGCTTCACAACAACCCTGTGAGTGCCTTGCCTAAGCTCACCCTGTGGTCTCCATGGCTGAGCGTGGCTTCAAACCTGGCCCTGCCTGGTCCTAGACCAGCACTCTCAACCACTCCAGCACACTGGGATAGTTAAGAAACATGTGGCTGGCAGAAATTCACGAGGCGTGGCTTCCTCCCCAGCATGGAGACGCCATGTTGGGCAAAGCTTAAACTTCTACATGGCAGCCCTCTCTCTCTAAAAAAATATAATATGGAAAAAATGGACAGTCCTGTAATCACAGCCTAAGGAAGTTGTCGTATTCAGAGTGAGATCGCAAGTCCATCTAGCCCAGTATTTTCTACACTGGCTGACAGCATCTTTCCAGGGTTTCAGAAATCTTTTCCAGCCCTACCTGGAGATGGCGGGGATGGAACTAGGGACCTTCTGCATGCAAGGCAGTTGCTCTGTCACTGAGCTATTGTCAGAACCCATATATATGCCCACCACCACCCCTTCTTTTTGCTGCCTTTCTCCGCCCTCATTGCCAGGTGTCAAATCTAAGGTTTGACTGCTTCTTGGAAGGGGATCCTTGCGGCTTTCAGACCCCCCACCCTTTGAACCTCCCCGCTGTGCAGTGACCTTCCTGGTAGGGAATTAAACACAGGAGTTAATCCCCCCCCCCAACACAGGTTCAGGTTGCTGCTGCAGGCTACAAATCCCTGTCCCCTTATCTCCCAGAGGAGTGGAAAAGGCAAGTCACACACAGCCTGAAATGGAAAACTAACGGGTGGTTGGTCATTTTCTAAGTCTATGGTCAGTGGCACCACCAGGGTGGGACTTTGTGGCAGATGCCCAGGACTCCATGCAGCAGAATGATAATAGAAACATAGAATAATAGAATTGTAGGGTTGGAAGTGACCACGAGGGTTGCCTAGTCCCACCCCCTGCAATGCAGGAATCAGTGTGGGGCTCAAACCCACAACCCTAAGATTAAGAGTCTCATGCTCCACTGACTGTCCCTGCTAGCTAGCTATGGTGGCCCTGAGTTTAGCAGGGCCAACTTACCACATTTTGATGCCCTCTAAAGAGGGGGAGGGGTCCCCTTTAAGATGATTAAGTCCAGAGTCTAAAGGCCCTCTCTCCGTGTCCCAGGTGCCTTATACCCAGTCAGACTATTGGTCCATCTAGCTGAGTATCATCTGTACTGATTGGCAGTGTCTCTTTCAGGGTTTCATAGGTAGCATTTCGCCTGAAATCCCGGCGCACCATTGCCAGTCCGTGCTGGAGAGTTCTGAAGCATCACTCCCAGTTTCCCAGCCCTGTCGGCAGAGACCCCAGAGATTGAACCTGAGGTCTTCTGCATGCATAACAAGATGCTCTGCTTACTGGGCTACGGCCTCCTTCCCCCAAAAACATAAGCACCATGCTCTTGCAGTCAGGCACACATTGCTCAGCACTGATGTTGCTATTCAGGGTCGTGGCTGATTCTCCATCTCCTTTTGCTGGCACATCACCTACTCTTTGACTTTCTCCCTCCCCTACCCCACCCCACCCAACAATATAGATCATAGATGTTGCCCAAATTTCCGAGTCCTCTGTGTGCGCGCATGCATGCGTGCGTGTGTAAAATGCCTGCCAGTGACAGCTTGTGAGCAGGATGCTTCTAGGAAGGGGGGAACTGCGTGTGCCCGGATGCCCGTGTGTGTTTGCGCATGTGTTATTCTCGGCTTCCTTGCTGCATATTTCATGAGCAAGGTGACGGGGGAGGGGGGGAGGCTGGGAGAAGAGGCTTTGGCTGCTGTACAGAAGTGCTGAGCTTTAAAGCTACCTCCATATGTTCCCCGCTGCCTTCTTATCCAATGCCAACAATCTCTCTCTCTCTCCTTCTCTCTCTCACACGCATGCAGCGACGTGCTCAGAATCGCACCAGGTTTTGTCTTCTGGTCCCTGTTCCGCAAGGAGCAGGACACAAAGCGTTCTGTAGGGGGTGCTGTGTCGCAAAGGGAAAAGGCTCAGGGCAGGGCAGGGAAGTGGAGGAAGAGAGACGTGCCTCCCTTGTTCTGCAACCTCCTCGTCTCCACATTCTATTTTGGAACTTCCCTGCACACACAAAAACTGACAAGGTGCCATTTTTGACACCTGTTCCGTTAACACTGCGAAAGGAGGAGAGGGAGGACAAAAATACCAGCGAGATAAGACAGCCACGCAGGGAGGCCATGCACGTCCCTGTTGCTCCTGTCGATGCGAATCCGCAGGGGTTAGCTGAATGGCGGTGCACACACCAAACATCTAAGGCCCAATTAAAGTGCATTACTTCCCCAACAGAATCCTGGGAGCTGTGGTTTAAGGTTGTCGGGTGTCGTAGTTCCGTTTGCAGTAATCTACAGTTCCCAGGGTTCTTGGGCAAATCCACGAGGACAAGAATTACACACCTGGGTTTCTCTCCAGATGTTGCTGGACTCCAACTCCCATTGGCCCCAACCAGCATGGGCAACCATCAAGGGCAATGGGAGATCTGGCCCTAGGCCAGACAATGACTGATGGAACATTTGGTCCATCTAGCTCCTTATTGGGTCTGACTGGCAGCAGCTCTTCAAGGCTTCAGAGAGTCTCTCCCAGCCTAATCTGGAGGTGCCAGGGACTGAACCCAGGACTTTTTTCATGCAAAGCAGATGCTCTACCAGTGAGGTACAGTCCTTCCCCCAAAGCAGCCTTTCTCAACCTGTGGGTCCTCAGATGTTGTTGAACTACAACTCCCATCACCCCTAGCTAGCAAGGCCAGAGCTCAGGGGTGATGGGAGTTGTAGTCCAACAACATCTGGGGACCCACAGGGTGAGAACCGCTCCGGCCTAAAGCAAAAGATGCTGGTCTGGTGGCTTCCCCAAGACACTGGGATTTATAGTACAGTGGTACCTCGGGTTACAGACGCTTCAGGTTACAGATGCTTCAGGTTACAGACTCCACTAACCCAGACGTAGTACCTCGGGTTAAGAACTTTGCTTCAGGATGAGAACAGAAATCGCGTGGCAGCAGCAGGAGGCCCCATTAGCTAAAGTGGTACCTCAGGTTAAGAACAGTTTCAGGTTAAGAACGGACCTCCGGAACGAATTAAGTTCTTAACCCGAGGTACCACTGTACATCCCTCCTGCCTGGATAGCAAAACTAAAGAAAACAGTTTTGCTGTTTAGTTAGAGAAAGAAGTTTGGTTTGTCGCAGGTGGTTGGCAAGCAGGAGCCATGGGCACACTGGGAGCCTGCTTGCTTTGCACTATTCAACTTGTGCATTTGTGATTAAATAATAACAAACTCAGGTGGGCAAGTGCCTATCAGTTTATAAGCACTTACACAGATCAGACCAGAAGAATCTTTATTTGCATCAGCCACTAGCCATAGCAATAAAATAAAATGTACTGAAGATAGAGGTAAAAACTTAACTATGCAAAATTCATTTTGGAGGTTTATATCAATAATCAAACAATAGATCTTATTCTAATTGCCCCCGCTCAAAATGTTGCAGTTTTTGCCGTCACCTGATTATCTTGATCTGCTAGAAGAAAGAACACAGTAGCAATGGTTGAGCGACCCGGCCTCTGGCATGGACAATAGTAGAGGGGTAATAACCTCACTCCCCAAATCTTTATAATGAGTGCAAGCCAGAAGCACATGAGACACTGACTCAATATTGCTATCTCCACATGGGGAAAACCGTTTTTCCAGCGGAATTTTTCGAAATTGACCCTCAAGTACAGCCGAAGGCAGTACAGTGGTGCCCCGCAAGACGAATGCCTCGCAAGACGGAAAAACCGCTAGACGAAAGGGTTTTCCGTTTTGGAGTTGCTTCGCAGGACGAATTCCCCTATGGGCTTGCTTCGCAAGACGAAAATGTCTTGCGAGTCTTGAAATGGTTTTTTCGCTTTTCCCCCCCTTTATCTAATCTGCTAAGCCTTTAATAGCCTTTAATAGCCTTTTAGCAGCTAATCCCCTAAGCCTTTAAGCCTTTAATAGCCGCTAAACCGCTAATAGCGCTAATAGCGCTAATCCGTCAATGGGCTTGCTTCGCAAGACGAAAAAACCGCTAGACGAAGACTCTCGCGGAACGGATTAATTTCGTCTTGCGAGGCACCACTGTATATTCATTATTGCGTAAGTGAAAGTGCGTCTGTATTTTGGAATCGTTAACTTTTGCAAGTTGGGTGTCAACGTGTCAAAATGACTAGGTGGAAAATAATCATACCATGGACAAAATTTCCTTTTTGTGGCCAAATTATTCTGCCGCTCGATATCATATAGGCGCTGTCTAGTTAAATTACTGGCTTTACTGAAGCCCACTGTTAATAACTGTTGTGGTGATAAACCAGAAAAGTAAAGCTTTTGGTGGACAATTTTAGTCCAAGTGCTCTCATGACAATCTTGCGGTACTAAAGGTTGTTAGACCAGTGGGGTTTAAATTTAACCGAAGCCAATAATTAAATGTCCTACACCAAATCTGTAATTCAACAGAGGGGAGATTAGCCTCCAAGCGCAATGAAACATTTGGAACACAGGATGGAACAGAAAAAAGTTGCCTTAGGAACTTAGATTGAACAGCTTCTGTACATCCAAGGTGAGTGCCTGTCCAAATCTGAGCCCCATACAATAACTATGCTAGGGGTTTAGATTTAGACACTTCAAGTGCTGATGGTATGTGATTGCCACCTTTTGTAGCGAAAAAGCATGCCAGAATTTTGGAAGCACTTACATCACACGCCACCCCAAACTAAGGTGGCAGTTTCTATATACTTGGCATATTTTCCAGATATGCAGAAGTATCTAAGTTTGCAAGCGAAAAAGAGATTTTCTTTTATTTTTAAAGTGGAACCCCCCTTCCCACAGATTGACAAGTACCTGTGAGCTATCAGAACTTATGGAATGTTGATGGCTGTTGACCATACAGAAATAAAAAAAGGGGGGGGGTAATTCACCCCATTGACTGAGTTCCTAGACAGCACAGTCCTAGATGTGTCCACACCATTTAATTGAATTTCTCCATTGAGAGGAGAAATTCCCCAGTATTGTAGTACTTTTCTCAGTGGCGGGGCTTGCTCTTAGCTTGGACATCTTTCTTGTTGTTTTTCTTCCCACTGTGAATGACAACAGCGCGATGTTAAGCGGAGCAAAGTTAAACTGGAATTTGCTGCCACAAGAGGTAGTGACGGTGACCAGCCTGAATGCGGCTTTAAAAGGGATTCAGACAAATTTAGACAGCTATGAATGGCTGTCAGACATCATAGCTGTGGGCTACCTCCCGTTTTCAAGGCGGCATATCTCTGAATACCAACTGTCTGGGAGCACAGGTGCGGAGAATTCCTGTATCACTCAGGACCTACTTTGGAGTTTCCTATAGGCATCTGGTTCACCCCTGTGAGAACAGAATGCTGGACTGTGATGGGACTTTGACAGGCCTCTCCTTATGCCCAGACTGGCCACCACTTTTTGCACACACCCCCCAATGCCCTATTCACACTATAAATTTTAAGACAGTTTCATTCCAGCACGTTTTTGACTAACTTCTTCTTTTTTTATCTCAGGAATGTTTTTAACTGTTGGTATCTCCTTGGTGTTGTTGTTGTTTTCTGTTTTACAGCTTTATCTCTTTTTGTTTTGACTGCTTTTAGTCTTGTCCCCTGAGCTGCCTTGTTGCAGAAAAGTGGGATAAAAAATGGTGAAATAAGGATGGCGGAGGCAGCATTCATTGAAATAATACGTTTTGAGGACTGGTTTAAAGGAGGAGGCCCACTCTGTGACATCCCCAGGGCCCACCCCTAGATCTCAGGTTTGGGGCCTCAAATCTTGAATTATGCCGGTATGTGATTGGATGTTACCCCAAAACAACCACAACCAGGAAGCACCCTGAGAATTCCAGGCTTAGCGCTGCTTTCAACTATCAGGGAGCCCCTTCCAGGCTGAGCCGCCTGCCAGGCTCTCAGTGCTGGTCTTTCTTTGACAGCTTCCAAATCATACACAGCTAAAGCCTTTGCCAGAACTGGAAACCTTTTATGGTCCTTCCAGCTCTGGGGGACCAATGGCCAGCCTGGGTGGGCGAGTTCTCTCCAGGCATCAGTCACAGTGAGACAGCCGCCTCAGGCATCAGATGCACCCTGGAAACTAGGTATGCAGTCCAGATATGAACTCCTCCCAATGGACCTGGTGGCTCATGGCCCAGGGCAGTGGAACACAGACCAGGGCATTCTTAATCCTAGTTCCTGCAATTTCTGTCACAAGGAAACTCCCTAAGGAACCCACAAAGAGGCTTGGGACACCCTTAAAACAGGTTTATTGGACCAAGGACCAAAGTCAACCTGAGAAGATATAGATCACTTGGCATGTGTAATATATAATTATGCGCACACATATACCATGTGTGTTTATAGGTGGCTCATTGTGTGGCAATGGGATTCAGGGCCTTCTCTGGTTTTCCGTCGTGTCACCTCGGTTGTGGAGTTTCCTCCATGTTGGCAGTTCCAACAGCAAATGAAGCTTTCTCCTTTAGGCTTTTGCCAATGGATGGATTAAAGAGCTGGTCTGTCTGCTGCAGGAATGTGTGTTTTGCTGCAAATTGCTTATTGATGCTTATATTGGTGTTATGATGATATTTTTAAAAAATCTACATGGATAATGTTATATTTTATTGGAATATGTTTGTATGCTGCCCTGGGAACCATTAGGTGGAATGATGGTGTTAAAATGTAATACAACAGAATTGTTATGCACACCCTAATAGTGTGGTTTCAGGGGATCCAGTGAGTACTCTTGGGTTGGTTTCCTTTGAATAAGAGATTTTTGTAACTACCGTATTTTTCCGTGTATAAGACTAGGGTTCCCCCCCCTTAAAAATAATGTCAAAAATTAGGGGGCATCTTATACACGGATAGATCTCCCCCCATTTTCTTAAATCTGAGTCCCCCCAAATAGTCTTATACATGGGGGCGTCTTATAGACGGAAAAATACGGCATATGCATTTAATTGCAAATATGCAGGTTGAGCTTGTTGATTTAAAGCAGAGTCTTGTGGCCAGCGGAAGGATGAGGAAAATGTGTTACATACTCTATATTGCTTTATTTACAGTTCAAAGCTGGTATATTACAGAAAGACATCTTGCGTCTGCAGGAGCAGAAAAATGCATCCTCTCTCCTCCACAGCTCGGAGAGAATCACACAGAGAAAAAAACAGGAAACCAGTGTACGTCACATCCAGTCTCCCTTTCCCGTGAGAAAACTCCAACAGTACAGACAGTACAGACTGTGGAATGTAAACACCTGTCTCGTGACATGCAAAGCTGCACAGTGAAGGAAAGCAGAAACTAACATCCTCCCCCTTTCTGTGAACATCACTGGGCAGCGTGTTCGCACAATATCAGTACAAACCCAACTTCTGCACATAGGTACAGTGTTGATCCCTTGATACAATCTTGGACAATACATCAGCAGGAATTTCATTACCTGGCATATAGGACACCGTTACGAGTCCCTTCTGAATACATTCCCTAGCATGCTGCAACTTTAATTGCAAGTGCTTTGTGCTTTGCTTACAACCTTCAGACTTCAGCAAAGCCAAACATGCTTTGTTGTCCAGGTAAACCTGGATTGGACATTTGACAGGAATTTTCATATCTTTGCACAATTGTACTAACCATTCACAATCCTTAAGTGAATAAGACAGTGCATTCAGTTCAGCTTCACAAGTACTTAAGCTAACTGTTGTTTGCTTCTTGCATGACCAATCAAACAGACTCTGATTGTACATGTAGCAAACTCCAGATGTACTTTTCCTGTCTGTAGTGTCACTTCCAAAACTTGCATCTGCAAATATCTCAAGACCACCAGACTTCTGATTGTTAAATCTCAGTCTGTAATGCATAGTGCCTTTCAAATACCGCGCTATGCGTTTCAGAGCTTTCCAATCCTTGACACTAGGATTGTTGACTTGTCTGCTTAGCAAATTACAGCTAACAGCAATGTCTGGTCTTGAACATCTGGCAATGAAGTTTAGCTTGCCTAGCACACTCCTGTACAGTGTAGTGTCAGAAAATGCTTCTTCAGTGTCATCTACCTGATAACCTGTTGTCATCGGTGTGTCTACAGGGTTAGCATCCATCAGATTTAGTTTGCTTAACACATCAGCAATTTTCCGTGACTGGTGTACTAGAATGTTACCATCTTGATCTCTCTCTATTTCCAGAGATAGGTAGTTGTTTACCTCACCAAGATCTTTCATGTCAAAGTGCTCTTTCAGTTGAGCTAGGGCGCTATTGTACATTGCAACATCTTTCCAAAAGAATAACAAATCATCAACATAAAACAAACAGTACAGTTTCTTTTGCCCCTCCTCTTTGACAAATACACATGGATCAGCTTCCCTTGCTGAAAACCTAGAGAAAACAATACTTCAGTGAGTTTTGTGTGCCAACACCGTGCACTTTGTTTGAGACCATAAAGGGATTTCTTCAGAGCACAAACAAATCCCTGTTTTACCTGTACGCCATCAGGTGGAAGCATATAAAGTGATTCATCTAGAGATCCGTACAGAAAAGCTGTATTAATATCATGGTGACTAATGTGTAGATTTTCCTCTGCAGCTAGCTTAAGCATAAGCCTAATGCTTTCATATCTCACTGTGGGTGAATAGGTCTCGTGATAGTCTTCACCTGGTACCTGTGCAAAACCTCTGGCTACCAATCTGGCTTTGTGTCTGACTATCTTGCCATTTTGATCTGTCTTCGCTTTGAAGACCCATTTGCTTCCAAGCAGTTTCATTCCTGGAACTACTGGAACTAGCTCCCATGTTTTGTTCCTTTCCAAGGAATCAAGCTCAGCCTTCATGGCATTTAACCATGGCTCAGCTTCCTTTGAATCCAAACCCTGGATTTCTTGGAAACTTGAAGGTTCAAATACCTTCTTGGAGCTTTTAACAGCTGTTACTGCTATCTTAGCAAACTCATCAGCAAATCTCTTTGGAGGTTTGCCTTTGTGGCTCTCTGTGACCTACGAATTATCCTTAAGTCTTCAACACTCTCCTCTTCCTTCTTAGGAGAAAAACGACCTATTGTGAACAATGGTTCCTCCAATTCTTGATCAGAGCTTTCAGAGGGTCGCATAGAGGCTTTCGCACTCTTGAAATCCTCTGAATCACCCGATTCAGTTTCAGATTCAGACTCAGAACCTTCATGAGTGGGTGTGGGCTGTTGTGGTTGCTTTTGACTATCCTCAGTCTCATCACCGTCATCAGGATAACATTGGAAAATTCCCACATTCCCCCCCCACTTTGCATTGTACTCAACACTTCTCGTGAGCTTAATTGTCTTAGAGTCAGTCATCATTATTCTGTAAGACCCTTTCTGATAACCTAGAAAGATACCATGCAATCCACGCTTGTCTAACTTGGAGTTTTGTGGTGAGCGAACCCACATGTCAGAACCAAAAATCTTCATGTGTTTGATGTATGGCTTCTTGCCAAACATCTTTTCGTAGGGGGTACAACCAATCGCTGAAGATAACCTGCGATTGTAACTGTAAACAAAACACGAGAGAGATTCGGCCCAATAACTCTCTGGAAGATTGGCATCATGCAGCAAGGTTTTTAAACCTTGAAGCAAAGTCTGATTTGCCCGTTCCGCAAGTCCATTCTGCCATGGCGAGCGAGGACTAGACAAATCGTGTTGAATTCCTTTCTCAGTCAGAAAAGCTTCAAACTGCTGAGAAGTGAATTCCCCGCGATCACTGAAAAGAGTCTTTATCTTCTTACCATGCACATTTTCCAACCAAGCACAGAATTCCTTGAACCTAGGAAAAGCCTCCGATTTCTGCTTGAGATTGTATACAAAAATATATCTAGAAAATGCATCAATGAGAACCATGAAGTACCTATTTCCACCCAAAGAGGGTGTCAGTGGTCCAACCAAATCAGCATGAACAACCTGGTATGGTTCTGTAGCTTTCCTACTAGACACCTTACCTTTCGCAGCCATTTTCACCTTGTTTGCTGCGCATGCTTTGCACTTCATGTGGTACCTGCAGGGTTTAATAGTCATACCTTCAACCAAGGCAGGCATTTTAGATACTGCCTCAAAATGCAAATGACCAAATTTGCGATGAAAATCGTGAATACATTCTGCATGCAAACTTTTGTTAGAACCTGAAATGCAACAAGTGTCATCCTGCATCACATCATCATAATACAAAACAAACAAATGATCAACATATTCTGCATGCAATACATAATCATTTTTCTTTGTGATGATGCACTTCTTGTTCTTGAAGGAAACGTCAATGTTCCGCTCATTCAGCTGTCCAACGCTGAGCAGATTATGTTTGGCGTCTGGCACGTAAAGCACATTCTGTATCGATAAGTCCAAACTGTGAAGAACAACAGTTCCGTAGCCTTTACTGGGAATAGTGTGGTCATCCGCCTGGTGAATCGCACCTTCCTGCGGTGTAAAAGACACAAACAGTTTCTTATCGTTGCACATGTGGTGGGTGGCCGCTGAATCAACAACGAAGAAAGATCTAGACGTCTTCTGGACCTCTGCAACCTTTGGAGTGAAGCGTGAAACCATAGCCTTGTGCTGCGTTGTCCTAGACACCGGACCTTTGCCTTTGCCTCGGCCTTTTCCGCGCGATGAGCTTTTGCTGCGCTGCTCTGTCTTGGCCCTGGGATGTCTGCATTCCCTCTTCATATGGCCTAGACGTCCACACGAGTGGCATTTCACTGCCTTCAAAGCTTTGGCGCCATCTGGTGGTTCCACTGCACTATGGGATGACGTCTGTGAAGACTCTCCCTTGCCCATGCAGCTAGCACCCCGGCGATCTGCTTCATTTAAAATCACGGCAGTAACAAAGTCCACTGTCAGCTGAGCAGTTGGTTGCACAGCAATCTGGGTTGCAACAGACTCCCAACCTGAACCCAAAGATTGTAGTATCATGAAAGAATACACAGCCTCTGGAAAGTTGAGTCCTCTCTGTTGCAGCTCATGTCTCAGATTTTGCATCTCCATCAGATGTAAACGTACATCTCCACCTTCAGCAAGAGCCATATTATGCAGCTTGTTAAAATAAAACATAGTGGATCCAGCTTCTGTCCTTAAATGAGCCTCTTTCAGAGCGTCCCAAATTTCTCTGGCTGAGGTCTTATCACGCAATAGACAGAGCTCTTCTGGGGATACTATCAATGTAAGAGTTCCCTTGCTTTGGAATCCTTAGCTTCCCATGCATCTGTAACTGGAACTGGGGGTTCCTGTAATCACCTCAAACAAACCCTCTTTCCGCAGAATTGCCTCTGCATACTGAACCCAGTCGCTGTAATTTTTCTTGTTGAGCTTAGGAATCCCACAAGCATCCTGAAGGGCCATCATGACTCTGGCATTAGCCTTCAGCGTCATATATTTGCTGCTTTAATTCTTGCTGCGTCACTGCTGCAGCTGCCTCATTACAAAGGCACACTTAAAAGTTACTTTCGATTTCCCCAGCATAGTGACTTGTGCCTGGGAGCCTTTTGCCTACTCCCGGCAAAACCGGCTTTTAAAAGTTCAAAGTCCAGCCATAAAGCCATTATCTTGAAGCTGGCAGGCTGCCCGGAGCAGTAGCACATACCTCATCAATCACTTCGACGCGCAGAGCAGATTCCGTTCCGATCCGTTCCTCTGCATTCCGATCCTTTGCCGGCACTCCGATTCGACCTCCTGGGCCCATAACCACGTGTTGATTTAAAGCAGAGTCTTGTGGCCAGCGGAAGGATGAGGAAAATGTGTTACATACTCTATATTGCTTTATTTACAGTTCAAAGCTGGTATATTACAGAAAGACATCTTGCGTCTGCAGGAGCAGAAAAATGCATCCTCTCTCCTCCACAGCTCGGAGAGAATCACACAGAGAAAAAACAGGAAACCAGTGTACGTCACATCCAGTCTCCCTTTCCCGTGAGAAAACTCCAACAGTACAGACAGTACAGACTGTGGAATGTAAACACCTGTCTCGTGACATGCAAAGCTGCACAGTGAAGGAAAGCAGAAACTAACAGAGCTTAGGTGGAGGCTTCGCAGCTTAAACCTGCTCCAACAGATACTATTCTCCCACCAGGTTTTGAGGTGGGTGTGTTTCTTACTCCAAAGAAACCCCAGAGTTTTGACCTTTTCTTAGACTGACTGTGCTGCCACTTTAATCTGTTTGCATCTGAATTCACTTTATTTGTTAGGGGAGGGAGGCACTCCCAGAGTACAGACTCAGGCAGAGATGCAGTGGGCAGCCTCCTTCAAGAATAGGTTGCATTGCTGCACCTCTTCATTGTTGCAGGCAGGCTGGGCTGTGGGTAGCACCTTGAGGGGAGTTGGGAACCAGAAGCTGTAGAACAAATCAGAAGCAGTAGAATGAAGCAAAAAGGCCAAACAGCACCCCAGACTAGGAGCATCTTCAGCATCCCCTCAATTTGCTTTGATTTTTGAAAGCATTTAGGTTTTTGAATTGCATTTGTATCCTGTTTCCCAGCTTGGACGCCTGATTTATCCCCGTTATATAAAAATGATCGTTTTACACAGTTGCTCACAATGGTTTTACATAGACACTGTTGAATGAGCACTGGTGATATCAATTTCCCCATGAATAAAGGGGGAAGGGGAACGCATGTTAAAGCAGCCCTTTGGGAAACCAAAGGAGGGAAGACCCCAATAATATGGGTGGGTAGGCAGGGCAGGAGATAGCTCAGTCAGTTAGAGCATGATGCTGATAGCACCAAGGCTGCAGGTTCAGTCCCCGTATGGGGCAGCTGAATATTCCTGCACTGCAGGACTGGATGTTCCTCAGGGTTTCTTCCAACTCTACAAATTATACGATACGATAATCTTTATTGTCATTGTCCCATACAGAACAACGAAATTGAAAAAGTCTACATCAGACATTCAAAAATCCACAAGCCTGCTATCCCAGCCTGGTTAGCCCCTAAAAACTCTGATACCCCATAATTGTATACAATATACTCACATAAAGACTACCTTACACTGCGTGTAAAACCAAAATCACATTTTCTCAGGCGGCTAGTCCTAGTCTTTATAACCCTGTACCTTCTTCCAGAAGGCAGAAGCTGAAAGAGATCATTTCCGGGGTGCGCGCTATCCTGCACAATCTCTGCCGCTTTCTTATGGCACCTGGAAGCATAGATTTGATCCAAGGTGGGAAGAGTGCACCCAATTATTCTCTCTGCAGTCTTTACAACCCTGGACAGCATTGTTTCCCCCCGGACTGTGCAGCTCCCAAACCACACACACAGACCATAGGTTAATAGAAGTTAAAGTTATAGTTATATGATTAAGTGAAAGTTATATGATTCAAAATGCACAAAAACAGACATTTTATTGGTCCATTAATGCAACACTTGTCAGCTTTACAGGTGAAGACGAACTGTTTGTTTCAGCTATCGGGCAGACATTTGAGCTGAATGCCTGTGACAGGTGCCCCTCCCCAAAGCCCATTGCACCCCCATGCCCAGTTCCTAAGGCAGATGCCTGCCTCTAAATCTAGACCTGCTTACTAGGTAAATTGGTGCTTTGGGGAGGTATTCAGTATCACACAGTCTAGGAACACTGCCTTCCAAAGCCAGTATCCAGGATAAATGTCCAACCTGTCCAATGTGAGGGACACGCCCTGATTTTGCAGTTGGGTAAAAACAACAACACCCACATTGACTATTTAGGAGATGGTGTCTTCAGTTAACTGGGGGAAATCTGTCCATATGATTGGCACATACAACGATCCATCAGGTGGACACATGACAGAAAGGCTAGGTCACTTGCAGCCCAATCATATGCAATGCTAGGTTTGCATGAGCCCATTGTTTATAATAGGCATAGGGGTCCCTTATTTTGCACAGGATAAAGCTGTTTGGGTGAAATCCTAAGAACACAACTGAGAGTAAGGTCAGGTTCTCTGGGATCAATGGATTGAGTAAGCAAGCCCAGGATCCAGCAGTTCATGCCTGATTTTGGGTCACCATTGTGCATGATCATTATAGCACTCATGTCTTTGGGGCTCTCTTTGCGCTTTCAATGGGTTGGTGCCGAGATCTGGTGGTGTGAACGTGAAGCCAGGCAAGAAACCGGAGGCTGATAAGCTTATGGCACCACCCAAGGTCACTGCAAACCTGCTGGCGGTGGGCAGCTTAGCCAGGGATATTTAAAACCTTGCCTCCTAAGCTGCCAACACGGCCGTCTTGAGCTGACGTCAGTGAAAAGGATCATATCCAAAGTCGGGCAAGATCCAGCGCAGGACTTTGTGTGTGTGTGTGTGTGTTGCTGTATTACAGAGAGAAGGGTGTGAAGCCCAACCAGTAGAGGGCGCTCTTCCTCTTTGGAAGGACTTGGGTGTATCTTCTTCCATTTTTCAAGAAAGGAAGCTATTTGGTTGGGTGTGACCAATTCAACTCTTTCAAAAGAAAGGAAGAAAATACTTATTGTTGGTGTTGCTCTTGGAGCCCTTCCATAAGGCCTGTTTATTGAGCCTGATTTGCTTGCACAAAGCATATGTGGAAGGGTTGACTACCGGTATGTCTGGTCTTTACTGAGCATGCCTTCTGCCTAGTTCCCAGGGAGGTTATACAGCAGTGAACATTCACTCTGATTTGCTTGCACTGTGCTGATAAAGTCTGCTTGCTAATGATTTGTTCATCCTACACTTTTCAGTGCATTTCCCCATCAGCTTCCTAACCGGAAAGATCTTCTGCGTTATGGTGTTTTCATCCGCTTCAGTCGTGCAAAAGCTAAATTTCCAGTATGCCCTCGAATCCTCCCCTAGCAGTCTGGAGGTGGCTTTGCTGCGTTTTCATTTATTTTTATATTCGTTGTTGCTGCTGCTTTTATATTTTGTTAATTTCTTTTTTTCGTAATGGCTGTATCATCCTTGCATTTATGTGTGCTTTGATAGCTGAAAGCTGCTTTGAGGAGGGGAAGAGTGGAGTACAATTCCAGCAAAGCAAGGAAGCCATTTTTCCGTGTGTGTGTTTTTAAAAAACAAACAACAACAACAACAAAAAACGACAACAACCAAACCCTTGGAGCAACCTGGATCCACAACTCCTTCTCCCCTTCCATGCTATAGCCGCATTCCCTCCCAGGCAGCAGCAAGAGGGGGAAGACAGAGAATCTCCCTCCAAAATGCCCAGATCAGCACTTTGATTTGGGCCTGGAAACTGATTGGTAGCCAATTGGTGTCATGGGCTCAGTTATAGCTGGGTGGCAAACCCAGGAGCTCAGGGCTGGGTATGCTTTTCTCCCCTCCCCCCTTTTATATTGGAAACAGCCCTGCGAGGTAAAGGTAAAGAGCAGCGCACAGAAAAGGTAAACGGCATTTCTGTGCGCTGCTCTGGTTGGCCAGAAGCGGCTTAGTCATGCTGGCCCCATGACCAGGAAGCTGTATGTATGCTGGCTCCGTCGGCCAATAAAGCGAGATGAGTTGGTTCAGGTTCCCTCGGCCAATAAAGCGAGATGAGAACCTGAACCAACTCATCTCGCTTTATTGGCCGAGGGAGCCGGCGTACAGCTTCCTGGTCATGTGGCCAGCATGACTAAGCCGCTTCTGGCGAACCAGAGCAGCGCACAGAAATGCCGTTTACCTTCCCGCCAGAGCGGTACCTATTTATCTACTTGCACTGCATGCTTTCGAACTGCTAGGTTGGCAGGTAGGCTAGGCTAAATTAATATATGTACATAAGCAGCAGTTATTGAAATGAAATCATGTAGCACAGGAGTGCCCTATAAAATCAGATCAAGGGGCGTGTGATGGAGGGATGCTGGGTCCCCCAAAGTATTTCTCAGAGAGTAAGGAAGGATGGCGTTGCCAGCTGGCCAGAAAACAATATTCTCTTTTTTAAGAGGGAGGGTTGAAGCCAGTATGTCGCCGCCCGAAGCTTGTCACCTAAACACCATCCCCCCCCCCCCGACGAGGAGTGCTGTTGTAATTCAAGCAATATATATGGTTTAATGTCAGGCGAATTGCACCCAAATGCTATGGGGTGTTTCCAGCGCTGTGTTTGTGCGCGCATGTGATTTCAGGAGTCTTTTTTGGTATGTGATAATAGCACATCTTCCTGAGCATTTTGGGTGTTGATGCACGATGTGCTTTAGTCACCGTTTGAAGAAATGGCAGTCTTTCAGAATTTTATTTTTTTCTGAGGCAGATTGAGTTGTCTGTTAAAGACACAGTGAAAAGGGCTTTTTATATTTTAAAAATAGTGACCCTAAGGAGGCAGTCTGAAATGCTGCCCTCGGGAAGGGCTCCGATGTGTAGAAATGTAGCAGGCAAAGATTTTCCTGACAAGTTGGTGGGAAACTAGTCACTAGCCAAATTGTTTCTGTACGCTGAGATCCTGTTAAAGGTGTAATCCAGGTGGTTGCCTTGCTTGTGGGATCATATTAGGGGGCGAGCTAAGAGGAAACGAGCCATTCCTAGCAACAGCTGCCCCCAGTGTCGGAACTCTGGCATAGCCTATCAGATTTCTATATCATTTCTTCAACCAATGAGCTTTGTATTGTTACAACAGTCCTGTGAGGGAGGCCAGGCTTAATATCTGGCCCAAGGTCACTCGGCAACTCTGTGCCAAGGATTTTCGCTCAAATGCTCTCACCGCTACATGACAAATGACAGTCACTTGTAGTTTCTGGCTGGATTAGGTTGAACAGTTTTAAATAAGTTTTCGTGGAAAAGTGGGGTGTTCGGTGCTCCTGTGATGTGGGGAGAAATGTAGGGGGGAAGCTCTGAGGAAATCCAGAACCCTCTTCCTTCTAACCACTGCCACTACTCTCGACTCTTAAAGAATTCAGCACACAGGTCCATGACACAAATTTGGGGGCAAAATAAGATGGTGTGTGCCTGGAGTCACACTAGCACAACTAGGGCTTGTGTGCACACCATGCGTTTAAAGCAATTGGCTTCTGCCAAATAACCCTGGGAACTGTAGTTTGCTGCTCACAGAACTACAATTCTGAGCACCCTTTAACAAACTACAATTCCCAGGAGTCCTTAGGGGAAGCCATGTGCTTTCAGATGTAAGGTGTGTACGCAGCCACTTTGCAGCATGCCAGCAGAGGGTTTAAAAAATAAAAAATAAAAATGGGTGGGGGAGGGAGCAGAGATCTGGGGCCTGACACATAGGACCCGGAGCTCAGGACCCCTGGGTCACAACCTCACAATGCCACCTATTTGCAATTTTAGCCAAATTATGATCCATAGTCTCCTGTAACTAGGGGGCTTGGGAATTGTTTTAAGAATCCCTCCTTGCTAAGATATGGACTCTGCATGTACACCATACATTTAAAGCACATTCCGCCACCGCCACCTCAAAGAACGCTGGGAGCTGTATTTTGTTAAATGCGCTGCTGGGAATTGTAGCTCTGTGAGGGGCAAACGACGTCTTCCAGGATTATCCAGAAGCGGGTGGGATGTGCTTTGAACATACAGAATAGGTGCGCAATGTCAGGCGCATATTTGTACTCACTAACACTGGTTGGCTTACGGATCTGACGGAGTCTGCTTGTGCAGGAGAGGGCAGGGAGGAACGAGGGACTGAGGGGAAGGGACAATACAAGGGGGCTCAGAAAGAAGGCCTTTCTGTCGCCTCCGTTGCTAAGGGAAAGGAGTTGTTCTCGGGCCTGGTGCCGAGATTGAGCTCAGAGCCCATCTGCACCAGCTCTGATGGGAACAGCTTCTGCGTGGGCATCCGCCGCCTCCCCACCAGGCTGACGAGACAGTGTGTAAGAGCGGGAAGGGGGTGGTGATGGACGAGGACTTGGGGGTGCTCCAAGCCCCTCTGAAATCTTTGGCAGGGAGGGACCTTCCCCACGTCTGAGCCCACCCTCTCTGCTCTCAGGTCAGTCTGGCCCTACTGCCTGCATCTACGCAGTCACCTGACGCAGTTCCTTACAAGGATAGCTATCCCATTTCTGCTGCTCCTGTCAAGTCCATATGCAGCTCCCTGTCATCCAAAACAATCCTCCTGCTTTCCTAGGATAGGACTGCCACACTTTTCTCCCTTTTCTGCTCTCTGCCTTACAGCTTTGGTGTGTTGAGCTCGAAGAAGCCAGGGGTCGGAGGACCAGCCAGAGGACTGCATTCCCTTCAGGGCAGCCTTCTGAGGGCCGCGTGTCTGTGGTGGGCGGGGCCAGAGGCAAATGTGGGTGGAGCCATGGATTTAAATTTTACCTTTGCCCAGGAGGCCAGTTTGTACACATGCTCACACATCCGTATCCTGCATGTGGGCAGGCCAGAGGCACCATCAGAGCTCAGATACACATTCTAGCCAATCAGAAACATTTGTGGGAGCAAAGGAAGGCCAGAGAAGGGCGTGGCCTGGGGAGATTTCTGAGGGCCAGGTAGAGGGGCTTGGAGGGCCACACTTTTCCCCAGGCAAGTCAACCCACAGATTCTGCACTGGACCCAAACTAACCTCATTAGTCTGCAAGGCTTCCTAAGTCGCCATCTCAAAACTTGTAATCTATTGCCAGTGGGCCTTTCGCCATGGCAGGAGGCCTTCCTCACCCTCTTTCCCCCTTCCTCCACCCACTTTTCTTCATTTAACACTGAAAATTGAAGAGTTCTGTGAAACTCTAAAGTGAGTGAGTTATGATTGGCAAGAGGGACTCCGGATGCCAGCTGGGCCACCGAATGAAGCTCATTTTCAGAGGCAGCCCCACAGAAGGCATGTTAGTGTTACTGGCAGAGGAACGGGAGTGTGGAAGGAGCAGACCGTCCCCCAGCCCCACTATTCCAGTAGGGTGCCATTGCGGCAGCCCCCCTGGACACACGCTGTGCACCCCCGCGCGCACACCGGGTACCACGCCCCCACAGGTGGCACACCATGCCCCCAGAGCGCGTTCCATGCCACCCAGGGTGCCAGCCACGCCCACGCCTGCTCTCCGCCCCTGGTAGCGGAGCATGCAGCTTCGCCACTGGTTAGCGTGAAGGATGGGGGAGAGTTCAGATTCAGATCACATTTAAAGGTGAACCTTCCTCACACACACTTTCTGAAGCGATACATGGAATGGAACGATATCGTCCTGTGAAATTTGCGCTTCTCTGAACTTTGCAAGGCAGTTCTCCAGCCAAGCAAATGTATGCAAAAATGCATATGTGTAAAATGTGTGCATAAGAGTAAAAAAGTTATAGTGATCAAAGTGTGCTAAAATGCATTATCTTAAGGGAAATCGCTTTGCAACAGGGTGCATTTGAGGCAAAGCTGCATTAAAATGTGTGCTTTAAGAGAAATTCACACTAAAATGCTGGTGAATTTTCATGAGGACTTAAAATATATATATATCACAAAACTGATGTGGAAATGTGAAGAACTGGAGAACCACAATGGCGTTGTATTTAGAGTGTTGGATTAGGACCTGGCAGACCAGGGTTCAAATCCCCAGTAGGCCATGAGGCTAACTGGGTGGCTTTGGGTCAGTCACTGCCTCTCTCTGCCTCACCTACCTCACAGGGTTGCTGTGTGAATTAATTGAGGAGGGGGGAAAGAACCATGTGCAGTGGTACCTCGGGTTAAGAACTTAATTCGTTCCGGAGGTCCGTTCTTAACCTGAAACTGTTCTTAACCTGAGGTACCACTTGAGCTAATGGGGCCTCCCACTGCTGCCGCGCGATTTCTGTTCTCATCCTGAGGTAAAGTTCTTAACCTGAGGTACTATTTCTGGTTAGCGGAGTGTGAAACCTGAAGTGTCTGTAACCTGAAGCGTCTGTAACCTGAAGCGTCTGTAACCCGAGGTACCACTGTACACCACCTTGAGTTTGTTAGAGGAAAAGGTGGGATATGAATGCAATGGATGGATGGATGGATGGATGGATGATTTAAGAATGGAAATTTGGGAAACTGAGAAAAAGCAAAATGATCAGATCCACCAATCCCAAGTTAACAGTCAACAGTCAACACAGACCAGGGTATGCGTGATGTGTTTTCCATGTTCTAGAGCATGTATGCAAAGCACTGCCCGAAAGAGATCTTGCCACAACTGCAGATGCAGCATCATCACATCAATTCTGCCTCTCCTTCCCCCCACTTTTCTTTGGCAGCATTTTATGTCATAGACAGGTTGGACACAGAGGGATGGTGGGAGGAACCAGCTGGGGAATCCCCAAGGAAGAAGGCTCAGAGTCCAGGGAGTGGTGGTGGTGGGACAACAATGGGTGGTCAGCGGTAGAAGAGGGAGAAGACTGGGAGGAGGAGGTGTCAGAAGCTGAAGGGGTAACAGGTTTAGTGAGCAGGAAGAGGCAGTGGCAGAGAGCAGTCCAGAATAAGAGGCAGAAGCTAAAGTTTGTGAGTGGGAGGAAGATGGCCAAGAGGCAGAGGTGGGTCTGGCTGCTGCTGCAAGCTCCCCTTCCACCCTGTCTCACAGAACCATGAGATACATGAAAAGAGCAGAGCAGAGATTGGCTGCATGCAGGCACAGTCTCTGATTGCTTGGAGAAAGCCCTGGAGAGTAGGAGACATAGACGGCTGTGGGGAGGTGGGGGCCTTTAGTCTCGGAAACTGATTCCGTGGAGTAAAACCACCAAGAATGAGATGCCGTGCTCATTAGGCCTGACACCCAGCCAAGTCTGTGGAGATTGTGTTTTTGCTAATAAAGAGTTAATGCCAACTTTGCGCAGTGTGATTTACAGACTGGCTCGCTCTGTGATACTTTAGGTGCTTCGTAAACAGAGAAGTGAGAGCAGAAGAGGGGGAGACATTAATGAAAATGAAGGAACTGAGAGCTGTGGCAAAGAGGGCATCTTCCAGCTTCAGAATTAGTTTAGAAAATTGTCCCAGTTCAACCCGCATTCTGGAGGGCAGGGCGGAGAGTGCGTCCCCAGGGCCATCCCCAAATAATGTGCTCCCTGAAGCAGGGCATCAAACAGGAGGACTCTCCTGCTGAGAGCCTGAGGGTCCCGTTCCTGCCTCTCTCCGCCTGGCCCAGGGCAGCGCCTGACAGGCTTCATAAGGACTGCTGCTGCAGTTGTTGCTTAGCAAGGGCTGGGGTATTTGGGGGGAAGCTTTGTTGGGAGGTTTTGCTGTTACTGATATTAACTTATATTACTGATAACTTTTTGTATCTTTATTTTTATGTGGCAATTCTTCAGTTTGGTTATGTAGTTTTTAATGTGTTTTATTTATTTTTATGACTATTTTGCTATGTTTGTAATTATGTAAATCTTTTCATATTGTAAGCCACCTTGAGCATTGTTTTAACTGTGGAAAGGTGGCATACAAATAATAATAATAATAATAATAATAATAATAATAATAATAATAATAATTTATTTATACCCCGCCCATCTGGCTGGGTTTCCCCAGCTACTCTGGGCAGCTTCCAACAGAACACTAAAATACAATAACCTATTAAACATTAAAAGCTTCCCTAAACAGGGTTGCCTTCAGATGTCTTCTAAAAGTTTGGTAGTTATTTTTCTCTTTGACATCTGGTGGGAGGGCATTCCACAGGGCGGGTGCCACTACCGAGAAGGCCTGGTTCTCTGTAACTTGGCTTCTCACAGTGAGGGAACCACCAGAAGGCCCTTGGCACTGGACCTCAGTGTCCGGGCAGAACGATGGAGGTGGAGACGCTCCTTCCTGATGTTGATGTTGATGCCCCCTTTCTCACCTGAAGGCAAGGTGCAGAGTGGCCAAAGCCAGCCAGGTAATTTTGGCATCTGAGGCAGAAAATCCCACAAGTAGGGATGGAGGAGAAATTTGATTCAGTTCGCGTTGAAAGGCATACCTACCGAATTCTCGCTTTCCAAAAGAATACACCAACCATAAGAGCGATCTTTAGAAATTTGGACTTCTCCAGGTTGTACTATTTGGTTTTCTAGCCAATTGATGTATACAAAAATTCATAACTTGGGGTAAAGTGTACACATACTTGTGAAAATATAGTGGAAAGTATTGCTTTGCAAAACTGCATACAGAAATGGGGGTATTAGGAGAAATCCACACCAAAATGCTGGTGGGTTTTGGGGAGAACTTTAAAAACATAAGACAAAGAGACCACAAGCCAATGCAGACATGTGGAAAACTGAATTTAAGATTGGAAAAAATGAGAAACCAAAACTTCCCAGTTCACCCATTCTTTCCCACAAGTACCTCCTTCCCCTCCCTGGCAGAAAAAATACAACAATAACCACTTAACTGACAACTTGCTGCCCTTTCATGACCGCCTGAGGCAGCTGCCTTCCTTTCCCCAATGGTAGAGACATCCCTGATATCAATAAAGGAGTGGAAAGAAGGCAATGAGGCAGAATCTGCTCACCTCATGGGAACAGATTTGAACCATTGCTTTTTCTGGGTCGTCAACTTTAGGTCCTACCCATCCCTTCAAGCCTTCCTCTTATCTCTGACTTCTAGGATCCTTGATAAGAAACAGGCAGGTGGGGAGACCATCGAGCTGACTGAAGAGGGCCGGCCTGTTGAGGTGACCGAGAAGCACCCGCCCATCGTCGACTGCACCTGCTTTGGCCTCCCTCGCCGCTACATCATCGCAATCCTCTGCGGCCTGGGCTTCTGCATCAGCTTCGGCATCCGCTGCAACCTGGGCGTGGCCATTGTCAGCATGGTCAACAACAACACCGTCTACGAAGGGGACAAACTCGTTGTGAAGGTGAGACTGTCCTCCCTCTGGAGAAGGGGTGGGCTTTTTTTTCTGTTGAGGGCCAAGGGACACAGGAGGCACTGTGGTCTAAACCACTGAGCCTCTTGGGCTTGTCGATCGGAAGGTCGGCGGTTCAAATCCCCGCCACAGGGTGAGCTCCTTTTGCTCTGTCCCAACTTCTGCTAACCTAGCAGTTCGAAAGCACGAAGTGCAAGTAGATAAATAGGTACCACTCCGGCGGGAAGGTAAACGGCATTTCCATGTGCTCTGGTTTGCGTCACGGTGTCCCGTTGCACCAGAAGCGGTTTAGTCATGCTGGCCACATGACCCAAAAAGCTGTCTGTGGACAAACACCGGTTCCCTCAGCCTAAAAGCGAAATGAGCGCCGCAACCCCATAGTCTCCTTTGACTGGACTTAACCATCCAGGGGTCCTTTACCTTTACCTTTAATCCATTGGAGGCCACAGGGCAGTGCTGGGTGGAGCCAGAACTGATTATGGGCAGAGCCAGAGACAAAAGTGTTCTTGAATAACTAAACCAGAATGAAGTTTTTCACCATGCCTAATGAGATCAGCACCCCCAATCCTGCGCAGGTCTACTCAGAGATAAGCACCTCTGGATTTTTTTTACTATTGCTTCACACATTCCAGAGCCCTGTTTCCCAGGGTCGGTTTTCTATAACAGATGTGGGGACCTCTTGGCCCTCCAGATGTTGCTGAACTACAACCCCCATCAGCCCCAGCAAGCATGGTCGATGGCTAGGGATGCTGGGAGTTGTAGTTCAGCAGCATCTAGAGGGCCACTAGTTCCCCACACCTGGACTAGGATGACCTTCCAACTCTATGATTCTATGGTTGGATACACAACATACACTTAAAGCACAAGTTTCCTCCCAAAGAATTATGGGAAATGTAGTTCACTCCTGACAGAGCTACAATGCAGAGTACCATTAACATAAACTACAGTTCCCAGGATTCTTGGTTGGAGGGGGAGCCATGAGCATTGAATGGATGGTGTGACTGTGACCAAAGTCCTGCTGCTGGCTGTAATCAGGAACCGAATCTTTCCTCTATTCTTCTCACCACTTTAGAAAGCAGAGTTCAACTGGGATCCTGAGACAGTAGGCATGATTCATGGATCCTTCTTCTGGGGTTACATTGTCACCCAGATCCCAGGAGGGTTCATAGCACAGAAATTTGCTGCTAACAGGTAAGATGCAGGTAGGGTATTGTTTTAGTGTGTGTATGTGGAAATCAAAGAGGGGGAACATGCAGATTTTGGCTCACATCTGGTGATCTCATTCTTTAGAACAGGAATAGACAGATACCTTGGTCCATTTGGGTTAGCTCACTATCTGGTGAAAGATGAAGATCATGAAAATTGACTGTACCTTTGTATAAACCAGATTATCACTACAGCAAAAATTTGGTATTTTGTGTCTTTTTTAAAAAGTTTTTGGTTCTTTTCAAGTAAACTTTAGTTGATAATTTAAGAAGTAAGTTTAGCGTGCAAGAAATTTGCAGGCATGAGGAGCAGCACTGATCCCACAATAAACACCTATCTCGAAACCCACAGGCGTACATAGACCCTCGCTAGAGAAAGCGGAGGTTGCTTATGGTGTTTCCTAGGCCTGTCCTCTCACTGTGCAGGTCTCTAGTCTCTACAGCACTTGTGTATATATTATCCTGCGGGAAGAGGCAGGGAGCTGTTCAGAGCAATTGGCTGACCATCAGAATGTGGATGTGGGACATGGATTCAAATCCTCCTTCAGCCATGAAAGCCGCTGGTGATTAGGGTCATTGATTCCCTTATCACTTCACAGGCTCATGTGGAACAAAAAACCCCTGTAAATATCAAAAGAATAATGATGAGAGGGAAAGCAAACGGGCCGGGCTTTCTTTTTCTTACAGCTTTTCTTAACACCTGCCTTTCGGTCCACAGGGTTTTTGGCTTTGCCATTGTGGCGACATCAACCCTGAACATGCTCATTCCATCGGCTGCAAGGGTCCACTTTGGCTGCGTGATCTTCGTGCGGATCCTGCAAGGCCTTGTGGAGGTAAGGCCCGCACCCCTAATCTCTGCGCTTTCGCACCGCCCCGTAATATCGACCTCTCCACCTTCCTCTCCGAAGCCTCAGCTCCCTTCCCTCAGAGCACCGTCACTGTCTTTGGGGCGCTTAGCCCTCTAGTAAAGAACGGAGCCAAGGTGGGACAGAGTTTTGGGTCGGAAGCAGAGCTTGTTCCTTGGGCCTGCCTCTTCTTTCTCTCTCTCCAGTGGAAAGGTAGCTCTGATCTCTATGTAACTCTCTGTGCCCTCCACCTCCAGGGGGTCACCTACCCAGCATGCCACGGTATCTGGAGCAAATGGGCACCCCCCCTGGAACGCAGCCGCCTGGCGACAACAGCCTTCTGTGGTAAGGTAACATGTTCACCGACCATCGAAGTTAAATGGGCGGGGAGGGCCTCCCATGCAACAAAACCATGGTTGCCCCCTTGAACCTGATGTCCTTTGGCTTCTGGCTTGTTGAAACTTCTTAAGCGGAAGCCTAGAAGGCCTGTCCCAAAGTCTAGATCAAAACGCATCACATCCTGGTTTGGTTTTACATGTTGGAAGAGCTCTTGGTGAGTGACTCACTTTAGCATAACTCACTAGTAAGTTGCTTTCGCACGAGGACTGCTTCGCTTCTGAGGAATTGAAACAGTGGTTCCATACAGAGTTTAACATAAGGCCACGTTGTCTAGCAATTCCTAACTCCACAGCCTTCTGTAGTGTTTATTCAGAAGGAATAAATTCCCAGTTAGCAAAGGTCCCTCTCAACTTTCGCAGTTTGCCCCGTTGCAAATTCTGTCCCTCTTACTGTTCTTGCTTAGCAGGAAACAGCACTGCTGGTGGGTAACTGACGAATTGCCCCCGAATTGCCCCATTATTTGACAGTTCCTGTTCCGCAAGGAGAGGGTGTTGAACACTGCTTTCCTCTTGTCCCCCCCGTTTTTTCTTCCTTTTTCATAGCTATAACAAAGGATGGCAGCTAGTCATGGAACGGCGAGTGTGGGAGCAACCTCAGAGGGGTAGCGAGTGCTGCTGGGAGTCAGGCAGTAAAGGCTGGTGCTGTCAGGCAAATGGGGCACTGCCCCACCAAGCTCAGCTTGCCCTCAGCCAGACCCCACGCCTGGCTGCCTTCTTACTTACAGCCAGCTGGTCACCCTGACTTCTGCCTGCCAGTCCCAATGGGCACCAGTCCCCACTGGAGTTAGGAATCTCAGCTTGTATCCCTGGCTAACCTTTTCCCTCTGCCTTTACAGGCTCTTACGCAGGGGCTGTGGTGGCCATGCCTCTCGCGGGGATCCTAGTGCAGTATTCCGGGTGGAGCTCAGTATTCTACGTCTACGGTAAGCCAGCCAAGAGGCCATGCCAAGAAGAGTGGAAGAAATTTAGAGACTATTTAGCTAAATATTGTAACATACGATAAGTAGAAGTTACTTGAAAGGACCAAATGGGCCTAGGACTAGAGTGAATTGTAAAATATTATGGATTTGGATAATTATGAAAAGAGAAGAAGATTGTAAACGAAAGGTGTTAATTTGATTAGAAAGAGGATATTGGAAAGATGTTAAAAAGTGATTCAATGAAATTCGGTAAGGAGGGATTCGAGGAAGTCAGTTAACAATGAAAACTAAATTAGGCCTTAAAGTATTAGGTATTTATATGTTTGTTTTTGTTGCTTTTTGTTTTAGTATTGTAATGTTTTTTTCTTTATTTGTGTGCCTTATTTGTTATAAATTTGGAAAATTAATTAAAAAATTTGGAGGGGGGGAAAAGAGGCCAACTCTTTGGCTACCATTCCTTCTCGGTTGCCTAAACCTCGTTGCATCAGATTGTAGGTCCCTTCCCTCCAACCGCTTCTGCAATTCTGTTCCTTGGCAGGCAGCTTTGGTATCTTCTGGTATATGTTCTGGCTGCTGGTTTCCTACGAGAGTCCTGCACAGCACCCAACCATCACCGAGGAAGAGAGGAAATACATAGAAGAAAGCATTGGAGAAAGTGCCAGTCTTATGAATCCCCTTCTGGTCAGTGCCTTGCATTGCTCTCTTGCCATTCATATGGCGCCATCAAGGTGCACGGAGCCTTAACAGAGTGTGACGTAGTGGCTAGAGTCCCGGACTACGACACCGGGAATCCAGGGTTCGAATCCCCCCTTGGCTGCGAAGCCTGGTTACTGCCTCTCGGGCTAACCTACCTCACAGGGTTCTTGTGAGGATAATATGGGGAGGAGGGGAGATCCATGTGCGCTACCTTGAGCTCATAGGATGAAGCGTTGAAAAGTGAAAAGAAGAAAGAAGGCAGGAGGTCAAAAAGACAGGTCCCAAGCTACAGAGTTCCCTGGGAAGAGGGGTTGACTGCTAAACCACTCTGAGAATGGCACCTGTGTGAGGGGAATAGGGGTCTCCTAGAAACTCTCGGCACCCTTAACAAACTACAGTTCCCAGGATTCTTTGGGTGAAGCCTCATTGTTCAAAGTGGTAGAATACTGCTTCAAATGCCGAGTGCATATGGGGCCTAGTGGTGGTATCAGGCGGGTGTCCTGGGAGGCAGCTCCAAGCATACTGGGCTGCAGGGCAGGTTCATATGAGGAGGGGAAAGAGACATTTGGACAGGTGAGGGTGGTGAAGGTGGAGGAACAAAGACCATGGGCAAGGATATGAGAGAGCAGAGAGAGAGAAACTGTGCACACATCATGCATTTATAGCACAACTTCCCCCAAAGAATCCTGGGAACTGTAGTTTAAGGGTGCTGAGAGTTATAGCTCTGTGAGTGGGAAACTACAGCTCCCAGGATTTGGGGAGCAGGGAAGCATATGCTTTAAATGTATGGTGGTGAGGCGGCAGGTGTTGAAGATCTCTCTGCAGTAGGGAAGTTCTCAGCACCTTCATGGGGCACCATTTTTGAGGAGGCAAGTGGCCTCTGAAGTCCTGCGACAGCACTGCGGTGGGGATATGCGAGGATGTGAGGCAACTCCGTTAATGTTTTCATCTCTCTCTCTCTCTTCTCCCCACCTCTTGGCAGAAATTCAAAGCGCCCTGGCGCAAGTTCTTCACTTCCATGCCTGTCTACGCCATTATTGTGGCCAACTTCTGCCGGAGCTGGACCTTCTATTTGCTCTTAATTAGCCAGCCGGCCTATTTTGAAGAAGTCTTTGGCTTTGAAATCAGCAAGGTGAGAAAAATTGCCCTTGGTTTGAGGTGTGTGTGTGCCCGCGCTCTTGCACGTGTCGGGGCAAGAAATTGGAGACTTTTCCATAAGTTCTCTTCGCTGTTTTTAATACTGAATTTGAAATTGTTCTAACTCGGTCTTGGGACCTACCGGTGAAGAGTGGTGAATATTGCTGTCGTCATTAATTAATTAGCAGAGGGTGTTTCATTCTGTGCTGATAAGAGAAAGAAAAGATGCCCCTAGCCACGTGCCAATTGTTCTTCCATCGTATGCTGGGGCAAGGCCGAGCAGGAATGCACTCTGAGAGAAAACAGGTTCAAAAATCCAAAACAAAGACACAGAGAGAGAGAAGGAACCAAGATGTTCTGTTTTTTTAATTCTATGGCTCTATGTGCAGTATAGACTTTTTATTTTTTTTAAAAAAAAGAAGAAAAATATAAAACTTCAGAAATTAGCAGGATCAAATTTCAGGATTCCAAAACATACATCTACACAGCCGCAGCACATGGGCAGGGTGTGTGTGTGTGGTTGGAGTGGCAATGGCACCCTCTCACTGGCAATGGCACTTGTAAGGAGAGGATTGGGGTAACGTGAGGCTTCAGCAAGACCAGGGGCGCTTTGAATCGACATCGGCAGCCCTGCAGGCGCACTTGAGTGGCCACTACCAGCCCAGAGCTCCTCTGACCTCATCACACCTCGCCTTGTCTCCTCCCGCTCCGTCACTCTGCACCCTCACCTGCCACCGCTGCTCCTGCCACAACTTCTACTAGGTAGCAGTCGATGATGGCGAAGAGGACTACTGGAATTGGGTTTGAAGTTATATAATGTTTTCAACATGGGTGTTCATGGAAGGGCAGTTCCCCCACCACCAGGAACTATAATCCCAAGATTCCAGGCTTTCATTTTTGTTTTTAAAGAGAGCACGGGTTAAATCCAATAGGTGGCTGGCAACTAAATTTCACTCAGACTAGACCCATTGAAATTAACGGGCCTGACTTAGCCATGTTCATTCATTTCAGTGGGTCTGCTTTGAGTAAAATGTATTTAAACACCACCCAATGTTATCAAACTAATTTCTCACCAGAAAAGCGAGAAGAAAGGTACAGTGGTACCTCGGGTTAAGAACTTAATTCGTTCTGGAGGTTTGTTCTTAACCTGAAACTGTTCTTAACTTGAGGTACCACTTTAGCTAATGGGGCTTCCCACTGCTGCCGTGCCACCACTGTGCGGTTTCTGTTCTCATCCTGAAGCAAAGTTCTTAACCTAAGGTAATATTTCTGGGTTAGTGGAGTCTGTAACCTGAAGCATCTGTAACCTGAAGCATCTGTAACCCGAGGTACCACTGTACCTGCACATTTTGTCTTGTCCATCAGTTTTACACAACTTAAGAGTTGTCTTCAGCTGAACCCACTGAAATTCATGGTCATGGCAATATTAGTTTCAGTGGGTCTACTCTGAGTAAGACTTCAGTTGGATAAAACGCTTAAGTTTGCAGAACCTGCTACATGAGACAAAATGTATAGGTACTATTCTCATTTGTGTGTGTGAGAAATAAGCCTTATCCTGCCCTTCCAGTGTTCTACTTGGACACACACACATACACTGCCCTTCTCCCCACTTGAAAAATATCCTGTGGGTGCCCTTGGTCATAAACGTAATGTTCAAAAGAAAGAAGACCCCACACGACAGCTGGATTTTCTTAACTGTTTTTAAACATCCTTTTTGTCCCTTCCTGTGCAGGTGGGCATGCTTTCCGCTTTGCCTCACCTGGTCATGACGATCATCGTGCCCATTGGGGGCCAAATCGCCGACTACCTGCGGACGCGGAGGATCATGTCTACCACAAACGTCCGCAAGATGATGAACTGTGGGGGTGAGAGAGAAAGGCATTGTTGGAGAAAAGGCTCAGGGAGGAGGGTTAAGGCTTGGCTGAGAGATACCTGGACTCCAGTAAGGGGCCGGTGGCTGGCTTGGCAGTGGGAAAGGTTTCTGGAGAAAAGTGCCCAGGCCAGGAGTAGGGGACCTGCTGCCCTCCAGAACCTGCTGCTGGACTCCAACTCAAATCTGCCCACAACTAGCATGGCAAATATCCAGGGATGATGGAAGTTGGAGCCCAGCAGCATCTAGGCAGTACTGAGAGTGCCACAATCATAGCTGCCAAGCGTCCCTTATTTGGTGGGACAGTCCCTTATCCCAGCGCCGTGTCCCGCTGCTGTCCCTTATTGATGACGTCCCTTAAATTTCCCAGGTTTCAAAGGAAGCAGCTCCTCTCCCCCCCTCCCTGCCGGCCAGGGAGGAGGGAGGCTCCAACTGTGTTGCTTGACTGTGTTGCTCACCCAATAAGAAGTCTAAGAACGACTGGGGGGTGGAGCTTGCATGCCTTGTGCTGATTAAATTGGCTGCGTTGCCTGGGGACTCGCCTTTGCTCAGCGCTTCCCAGCGGAGAGGTGACGGTAGTTTTCCTTGAGGCTTGAGGCTTCGTTTGACTGCTGGCTGGGCTTTCTGCCTTTGGCTCGGAGGGGCTCAGAAGTTGAACATACCTGTGCCCGGAAAATCCCTTATTTTGGCTGCTGATCCCTTATTTTCGAGGCTGCTGGTCCCTTATTTTCAAATCTGTAAGTTGGCAGCTATGGCCACAATATTTGAAGCAAATGCATTAGAGACAGAATCCAGGAACTTGCACAGGTTTTTGAGAATCTCTGTTTTCATTGAGATGTCTTTCTTTCTTTCGCAGGGACAGGCACACCTCACTTGCGGATGCAAAATCCCTTAGAGGTTTCCGTGTCCTGCTTAGAATGCTTTTCTGGGGTTTCTAGTAGGCCTGGGTGATGGTGCCTTCATCCAGCAGAATATCGTGGGTGAAACTGCCGTCACTCCTGAGTCCCTTGGCCACCAGCGCCTGGTGCGCAGAGGAAGGGAAAAGCTACATTGGGAGCGGAGGCAGTTTCACCCCAGCACCTTGCGGGGCTGAGGACAAGGCAGCTTGTTCCTCCCTCTGCTTTTCAACATTGCAATGTATCGCTCTATCACAATGTTTAGCTGGTGATACATCGCAGTGTTGAAAAGCTGATTATCTCCCAGCCCTAGTTTCCAGTAGGAGGGCATGAGAAATCACCACATACCGGTATTCCTGTCCTGTATCCCTGTCCTGTGGATTGCAGTTAGCAAGCTCTCCTCTTGCCAGTTCACTTTTCACAAAGTTGCAACCTCCCCTGACCCTCATTTATTCATGAATCAGTCTTATACCTAGTCCATATAACCCAGGACCGCACTGCTGACAAAGACCTTAATGCTAGCCTTCCCCAATTTGGCACATTCCGGGCGTGGTTGGACTACAACTCCCATCAGCCCATGGTCAAGGATGATGGGAAGTGTAGTCCAGCCCAGGTTGGGGGATCCTGCCTTATGCGGAGAAAGGTCTTTCTCATCACTGCCTTTGATCTTTTCCGCTCAAGGCTGGCTTTTTATTCGTTAGCTCATTTGTTACATTTTCATCCTGCACCATCAGCGCATCTCAGCTCTCAGGACAGCTTAAGACGAAAATAAAATAAAGTTACACAATCAACCATAAGATCAAACAGAGTAAAACATCAGCTATAACACAATAGATTTTTTAAAAAGCAACCACACAGTGGATAAATAAAACACAAGCTTCCAGAGTGGCTTAAAAGGATTTTTAACACCTGGGAGAATGAATTGGTGTTGAAATGACACATGCATACCATGTGTTGCAGATGTTGGGGGATTGAGCTTAAGAACATCAGACTATCCCTTCTGGACCAGGCGAAAGGCCCTTCTAGTCCAGCACTCTGTTCTCACAGCGGCCAGCCAGATACCTGAGGGCAGCCGGCAAGGGGATCTGGGTGCAACAGCAATTTTTTCCACCTGCGCTTGCCAAAAACGGAGGCCTTCTGTATGCAGAGCATATGCTCTACGGCTCATTTGCAGCCCCCGCTAAGTTATGACACCCTTCCCCTTCCATTAGCAAAAAAAAAATTAGCAGCACGCACAGCCACATGTAAGTTTTATGTACACCCTGCTCTAGTTTCTTATCCAGCGCGATCACAGTCAGAAGTTGAAAATAGACACAGCTGTGCTTGTGTGCGGGAGCTGTGTGTCCACACTCACTTTCTCTGTTCTTCCTTCTTCGTCAGGTTTTGGCATGGAAGCCACACTCCTCTTAGTGGTTGGCTATTCCCACAGCAAAGGCGTAGCAATTTCTTTCCTCGTTCTGGCCGTGGGTTTCAGCGGTTTTGCTATTTCAGGTAAGCTCTTAGCACTGGCGGAGGAAGAGGAGTGCGGGGGGAGCGCACCCTGGTGGGGTGCCATCGCGGCTGCCACCCGCCCGCACTGGGCACCACGCCCCCACAGGTGTCATGCCATGCCCCCAGGGCACGCATCACACCCCTGCGAGTGGCGCGCCATGTCCCCAAGACGCGCGCCAGCCCCACCCTGCCTGCTTTCCGTCCCCCTGTGCCAGAGCATGAAGCTCTGCCACTGCTTCTTAGGGAGCTGGGTTGACCTTCTGAGGAAGGTGAGACCCTCCAGTTGTTGCTGAACTACAACTTCCTACGTCCTCGGCCACTGGTCATGCTTGCTGGGACTGATGGGAACTGTAGTTCAGCCACAAAAGATTCCCCACACCTGTGTTAGGGCCATAGCTGTCAACATTTCCCTTTTTTTTAAAGGGAAATTCCCTTATTCCGAATAGGATTCTTCGCAAGAAAAGGGAAAAGTTGACAGCTATGGTTAGGGCATTGTGGCATTCCAAATTAAAGGTCCTCTGCTTCCCCCCAACAAGTAGAAATCAGAGAGAAATTAAGTTTGTGCTCCTACCTAAGTTGTACTTTCTGAAACAACACACAAAGCCATGCTCTGAAGTGCGAAATTCTCTGAAGTTTGCAATGCACTTCTCTAACCAAGCAATGTGTGTAGAAGAACACATACTGGGGTAAAGTGTGCATCAAAATGCATATATTTGTGAAAATAACACTATATCAGGGGACATTGGCCTGCAAAAATATGTATACAGTCGTACCTTGGAAGTCGAACAGCTTAATTCCTGAACGTTTTGGCTCCCGAACATTGCAAACCCGGAAGTGACTGTTCCAGTTTGCGAACTATTTTTGGAAACCGAACATCCAGCGGGGCTTCCACAGCTTTTGATTGGTTGCAGGAGCTTCCTGCAGCCAATCAGAAGCTGCACTTTGGTTTTCAAATGGATTCCGTTCGACTTTCAAGGTACAACTGTATTAGGCAAAACTGTATGCAAACATATATGTTAGAAGCAGGGCTTTTTTTCAGCCAGAGTTTGGCTCCATCACCTCTCAGGTGGGTGCCACTGCCATTGTAAGAGAACAAGGGAGAAGTTCATGGTGAGCTTTGGCACCTCTTTTTCTAGAAAAATAGTACTAGTTAGAAGAAATTCACAGTAAAATGCTGATGAACTTTCATGAGGACTGTTTTGTTTTTGTTTTTTTAGCCGACTGAAGAACCGAGTCTAAGATTGGTATTTAAAATTGGAAAAATAAACTGAGAGAACCTGAAATTGTAAGGTTCGCCCATCCTTGCCCACAACTCCCACACAGTGGGACGCCTGACATGGAGGCTTTCTGATACCCATATAGTCCAACCCTGTGAAGGGTTCATCCTCATTAGGTGCACCATTTTTTGCATGGCCTTTGAAGTCTAGTCCATGCCCCCTCTCTTTTGACCACACCCCTAACCCCCCTTGCCCTGTGCCCTCTGGGTGCTTTTGCCTGATCGGCATATGCATTGAGCTGTGATGTCCTCCATGTTTCTGACTGGCCTTAACCAGAAGTTGGGCATTTTCTGCCACTGCTCCCAAGCTGTGGAAGGAACACTCCTCCAGCAGAGATGTGGCAGGCATCTCTACTTTTGATTTTTGGGAAAACTTTTTTTTTTAAATGCCAACAGGGCTATGTGGGTATTTACATTTTTGGATGAGTAGCCAGGTGTTGCAATCATTTTGATGATCGTTTAATGGGTTTTGAAAAATCTTTTTTAACCAGAGCACAGGATTGCTCCGTAAGAGGCAATAAGGGTGATACCTCTTTCAGGAGATCATGATTAGGAAAAACGCAAAAGGAGGGCAGAAAATCAAGGCAAGGGGCCCACGTGCTTATTCCTTTGAACTTTGTTTCTGTTTATGACTGCAGAAGTAAGAGATCTTTCAAGTATCTCATAGAAGCAACAGGGAACTACATGCGGACTCTCCAGCTGCAATCTAATACCAAACAACTATGATCTTGCGTGAACTTACAGGGGCAGGGAATATCTGTTAGTAGTTCTAGCAGTAAACTGTAACATTTTAGCACATTTGGGTGCTTCCAGACAACCTGATAAGTTTACAGAGAGAGTAGATGACATTCGTTATTTAATCAGCATTCATTCTGATTTGTTTGTGGGGAGGTTAGATGATAGTCCTCAAAACAAGTGTCATCCCACTTTTTCCAGGACGTATATTCTGTCATTTCCTTTATTGCAAAAAGTCTGATCATTTTAGGGAAGCAGGTTTGTTCAGGACTTCCCAATCATTGCACTACCTGGATTGGCCAGTATGTACCGTAATTGCATACCACTTAAAAATATTGATAATCTGGAAGCAGCCTCACAGTTAGAGGCAATCTGTGGCGTACGTTAGCTCCAAAGTTAGAGGAGAAACTGATGTAAATTCTATAACCTGCCTCCTCGCTTCCAGGATTTAACGTCAATCACTTGGACATTGCCCCCCGATATGCCAGCATCCTCATGGGGATCTCCAATGGCGTGGGAACTCTGTCAGGGATGGTGTGTCCACTCATCGTTGGAGCTATGACCAAACACAAGGTAGGAATCAAAGCTCCTGAAAGCAGGGGGGTTGCTTGTCCTGAGAACTTCCTGTCCCCATAATTTCTAACCTTCTGATTTGGTTCTCCAAGTGCCGTTTATGTAGCCAGAATGGCAACAGCCACACACGGAGGAGGTCTGAGCATGCTGCCTAACAATATGCTCTCTTCCTGATGGTTGAGAGCAGTTGGGTGGGGAGGCTGAAAAACAGATGGGGGGCAATGGAATGGAGCAGCTAGAAAAGGAGGACAGAGGAAGAAATACATTGTTGTTGTTGTTTCATTTCATTTCACTCACGTGGGGGTTAAGTTTCTGGGAGCTGCGCGTACATGAAATCATGTATAGTGAGAACACCATCTAGAAAGCTTGCAAACACTCTCTAAACCTCTGGAAACTCTTGAAAAACCCTTTAAAACACTGCTTACCAGACTCCCTCCCAGTGCTTTTTTCTGGGGGGACGCAGAGGTACGCATAACCCTAAACATTTTGTGAATCTAAGTTTGGCCTCATTGAGGGACAGTATTTCAATATGTGTAGGAAAATGAGAGTACCCCTAAACATTTTTTTAGAAAGAAAAAAAAGCACTGCTTCCTTCAAGCCTTTCTCAAACTCCAGTTCTCCACAGGTTTCAAAGGTTGGTGCAAGGGCTCCTGGGATTGAATTTGCAATGGCTCCTGGGATTGCTTGCTGCTCTTTTTGCCATTTTTGTGATCTTCTCGGGCCGTTTCTTGCACCACTTCCGGGTTCGAATCGAATTATTTATTTATTTCGCAGCGCCACACATGTACATGGTGGCATGCGAGTTGGTCGCACACAAGTGGGGAGTTTCCTGTATTACTAACGCTTCGCCAGCACGTCCCAGGGCAGGGTGCAATGTTAACATTTAGAATTACAAATGCTTAAAATGTTACATGAATACCATGGATATACCGTTGACATGTTAGGTATGTTAACGTTGCTTCTGAACATGAATGTTTCACTTAGCTATCATGGCTCTTTCTCCTTCTCAGAAGCTTTGTTAGCCTTCCCCCCAGTACTATGTTACATTTTTAGACTGTTATTTCCATATGCAGTGATTCTTGACTGGATTTTTCCTTCCTCAGGTTTCTCATTTATTGCGGTCAATGTCCTCTTTGACCTATAGAGCAGCACCATTACCAGTGCAAACCCCTCGGTCCTTCCTGTATATTTTATATCTGGGGATAATTGTATCCCATTGATTATCCCTGCCCTACCAGATTTCTGATATTCCCACAGTATCTGTGTTCTTTTCTAATAGCAGACACTCTAAACTCACACTTTGGTTGTTGTTTTTTAATAAAAAAAATGTGTATTGAGAACATTTTTACCCTGCCTTTCTGCCACACGCAATATGAGGCACTTAAGAAAATCAATGGAATATATAAACGGGGGTTGGGCGGGGGAGGGAGAAAGATGAAGCGGGCTGGAAGCACCAGCAGATAACACCAATTAAATTGTAAGAGAGAATAAGCAAAGAGAAAAAAGGCAAAGAGTGCAAGACTCAGAACTTGGGCATCTTTTGGGTCCAGGACCAAAGGGGGGGGGGACCACTTTATCCAGCAAGGTGGGCAACAAAAGGATTGTCTGGTCAAGCAACAATGGAGAAGAGAAGGTCCTATCACTGTGGAGCATGGAAATGATCCATAATGAATTGGAAAAAAATGTTTAAAAGAACTCCCCCCCCCAAAAAAAACCCCAGAATCCTTTCGGTTGGGGGATAATTCAGACTGAAATTCCCAGGTATCAAAAAAGGTTATTTATATATGCCACTACTGTGGCCCATGTTTTGTTAGCCCAAAAATGGAAAACGAGTAAGGTCCCAACCAAAGACAAATGGCAGCTTAAGTTAACAGAATATGCACAGCTTGCAGACTTAACCTATAAAATAAGAGAACAAGGAGAACATACGTTTAGAGAAGATTGGAAAACGTTTATTGAATATATGGGAAACAACTGTGTACAGCTGAAAACACCGGCAACACTGATAAATTCAACAGTGTAAATAAGTTTTCATGGGTGTAATAATGGAATACTGAATGGTATAGTCTTTGTAAAATACACAGGGATTTATGATACGTAATATGAACCATGGAAAGAGAAAAAGGGATGTAAAAATTCTTTCATTCTTAAGGATGTAAAAATGAGTACTTTAAATTGTAAAACAGAAAATTTAATTATGAGAGAAGGCCCTATCACATGTCTCTGTTAAATGGGCCTAGTCCATTAGGGCAAATGAGGCACTATGGTCAATGGTGCAAAACCGGAACGCATGTTTTCTGAACTGCACTCCTGTGTGAGTCACATGATCAACATGAGAGTGCAGCACCTAAAAACGTGCCTTTTGGGCCACTGCAATCTTGCATGTTTTGGGGTGCTGTACTCTCACGTCCCACAAAACAAGATGTCCCGGACAGTTGACGGATACTTGCCATGAACCCTCTGGGTGGCCTACATGGACTCCCTGGGGTCTGAGGACCAACCATTAAGAACCACTGGAATAAATGAATGAAGTACAGTGGTACCTCAGGTTAAGTACTTAATTTGTTCCGGAGGTCCGTTCTTAACCTGAAACTGTTCTTAACCTGAAGCACCACTTTAGCTAATGGGGCCTCCTGCTGCTGCCGCGCTGTCGGAGCACGATTTCTGTTCTCAACCTGAAGCAAAGTTCTTAACCTGAAGCACTATTTCTGGGTTAGTGGAGTCTGTAACCTGAAGCGTATGTAGCCTGAGGTACCACTGTACTTTCTTCGGTTATCCACACTGACCTCTTCCCTCTTTCATTCCCCACAGACACGGGAGGAGTGGCAATACGTCTTCCTCATCGCCTCTCTAGTGCATTATGGGGGTGTCATTTTCTATGGGATTTTCGCCTCCGGCGAGAAGCAGCCCTGGGCCGAGCCGGAAGAGATCAACGAGGAGAAGTGCGGCTTCATCAACGAGGATGAACTGGCCGACGAGGAGGACGAAGTGGCCCGCATGGCCGCAGGAGGGGGCGGGGGAGGAGGAGGCGGGGGCTACGGCGCTACCAAGAGCACCAGTTTTGCCAATGGAGGCTGGACGGCTGACTGGGACAAGAAGGAAGAATATGTCCAGGAGCCTGGCAAAGATTCGTATATGTATGGCACGCCAGGAGAGCGGGACTTGTCGTAGAGATGCCCCATCCCTCCTTCCGCGTGGGGTGCTGGGGCCTTGGTTCAGTCCTCTGGAGTGAGGGGGAAATGCCTGTCTTTAGGTTGCTTCTCCCCCTCCCCTTTCACTTTACCGTCCTTTCCCTCCCACCCCTCAGTTCTGGTACAACTGTCCAGACCCAATGAAAACTGCCTCCCTCTTCAGCCTCATACGCCTTGGTAAAAAAAACACCCAAGGGCACCCACACACCCCAAACCGCCCTCCTTCCTTTTCCACAGGTTCCCGTGTGTTGTCATGACAGCTGCCATGCCTCACACATACCCAACGCCACCTACTCTGACCCCTCCAGTTGTGGTACCTCCCACTATCCTCAGGATATGGGGGCAAGGGGTGGGTGGAGTTAAGTTACACCCACACGCCCCTTGAGCCCTACTAAAGACCTTTGGACACAGCGCAATAGCACTGATTTATGACCTATGGCCTCTGGGTTACCCAGGTGGAGGGAGCCGTAGGTCTGTGGCAGAAAATGTGCTTCGCATACATCAAGTTCTAGGTTTGATTCCCAGTCTCTTCTCACCGAAGGACGTCAAGGAGTGGCTCTGGGAAAGATGGCTGGCTGAGCCTTGGAAGGCCTCTGCCAGCTAGAGTAGACAGTACCGGCCTAGAGGGGCCAATGGTCTGGCTCCATGTGAAGCAGGCGCCTTTGTTCAGCATCCCCCACCCCCGGGATGGAGCTGTGTTTGGTCACCTCGCCCCACTCTGCCACTCACTGCTTCAGCACCTTAGACCAGCCTGTCGCTAACCTGGTGCCAACCAGGTGTTTTGGACTACATCTCCCATCAGCCCGCAGCCAGCCTGGCCATTGTGGCCGGGGTTGATGGGCGTTGTAGCGCACAACGCCTGCAAGGCACCAGGTTGACGAAGCCTGCCTTAGACTATGCCTCAGGGCAGGGGGTTGGACTCGATGGCCCTTGTGGTCTCTTCCAACTCTATGATTCTATGATTCTATGATTCTATGCCTCAGGCCCCTCTCTCTTTCTTAGGAACAAATCAAATATTTTCCCCTTCCTGTGAATGTATCTGGGGAGCTTTAATTTGTGAGGGGCAGAGCATCTTATGCCTTCAGCATTCATGCGCCAAAAATGACCCTGCACTGAGGAGGGGGCGGGGAGCAGCTCACCTTGACCCAAGGCAGACCCCTTGCTCCTACGCTGAGAACCAGTCAAGCCATGCTTCTTCTGTGGCACAAATCCAGCCTCTCCGTTAAAAATGCCCACAGGCCATCATTTCTAAATACTCCACTTGCTTGTCACTGTAAATGTGTGTTTTTCCCACCCCCACCCCCCAAGCCACAAAATGCTTTCAGTGCTACACTGGTTGACGTTTTCTCAATGGACAAGTGAAAATCTGCATAGTGGTTTCGAGTGACACCGCCTCCCCGCTCTCAAATACTTATGGATGGTAGTTTCAAGAGCCCCCCCTTTACTCGCTCCAAAAATAACTCTAGGCATGTGTTCACACAGTGTTGTTATAGCGCTTTCAGGCTTACAGTGCTTCAGAATTATTTGAAACCTACATTTAAAAAAAAACCTAAAAAAATAATAATCCAAACTTTGTCACCAAAGACCTCAGTGGGGGGGCAAAGGGTGGCTATGCTCCCTTCAAATGTTGTTGGACTCCAACTCCCATCAGCCCCAGCCAGCATGGCCAATGGTCAGGGTGAATGGAAGTTGTAGTCCAGTAACAATGGGAGGGCCACAGGTCCCCCCCCCCGCTCTAGATTCTTAACTAGAACATGATAAAGGTTCACACTATGCTTAAAACAGTATATATTAAGAGTGTTTCAAGTGCAGTTTTGAGTGGCTGTGAAACATTATGAAACTGGCCACATCTACATTACAAATTTAAAGCAGCTTAGTGGTATTGTGTTTTACCTCTTTTGGTTTCTGTCAAAGAACCCTGGGGGTTGTTGGTGCCTGAGGGTGCTGATCTGATTATTTTACTTAGCTAGGTCATAGATCTCTATCCCGCTTTTTAGGATACTCTCCTTACAAAGCTGATTATTATTATGAATTGTCTTTTCACCCCTTTTTTACTCCCAGAAGGTGATTGCATCCTTTTGTCCTCACAACCACCCCGTGAGCTAGGCTAAACTTATAGAGAACGACTAGCTCAAGTTCAGGCGGTAGTTGAATGAAGAATTTGAACCCAGGTCTCCCTGGGCAAATTTCAAAATTCCAGCCATTATACCACACTGAACCATCATAAAATCAGCAATTCCCAGAGATCTTTGCTTAGAGGGCACAGGGACTGATTTCAATGTGTAGTACAGACATACTGTGTAAGCGCAAATTAGTTATCCGTGTTGTAAGCATCACAAGCTATTTACAGTGCAATTGTATGCATGTTTACTCGGAAGCAAGCATCGCTGAGTTCAATGGGACATACTCCCATTGCAGCTGCAAGGTGCTTTAACTGCCTTAGTGTGAACACAACGTAGGGTTTTTGCACCATGACAGGAGCCAGCATTACCCAGTGGACACTAGAATGTTCCGTTAGGATGACCATCCCCAACCTAGTGCCCTGTCAGATGTTTCGGACTACAACTCCCATCAGCCCCAGCTAGCACGGCTCCCTGGCTGGAGCTGATGGGAGTTGCAGTCCGAAATATCTTACAGGGCACCAGGTTGGGGAAATACTGCTTTAGGGTCTGAGATGTTTTGAGAGTTTCATCTTAAAATGGCCCTCAGCAATTCAGACGCGTACAAAAGGACAGCATCCTAGCTCAGAGGATTGTTGGAAGGATGGGCCAAAGAAGATTGTAAAGCACTCTGTTAGGAAATGATTCCTAACGGTGTCAGCAAATGCTGGGGTTGGCGGAGCTGTTGGTTTCTGGTCACCCCAAAACACACCTGCAGCTTTTGCATCGGAAACCGACTTGCTTGAGTTCATTGGAGTGCAAGTCGTCTGCCATGTTCCAGAGGCACCTCCGATAATCCCACAGCTCCTTGCGGCAGTTGATCCAGTCTCACAAAAGCCGGTTCCCAGAATAGCAGGGGGCTGGCAGCGTCCAGGCCCCATGCTAGGGAAAGGCTCTCTCCCCACCCCACCCCATAAGTTCTTCCCCCCTCAGCCCCCTCTGCCCCAAAGTTCCCTCTGTGGGTTGGTTGGTCTGTCTGGCGTTTGCTCTGTACGTGTAACCTCCCTCCCTGGATAACCCCCAAACAGTTGGAATAAATACCCTGTTCTTGTGTAAATATATAAATATAAATATTATATACGAAACCAAACATGGATTTGGAAAGGAGCGTGCTTGTGTGCGTGGCGCTGGGGGACTGAACTGCCACTGCCTGACTATCCTTCACCCAGAAATTTCTCCATATATCCACTCTCTATTCAATTATGATCAGTTTGGACCTCTGTCATATAACGCCAGTCACAGTTTCTGCATGCACATCATACATTTAAAGAGGTTTGTTAAGGGTGCTGAGAGTCACGAAGAGACCCCTATTCATAGCTGTCAACGTTTCCCTTTTTTTAAGGGAGATGCCCTTATTCCGAATAGGATTCCTTGCAGGAAAAGTTGACAGCTATGCCCCTATTCCCCTCAGAGAGCTACAATTTCTAGAGTGGTTGGACAATCCCTTTCCCAAACTCTGGGAACTGTAGCTCTGTGGGGGGAGTAGGGGCCTTCTAACAATTCTCAGCACCCTTAAACTACAGCTCCCAGAATTCTTTTGGGGATTTAAAGTAGTATCGCAACGCTTTGAAAGTGGATGCGACTTTTGAGGGGAATATGGCATAAGTCAAGCATGAAAGGAGAAGGGGGGAAGAAATGGCAGGAGATGAGTAAAAATTCTTTCAGGGCTGTGTGTATAACAGAGGGGAGAGAATATATATATATATATATATATATATATATATATATATATCCCACCACCTCCAGTTAGAACCTTTGAGCAAATGGAAAGGTTGAGTCATGATACTTTCCAAGCCAACGTCTGTACGTAGCTTTAAGAAAGTTTAACTACAGAAGTCACATCTCCTTACCACAAGAAAGTCACTGTGGCTAAGAATGTGGCCTATTCAAAAAATGCATTAGATATTAATAGAAAACAATTGCCAGTAATTGCCACCTGATTAGGAAAAACTGCCTTCCCTCCGCCACCATTTTGTTACTGGCTCTGGCCCAACACTGCTATTTTGTGACTGGGGGGCCTCAGTAATTTTCAGCCCTCTCAAGTGGGCCCCGAAGCAGAAAATTTGAGGACCCCTGTTTACAAAATGCTTATTCTACCTTTTGGGCAGCATTTTGACATGGGCAGTGACATAACAGGAAATGGGGATGGGTAAATCTGTCAGTTTCTCTCAAGTTTCTCATTTTTCCAGTCTCAGGTTCACTTCTCTATGGTTCTCCATACGTTAGACTTTTTTATTTTTAATGTCAGATTTCTGCTGGCACACACATTTTTATATGCACTTTTGCCTAATATACACATTTTTGCAATGCAATGTTCTCTTGTCTAAAGCCTTCTGTGTGGTATTTTCACAGATATATACATTTTTAATGCATTCTTTCCCCTAGTATATGTACACATTAGTACACATTTAGTACACATTACTTGGCTTGAGAACTGCTTTGCAAAATTCAGAGAAATGCAAATTTTGTAGGATGGCTGCGTTTTAGTTTGCATATTGTTTCGAAAAGTGAAGATTAGGTAAGTGTCCCTTTAGTTCCAAACTGAATCAGATCCCACCCCCCACATCCATATCAGGGAAGGGATCCTATCACATCATAGCTCAGCATACATACATTCTAGTCTATCCACACACAAGGAGCTCATCCCTAAAAGACAATCCTACTGAATGTACAGAGGCTGTCCCCAGGACTGGAATCCCTGAGCTAGGGGCACGGAAACAGAGTCTGAACAATATTAATTCCCTCTGTTTCTCAGGGTCAGGCTGAAGATACCATTGCCATCCATCCACGAGAGGAAGGCTTGTAGGGTGGGGGTGGGGAAACCCCACAAAGTCTGCAGAAGTACTGAGCTTTTTCTAAGGAAGCAGCTTTTAAGCGGGAGAGGGGAGAACTCTTAAAACACCCTAACAAGAGCTGAGCATGCTCTGTGGCTATGGAATTCAGGCTGTTGGGAAGGCAGAGTGGCAATGGAACGGAGTATCAGGGACAGGGGCAGTCTGCTCCGCCGCTTCTTCTCGCTGCCCCCACTTGTAGAACTACAGGGCACAGCTGCAGACAACACAGAGCTGGGATAGATAGTTGGACCCCAAGCACCCATCAGCTCCAGCCAGCATGGCCAACAGTCCAGGATGGAGTCCAATACCATCTGCAGGGATGATAGAGCCAGCTTGGTGTAGTGGTTAAGAGCGGTGGACTTGTAATCTGGTGAACCGGGTTCGATTCCCCGCTCCTCCACATGCAGCTGCTGGGTGACCTTGGGCCAGTCACACTTCTTGAAGTCTCTCAGCCCCACTCACCTCACAGAGTGTTTGTTGTGGAGGAGGAAGGGAAAGGAGAATGTTAGCCGCTTTGAGACTCCTTTGGGTAGTGATAAAGCGGGGTATCAAATCCAAACTCTTCTTCTTCTTCAGGGTCACAGGTTCCCATCCTCGTAATCTAGAGAAGCAAGAGATGGGCCAGTATTCAGGCTCCTCAAGGTAAGATTGCTGATTCCGGAACCAGCAGGCCCAGCAACTGTTCCTCTACAAGCCATTTGATATCCAGCTGTGCTTTGCTTTGCTTGCAGATTTATTTATTTTTTACATATCAACCACCCCTCTGTTAAAGGGGTAGGAGCAAGTCAGGTTGCTTCCCGGGCCGCCCTGCCAGTTGGCAACTTTATCTGTAGGCGGGAGGGGACAGCTAGGTTGGCACGTGGCTGGCCAGCTGCAGTCGGATTAAACCAGGAATAGACAGTTGGCTCAGGGATTATTAGGCGGAGGAGAGGGGCAGGGTGGGAGCTGAGGGAGAGGTTCAGGCAGGGCAGATCAGAGATGCAAAAGGAACTGGAGAGGAGATAAACTAGCCGGTGTCGTGTCCTTTCAGCCCAGCTTCAGGTTGGCCGCTGGGAAACTGCATCGTTTCAGGGTCACTCAGGTCCCTGCTGTGCTGGTGCTTGCTCAGGTATTCACAGCTGCAAAACCCTGCAGTGTGTACTCCTGGGAGCACAGAGGGGAGAGTACACAGAGTCGATTCACCAGGGATCTCCGGGATAGTGGGAGAGAATCTTGTCCCAGAATGAATCTCATTGAGTAGGTCTTGAGGTTGTGGGGAGGATAAAGGAGTCAATTTCAGGTTCTCTCTGTTTCTTAGTTTAGCTGTCTCCACACTTCAAAATCAGTTTTTCAAGCCCTCACGAAAATTCGCCACTGTTTTAGCATGCAGTTTTGCAAAGCAGTTTCCCCCTGGAGTAATGCATTTGATTTTCTTTAACAGGCTTTAGTCTAGTCTGTGCAGTTCTGTGCATGTTACTTTACTGGAGAGCTGGCTGGCAAAATGCAGAGTAATGCAAATTTGGAAAGATGGCTGTCTTTCAGTTTGCATATTGTTTTCAGAAAGTGCAGATTAAGTTGGTTCGCCTTTAAACGTGGACTGAATCAAATTTATCCTCCAAACCTACTTTACGTGAACTGAGTTCTATCTCTTCAAGAATGTCATGAAAAATTATATTCCATCATCACACATCTCTATTATTATTACTTCATATTTATGAAGCGCCTTATTCAAACATGTCTAGAGGTGGTGTACAATATAAAGTAGCACACATCGGGTAGAAAATCCACATACAAATTGAAAGCTCAATGCACAATAAAACAATCAAATCTGGTGAACACATCAAGAAAATATACCTCAATCCACAAAGCATGTTCTCTCACAGCCATGAGCACGATTATTACAAAATAATTTAAAGAATGAAATCATCCCCAAGGGTGATAAAATCAACACTCAAATGCCTGGTGATAGAAACAAAGTTTTTCTCTGGCTTTGCTATGTTGTCAAAGTTGGCACCAGGCGAGCCTCTCTTGGGGGAGCGTTCCACAAACAGGAACGAAGGCTGGACCACCGAAAGTGTTAAGTTGTGGGTGAACATATCAGACGACACAGCGATTCTTCAAACAGCTCTTGTTTATTCCCAGGCCAGAACAGAACCAAACTGAAGGGTTCAGTCAGCCTGCTTATATAGAGCTCCAGTACAACGTAACTGTAACAATTTTCTAAAACTATCCAATCACTGAAAGTCACTTTCGATCCCTTATTTGCATAACTATCTACAGTATCCCCCTGCTGGCCCAGGATGAGAACTTCAGTACATAACAGAAAGGGCCCTATTCCTTGTTGTCATCCTGTTAAGTTGTGGGTGAACATATCAGACGACACAGCGATTCTTCAGATAGCTCTTGTTTATTCACAGGCCAGAACAGAACTGAGCTGAAGGGTTCAGCCAGCCTGCTTATATAGAGCTCAACTACAACGCAACAGTAACAACTTGCTGTAACTATCCATCCACTGAAAGTCACTTTCAATTCCTTATTTGCATATGTGGACCTGTGTGAAAACTATCTACAGTATCCCCCTGCTGGCCCAGGGTGAGAACTTCAGTACATAACACATCCTTTACTCAATAACCAAGTCCTCAAATGGGCTCAGAGTCAATGCCATTCATTATTTCCATAGTATTTTCAGGCTTCATGGCCTTTTCTCTCTTTTTTTACAGTACTTAAGGCTGGCCACCTTGGCTGGAATCATTACAGCTCCCTCAGCCTGGGTGGGGAACTTTAAGCCTAAAGGCCAAAAGCAACCCTACAGCCCCCCCTCTCCCCCCACCCCCCTCTTGCTTGCCTGGGCAGAGGACAGACGTGTGTGTGAATTTAGAAACCCATGACTTCTATATGTCTGGAACTTGGCCAAACCAATCAAAATCAATGCTCAATAAAGGGCGCCTCCAGACCCCCTTTCTATTGTTCATTCATCAGGCACTTATACAGTGCTGGGAGCTGATGGGAGGCCCCGATTCCGCTCCCAGAGCTACAACTCGCAGTGTAGTTTAACAATCAAATAATTGTAGTGAACAGTGGGCCTCCTAACAACCCCCAGCACCCTTAACAAGCTACAGCTCCCAGAATTCTTTGGGGGAAGCCATGACTGCTTACAGTGGTGTCATGTTGCTTTAAATTTATGGTGTGACTTTAGCCTTAGAGGCAAAGGGCTGTGGCCACAGAACCCTGCAAGCAGGCCAGTTTCGGGTTGGGAGGTGGCTTCCAGCACTTCCTTCCATAGAACCCAGCGAATGACCCAGCCCCAGTCCCTATTATTAATATCATTGGTAAAGCAAATCATGGGTGCCTTAAATTGCACCTGTGTCGTGCACATGGGCTTCAGACTGCAGGCTAGTTTATTTTATTTTTTTGAGAAGCCTGGCACAGGTTGCATCTCCTGCCTTTTTGGTCGCAGCTGGATCCCAATGCACTCGGCTCCAATTTCCCCTGGCTCAGCAGTGCAGCCCTCCATCGCCTTAGATCAGTCTTCAGTGCAGACAGAGAGGGGACAAGGTGACCCGAGCTTGAATTTCACTTGTTCTCATGCCTAAAAAGAAAGAGGCCGACTGCTCCCCTACCCCACCCACCCACCCACACCAGAACCCACCCCTCCTGCCTCCTTAGATCTACGCCACACTCCTCTCAACAGAGAATCCAGGAGACCAGCTCCTACCCTGCTCTACTCACTATTGATTGTTTTATTGATTTCGAGCTAAACTTTCTGCTAAGGTGCTCAAGGTGACATATATTTTATTTATAGACTATATGTCGCACACTTAAAGAGTATCTAGGCGGCAAACATAGCACAGCCGTAAAGCAACGTAAAAATACTTTGCCATCATTTCCACTGTATAATCCCGAGGTAAGGAGGATCAGAAAGTCTGTTTTGGCTTTTGGAAGTCTTCTCAGGCCACGCCCCCTATATCCAGGCTGCACCTCCTCACCGGCCCAGCTTCAGCTCCTGAGTGTTTTCGGCTGGCTAGGAGGTGACCGTGAACTCTGGTGACGTTTCCTGGTTGCCCGGACAGAGGAAAGAGTGTTTGAGTAGGTGCAGACATTTGCCTCCTGTCCACAGATGACGTTGACATTCATTGCTCCACCCACTTTCACCTCTGGCCCCGCCTACCACCACCATGTGACCCTCAGAAGGTGGGCCAGAAGGAATGCAGATCTTGGGCCAAAAAAGGATTACCTATCCTTGTCATAGGGATGTGGGTGGTGTTATGGATTAAACCACAGAGCCTAGGGCTTGCTGATCAGAAAGTCAGCGGTTCGAATCCCCATGATGGTGTGTCGGTTCCAGCTCCTGCCAACCTAGCAGTTCGAAAACACACAGTGCAAGTAGATAAATAGGTACCGCTCCGGCGGGAAGGTAAGCGGCATTTCCATGCACTCTGGTTTCCATCACGGTGTTCCGTTGCACCAGAAGCTGTTTAGTCATGCTGGCCACATGACCTGGAAAGCTGTCTTTGGACAAATGCCAGCTCCCCCAGCCTGAAAGCGAGATGAGCGCCACAACCCCAGAGTCGTCCACGACTGGACGTAATGGTCAGGGATCCCTTTACCTTTACCCTTGTTATACACAATAACTGGTGAGCGAGCGATACATCAGAGTTATACATCACCTGTGTAAGCAGAAAGCAGATTTGTGTGTCCTTCCTCGTCGTCCCTACTGTCGCCTTCCGAGGCAGCCTGTGTTCCACTGCCAAACAGCTAAACGTGCAAGGAGAGCCCTGCTGAATCAGGCCCATTGCAAAGGCAGATTTAGGGGAGCGAGACCGGTTTGCCTGCATGGGGCGCTGAGCCAAGGGTGCTACAGGGGGCACCGCAGCAATGAACAGAAGATGAAGGGGGGATTTTGGCACTGCACAACACGCTGCTGAAATTTGAAAGCCCCAAGTCCGCCACTGCCCATGGTCCATCTAGTTCAGCATTCTGCTCTTGCAGCGGCCAACCAGATGCCCCTTTGGGGAGCCCACAAGCAGGACCCAAACGCCAGAGCCCTCTCCCCTCCTGAGATTTCCAGCAGCTGGTATTCAGAAGCATTATTTCCACCATCTGCAAAGGCAGAGCATAGCTATGGCTGCTAGTAGCCACTGAGAGCCTTTATCTCCATGTGAAAAGGTGAAAAGGTAAAGGACCCCTGGACAGTTAAGTCCAGTCAAAGGCGACCATGGGGTTGTGGCGCTCATCTCGCTTTCAGGCCAAGGAAGCCGGCGTTTGTCCACAGACAGCTTTCCAGGTCATGTGGCCAGCGTGACTAAACTGCTTCTGGCACAACGGGACACCGTGATGGAAACCAGAGCGCATGGAAAAGCTGTTTACCTTCCCGCTGGAGTGGTACCTATTTATCTACTTGCACTGGTGCGCTTTCGAACTGCTAGGTTGGCAGGAGCTGAGACAGAGCAACGGGAGCTCACTCCGTCACGGGGATTCAAACCACTGACCTTCTGATTGGCAAGTCCCAGGCTCTGTGGTTTAGACCACAGCGCCACCCACGTCCCTCCATGTAAGACTGTTTGCTCACTGCATGCCATAGGGAAGTTCTTCCTAACATGGCAGCCTATGAAGCTCTGAAAGGTGTAGAGCCCTGTTGCCAGTGTTGTGGGGCGGCGGGAATTGTTCTCTCCCTAGGGCACAGGGTGGGGAACCTGCTGCCCTCCCAATATTGCTGCCCTCCAGTTCCTATCAACTCAAATCCTTGGGGCTAATTGTGAGGCATGATGGGAGTTGTAGTCCAGGAGGGCCACTGGTCCCCCAACCTTGACTTAAAAGAACCCAGGATATTGAGGCAGTGAGGTTCCCTTTCCCGGATTCAACCCCTGCCATTCCTTCCCTATCATGAGCTTCTGCTGCCCCCTGCTGGCTCCTCGCCACTCCTGAGAGCTTTTAAAAGCAGCAAACTCTTAAACTGTTACGAAAGTTTCCCTCCTCGGAGCAGCTCGCCGCTCTGCCATTAGCCGTGTGCTGCTGCTTCCTAGATCTGCTGCCTCTCGCCCTCTTCTGCCATGGTGGTCACACGCTGGGGGATCTGCTCTGCAGGGAAGATCGCCCACGACTTCCTGGTCGCCCTGAAGACTTTGCCACCCGAGGATCACAAGGTAGCAGGGGTGGTTTTTGAGAGGGAAAGCACTTGGGCATCAGAAACCCATTTTCTATCATTAGCTTCCTGTCGGAGGAGGTGGCACCCCTGTGCTTGGGGTTTTGCCACCATTTCTCGTAAGAAACAAGATCCAGTCCATGTTCCATGGTTTGGAGAACGGCTGTTCTCTTTGAAGCAGCTAGTCAGTCCACAACACAGTGGTACCTCGGGTTAAGAACTTAATTCATTCTGAAACTGTTCTTAACCTGAAGCACCACTTTAGCTAATGGGGCCTCCTGCTGCTGCCGTGCTGCCGCTGCACGATTTCTGTTCTCATCCTGAAGCAAAGTTCTTAACCTGAAGCACTATTTCTGGGTTAGCGGAGTCTGTAACCTGAAGTGTCTGTAACCTGAAGCATCTGTAACCCGAGGTACCACTGTAATTATTTAAAAATAAAAGAGAATGCTGGAATAGATGGGCTTCTGGCTTGATCTGATGTTCTTAAATGACGGGTTGATCCAAACTCATAGGTACTCACAGTTTCCTGTTCCATGAACCTTCTGCCAAATCTGAGACTTTCATCTCCTTGGAGCAACAGCTGTCTCATGCTTAGGTTGTTAAATACCACATACAGTGCTATTTTTATAGAAAAAGAAGAGCCAGAACTCACCATGAGCGCCTCCCTTGTTCCATTATAATGGCAACAGCACCCACATGAGAGATGATAGAACTGAGTTCTGGCAAGTTGTAGCTGAAAGAAAGCCCTGATGGTGTCTCATTCCAAAGACTTTTATGAACTGAAAGTGGAGATGCTATTTGTACTTTTCCTTGTTTATTTGTTTGTTTTCACAACAAAATTTTTAATAAAAGCTAATTTGATAATAAAAGGTACCGCATACAGCAGATAGGTGACTTGTGTCGGAGGACCGGGAGCTGGACAGATGGACAGAACCAGGAGAAGTATTGCTGGAGAGGGCTCTCAATAGCTGACCCCAACTCACCATCCCAGCTAGGAAATGATGAGATTTAGGTGGCTTCATGCAAAGAGAAATGAAACTCTGAGTGTGAGACTAAGTCTGTGTACACACCACACATTTAAAGCAGTTTCCGCCACCCCACACTGAAAAGAATCATGGGAACTGAAGTTTACCCAAGACAGAATTACAATTGCAGCACTCTTAGCAAACTAAGGTTCCCAGGATTCTTTTCTGGGGGGGAAATGTGCTTTAAATGTATGGTGCATATGCAGTCACAGAAACTAGACTGTCGCCATTTTCTTCTGAGAAACACATTTTTGTATGCCGCTTTGACTGATGTGCACATTTTTGCAAGCAATTTCTCCTGATATAATGCGTTCTTATATATATATAATTTTCGCTGGTATATTCGTTTTCAGGAAGAGTTTCCCCTGATATGTGTATTGTTGTAAGCATTGTTAGGTTGGAGAACTTGCATCGCAAAACTCAGATAAGTGCCACTTTTGAAAGATGGCTGTGGTGGAATCTACACACCACGTGTTAAAAACATGAAAATGCTTTTTTTAAAAAATCGTTTTGATAAATGCGTTGAATTTGCTATAGCTCACCACCGCCACCTAGTGCCACAGTTGTATATTGCACTTTGCAACACATTCACAACGTTTTATTTGCAGCTGTATAGCCGAGTCCTAAGTTTCCATTCTCACGCTGTTTTGGAAACCGCAAATTTGATATATCTGGCTTTAAATGTGAACCCCATCACATTTCTCTTGCATCCCTACCCAGAAGTGACCAGAGTGGAAGACAGAAAATGAGTGGGATGGGGTTAGGCTCTGTGAACACTTTCAGCAGCTTTTTGTCCTAGAGATCTGAAGGGGGAGTTTGGGACCCAAGAATCCTGAGAACTGTAGTTAACCCCCTGACCTACAGCACCTTTAACAGACTACAGTTCCTGGGATTATTGGGGGGTGCGCTATACATGTCTGGTGTGTACACAGCCCAAGTATTTTTTTTGTTTTTGTTTTCTTTTGAGTTCGGGATTTTTACATACATTATATTATCTCCTTCCAATTTTTAAATTTCCAGTACAATTTTTTTCCTTCCCCCCTTCCCCCCACCCCATATCCATTGGAAGGGTTCAAATAATTATCCTCAGCCACGGGCATAGCGTCTTTAGTTTCCACCAAATGTCTTTTGTTCCAGTAGTTTCTATCCATTGAAGATAGGGGTTCCATCTGTTCCTTATTGTGGTGGACTTGACCTTGCACGTTGTTTCCTGTGACATGACTACAACAATGTCTAACTGAATAAATTCAAACAAATAACTATTCCATGCCTCTACTGTCCATTTTTCTCTCTCTTTCCAACCTAAAGCTATCGTTGCCTTTCCCACTAAAATCATAGCTTTGAAGGTAAGCTGGTCACCTTTCCAGGTGTTTCCAGGTATACCCATTGTCATGAAATCAAAGTTTATTGAAAGCTTCACTTTAAAATTTTCATTAATAACCTTTAGGATTTTATTCCAGAATTCCTTTACCTCTGGGCATTCCCAGCACATATGGGGAAACCATCCCTTGGCTAGTTTACAGTGCCAACAGTTAGAATTCAATCCTGCTACCATATTAGCTAGCTGGGCTGGAGTTCTGTACCATTTTAGAAAGAATTTTAATTCCAGCTCTCCACAGCCCAAGTGTTTAACCTGTGAGCCCCACCTATGGCGCAGGTGCTAGAACTGGAGGCATGTTTGCAGACGACTTCTGTTTTTCGTTATTGGTTGCATGCGCTGGAGAGTGTTTGGTTGACTCTGTTTGCAAAGTGCTTCACTGTGCCTTGTGCGTCGGTGTTTGTCCTAGAAGGAGAGAGGGAGGCAGCTGTGGGACTGAAGCCCAGAGCTTGTGACCTCAATTGGCAGCAGAAACTTCCTCTCAGCTTCGAGAAGACGCCCTTCCTGGATTGCTGCTCCCTTTCTGGCCTCTCTAGGAAATGGCTTGCGCTGGAACGTAATAACCCTTCTCACTCCTTTGGTGACAAGGATCCTTCTACACAGGCACTTGACTTTGTAAGCAGCCTGGCAGATATCACAAATGGGTTGTTGGCCACATCTTTAAAACAAAAACAACTCTTCAGATTTTCTCTGGAAAGGGAAGACAATCCTGTTCACAAGAAGCTGGCCTAAAGCTCGCCCGTACAGTGGTACCTCGGGTTACATACGCTTCAGGTTACATACGCTTCAGGTTACAGACTCCGCTAACCCAGAAATAGTACCTCGGGTTAAGAACTTTGTTTCAGGATGAGAACAGAAATCATGTTCCAGCGGCGCAGCGGCAGCAGGAGGCCCCATTAGCTAAAGTGGTGCTTCAGGTTAAGAACAGTTTCAGGTTAAGAACAGACCTCCGGAATGAATTAAGTACTTCACCTGAGGTACCACTGTATTGCATACCCTCCAAGTGTCCCTATTTTCCAGGACAGTCCCGGATTTACAGAAGCCGTCCCGGTTTCTGATTTGACCTTGGAATGTCCCACTTTTCCTTAGGACGTCCCTATTTTCACTGGATAAATGTTGGAGGGTATGGAGTAATGGAACCCCTGAGCCAAGGAGATAAGTAACTATACAACCTTTAAAAGACATATGAAGGCAGGTGTCTGAAAGCATCGGAAGGTATATGGCTTCGTAAGTTCAGCTGAGCCAAGGTCAAGGGACTTAAGGGGCAGCTGAGCCACAAATCAAGCTGTGGAGACAAAGATCCACTGGATCCTAAAATGCTCATCCTGGTGGATCCTAGGCATAGGATTGCCCCCTCAATAAGGGGGTGGAATGGGTTGGCATTTTGATACCTAAGACATAATGCAGGCACTATAAGAAAGTTGCGGGGGGGGGAGGATGAGTTCCTGCCCGTTAACTCTTTTTTCTCCTCCAGGTAGTGGCCATTGCTTCTCGCGACCTCAGCCGGGCTCAGCAATATGCCAAGATCCACGGCATCCCCAAGGCCTACGGCTCGTACGCAGAACTGGCGGAGGATGCTGATGTTGGTGAGCTGCCTTCCCTCCTCAAACAGGGCTGGGGGACTCGTGGCTAGAGAGAGGGCAACTCCCATCAGCCTTGACCATCCTTGGCACTGCCGGCCGGGACTCATGGGAACAGGAGTCCAGTGACATCCGGCAGGCCCATCCTTGCCCCCAAAACTGAGTTCCCACTTCTGTGAGTATAAAACTTGCTTCCCAGCCTTCTTCCAAGGGCTGCTGGGGAGACCTGGGTGGTCTTCCAGGGATTCAAGCAGGACAATCCCAGCTCTTTCTGGAGATGTCAGGAATTGAACTCGGGTCCTTCTGACAACGAGCTACTATGGCCTTTCCTTCGAGGCAGTGCTGGGGTCTTTCCAGGTGCTCTGACCTCACTGTCTGTCCAAGGCTGATGCCTGGTGCGAAGCGTCTGCAGCCTTTCTCAACCTGTGGGTCCCCAGATGTTGTTGGACTACAACTCCCATCACCCCTTGCTAGCAAGGCCAGAGCTCAGGGATGATGGGAGTTGTAGTCCAACAACATCTGGGGACCCACAGTTGAGAACCACTGCCTTAGGGCTTGTGCCTGCCAGCTCTCTTACAGACAATGCCACATGGCTACTACAGGATGATAAAACAGGATCTGTCCCCTGAGGAACACTGGTGCCCTTTGTATCCTTCGCTTGCAAGTTTCTGAAGCTTTTTAATTATTATTTTTAGGAACAAAGGATCTATTGAGGTGTCGTAGCGACACACTTCTTGGAAATATAATTTGTGGCCTTTCTAAACTCTCTCCTCAGAAAGAAAGAATCTGTTATCTATGTGCCTCACCACTTTTTGCTACATCTAAGAAAAAGCTTCTGTGCTGGTGAGCAGCTGACTCAGCAAACACGGACATATCAGGCTCATCTGATTACCTCCCTTCTTTCTGCCGAGGTTATCCAAGGTTATGTTGGGAGCCAGCAGGAGCTTGAGATGTGGGGTATTTAATTGGTTACCATATGCGCAATGCGTAACGCTTGATTTGATTCCCTGTTGTATGAGGGGCTGGCACTCGTCTGTGCCAGGGGTTCTTTTGTTAGCAGACTGCTTGACAATAATGTAGTGTGCAAAACTAAAGCAGACTTGGCTCTGTATACCTGAAGGAGGGTCTCCACCCCCATCGTTCAGCCCGGATGCTGGGGTCCAGCTCTGAGGGCCTTCTGGTGTTTCTCTCATTGTGAGACGTGAGGTTACAGGGAACGAGGCAGAGGGCCTTCTTGGCAGTGGCACCCTCCCTGTGGAATGCCCTCCCATCAGATGTCAAACAGATAAACAACTATATGACTTTTAGAAGACATCTGAGAGCAGCCCTGTTTCAGGAAGTTTTTAATTTTTGATGTTTCATTGTGTTTTTGTATTTTGTTGGAAGCCACCCAGAGTAGCTGGCGTAACTCAGTCAGATGGGCAAGGTACAATTATTATTATTGTTGTTGTTGCTATTATTTATTTATTTATTTATTTATTTCCAGCATGCATTGACCTTCCAAGTAGAGCTGAGACTGGGTCACGAAAAGCAAATCAAAAGAAGCATGGAGACAAGATATTTTACGATAGCCAGTCCTTTCAAGCAATACCTCTATTGTTAGCTTGAGAACAATATTTCAGATTACCCTATGCACCCTGCAAAGTTTGTTTTTTGTTACCCAGTTCTTTCCCGTAGCCATTAGGTGGACTGTGAGTCTGATTCACTTTAGCACACTTTAGTACTGTCAGGCAGTCTGCTAACAAAAGACTTCCCTGCAAGGACTGCCCAAATCGTGGAAAAAATCGCTGCTGCCTCTTGACATTGGCAACAAACACTCAATACTCGTGGGGCATAAAAAAGATTATCTGAACTGCACAGAACTAAGTAGGTGGGTAGAATCAGGGTCTTTTCCACTGTCTCTCGCCCACCCCCCATTTCCTGCTGGTCTTGGCTATGTATTCACTCTCTCAAATCTCTGTTACAGATGTGGTCCACATCGGGGTGGTGAATCCATACCATCTCCCTACCAGCCTCCTCTTCATCCAGGCTGGGAAGAACGTGCTGTGTGAGAAACCGCTGGGCATGAACACCGCGGAAGTGAAGGCCCTGGTGCAGGCAGCTCGGCAGAAGAACGTCTTCTTCATGGAGGTACAAGGCAAAGGCAGTCCCCCTGAAGCAGAGGCAGACTTAGGGGATCACAACCGGCCCGTCCACACTGGGTGCCAAGCCTAGAGGGCATTGCAACAACGATGAACAACGGCAAGCAAGAGGCGGAGGGGGGCGAGTGTTGGCATCGCACAGCGGCATTCAGCGCCGCTGGAATTTCAAAACCCAATGTCCACCACAGCCTGTTGGTTCACATATAATAATAATAAAATTAAATTTTATTTATATCCTGCCCTCCCCAGCGGAAGCTGGGCTCAGAGCAGCTAACAACAGTAAAATGATAAAGCATTCTAAAATCATTTCATTATAAAATTAATTCCAATCAAATTAATGGCAACCGTTGGGCTAGAAGTTCTGTGAGGATTGCCAAAGGAGGGAGTCAGGCTGTGCCCTGGCCAAAGGACTAGTGGAACAGCTCTGTCTTGCAGGCCCTGCGGAAAGATGTCAGGTCCTGCAGGGCCCTAGTCTCTTGTGACAGAGCGTTCCACCAGATCGGAGCTACAGCCGAAGAAGCCCTGGCTCTGGTTGAGGCCAGCCTAACCTCTCTGTGGCCTGGGACCTTCAAGATGTTTTTGTTTGTAAGTTCCTCTGTGGGACATACCAGGAGAGGCGGTCCCGTAGGTATGAGGGTCCTAGGCCGTATAGGGCTTTGAAGGTTAAAACCAGCACCTTAAACCTGATCCTGTACTCCACCGGGAGCCAGTGCAGCTGGTATAGCACTGGGTGAATGTGATCTGGCAGCGAGGATCCCGTAAGGAGTCTCGCCGCGGCATTCTGCACCCGCTGGAGTTTCACCAAACCATGGCTTAGGGCTTATCCACGCTTACTTTTCCTCTGCTCTTTCCAAGCATGGCCTGCACTTTAATGTTCCACGTCCAAGCACCCTTTTTTTGGCTTCCCCCACAAAAACCCTCTCTTTAAAGCTGAATCAGAGCAAACGGCAACCCATGAAAGTCTCAAATTGCCATTTGCTCCAAATGAGCACTAAAGAACGTGTTTTTCTCAGGGAAAGCTCCAGGGCAAAAAAAAAAAAGGTCCCTTGGACATGGAACTTTAAAGTGTGGACCTCTGCCTGGAAAGAGCAGGGCAAAAGGTAAGTAAGGATAAGCCCTTAGTGCCAACTAGCAAAGGTGCAACTTCCTAGAGCGGAGATCCCACTCTTGCCTAGGTCCTTCTGCTGCCACATTGCTGTGAGCTAAGCTACAATTTGCCTGAGCATTAGAATCAAATCCAGGGTTGTGGTTTGTCTGGGGGAGTGGTAAACAAAGAGTAAGCGTTGCAGCTCATGCTTTGCCTGGAGCAAACTGTGAGCCTGGGTTTGGACATAATGCTAAACCAAACCATGGATTAGCCCCATGTAACACAGCAGCAGCAGCAAGACCAGGGGAGGAACATAGCAGCTGCAGTCTTTACTGTGGAGTCCTGTATGTTTGCTTCTTTGCGCTAAACCATGGTTTAGCTTAGCATTATGTTCAAACCAAGTCACTGGCTATGTTTGGACGTGATTACAAACCATGGTTTATTGTGGTGTGAACCAGCCTAGCCTCCCCACCCACCAGGCTTAGACATCTTTCCCCCTTGAACATTTGACTCCTGTTTTTGATTAATTGCCGCTCATTGCATCATCTGCACTTATGGTTTGTTTGAAGCAAGCTTGCTCCAAACCATAGGTTACAAAACTGACTTGTTTAAACAAGCCATAGTTAAACTTAGCTATGGTTTAGGGTTCAAATATAAACACTAAACTGTGGGGAATTCAAATGGGAAGCAAATCTAGCCACCCTGGAGGCGGGGGGGAAACCCTGCTGGAAACTAGACCCCCAATGTTTTGGCATTGCTTGTGGAAATGCTGTTTCTTCTGGCCCAGCACTAGAAGTCCAAAAGGGCTGGCAGCCGGTTGCCAGCATTCGAACCAACCCTTCTACCTGCTGCCCTAACACAGCCTTCCCTAGCTGCGTGCCTTCCAGATGTTTTAGACTACAACTCCCATCAGGTTGGCCAATGGTCAGGGTGATGGGAGTTGCAATCCAGCAACATCTGAAGGTTCAGCCATTCTTGGCATCAAACCCCCCATGTTCTTAAGCAGGGGTAGGCAACCTAAGGCCTGGGGGCCAGATGTGGCCCAATCACTTTCTCAATCTTGCCCACGGAAGGTCCAGGAATCAGCGTGTTTTTACATGAGTAGAATGTGTCCTTTTATTTAAAATGCATCTCTAGGCTATTTGTGGGGCATAGGAATTTGTTCATTTCCCCCCAAAAAATATAGTCCGGCCCACCACATGGTCGGAGGGACAGTGGACCGGCCCACAGCTGAAAAAGGTTGCTGACCCCTGTTCTTAAGACTATCAAAAATGCAAACTGAGGGTTTTATCACTGTATGCACAGCTTGAAGAATAATTTTTTTGCCTTGCTCGCATCTTTATGGGGTTTCACGTAGCTTTTCTTAATAAAGGACTAGCTCTGGATATTCCCCCCGCCCATGTGCCAACATGGCTACCTGCAATTTTTGTACGCCAGGGTCTGTGGACACGTTTTTTCCCTGCTTCAGAGAAGATCCGTTCCTTGCTCAGCCAGGGTTCCATCGGGGATGTGATGGTGTTACATGCTGAATTTGGGAGCCCGCAACTCTCCATCCCCAGATGTGTGGAGAAAGAGCTGGGGGGAGGTGGCCTTCTGGATATTGGCTGCTATTGCATCCAGTTTGCCTGCATGGTCTTCAATGGAGAGAAGCCGGAGTCCATTCTGGCCTCTGGATTCCTGCATGATACAGGTGAGTACTTGGCTGGTCACTTTCCTTGTCAGGGGAAGAAGTAAGGCGTTTCAGAAATTGTCCATCAAGGAAACCAAATGAAAAAAAGGGCTGGTCCAAGTCATGAGACAGAAAGTTCCTACAGTATTTAAGGTGCCCTCCTTAAATAAGTATCTTCTTCTTCTTCTTCTTTGGCGATCATTCATAGCCAAGTATGATTCACTGGGCAACAATTTTTTACTTTTTGAATGTTGTCTAGATTTCTACAATTGATTTAGGGTATGTTTGCACTGCTGAATCAGGAAATGGCATCCGTTTCTCTCCATAAGGTCAGGTTTTTGTGCTATGTTGATTTGAAAAAAATCAGATCTTGTGACAAAATCGATTACATTTTTGTGGCATTATCAGCTGATTTTTGTCAACACATATCATCCTAAATATGTTTTTAAGAGAAAAAAATGTTTTTCCAACAACATATATTGATTACCTGATAGAAACATCGATTACTGTAAACTGAATGGTGGGCATTGATCAAGGTAAGTACACATAAATTGCATGTTGCTTCACCATTTTTCAAACTTCAGGGCTTGAACTTCCGTTTCTTGGAACTCCTGGAATGCTCAGCGGCAGGGAGGTCTCTCTTCAGAGTCCAACAGTAGTCAGCCATCATGACTGCGTCCCAGTGACCCTGATACCTGGTCTCCATCTCTTTCATGTCCTGATGGAATCTCTCCCCCTGCTCGTCACTCATTGAACCCAGGTTCTCAGGAAACCAGTCCATATGTGAAAATAGGTAGTGCATCCTGACGCTCATGTTGCAGCCCAGGTTTCTGAAAGCAGTCAGCATGTTGTTGACAAGTTCTGCATAGTTTCTGGCCTTATTGTTGCCAAGAAAGTTCTTCACTACCAGAACAAATGCCTTCCACGCTTCCAGTTCCACTTCGTTCATTGTGTTTCCGAACTCTGGATCTCTGATGAGCTGACGGATCTGAGGACCGTCAAAGATGCCAGCTTTCAACTTCTCCATGGTCAATCCTGGAAAAGCCTGGCACAAGTAAGTGAAGCAGTCACCATCCTTGTCCAGAGCCTTGGTGAACTGCTTGATTAAGCCGAGCTTGATGTGCAGCGGTGGGAAGAGTATTCTGTCTCTGTCCACCAGAGGGTCGTTGATGACGTTCCTTTCTTTGCAAGACACCAATTCCTCCCGCACAGGCCAGTCCTTCTTCGTGTAATGCTGAGCACGGTCCCTACTATCCCACATGCACAGAAAACATGGGTACTTGGTGAAGCCAGACTGTTGTCCCAACAAAAAGTTCACCATCTTCAGGTCAACACAAATAAACCACTTATGCTGATCATAACCAATTTTCTCCAGCACATACTTCACCGCTTCATAGTTCTCCTTCAGTGTAGTCGAGTGAGCCAGGGGTATAGAGGCAAACTGGTTGCCGTTGTGTAGCAGAACACATTTCAGTGATTGCTTGCTGCTGTCAATGAACAGTCTCCAATCTTTGGGTTCGTACTGTGGCACTCCAAGCTTGAGCAGAAGCTGTGCAATATCTGCACAGTACACCAAGTCCTTCTCTTCCGAGAAAAAACAGAGGTACTCTTGATGCCTGTTGCGGAAGAAGCTGATGCAAGCACTGTTTCCTATACACTTCGTGGGGTGGCTGCCCCATTAACTTAGTTTTGATCCCCCAACTTTATGCTTTGCCGCACCAATTTATGGAAGATTTTGAGGTTTTATGACTTCAAACTGATCCCTTTTCGACATAATCACCCAGAACTATCGGACCTGAATACTTCTTGTCATTAAAATAATCATTTCCAATCAAAACAATTATTCGACATGGCATTTTACCCCCACCAACTTCTTCTAAAATGCTCCACACAAGCGTACATGTGAACAAAAACGTAAAAAAACAACATGTGGCCATAGCTCAAAAACTTGACCTGATTGAGCAAAACCAATGTGATTTTTGGATTCAGCGCATCAGATTCGTCCCAAATCAACTGAAAAAACGCAGACAATAAATTTGTTGTTGACCAGTGTTATCTTCCATGAACATGGTTTTAACAGTGAGTCCGTAAATGACTGTGGAGGCCAATTCTGGATCCACACGTCCTTCCACAGTGGGGACATAGGTTTCCAGGTGGGAGTTGATCATGGTGAGGGTTTGCCAAACGTGCCTTCCTCCTAGCGTGTCTCCCTTTTGTCTTGAGTTTGAGCGTCTTCAAAACCCGTGACACCTTTGGTAAAGGCTGTTCTTCAATTGGAGCGCTCACAGGCCAGTGTTTCCCAATTGTCAGTGCTTACACTACATTTTTAAAGATTTGCCTTGAGAGAGTCTTTGAACCTCTTCTGTTGACCACCAGCATTACACTTTCCATTTTTAAGTTCGGAATACAGTAGTTGCTTTGGAAGACGATAATCAGGCATCCGCACAACATTACGAATCCAATGAAGTTGGTGTTGAAGAATCATTGCTTCGACACTGGTGATCTTTGCTTCTTCCAGTACACTGGTATTAGTTTGCTTATCTTCCCAAGTGATGTGTAAAATTTTTCAGAATGTGCTCTTACATACGGGGAGAAATTCAGCACAATTCACAAAGTCAAATCTATCAAATCCATATAATATAAGAACGAAAACACAGTCATGTTTCTAAACTCTCACTTTCCCAAATTTTACAGTTGACAGATCCTTCCATCCCTATGTTTCTCTGCTGTCTCAGGGTAGTGCTAGCAGGTTTGATTTTGCTGTGGGTGACAGAACATTGCTTGCTTATGGGATTCTTTTAATATTTATTGCCTATTACAAATAGACAAGCAGAAGACAAGTGGGGACAAACTGCAGGACAATAGATCCACTATGTCACATCTGTTCCCCACAGAGGCCACATGCTTTTTGCCATCTCCCTGTCTCTGTCCCTCTTTCTTTCAAACTTCCCTTTGCTACTTCCTGTCTCTGACTGTTCAGCCAGAAGAACGTCTTCTTCTCCAAACTCTCACGGGGATCTCATTCACAAGCACAAAGAGTGCCTCAGATTTTAAGAGACTGTCTCCCAACCATTAGCTGACAAAACAAGATGATCCTGGAATCTGAGCCAACAACCCAGAAAGGGAAAGAAAAACAAAAGGAAAGGTCAGCCAGGAGCTGTAATTACATTTTACTGAATCATTTGCTGCCTTTTTAAAAAATGGTGTCTCATTCTGCTGCCTGAAGTTACTCATTTCATTTTGCCCAATGGTAGAGCTGGCCCTTCTTACTGGGGAAGGAAGGGGAGCAGTACGGATGTGGAGGTTGGGATACCTTAATTCCCACAAACAGATGAGAAGAACTGAGGAGCTACACTAACGATGAAGATGTGGAAATCCAGAAGATGCTCCTCTTTGACACCTGAGATGCGTTCCTTCAGAGTCCATCAAATTCCTGTGACTATAATCTGTGACTATACTGTAAAATGTTTTCAATTTTCAATTGTTGTCACCTGCCTAGGACTTGCTAGTGAAGGGCAAGTAATATATAGGATGATGATAGTAGTAGTAGTTGTTGTTGTTGTTGTTTTGACACACTATAGAAACTTCTTTTTGCTTCGTCAAACTTTGGGCATATGTCAGGGAACTGCCATCAGTGCCGGAGGGAGAGAGCAAAAGCCAGAGGGATTCCAGAGAGCGTCCAGGGATCGGGAGAAGCAGCCCATCTTCTGGGGAAGAGAATCAGCGTAGCACCAGTGGAGAAGGGGGGCAGATGGGGGAAGCGGCGAGGCGGTCCCATGACTCCTTGCCTGGGACCAGCGGGGAGAGTAGGGGTCCTCCGTTGCCCACGCCCTCCTTGCGCAGAAGGCTTTCGCGCAGAGAGGGTAGGTGGAGACTAGGCGTCAAGGAGCTTCTTTGCTGGAAGAAGTTTAAGAAACGCCCACTGACGGATTCTGCCAGCGACTGAGTCAGCCATGGGTGAGTGGCGTCTGGACAGATAAGGTTTACTTAGGCAGCCAGGCCAGTTGTTCGCACCCAGCCAGCGAGATAGTTGCCTGCTTACGCACGAGCAACCCCTTAGAAACCTTTACAGCATACAGTAGTTTGGTTTTTCTCCCCACTGGTGAGCATTTATAATCCCTGCCTCTGTTTTTCAGCCTGAGGGGGGACAGAGTGGCAGGTTTGTGCTGTGATGCTAACATTTAAAAGAAGAAATAAAAACTGCTGAGGTGTATCTGTGAGTGGGTGCCAAAGAAGACTGAGGGCAGGAGAGGTTTTTTTCCAGTGACAGGCTTGTGTTTTGTTTTCCTCAGGTGTGGACAAGACCGTGTCAGTCATCCTGAACTACTCAGGAAATCGCCAGGCTGTCCTCACCTGCACCATGACAGCCAGGATGCCAAATCGAGCAAGCATTAACGGCACCAAGGGCATGATCGAGGTAACTCCTAGTTTCCAATCCAGGGGCTAAGGCGGTCTGAGGGGGGAAATTGCACCTGGTTTGTTAAGTTGTAGATGAACATATTAGACGACACAGCAATTCTTCAAACAGTTCTTGTTTATTCACAAGCCAGAACAGAACTGAACTGGAGGGTTCAGCCAGCCTGCTTATATAGAGCTCCACTACAACGCAACAGTAACTACTTTCTGTAACTATCCAATCACTGAACGTCACTTTCAGTCCCTTATTTGCCTATGTGGACCTGAGTGAAAACTATGTACAGTATCCCCCTGCTGGCCCAGGGTGAGAACTTCAGTACATAACATGGTTAGAAATGTATTTTTTCAACCCTGACCCCCCACCCCCAATATTGTTGGACTACAACTCTCATCGTCACCAAGCATTGGCCAAACAGGCTAGAGACGATGGGATTTGTAGTCCAATAACATTAGGGGACCCGGGGTCAAAGAACAGGAATGGAGGCAGCCCTGTGCTGTAATCCGAAATGGACTCCTTAGCTGGAAAGCAATGTCACATTTAACTCCCATATTTAAGGCACTATGATACCACTTTAAACAGCTGTGGCTTCCCGCAGAGAATTATGGGAACTATAGTTTGTTAAAGGTGTTGATAGGCAACTCCCAGAGCTAGATTTCCTAGAGTGGTTTAATCATCTATTCCTCTTCTAAAGAAGAAATGGGACATGTAGCTCTGGGAGGGGAATATGGGGTCTCCTGACAGTTCTCAGCATCCTTAGCTCCCGGAATCGTTTGGAGGAAAGCCATGACTGTTTAAAGCTTCCTTACATGTAGGGTGTGTGAATATGGCCCAAATGTTGTAATAGAAACACTTTATATGTGAAGAAGGGCATTCTAGGCAGACAGGGAGAAGGAAGCAGGAGCTAGAATAATACAGGGTGGCGTTGTCCGTTTTCTTTGAAGGTGGCTGTGCAAAGCCAGTTTTGTGGCATAGGCAGGCGCACACACCCTCCCCAGTTTTCTCTCAGTTCCCTTGCTTCCTGCCAGATTCCATCTCACTTCTGGTGCCCAACCGAGTTGGTGGTCAACGGGGAGAGAGAAGAGTTTCCCCTGCCTCCCCCGTCCCAGAAAATGCACTTCCAGAACAGCACCGGCCTGCGCTACGAAGCGGAGCATGTCCGGCAGTGTCTCCTCAAAGGTAACAGTTCGAAACACCACTGACTCACTTTTATTAGATTGCCTGGGGAGAAATTCAATAAGCCACGTTTTTTAAAAACAAACTGGAGGGAGTAGAGTGAGAGAAGGGGGAAAGTTTGCTTCAAAACCAGCCTTTGGGACTACATCCACTGGTCCAGGTCCCCCAGTGAGCTTCCTGGCCAAGTAGGAATTTGGAAACCTGTTGTGTGTTTTTTTAGCCTTCTCTCCTCCCTTTCCACATCTTCTAGGTTTGAAAGAAAGTCCCATCCTGACACATGCGGACAGCGAACTGGTCAATTCCATCCTGGAGGAAGCTCGCCTACAAGTGGGTGTGTTTTACCCTCAGGACAAAGTGTGACACACACTCCATTACCACTCCCCCTCCTGCAAGACCCCATATTCAGTTTCAAAAAATAAAATTGCATGCAGATGGACTTCAGCTGTGGTACAGACATGTATGTCCAATAAAGCAAATCTTGCCAATTTTGGACGGTGAGTTATTGTGTCATCCAAGGAGGCCTGGATAGGGAGTGGGAGAAGGGACTGGGAGCATGGGCAAGGGGAGAAATTTGGAGCAACGGGGCTGGGAATAAGGGTTGTGGGACATGGGGAGTGGAGGGGTTAAACAGCAGGCCAGGTATTCCCCAGCTTAAGAAGGGAGGCAGAAACACAGGATAAAACTGTCCTAAGAAACCAGTGGTGCTCAAGTTGTCCTTCTGCTGGGTTTGGTGATAGCCTTCTTTTACATTTAAGTACAGTGATACCTCAGGTTACGCACTTAATTCGTTCCGGAGGTCTGTTCTTAACCTGAAACTGTTCTTAACCTGAAGCACCACTTTAGCTCATGGGGCCTCCTGCTGCCGCCGCGCTGCCGCCGCACGATTTCTGTTCTCATCCTAAAGCAAAGTTCTTAACCCGAGGTACTATTTCTGGGTTAGCAGAGTCTGTAACCTGAAGCGTCTGTAACCCGAGGTACCACTGTAATACTTTGGTTTAAAGCAGAGTGGGATTCCTGAATGTGCATTTAGCCAGAATTCTTTTTCCTTTTTCTTTTTTTAAGGTTCATTTCATTCCACTGTTTTAAGACTGAGACCAGGAGAGGGTTAATAGAGCCAGAAGGACTCATCTTTTTTTATATATATATATATAGTGTCTAGCAGCAGGCCACACACATTTTTGTTAGGGAAATTAAATCAAAATTAAGGCTAAATGGTCCACAATGGACTGGGCTGTTTCCAGATGTCTGTTCATTGGGTATAAATCCTGATTTGTTGGCACAACACGTGCACAGAAGTTATACATCACTTGTGTCACCTCACTTGTTCCATTCTGCATTCATCTGAATTAGCATGTACAATATTTTTACGAAGTTATACAATATATAATGACATTATATAAGTATCTAGTGGTTGCTAGATAGTGCGACTTTACGTCACCTTTCCACGATCAAACTTTTTGCAGCAAGTGATAGAGAAATGTACAGGATAACAACCGCTAGATGGAGCTGTCCTATAACAATGCACAATTGTTATTTTTTGAGAAAACGAAATCAAGAGGAACGCTGAATAATTCTGAAGCCCATCTGTTGGTCACCAGAAAGGCAGCTGAGAAGGCACAGGGTGGAAATGTGTCAGGCTGTGAGAGCCTCAACCGCTCCAAACACCACTGCACAAATTCCACACCCCGTGGAGAATAGCAATAAGAAACTTCCACACCTGTGGAGTTTGCGCTATTCCATTCTTTTCCTTTAGAAAAAAAAAGGTTCCTTCCAGTGTGGGAACAACACAGAAATGGGCAGATGACAAAAGGGCAGCTGTGTTATGTGGAAACACACACACACTCACACGTGTAAAATGTTCTCGAACAAGGCATGATCATTCCACATTAAATGCATTGGATTGTGTCCAATTAAGTAATTGTGACTTCCTCTCACACAATAGAGCTTCCTCTCCTCTCGCTGGGTGCCCACCAAATCTTCCCTAAGAGTGCAGATGGGGCTGGTGGAGGAAGCAGAAGGAAGGGGGGGCGTTGCACAAGCAGAAGTCGCTCCATGAGCTCAATTATTGGATTCAAGCCTCCCCTCTGCTGTTTGGTTGCCATAGTGTGCATAACAATGCCAGTCCATATCTCCCACCACCCTCCAGTTTAATCCAGATATACCCTTTCTAGGAAAAAAAAATCTGAGAAACTAGAACAAAGGAACAAACCACACCCTGTGACCAATGACCTGTTTGTCTCACTGACCCATTTGCCAATGAAGCCCTGAAGTACTCCTTCACAAGGTGCCCAGTTAAACTGTGGAACTCAGCGCCACATGAACACCATTTGGTCTGAATCCAGCAAGGCTCTTTTTGCAGAGGGGCCCATAGCTCAGTGGTGGAACATCTGCTTTGCATGTCCCCACCTTCAATCTTTGGCCTCTCCAGGCAGGGGTGGCCCATCCATGAGGCAAGGTGAAGCCACTTGCCTCAGGTGGCAGATCTTTGCCCTCACCACTGCCGCAGCACCGTCGTCCTGACCACTTCGTCCTTGCCACTGCGGCTGCATTGTGGTGGCAGCGCAGGTGTGCCAGCAGGAAAGTGAGGGGCCCGGATCTGTGGGGCAGGGGATAGCATGGGGGAGCTTTGCCCACAGTGGCAAAACATCCTGGGATGGCCCAGTCTCCAGGTATGTGTGGAGAAGACTCCTGTCTAAAATCCTCAGGAGACGCTGACAAGTCAATGTAAACAAGGCAGCTTCCTACACCCCCTCCAAGTGTCCCAGGATTTTCCAGGGACAGTCCCAGTATTACAAAAGCCACCCCACCCCCAGATTCTGATTTGATCCCAGAATGCCCCTATTATCCCTGCTGGTTTTCAGAGCACCCAGACACAGATCTTTATGGGCCTGTACCTGGAAAGAGCAGGGCCAAAAGTAAATGTGGATAACTCCTTGTCCAACCACTTCCCACCCCCCAAAATTGAAGCCCTCTTAAGATACCTGGCTCCTGGAATAACCCCCACATACATACCTGTGCTGTCCCTTCTCATTCTGAGGGATTTGCTGCCCCCTGCTGGTTCTCTCGCTCCATAGCTGGCCAGGTGCCCAAGTCCAGAGTCCAAGCTTCACGAACGTTGACTGAGGGGCAGCGGTCCTTTCCCTGCGCTAGAAGCCACACCAAGCGCTGCTTTCTCTGTCCACACACAACGCCTCTCTCTCTTCCTCTCTGCTACCATGACAGCCACCCGCTGGGGGATCTGCTCTGCTGGCAAGATTAGCCACGATTTCCTGGTGGCTCTGAAGACTCTGCCGCCAGAGGACCACAAGGTAATAAGTGGAGCACAGGCCGAAGATGGATGGAGGGGGGCTATTCCCACATATGGAACTGAATGGGAAGCTCAAAGTGGGAAGAATAGAATAGAATAGAATAGAATAGAATAGAATAGAATAGAATAAAATAGAATAGAATATTTATACCCCGCCCACCTGGTTGGGTTTCCCCAGCCACTCTGGGCAGCTTCCAACAAAGTATTAAAATACAGTGGTCTATTAAAATACAGTGGTCTATTAAAATACAGTGGTCCTAGGGCACCTAGGACCCCCAGGTCCTCGGGAAAGAAGGGAGAACTAGAATTAAAGAGACTGGGGTCTCTGGAGGCCCAGGTGCTACATCAGAGGTGGGGAATCTGTCGCCCTCCTGATGATGTTGGACTACAAATCCCATCATCCCTGACCATTGGTTGTGCTGGCTGGGAGTGATGGGATTTGGAGACCCACAACATCAGGAAGGCCAACAGTTCCCATCCCTGCGCCAGATCACTGGAGAAGGCAGGTGGTTCTGTGGTTTCCATTATAGATGCAGAAAAATACGACTTCAGGCAACTTGCAGTTTGAAAGAATGCAGCAGGGCTGGCTTTAAGGAAAGGGGGAATTTGGATTCCTTTATTCAAGAATTTGTAAACCTAGAGGCTCTCCCTGGCCTACTAACTAGACGCTCCTCCAGATGACCTATTTGTTGAGCATTCATCCTGATTTACCGGTACTTGTGCAGCTACTATTCACCAATAGCTGGCAGGTTCTGTCTGATCTGGGCAGTGGACCTCCCATCCATAGTTGCACTAGCCCGGTGGTTCTCAAACTTTTTTCTCTGGGCCACCCTTTCTCGTGCCACACCAGATTTTTTAATGATAAGGAATATGTTGGAATACAAAAAGAAACAACAAGCCGTGCTTGATTTATAAGAACACAGCTGCTTCATGATAAGATTGCAGGACATTCAAAAAGTATAAAACAATGCAGCTGGATTGCTCTGGCCCCTAACTCAGCTGGCAGCCTCCCCTGGGATTCATCTGGCAGTGGGACAAGCAGTCAAGTCACAGACCCTCCAAATGCCCCTATTTTCCAGGGATGTCCCTGATCTAAAGAAGCCGTCCCGGTTTCTGTTTTGATCCCGGAATGTCCCACTTTTCCTTGTTGTTGTTTAGTCGTTTAGTCGTGTCCGACTCTTCGTGACCCCATGGACCAGAGCACGCCAGGCACTCCTGTCTTCCACTGCCTCCCGCAGTTTGGTCAAACTCATGCTGGTAGCTTCCACTTTTCCTTAGGATGTCCCTATTTTCATTGAAGAATTGTGGAGTTAACCGACCCCTGAACCGTCTGAAGGCAATCCTGTATAGGGAAGGGTTTCTTAATGTTTTATTATGTTTTTATATATGTTGGAAGCTGCCCAGAGTGCTGGGACAACCCAGTAAGATGTGTGCAGGGTATAAATAGTAAAACTATTATTATGGGATGGGACGTCCCTATTTTCATCGGAGAAATGTTGGAGGTATGCAGCCACAAGTCTCTATACAATGTCTAATCCAGTCGACAGCACCAGGAAAAGCAGATAGGCTTTTGGCTTGATCCAGTAGGCCAGGTCATGTTCCTGGCTTCAGATGGAGGAGGACGAGCAAAAGGCCCTCTGAAAATAATAGCTGCTCAGTCTGGCCAAGCCTTTCCAGAAGAAGGTGGTCTTTCTTGTGCTCCAGTCCTGTGCTGTTTTAGGGTCACTCTCTGTTCCTCTGTCTCTTGCCCCATCCACCTCCCAGGTGGTGGCCATTGCTTCTCGTGAGCTGAGCCGGGCACAGGAATATGCCAAGAACCACAGCATCCCCAAGGCCTATGGCTCTTATGCAGAACTGGCTCAGGATCCGGACGTTGGTGAGAAAGCTTCCTCGAAACCCTGGGGACATCGGGAGGGAGGAAACTGCCTTGTTCCAAGTTAGACCATGGGGTCCATCCAGCTCAGGATGGTCTACACTTGACTTGCCCCATCTGGAGATGCTGGAGGTGGAATCTTTGGATCTTCTGCATGTGCAGCAGATGCGCCACATCTGTCCCCCAAGGGAGAGGGGAAATCCCCCTCTAGCGTACGATGTAAACTGGGTTTTGGAATGGGAACATCATCCAACAGGGGTGGAGAAGCTTTTCCAACCTGGGGGCCACATTCCCTTCTGGGCAACTTTCCAAGGGCCACATGCCCCTGGTGGGAGGAGCCAGAGGCAAAAGTGGGCGGAGCAACCAATATGCATGTTTACATTTGTACAGTAGAGCATTTTCTGTTGGGAATGGATTTAACTTTGTAGGTCTAGATCTAAACCTCCTATCCCACATGCACAGGAGAAATAGAAAACATGCATTTGTGATTTTGGCTGCAAACACCACAGTTTCTACACAAACTCTCTCACCCCTTTCTGTTCTCTTTCCAAACAAGCAAGAGGCATTGTTGGAGTTCAAGGGCATATTCCAGCCAAGCAAAACATTGAAGGAGGGTGAGAAGCAAGGTCATTGAGGAGTGGGGCTTGAGGCAAGGGGGCTCAGGGAGGAAAAGTACCAAGAGCAAAAGGGGAGGGGAGATGGGCAGGCCCGGAGAGTCTCCGCAACCATTCAGACTCTAGCTGCATACATTGGAAGCGCATTTAAAGCACAAGAATCCTGGGAACTGTAGCTTGCTAAGGGAGGTGTGGTATACAGTGGTACCTCGGGTTAAGAACTTAATTCGTTCTGGAGGTCTGTTCTTAACCTGAAACTGTTCTTAACCTGAAGCACCACTTTAGCCAATAGTGCTTCCTGCTGCCGCCACGCCGCCGGAGCACGATTTCTATTCTCATCCTGAAGCAAAGTTCTTAACCCGAGGTACTATTTCTGAGTTAGCAGAGTCTGTAACCTGAAGCATCTGTAACCTGAAGCGTCTGTAACCCGAGGTACCACTGTAAATGTATGGCTCAGCCTCTTTCTCAAGATAAATGTTGACTGTGGCTGAGCTCAGGAGCGAAGCTTTCCTCCGGGCTTCCCTTTCTTTTTGCAGATGTGGTGTATGTGGGAGTGGTGCACCCCCACCACCTGCCAGCCACCCTCCTCTTCATCCAGGCTGGGAAGAATGTGCTCTGCGAGAAGCCCCTGGGCATGAACGCTGCAGAGGTCAAGAAGATGGTGCAGGCAGCTCGGGAAAAGGAGGTCTTCCTCATGGAGGTAAGAGGCAGAAGCGCTCCCTGAAGGCCAAAGGGGTACCATATGGAACTGATGGGCTTTGGCCTGGCATCTCCAACCCCTGCAAAGGGAGTACGAGCCCCTGGTGTGGGGCAGCAACAGGTGAATGTTCTGATTTGTCCTCAGGCTTGCTGGACCCGCTTCTTCCCTGCTTTGGAGAAGATCCGCTCTCTGCTCCATCAAAGGACTGTGGGGGATGTGTTGGTGGTTCAAGCCGAGTTTGGTGTCCCTATCCTAACTGTGCCCAGGGTTGTGAAGAAAGATCTTGGTGGAGGCGCCTTACTGGATATTGGTATCTACTGTGTTCAGCTGGCCTGCATGGTTTTTGATGGGGAGAAGCCAGAGTCCATTGTGGCCTCGGGGTTCCTGCATGAAACAGGTTAGTATTGGGTTGGTCCTGGTCGCCTCTAGAGGTCAGTATTTTGCACCAGGGATTCAAGGGTATACCAGATACAGTGGTACCTTGGTTCTCACACTTAATCCGTTCTGGAAGTCTGTTCCAAAACCAAAGCATTCCATAACCAAGGCGCGCTTTCCCATAGAAAGTAATGTAAAATGGATTGATCCGTTCCAGACTTTTAAAAAGAACCCCTAAAACAGCAATTTAACATGAATTTTACTATCTAACGAGACCATTGATTCATAAAATGAAAGCAATAAACAACGTACTGCAGTCACACAATCAATCAGTCAGTAGCTGGACTCGGTTCCACACAGTCACAAATACAAAGCAAAAAAGCCGCAAAAACAAAAACGCAAAATAAATAGCAAAAACAGACAGACCTCAGTGTAACACTCAAAGCGGAAGCGTGGCACTCAAAGCGGAAGCGTAACACTCAAAATGGAGCACATTCAACTTCCCAAAAAAGTTTGCAAACCAGAACTTACTTCCAGTTTTGCAGTGTTTGGGTTCCAAGTTGTTTGAGTACCAATGCATTTGAGAACCAAGGTACCACTGTGGTAAGGTCACAAATATAAGCCACATTTTAACTTTTCATGACCCAAATTTTTTTTTGGGGGGGGTGAGTGCGGATTATATTTGGGCCAATGCAGTACTTAGTAGAAAGGCTGCATTGTGCTTTAAATGTATGGTGTGTGTACACAGCCCAGTTGGTGAAAAATTGCCTTCAGGGGTATAAAATGTGCAAATAGGTCCAGACTAGGTAGGAAAAACAAGATCTCAGTGTGCAGTGGATGCAGAATATGATGTGCCTAACACAGCCTAACTGGCATGTGGATATGTCCACTGTTGCTTGTTTTCCCCAAGACGTAGATAAAACAGCTTCAATCATCCTGAACTACTCTGGCCAACGCCAAGCTGTCCTCACTTATACCATGATGACCTGGATGCCCAACAAAGCCAGCATCACTGGCACCAAGGGGATAATCGAGGTAAGTCCTGGACCACATGGAGAAGGGGATACACTTTGCATCTTCCTGGAAACAAAAGGAGGCTTCAGGAGGATCACAATCCAGAATTCCGTAGGCTCCTCTAGCGACCTAACCTCATCCCTTCCTGGTCAAAAGGGTAAGGAAGGACGGTTTGGGTGGGTGAGGGTAGGAGAGAGAAAAGCACACATACACACACACATATGTGTGTATCTGGAGACCGTGGAGTTAAAACAACAACAACCACCAGGTAGAAATTTATTTAATTTGCACATTTTGCACTGAATGGAAGAATCAGTTTTTGACCTATGTGCAAAATGTTGTGGAAAACATAAATGTCAGCATAAGCACGGCCCGGAGCTTCCCTCCTGGGAAAGTTTGAGCCCCATAACTATATATTTACAAATGAATTGCCCCCAATAACCCCTTTCTGAGAGTTCTAGGGCCTGTTTTGGTATATGCTTCCTCTCACAACTGTGTTCGGCAGATTCCCGGTCCCTTCTGGTGCCCAGGAGAGTTGGTTGTCAATGGACAGAAGGAAGAGTTTCCTCTTCCTCATCCTTCCCAAAAACTGTACTTCATCAACTCCACTGGCCTGCGCTATGAAGCAGAACACGTCAGGCAATGTCTCCTTCAAGGTAAAAGTCTTGGGCACTCCTGGGCAGACTGTGTGCAGCAGCAGAGCATCTTGACTTATTCTCCTTTCTCTTTCCTCTCCCTCAGGCCTGAAGGAGAGCCCCATCATGTCTCATGGAGACAGCGAGCTTCTCCACTCTATCCTGGATGAAATCCGTAGGCAGCTTGGGGTGTCCTATCCTCAGGACCACGCATGACCCATTTCAGGCTTGATTTCAATGGCCTCGCTCATACATGCGAGGCGGCAGCTAGACCAGATTTTACTCTTAGAAACCTCAGTCTGGTGGATTTGCAACAAATGTTGATTGTAAGCTTTAGAATAAAATGCAGTTAGATGCGAAGGGGACGTCTGCTTATTATGTGAACCACACCCGCCATGAGATGTCGATTTATTTAACGTTCTGTAAATAGAAGCCTATGATTTGTTGTGTTTTGCCTTTTTCTGAGTTTTGTAGCCTCTCAATTTTCTCTCTCCAAATTTGGCATTTTAAACTTAAGGTTTGGAGCTGGAGCAGGTAAAAGATTCGACTCAACCCAAACAGGAGTTGCAGGAGCCATCAATCAGCTGACCAGTGGTGCTGGTAAAGACCTGGGCTTCGCAAACCCCAACCAACTGATCATCAGGTCTTGTAAAGTAGGGAGCCTCACATGACCCGAGGATCAGCAGACTGAACTTGCCAAGTGCTAAGCCTGGGGCTTGCCGGGGCCTCTGCATAGTGGTCTGCAAGCACTGACCATGATTGTCAGCATTTTGCAGGCTGTGCCTTTGTCCGCATACATTGTGCCAGTATGAGGACAAAGCTGATATGCTTGGTTAGAGTTTAACCATTGCTGACATTAATCAATAATGTTGAAAAAGCTGTGTGTCTGCCCTCTCTCTGCCAAGTGGTGGCAAAAGCCCATGGAGCCCCAGGCACACACACAGGATCTGTGTCCCTTTGGAGAATAGAAGACACGGAAGAAAGATGGTTTATTCACCTATTTACACTTTCAGACTGCATGGAGTCCAGATCTTACATGGCCCACAGCAGTGCAGGGAACCTTTTGTCTCCCTTTCCAAGATGGATCTCAGCCCTTCTTCCTCCTTCTCTCTCCCAGAAACCCCTTGCTTGAAAACTCGCCTTTCCTGTCCTCTCAGCTGGATGTCATTCTAGAGTGAATGCTTTGAATAATTTCTTTTATGTAATGCACAGGGGGGAAATTGAAGAACCCCCCCTTTCCCCCCCTTTGGTGTTCTCTGCTCTGGGCTATTTTTGGGGTCCAAAATGGGTGGTTGGTGGAAGGACTCTGAGTGAGAAGTAGGGAAGGGAAGACCTCCCAAGGTGTTATGTACAGTGGTGCCCCGCAAGACGAATGCCTCGCAAGACGAAAAACTCGCTAGACGAAAGGGTTTAGCGATTTTTGAGTCGTTCCGCAAGACGAATTTCCCTATGGGCTTGCTTCGCAAGACGAAACGTCTTGCGAGTTCTTGCGAGTTTGTTTCCTTTTTCTTAAAGCCGCTAAGCCGTTAATAGCCGCTTAGCCGCTAATAGCCGTGCTTCGCAAGACGAAAAAACCGCAAGACGGAGAGACTCGCGGAACGGATTAATTTCGTCTTGCGAGGCACCACTGTACTGAAGTTTTCACCCTGGGCCAGCAGGGGGATACTGTAGATAGTTTTCACTCAGGTTCACATATGCAAATAAGGAATTGAAAGTGACGTACAGTGATTGGATAGTTACAGAAAGTTGTTACTGTTGCGTTGTATTGGAGCTCTATATAAGCAGGCTGGCTGAACCCTTCAGTTCAGTTCAGTTCTGGCCTGTGAATAAACAAGAGCTGTCTGAAGAATCACTGTGTCATCTGATATGTTCACCCACAACTTAACAGTGAGAGACTGGGAGAAGGAAAGCTCCCAGGTGAGAGATGCGAGGGTCCACCACTTTCTGTGTGAGACAAGAGCTACCTTTGAGAGGGGCCTCACCTTTTTTCTTTTCTTTCTCTCTCTTTGTTTTTATTTAGATTAATTTATTTTATTGTACAGTGGTACCTCAGATTAAGAACTTACTTTGTTCCGGAGGTCCGTTCTTAACCTGAAACTGTTCTTAATCTGAAGCATCACTTTAGCTAATGGGGCCTCCTGCTGCTGCTGCTGCGCCGCCGGAGCACGATTTCTGTTCTCATCCTGAAGCAAAGTTCTTAACCTGAAGCACTATTTCTGGGTTAGCGGAGTCTGTAACCTGAAGCGTATGTAACCCGAGGTACCACTGTACTTTGCAATATAATAAAGATTTTTTTAAAAAGGAAATAAAAGACTAATTAACAAGAGTGACAGCTCTAATACGTTACAACAAGCTGAGGGTGGGGTGGGGAAAATGAGGCCCAAGCAAAAGGCGCCTCACTCCCGGTCTAATGTTGGCGGTTGCTCCGATACATAGATACGCAAAAGGTGTAGAGAGGCGAGGCTGCGTTCGACGTCATCAAGCCCGGCCGACCAAGGCGGCGTTCACACTGTCGGCTTCGCCGCGCGGCCTTGTCCGTTGACGTCATTTCCGCCCCTGCGATTTCCGACCTTTTTCGGTAGCAGCCGGAAAGGGTAACCCCGCGGCGTGCGCTGGGCGGAGCCTCTTTTTCGTTCGGCCGCCGAGGAGCAGCCATGGCGGAGCCAAAGGTGCGGCTGATTCTGAGGGGTTTTCGGTTGGTTTTCTCGGAGGTTAACGGGCAGGGAGGCCGGGCGGGCGGGCGGCGAGCCTCGTGCTGGGCCGCATCCTGCCTCCTCCTTCCCTGCCGCTGGCTGGTGGGGATGAGGCCGAGGCGGGCCGGGGGGCCCTGGCGTGGAGGGAAGCGCGGCCTGGCGGGCGAGACGAGGCTGCCGCGTTTGCGTGCGGGGCCGGGGCCAATCATGCTGATGATGCGCCCGTGTGGAGTGGCTCCCCGTCACCGCGGACTAGCCACTTGGATGGGGATACATATGGACCGCGTGGTTCCTGCAAGCGGGCCTCGGCCCTCCATCACCACGTTGCTGTTTTCCTTCTTTAATCGGAAGCAACATCTACGGATGTTTTCAGGTTTATGTTGAATGGAGGGAAGAATTGGGGGTGTTCAACGGCAAAAAAAATATATAATCATTTAAAGTTATTTTTTAATACTTAAATGTAAATCGGAAGGCTAGATATGAAAAAGAAAGAAAAAATGACTAGGTACAGGCCAGTCTTGCTCATCTGGTGTGAAAGGAGAGGGGCTCCTACAAGCAACGTCTCTCTGCACCATCACAATCTCTTTCTCTCTATTTTAAATGTGGCAGCACATATTTTTCCAGCAGGAGTGCTTCTGTGCAGGATCCCAATCAGGAACTTGTAGTCTTCTTCGGGATACCGTATTTCATTATTCCTCTCTGTTCTAGCTCTCCTTGCTCCACTCTTCCCATGCTCAAGCCTTTACGCATCTGAAATGGTGTAGTGCCGCTGAGCAAGCCAATATCTCCAGCTCAGTTCTCATTTTGCCACCATTTCTGTTGCTCCTTTCCACCAGTTTGCTATTAATAGAGAGTTATAATAAATTTAAAAATTAACCAGTAGCACCTTAGGGACCAACTAAGTTTGTTCTGGGTATAAGCTTTCGTGTGCATGCACACTTCTAAGGTGCTACTGGACAGTTTTTTAATTTATTTCAACTGCGTCAGACCAACACGGCTACCTACCTGAATATAGAGAGTTATAGTTTGTTACACAGGTTCTCAGGGTGTATACAAAGTGGGGCTAACTGTACAGCTATATAAGAAGCTGGTGTGGGTGAAAAGGAAGAGCCAATAAGGTAAAATCCTAGTGCAGCAGCAGGCGCAATATTGCAAGAATCACAGCTTTCACAGTAAGTTTGGCTATGCAGAAGAGAACTGGCATATAAGGATGTAGAGGTACTTGGCTGGGAAATAAGAACCAGACTACTATGCAGTGTGATAGGACTTGGTTGCATTTTGGAAGGAAGTAAGCCAAGCATAAACCCTGACACTTCCTCTGCTGATTTGGAAGGGTTGGGAAAACCCCATGGCTTCACTCAAGAGACCTTTATAATTGCTGTAGCATTAACATTTACTTGGACTAATAAAATATTTTATTTGTTTTCTCCCCCCCTCGTTTCCTTTATCAGCTTACATGGCCCCCAACTAAAACTCTTTTCTTTCTCCAGGTATTGGTGATTGATGGACGTGGCCACCTGCTGGGTCGTCTGGCTGCCATTGTGGCTAAGCAAGTGTTGCTGGGTAAGATTCAGTTTCAGAGGGGAAGAGGCTCAACCTACTGAGTATTACTGGCAGGCAGATGATACAGTTTTCTGTGCTAACCATTCAGCTCCTTCTGATATGCTTTGGAGTAGACTTTGAGGATGTTTGTTTTTTGAGTCTTGCAACTGTGATAAATTCTTTTGCTCTGGGAGTGCTTCAAACTTAGATTTCTCCAAGGATTGCAAAGGGAAGGTGGCATTTCAAATTAAGAGGCATAGTTTCTAGTGTAGAGGATGATAAACCTTTTTCTCTCTTGAGGGTTACATTCCCTCAGGGGTATTTACTGGGGGGTGCATGCCAAGTAGGAGAATCAAATGAAAAGGAACCAGGATCTGCTGCTACTCCCCAAATGCTATTAACCTTGTTACATGGTATGTTCTGCACTGTGGCTGTGCTGGCGGGCACTATGTTGCCAAAGCCTGGGGTAGGGGCTTAACCTAGGTTCTTATACTTGAGACACATGTGCTGTTACATTGATTTATGAGGGAAAATCCATGTGATTTCTGAGCTTTCGCTTGGCCAACTTTTGAGCACACAGCTGAGAAGGAGTGGGATGTGTGCTGTGTACTAGGATGATGGACTCAGCTTGCAGTTTTCAAATCTCAAGCTAGGGGCTAGGAAATATGAGATTACCTTGTCTGTAGAAGGCAGGTAAAGTATTGAGTTCCTCTTCTGAACTTTAGTGTCCAGCCTGTGCTCTGTGGTGAGGACACAATCTCAGTTTGCACTCTTCCCCCTCCCCTTCCCAGGGCGCAAAGTGGTAGTCGTGCGATGCGAAGGGATCAACATATCCGGCAACTTCTACCGTAACAAACGTGAGTACCATAGCAGATTTTAAAATCTGTCTAAATGTCTGGCTAGGATTCTTGTTCTACTGTTGTCTCTCAAAGTATTTGCATTATGTTGTGGACAGAATGTTTCTCCATGCCTATAATAAAGCAATGTCTCCATCTGTGACAAGCACAGCCAATCCTTCAGTCTTTGAGGCTGAACAATCTTATCCCCTACAAGGCTGGGAAACCTGTGGTTCTTTAGATGTTGTTGGACTCCAGTTCTCATAATCTCTAACCATTGGCCATGTAGGCTGGAGCTGATGGGAATTCAAGTCCAGCAGTATCTTGAACATTGCAAGTTAACCTCCCCAGGCGTAGAATAAAAGTGGCATTATTACAGAGACCAAGTAGTACTGACTTCACAGGTTTGAAGCATAAGCGTTAGATACTTTGAGGCCCAGTGGGTTTTTTTGTTTACTGGGGAATGTGTATGCTTCCTCAAATGGGAGGATCCTTGAGTCTTCAAGAAGATGCACTAGAGAGCAATAGCATTTATATGAAATGTAGCTGAAGACCTTTTTTTCTTGCAAGTGATAACGGGATCAGAGAGAAACCTGGGAAGCTGCCTTACAGCAGGCTCCAGACCATTGTTTCATCTAATTCCATATTGTCTGTGGCAGCTCTTCAGTGTTTCAAATAGGTCTTTCCCTTGATCCTTTTAAATGGAGTAATTCTCTAGTCATTATAGCTGTAGAGGCGGTTTGGGTCAGATGTAGATCTACCTGATAATCTACCACCTCCATAATGAGAATTCCAGAGGACAAAGAGCCAGTTAATGGTGGACTGCTCAGCTCTTTACCCTCCCCATGCCAGGTCTAGAGGAAGGAGATAGCATTGCCAACTGACCATCTTTGCAAGTGTCATGTTTCATAAATTCAAATTCTGGCTTTCCTTCTTGCCCCAAAGACATAGCATTGAGCTTATAACTTTAATAATATCCCACCCTATTTCCCAAAGAAACCTGGGGTTTGGTGTCGTATTGTGTTATAATTTGTTAGAAGTTGCCCACAGTGGCTGGAGGGACCCAGTCTGGTGGGCGGCATATTCATTATTAACATTTAAGAGCATATTTCAAACATTTACGAACAATTTAAAACCATCTGCAGATATTGAGAACATCTAAAAACATTTTTAATTGTTCTGTTGTCATTCTTGCCAGCTTCTGTTGGCACATTTATGATATTGTGTCGTGGACTAGCTAGCCAGTCGTAACTGCCACTGTTGCTCATTGGTGTGCAATGGCGTTGGCTTGAGGAACAGGATGGGTGCGATGGTGGTCAGTGATGATGCTTTTCCACCATAGTTCGAGTGTCATGGCCATGAGATAACTTTACATGCACTACCATCTGAGACCACCACTCGCCTCTCATGGCAAGTTCTGCTTCTTTGGTATCCATTTGATATAGAATATTTCCTCGTCAGTATGCCTTGTTCTTGTACAAATCATAGAGTCTGTAAGACCTGTGGTCTGTATGAAGACCTGAAGGCTTTTATGTTCTGCGGGGCCTGTTCTGACTGCTGTGGTTATTAACCTGAGGCAGTATAAACATAGTTTCTAGACAACAAGAAATGAGTAGGTGGGTCTTGAAAAGTCTGCAAACTGGCTTGATAACCATCACGCTTAGGTAAGTAGTATACATATAACTGCATATCTGCCAGTCTCGTGCTCATGGTAACTTTCTTGCCAGCCTGTTCTAACCGTGCCATTCTCTCTTCCCATTCTCCCAGTGAAGTACCTTGCTTTCCTCCGTAAGCGTATGAACACCAACCCGTCCCGTGGTCCTTACCACTTCCGTGCCCCTAGCCGGATCTTCTGGAGGACAGTGCGAGGTAGGTGTATTCTCAACAACTTTTATCTGACCAAGAAGATAAATTGATGTGTTGGGGCATGCCCATCACATGGTATATTCACAAATCAGTATTCAGTAGAAACCAACAGTTCTACTAATTTGTGTTTTACCACTTTTACTAAAACATGTTAAGACTTTAACATGAAACCATTTCTAGTCTGTGTCTCTTTCACATACTCACTCATGGGTCTCTTTGGTTCCATTTCTGTGTTGAATGCGTGAATTTTTATGTCTTTTACACATGCACTTAGATACAGGCAAGTCCCAGTTTACATGGGGGTTATATTCCAAGGCACCACACATTGAAATGAATGGGTATATTTGAAACACCATTGAAAAAGCCTGCAAACACTCCCTTTTGTGATGTTTTGGGGCCCCTTCCAGGTTCGGCGTGTGTGGTCATGCACATATCAGACACACCTAAACTGATCACTCACTGCCTGTACATATTTAATGTGTGTTTTCTCAAAATACACAGTTCTCTGTGTATTTTGATGTGTTCTGAGCTACAAACTATACCACAGTATTCAGAGAAGTGTGAAATCCAGTGGATAGCTATGTTCCAATGCCCACTCATGTGTTTATATTGCAGTTAGCAAAGATCAGTTTTTTAAAAGCTACCCTAATACTGGGTGGTCAGTACTGTATATACATCCCAAAGGGTGTTCATTTCCAGAATTTGCCCTAAAAGAGGCAAGTTGTTGGTGATAATAATAATAATAATACATTTATTATATATACCCTGGGCAGCTTACAGCATATATAAAACAGAAAAACATTAAAAACACCCCAATACAGGGCTGCCTTCTAAAAGTTATGCAGTTCTTTGTTTCCTTGACATGTATATAACCCACCCTCTAAATTTCACACTTCTTTTTAGAGGACACATATTGCTCTTTATCCTATCCTGGGCGTTCTGCTTCTCCTCCAGCCTCTTCACATCTCCTCTCCCTTTGCAGGAATGCTCCCACACAAGACCAAACGGGGTCAGGCTGCCTTGGAGAGGCTGAAGGTCTTTGATGGCATCCCTCCTCCTTACGATAAGGTAACTTTCCTTCTGTCTTTGGTGCTTTGCCATCATTATTCCTGATCCTGTTCTGTCAGTGATGTTTCTCTTATACCTACATTGTTTGACTTGAAGAGTGAGAAAAAAATTCCAAACGCTGAGGCAGATTTTGCGCCTCTGGGAGTGCTCACAGTTGCCTTTGTCTTGCATATATTGCTTAATGGGACATGTCTTCTCTTACAGCGCAAGAGGATGGTGGTCCCTGCAGCTCTGAAAGTGGTCCGCCTCAAGCCCACACGCAAGGTATCTTTTACCATTATGTTTTAGTAGACGTCTTACAACTGCAATGAGGGGCACACAAAGTGGCTTGCCAACATTTCTGCATTCCAGTGCCATAAAGCACTAACTGGGGGAGGGCCTATAATGCTCCCCCCCCCACCCCCAAGTTAGACCTGGAGCAATACACTTTGCATGCATAAAACCTCAGGTTCACCCTCCAGCATCTCCAGTTGAAAATCTTGTGTAGTTTTGTAGAGAGGTAGCCTGAGGCCTTGGAGAGCAGCAATACTGGAGCAAATGGACCGACAATAAGCTTTATATGTTACTTCTGGAAGCCCCCACAAATAGTATTTAAGAATAAAATTCTGAAGGTATTGCTTTGGGAGCATCCTTGGTCTATTAATGGGACCCACGGCAGCTTTCTTTCTCCATGTGATCATCTTGAAACCTCATGTCATGGTCAAACCTGCCTTGTCCCCTGTGCAACTGGTTTCTTTTGGTGCTTGCTTCAACCTATCAGAAGCAGCCTTAATAGACTGTTTCTGGCAAGATGGCCTTAGCTACTGCTCTCACCAAGTGTCGCCTGCTGCTGTTGGCTGGTCAGTGATGATGACACTCCACCATTAGTTCGAGTCTCAAGACCATGAGACCACAACTCTTCATGCACTACCATCTGAGACCAGCCCCTCATAGTTGGAGCTTTGTGCTTTGAGTGGGGGCCAAATGGCCCTTTTGGGTAAGCAGCAAGGCATATATAAATTAGAACAGTTTGTGAGCAGCAGGAATTTGGGCTCTTAAGGAGTCACTTGTGGGGTCGTTAAGATTTTGTTGCATTCCAACTCCCCATCGTTCCTGATCACTTTAGTTGGGGCTGATGGGAGTTGGAGCAACAACTACTGGAGGGCCAGAGGGGCCAAATACCTGTTTGTAGTGTGTGCTGTATTGAAGGCTTGGATGGAGGGTTTGCCTGGTGGTGAAAGTGCCAGGAATGGAGCCAATAGTCCCCCTAGGAATATTATTGAAAGCGGAATTCTGTGGGCAATAGCATGTGGGTTGGGAGAAAGGCCTTCATGCAGTTGCTGTGTGGGATTCAGTGAATAGAGGCAAGAAGGGGTAAGCGAGGAGGTAGCTCCCAACTTTGTGTGTGGGCAGCGACATATTGTGCACTGGAACAGCACCCTGCAGTGCTGGAGGCTTGTAAGCTAATGCGTGTCTTTCCCAACCACAGTTTGCCTATTTGGGTCGCCTTGCCCATGAGGTTGGGTGGAAGTACCAAGCCATCACAGCTACCCTGGAGGAGAAGCGCAAGGCAAAGGCCAAGATTCATTACACAAAGAAGAAGCAACTGAAGGTGAGTTGGTCTCATAATTATGGTGGGGAGTGTTCTGGGTTTAGTGGAGAAAGGAAGCCCTTTAAAAATGGAGGGGAAGCCAGAACCCTTAGATTATTATTCCAGGCAAGAGTGTCTATTTATGCCACACCAGCAGGTGAATAGGCTTCAGATCGTTGAAGATATCCTAAGCTGAACTTAGTCTGTCTTCCATCTGTATGTAAAGTTGTGTGTGCATGTTGTGCTCTCTTAGCATCATGAATTCATTTTTTCTTTTCTTTTCTTGTAGAAACTCCAAAAGCAGGCAGAGAAAAATGTGGAGGGCAAGATTGCAAAATATACAGACATCTTGAAACATTACGGCATTCTGGTTTAAATAAAACTATTCACAATAAATGATATAGTTTACAGGTTCTTGGTTTTGTGTCTGTGCTTTAAAATCACTTTTAAGCTAGCCGATCAATAATTGCTACAGCCAAATTCTCTTCTGCAGTGGACTGGAGTTGAAGGAGAAAGAGGCATTGGTGTGAGTTAAGTGATAAGATGTATTGATTCTCTGGCAGAGGAACTGCTGCACTTGGGGGATCATAGTTCTAGGAATGAGTTGGATTGCTTTATAAGAGGTAAACAATGGGAGGGGTATTGGTCCTAGTCACTTTTTAAAAATTGCTTGATTGACACTTCTCATCTGGTGCTCAGTCCTGTAAGTCCTTTTGGCCTTGTGCTGTACACAAACCTCTTTATGCTTTGACAGTAGGGTTGCCAACTGCTGAACCCGTGTTAAGTATGAGAATAGTCTTAATCATCAGAAAGAACTTCAGCTCCAAGCCATGAACTGTTTTACTTAGGTCACACTTCTTAACAGGTTTGGCCTACTTCAGGCATAGCTAGACTTGGCCCTCCAGATGTTTTGGGACTACAACTCCCATCATCCCTGACCACTGGTTCTGTTAGCTAGGGATGATGGAGGTTGTAGTCCAGAAACATCTGGAGGGCCAAGTTTGGCCATGCCTGGCCTACTTGCATCTCTCTCAATTGCTGACCCTCCAATAACCAAATTTGCTAGCATCACCTTTGATTCTGTCGACATGCTCATTTTAGGCCTGCACCAAAGATCTCAATTCCCCCCTCTTATATAAATGTTCTGTTTAGGTACCATTAGAGAGAGAACACCACTAGGGTTGTGAGTATTGGCAATAAGGAGCAGGAGATAAATATTTTAAATCAAAATAATGACTTCTTACCTCACCCTCTTGGTCAAAATGCTAATTATGGCCGTGTGGAATACAACCAATGGGAGTAACTAGATAAGCAAGGGATAACCATTTCTCCCCTGAGTTCCATGCCATCCCTTTGAGGAATTAACAGGTATGCATTAACTCTTTAACGACTAGGTGTTTTGAAACAACAGTAGATGCAGGGAGAATATATTCTGCCCACATTTTCAGATAATTTGTTTTCTAGGTAGACAAGTTTCCATGCCCTCACCCAGACAGTATTCAACAGCATTCATAAATGCAGCCATTCTTCAGGTAATAGAATGTTTTCTGACAAAGTGCAAATTTTATTTTCTGCTCTCAGATTGGTTGATACATTGGACCCGATCTTGTTCGTAGATCACACCCACTTGCCTTCGTGCTTCATCAGAGATGGTTGCTATGATTTCACTCTCGTGTAAAGGCATGATAGGACTTTCCTTCAAACCTGCATAAAAGACAGGTTAATAGAACCTGGATTAATAGGTACATTTCTGAGGTCTATTGAGTTTCAAAGTAGATTTAGACTGCAATCCTATGCACATTTTCCTGGGCCTGTAATAACGATGTAGGAAATGGGCCATTCATTTATCTAAGCTAATAGTTTTAGCACAAATCTAAACTACTCTCAAGTTATACAGGATCACATTTATGGCAGAGTTTTTAGGAGAGCAGTGTTAGTGGACAGAAGGGGGATTTGCTGTGATGTCTATATGAAGCCTCCAGATTCAGGGCCGATATGCCTCTGGGTAACAGTTGCTGGTGCGTAATATAGTAGGGGAGAGGTCTTTCCTTTCATGCGCTGCTTGTGAGATGCTTGGAAGCTGAGGTGGCCCAATAGATTTTCTTGTTTGAGCCAAGCAGCAAAACGTTGCCTCAGCCAATCCCACCCCATAAAGTGCAGGGCAAGGGCATATAGCGTCCACGCTATGTTGAAGTTACTTTGACACCTGAGGCAAATAGATGTAGATATAGATATATAAATTTATCCTGCAAGTGCCCCCCCCCGCGGTATTACAGTACATTTCCAACAGCAATAAAACATTAAATAACTAATGACTCGCTGTCCTTTCGTGTAATTTAAAATTTTGATGGCTCGCTTTACCTCTAACGCTGCTAGGGGGAATCTTTTGCCACCCAGATTTTGCTGAACTGCGACTCCCAGCAAGCAGAGCCCAATGGTCAGGGAAGATGGAAGGCGTAGTTCAGCAACATTCTGGAGGGCCAAAGGTTCCCCACACCTGACCTAATGGTAGGGCGAGCCCTCAGAGACCTGTGGCTGCCCTCGCTGGGTGCTGGATGAGCTATTCACGCTCCTCAAAAACACCACCTCCACAGGAGCCTTACCCTTCAGTAGGCACAGCCGGACATGTTCAGCTTCGTATCGCAGCCCAATGTCGTGCTCGAAGAACAGCGGTTCAGGCGAAGTTGGCAGGGGCCATTCCCAGCGCTTTCCTTTGAGAAACATGACTGTGGGGCTGTTCATGTGGTTGGGGATCTAGAGAAAGAGAAGCAGCATGCATTTTCTGATGGGAAGCAGAGAAACTCTGGGATTTGTCTACTCTGAGAATCAAAGCGGTGATATTCTGTGATCTAGATTGTGCTGGTGACTGCTAGACTCCCATCTCCCTGATCAGTCTCAGCTAAGGGTGTCAGAGAATTCCAACAGAAATGGAGAAAGGAGTGGAAATTGCCCCTGTTGGCTTTTTCGTTCCATGTGTGTGGATCAGAAATCAGGGTTCATTGCCGTTCTGTGAGGTGAATGGGGAAGAGAAGCCGCTGCTGCTCGGAGGCAGAATTGCCAGAAACACCATTGGTATTGCTGCCCTTTGGTTGGTAAGGGCCTGCCCTCGTCTGTGGGGTGTTCCAGCTGCTTGAGGAGTTCTAACTTCTGAGTATTATACACGTAGTCGGGTGAGGCAGCTCACACTGAGGGCTAGTAACTTGCTAAGGTCACCTAGGGAGTTCATGGCATGCAAAGGTAACTTATGAATCAGAGAACCATTTGGGTGGCAGCTTGAATTCCACAGCAACTCTCACTACCCAAGCCTAAAATCTCTCTGCTTCATTGTCCTTGCCATTTGAACTTCATTTCCCTCCAACATGACCAGTGGGGTGTAGATCCCTATTCAGCCACAAAACTCCCTGAATGACTTTGGGCGTCATCGTTCTACTTCACAGGGTTGTTGTGACTTTAAAAGTAGTGAGGGGCAGACCTATATATGCCGCCTTGGATGTTTTGGGAAGAAAATTTGATACAGAAGTAAGTAATCCTAATTTTTAAAAGTAAGTGCGCATCTTCCTCATCTTCATCATGTATAATACACTTGCCATTTATGAATCCACAATATTCCATGCTATGGATGGGCAGAATGGAGATGAAATAATACTATATGATTTGCAGTAAATTCACATGGGTTTCCGACTTCTACTAGCTTATCTATAGTAACAACAAAAATTGTGTCCGTCCTGTTCTCCCTGAAGTTTGGTATTTAAAATTCTTCATCTCAAAGTAACTCAGGTGCAGATTTTATAGCATATCTATCCCAGGTTATGGATCACAGAGTACAGGAGGCCACTGGCTCCGTCTCGCTGAGCCACCATTTTGTACACCCAAGCCTCCATTTTGTACCTGTCAGTGGACCTTGTGCTTCTGGTAAAGTAAACAAAGCCCATCTCACAAGTCAGGCATCTGCCCACACCAGTTAGCCAAGTACCTTGATGATCCCATCGGTTCCCCCAATTAATGCCTCTCCTGGTAGATCGATCATCATGGTGCAATTAAGCACAGCCTGCCGGTTCCCTGAGTAGTTGAGGACGATGCCAACGGTTTCATCCGCTCCTGGGAAGCACAGAAAAGGATGTGATGCATCACTAATCCATATCTCCCAAACATTAATTATAGCCCTAGGGCTCCCACAAATTCCACTCTCTTCACCCCACTGTAGCAGCCTCACCTGACTCAAGTAGGAACCCTGAGGCTGTAATGCTTTGTGGCTTCTCAGGCCCAAAAATCATCGATGCAAACTGAATGAGGTAGCAGCCCAAGTCCAGAATGACGCCTCCACCCAGTTTCTTATCCACCAGCCTTGGGATGTCATCCATCCGAAAGCCTAGTTGAGCTCGAAGCACCCTCAAGTCCCCAAGATCCTTCTTACTTAGCAGAGTGCGGATCTGCTCGGATACAGGGAAGAATCTTGTCCAGAAGCCCTGGAAGAGATGGAGGCTAAGTTATACCCTGCATTTCCATTCGGGAAAAGAAAGAGGGAGTGGGTATGAAGAACAATTTGGCATTCGACGCAGAGTTTCAGAATCTCAGGAACTTCAGCCTGTGTGTCATACTAAGAAGTGTCTCAGCAAACCAAGTTTCTAGTCCTTAAGATATTTAAAAGTGTGTGGGCAATGCCTGGTGCAAACTGTAAAAGAGAAGGCTGAGAAGCTGGTGAATCTTCTGAATTATTATTTTTTGTTTGCCCCTCCACAGTGACTAGTGTTTAATGCAAGGGTCAGCAAACTTTTTCAGCAGGGGGCCGGTTCACTGTCCCTCAGACCTCGTGGGGGCCGGACTATATTTTGAAAAAAACAAATAAATGAAAGAATTCCTATGCCCCACAAATAACCCAGAAATGCATTTTAAATAAAAGCATGCATTCTACTCATGTAAAAACATCAGGCAGGCCCCACAAATAACCCAGAGATGCATTTTAAATAAAAGTACAGATTCTACTCATGTAAAAACACGCTGTTTCCCGGACCGTCCGTGGGCCGGATTTAGAAGGTGATTGGGCCGGATCCGGCCCCCGGGCCTTAGTTTGCCTACCCATGGTTTAATGTGTTAGGTGCACTGCAATTTTAGGTAAGAAAAACAACAACGAGCCCATTGGTTTATAAATCCAGCAAATAAAGCACTAGACTGGCTAGGGAGAGCCAGTATAGTGTAGTAACTGGCAGGAGATAAAACTGAAAAAACAAGTGGGGTGTATGGGGGGAAAAGAGTGATTCAAACATGTGAATGTACTAAAGAACAGGATTTGGGAAAGAGCCATTGCTCAGTGGCAGAGTGTCTGCCTTGAGTGCAGAAGGTCGGTCAGATTCAATCCCTGGCAGCTCCAGGTAGGGCTGGGGGAGAACTTTGTCTGAAACCCTGGACAGCTACTGTTAGTGCAGACAATACTGAGCTAGATGGAATCTTTGGCCTGATTTGGTATAAGGCAGCTTCCAATGTAGAATGTGCAAATCAAGTCACTTTGCATTATTTATCCAAGTTGGAGAATCCTCATACCGATTTCAATTCTATCCTGGCAATCATAAGGGCTAGAAACTTCAGGCTGTGTTATAAATTGAAACAGAAAGCTGGAATTCCGCTACACTTGCTCACCTCTTTGCCTAAGGCGGGAGTTGAACTGGAAGAACAAGGAGGGAGGGAGTGCAGGAGGCAGGGGAGAGAACAAGCAGGGAGTGCAGTAATATATACGAGTTTATTGGAGTCAAGATCTACAAAAGCAAATGTGCAGGATTAGCAGCATGTGACTGGAAATCAGACTGATAACAGTCTTGCCAGGACCTTGCCAGTGCCCCAGAGTTCACATGGTAAAGGTTGCAATGTCAGCTTGCGATTTGCAAAACTTTAAGCTTGCCACATTTATTAGATTGCCAGTTTCCCATCTGTGCCTGTCACAGCTGCACAATGCTGACATTCAGACGAAACATTCCTCCTCACTATGTCTGCAATCATAAGGGAGAGCTGCACCTGCTGAATTTCTACCTGCTGCACAGTATCTATATGGGAGTGTTGCCAGAAGATGGTCAGTGGGGACAACTCTGGTTCCTGCATTGTTCAGAGCAGCTTAATTGTGTTCTCTTGCTAGCAGTTAACCGCAATTCCTTTGGTAGTTAGATATCTAAAAGAGAATCTCATCCCTTATATATCCAGCTGATCACCATGCTCTGCAGGAGAGGGCCTTCTGTAAATATCATCTCATTGGGAGGTCCATTCCGTACAATGCAAGAATCGAACGTTTAGCATAGTGACACCTACCCTTTAGAAATCCCTCCCATTATATGTCAGCCAGGAGCTGTCTCTGTAAGGTAATTTGGGCCCATGTTGTATAGGGCCATGTGAATTAACACAAGACCCTTGAACCTGTTACCAATTTATCAGTCTTCCCATTACCAGAGATTGTGGTTTGTTGCTTTCTAATAAGCCAGTATCGGCAAACGCCAGCAACAACCACAGCTTTAAGACTGGCTAGCAATCATCAAACAAACCGTGATCCTTGGCTGAGATGTAGCAGGAAACTAAGGCTTCCTGGTTGCAACAGGGGAGGAGTGTGCAATAGCATAGTGCTCATTCACAGTAAACCGTAATTAGCTAGAAAGGCCTCCTCTAGAATGTCAGTAATTTGCTGGACGGATTCAACTGTTTACCAGAAATTTAGGTTTTGCACAATGAAAGTGGATTAAAATATTCTGTTGCTCTTGTACAACAAATCCACTTTTTAATTTTTTTTAAAAGGACTTCTTGCAGTTAGGAAAGTGATGCAGAAATGTAGTAAAAACTGTGGGATAAACAACTGATTAACAGAAAGATGTAGAACCACTGTGCAAACTAATCAGATGAGTGCTCATTGCCTCAGTGCAAACAAATCAAAATGAATGTTCAATGAAGACCAGGCGTAGCCTAACCTCTGTGTAAGCTTTGTGCAAGCAAATCAGCATGAATGCTCAATAAACAGGCAGAAATAGGACTTGAACCCATATCTTGCAGTCTCTACTCTTTTTCTACTGTATCACACTGACTGCTTCCCACGTTGCCCCAATATTTCCTACCTCCATGAGGAACACATTGTTCTCTTTAGCCACTTGTACCATGTCCCAGACTTCTGCTGCATTCATGCCCATGGGTTTTTCACACAGGACGTTCTTCTTCGCACGGAGGAAGAGGAGGACGAGTGCATGATGCTGAGTATGGACCGACCCCACATAGACCACGTCTGAAAGAGAGATCCCGGCAGATGGGGAGCAGAAAACAGGGAGCAAAGCAAAATTTTAGCCACAAAACCTGTAGGCTCAACCTCAGTCTGTTTTCTGTGGCCTGAAACTAGTGAAATGATAAAGGTGTTTCTGAGCAAATGTAGAGAGCATTCCCTCACCACTAACTATCGCGGCCAACCCCTCAAAGATCCAGAATTAGTGGGCAAAGCTTCTACGTTAGAAAGTGGGACTTTCCATGGTAACTTGAACCCCACCACTACGAAACCAGGAGGGAAACCAAGAATCTGAGTTTTGCTCCTTATTCTGGCTGGGTTCCAGATCCTGAGAAGGCTGGAGTATGCTTAATACAGGGGTCTGCAAGAAAAGGACTGTCTTTCCTCATAGCACAGTCCTTCCATGCAGCTTCTTCATATAAATCATATAAAATAATTAACAAATCTGCAACAAAATGATTGCAACCTGTAAAACACTATTAACAGAAAATAAGCGAAACATCACAATTGCAACAAAAGTAATGTTATGTGATTAACAAATCGACATTTATAATCTATAAAACAATATTAACAACTCCAACAAATAGCAACTAAAAAATATAAGCTAAGCGCTGTTAAATTCACACACACGCTCTCCACTCCCCTATGCCTCATAATCTTTCACTGTATTCAGTGCATTAAAATACACATAAGATACACATAATGCCGTTGTTCAGCAAGCTCAGCAGTCTGACCTGCTATGAGACAGCTTCCTATTGTTCTTTTGCACAGGCATTGAGAGATGTGTACAAGGGACAGAGAGAGGGTGGCGTCTGATGTCTTCCTGTCTGAAAGCTGTTTCCAGTTTGATATCCAGATTCCATTAGAACAGCCTTCCCTAGCTTGGTACCCTCAAGATGAGTCCAACTCCCATCATCCCTGACTCTGGGCCTGGGTGCTGGTTGGGCCTGATGGGAGGCATAATCCAGAACAACTGGAGGGCAACAAGCTGGGGGAGGCTGCCTTAGAAGATCACACCTCGTTCCCCTTTCCCCACTCATGACCACTTGGGCTGATTTCCCAAGCTCCATCCGCCTCACCTATGTCAGGGTCCTCCGCCAATTCCTCGTACGATCCATAGGCCTTAGGAATATTATGCTGCTTGGCATATTCCTCAGAGCGCTTGAGGTCTCGAGAAGCGATGGCGGCCACCTGGGGAGGGAAGAGCCATCCTATGAGACAAGAGCTTGTGAACTACAGAGCCTCACATCACACTAGTTTGTAACTGAATGCCAAAGTAAGTTACAAACTGATCACTGTTGGTACCATCACAAGAATGATAGGAGTCTGCTTTATAGTGAGTCAGAGCATTGGTCCATCTAGCTTTAATATCATCTGCACTGACAGGCAGCGACTCCAGGGTTTCAGTCAGGGCAGGGGCGTAGGAAGGAGGGGGCCGGGGGCCGCCCCGGGTGTCACCCAAGGGCGGGTGTCAAAATGGCAGCCAGCCAAGGGCTACACTCACTGTAGGGCGGCTGAAGGCGCGTGCATGCTGTCATTATGTGCACTACTCGAGTGCCGTTGATATTGGTGTCACACGTGCGCCATCTGTATCAGTAGTGCGCATGCGCCACCGGGCGGTTTGCCCCACCCCTGTGGGTGGTTTGCCCTGCTCCTCAACACCCCGCACCAGGTACTGAAGAGCCTTCCTTCGCCACTGAGTCAGGGACCTCTTCCCCCATCCCTACTTGGAGATGTCAGGAATTGAACTTGGGGCCTTCTGCATGGAAGGCAGGTCCTCTGCCTACTGAGCTATGGCCCTTTTCAAAAGTCAATATAAAGAATGGTGCCTTTCACCCTCACCCTCAACCCATGTGAGTGATGATAGTGCCCTTTGGTGATTATGAGTACAGAAGCAGGGAACAGCTGCTCTTCCGGGTTAGATCTTTTTGCAGCATTTGGCTGCAATGCGCATCAAGTTCTGACAAATCCCGAATCTCGAGGTGTGGCTCCTAGGAGGGATTTCATGCTTACCTGAGGTGAAGTGGGATCTGTATAAGGCTGCACATATCAAACCCAGGTGTGTGGTGAAGAGAGGGAGCAGCTTTGCAAAACTAAAACTTGTGTCTCTAAGCTTCAGGGAAATGCCAGGATCAGGGGCAGGCGGATGGGCTTTGTCAGCAAGTGAGAAGTGTGGCGTGCACAAATGTTTAACAATGCGATGTATAAATGCTGCACAATCAGATCAGGATGAATGCTCATTATCACATAACAACCCCACAAACAAATAAGAACGAATGCTTAATAAGAAACTGGCACCATCTAAGCTATGTGGAAGCTTTGTGCAAGCAAATTAGGATGAATGCTTAGTAATCAGATCATCCGGAGGAGATCGTTTGGAATCTTTCTGTGTTTTGTTTTGTCTGTTTGAATGAGATACTCATCAGAGCTTGAAGAAGATGACACCCTTGAGCTGAGAGAAGGAAGAAGAGAGGTAGCAGAAATAACAGCTGGCAGTTTTTCAAAGGCAAGAGACAGAGAGTTGGGAGCTTTTAGCTGATGTTAGCTGAAACTGGGGGTGTAGCCTTGGGTGGCTGCCCAAAATGCACTTTTCTCATGAAGACATCTTTTCTCTTGAAGGAGTGGCAGTCATGCTCTGCTTGTTGTTGTTGTTTTCGTCAGTTGGTTAAAAGAACAGACTACTGCTACCCAGAACTGCAGCAAAATGTTGCAGCGTGAACTTCTGCTTTTCAAGACGCCAGCTACTCTTTCCCGTGTAACCCTTTCTACTCTGGAGAGCTGCTTCTAGGCAGTGGAGACAGGCTAGCCCAACCTTTGCCAGCCTGGTGCCCTCCAGATGTTTTGGAGGGCGCCAGGTTGGTAGACCAAACCATGTCCGTTCTGACAATCCTGAGCTAGATGGACCAAGTGGTTTAACTTGGTATAAAGCATCTCCCTGATAGATCACACAGATCATGCATACAGGTTCACGTAGAAAGTGTTATAAGGAAGCAAAGTGGCCAAGACTGGAGCACCAGCAGTCAAAGAAAGTGATGGTTCCTGGAATGGCAGATCAGGAGAACAGCAGCCCATCATGAAATGGGATACAACTGCTGTTCGGGGTTCCACTCCGGCACTTCTTGTTTTTAAGTTACACTTATATCCCAGCTTTCCTCCAAGGAGCTCAAGGCGACATGCATGGCAATCCCCTCCCCATTTTATCCTCACAGCAACCTTGCGAGGTAGAGATTAGTCTGAGAGACCGTGAAAGGCCCAAGGACACCCAGTAAGCTTTATGGCTGAGCCATTCAACACTCTAACCCCAGTTTTTTCTCGAACTTGGGTCCTCAGCTGTTGTTGGACTACAACTCCCATTATCCCTAGCTGGCAGGGCCAGTAGTCAGGGAGGGTGGGAGTTGTAGTCCAACAGCAGCGGGAAACCCAAGTCTGAGAAACACTGCTGTAGCCACTATGCCACATTCGCTCTCATTGTCAACACTTAATTTCTGGCAGGCCACCTGTGTCTTTTAACATCCACCTGTGAAGCAGAAACAGAGAAGGCAGGAGCTTTTGAGGCACAAGAAACAGCCCTACGTCATGTTAAACCGCTAGTCCACATCACTTGTTCAGTATTGTCGGCACTGACTGTCTGCAGCTTTCCAGGGTTCCAGGCAGGAATCCTATTCCAGCCCTAGCCGGATGGAGCTTGGGAACTTTTGTATGCAAAGCATGAGCCCCACAGCTGAGCTTATAACCGAGCTTCCCCTCAAAGAAAACGGGGCAATCTGTCCCTCTACCCCACTGTTCTCTACTCTGACTGGCAGCTGTTCTTCCAGGTCTTTCTCCAGAAAGTAATTCTTTCTCCAGAATCACTACATGAGAATCTTTTTTTAAAAAAAATAACTGGCAATAGCAGAGATAGAATTTCTGCCTGCTAAAACCATGTAAAGGGTAAAGGTAAAGGGACCCCTGACCATTAGGTCCAGTCATGGCCAACTCTGGGGTTGTGGCACTCATCTCGCTTTATTGGCCGAGGGAGCCGGCGTACAGCTTCCAGGTCATGTGGCCAGCAGGACTAAGCCGCTTCTGGTGAACCAGAGCAGCGCACAGAAACGCCATTTACCTTCCCGCTGGAGCGGTACCTATATATCTACTTGCACTTTGACGTGCTTTCGAACTGCTAGGTTGGCAGGAGCAGGCACTGAGCAACAGGAGCTCACCCCGTCGCAGGGATTCAAACCGCCGATTGGCAAGTCCTAGGCTTTGTGGTTTAACCCACAGTGCCACCTGCGTCCCCGCAAAAACCACATGCTCCACCGCAAAGCTAAGGCTCCTCACTTTTCTAGCATGGGTAAGGAAAGCTTTGCCAGCTACGTTTCTAGCGACAGGGAGCTCTTAACGGCACAGAAGCTCTCCCAGAAGAAAGCTGGTAATTCTATCAGCAAAGTGTGATAGACCCTGGTTTTGGCTGCCCTGTGTCCCCATGCCCCCACCCACACCATTTGTTCCAGGCCTGTTATCCAACCTTGTGATCCACTGCCGGCAAAGTCTTCAAGGCCACGATGAAATCGTGGCTGATCTTCCCAGCGGAGCAGATCCCCCAACGGAGAGCCATTTTGAATTCCTGAAGCGATGCGGCGGAGAGGTGCTGTTCCTTCTGCCTGTTTTCTTCAGGAGGGTGCAGCAGCTTGTCACTCAGCTGCCCACACAGAGGGCTGAGGCTTAGCATAAAGAGGCAGGCTGGGGAGCCCAAGGGCAGGTAGAGGCCTGCTTGCCTACTTCCAGAAGTGTTCGCGCAGGTGAGAAGAGGAATGAGGCAGTGATGCACAGGACAGGGAGGAGGAATCCTGGCTTTTCAGGGCAAGCGCGTGGGGTGAACACATGACCAACGCTACCTTACACTGAGTCAGGACGCTGATCCATCTAGCCTGGTAGGTTCTGTGTTGAGTATGGGCCAGAAGGTGGGGAGGAAGACTCATTTTGCATTTCAAGGTAAATCTGTGTAACCTTAACTTTCCGAAACAACAAAGCCATCCTTTGAAATTCTCCAAATTCTGCCATGCCAAGTAAAGTATGCAAAAAAAAAAAAAAGGATTTTCAAAGTTCCATAAGAATTGCAAGAATTCATTAAAATAACATTCAAAATTGCATCGCATCAGCGGAAATTGTTCTGCAAATGTCTGTATATTAGGCAACGTTGCATACAACCGTGTATATATATATATATATTGGGAGAAATTCTTACGAAAATGCTGGTGAATTTTCATGCGGACTTAAAAAACAAACAAACCCAAAAACCCGATCTGGAGATTGGAAGATTTGGGGGGTGGGGGATGAGAAACTGAGGGAACCCAAACTTGACAGTTTCCCCCATCCCCAATTCTGAACCTGATTGCTGTTCAAGAATTCAGAGAGGGTGGGATTGGGCCCTTTCCCCAGCCTTGGCACTTGAGATTCTTGTACTGTAAATGGAGATGTAAGAAACTGAAACATGGACCATCTCTCCCAGTGCTCCAGCATGAAGCTGCAGCCCCTTTCCCTTGATTCCTGAGGATCAGTGGACGTTTTGCACAGTTTCTCCACCCCCACCAAGCTGTCCATTACTGGCTCCCACCAGCAGGCACAAAACTGGGCAGCGGCTAAGTTCAGCAGACAGCACAGAGCAGGTAGAAATCAACTGACAAAGCTTTTTCTCAGTGATGCTGGCAAAAGCTTGTTTCCTGCTACTTAGGTTCTGTGTCTGTTACAGCCAGCAGTCTTCACCCTGCGAATCTTCCTCTCTCTCACAGCTCCTTCACTGCTTGCATTTCAGAGGGTAGTGAAAACTTTGCCATTTAATCAGGCTCTTGTGCCCTCCTAGTTATTTGCACAGTTGTGGGTTTCATTGTTTTCTGTCATTCCTTTCTCTCATCTTTCTTTGTTCTTACAATATGACTGAATGAGCGCTATTTGGATAATATTTCTCTTTTATTGTAGTTCTCTTCTATCACTGTGTTTGTTTTTAACTGTTCTTAAGCTTTGTGTGCGTTTCGTGGATCTGTATGTCACTTTGAGACTTTTTGGTGGGAATTTGTGAATAAGTGAAAATAAAATAATAATAATAATATATTTTATTGGGTTTAATTGTACACTGCTCTGCACTTTAGAAAGAGGAGATAAATAATTTAAATCAATCAGTCAATCACTCAATTAGCTTTCTTTCTTTTTTCTTTTTTTATTAGAATTCTTATGTTACATTAATAAACATTATCATATTACATCACAGGACTTGTTATACTATATACAAGGATAATATACAAAAGGGGGGGAAAGGAAATATTCCAGAGTCATATATGTACCAACACTTTGGACTTCCTGTCAATCCCATTGTATATTCCCTTTTTACAAATGAATGTACTCTTATTGTTATAAATTTCTTTACATTTTATCTAATACATTCCTATATCAATATGTACCCTTGATCTTATTTCTCAACTCAATCTCTCTCCAAAGTCAATCGAATGCTAGCACAGATTGCGAACCCTTACTGTATTTTTGAACATATATCTTATATCTATCCCACTTTTCCATAAATGTTTGTTTTGAGTTGCCTCTCAGGCTATTTGTCTACTGCGCCATTTCAGTTACCTGTCCTCTCCTGCAACATCCCAGGCTGATTGCAGCAATATAATCATACAACTGAAAACAAACATATGAGTTTATATACAATTATAAAAGCAAGGGAAACACCTCCAGAGAAAAGAAGTGGGTACCACAAAAATATCTTAACAGTGAAAGGCCACAATAAAGAGGTGTGCTTTCAGCACATGAGGGAGGATGTGCAATGAAGATGCTTGATGCACCTCTTCACCTGCTCATTGCACCACTGGCGCAGGAAGGGGGTGTGGGGGGTGCGGTCTGCCCCCGGTGTCATCCCTGAAGGGGGGTGACATTGTCGCCCCACCCCCCTTGGACGCTTGCCCCACCCCTGCGGGTGTCTCGCCTCCCCCCGGGTGCACACCACGTGCGCCGCTCTGTGTGCCGGAGCAACTAGCTTCGCCTCTGCATTGCACACTCCCTTTTCCCCATGAAACCCAGGCATCCTAGAACCTGTTTTTAATTAGAGGAATTAGCTTTGGAATATAGTGAGTCATTATGAGGAACTTGCCTCTAGGCATGTGTGAAGTGCGTTGCTGTTCCTGCACCATTAATGCCATTATTCTCATCACCCCCAGATCTGAGGAAGCTGTGATAGGGTTTCTAGGTAAAAAGTGATGGTTGTTTCCTAGAAGGGTTGTCTTTTATGTCTCTCATTTGGTCATTTTTGTGTCTAGCTTGATGAAGAGTTCTGAACACTGAGCTGACTGCAGTACAGTGGTACCTCAGGTTACAGACGCTTCAGGGTACAGACACTGCTAACCCAGAAATAGTACCTCAGGTTAAGAACTTTGCTTCAGGATGAGAACAGAAATCGCGTGGCAGCGGCAGCAGGAGGCCCCATTAGCTAAAGTGGTACCTCAGGTTAAGAACAGTTTCAGGTTAAGAACGGACCTCCAGAACAAATTCTTAACCTGAGGTACCACTGTACTTCTGTAGGTGTGGACTGAGAGGTTTTATTAGAAACATATCCTTGCTGACTAGAGCTCTCAAGATCTTTTGGACTACAATTCCCAAACACCTTGAGAGCTGTGATCGGGGCTGCTGGGCTCTGTAGTCTAAAGCATCGGGGGAGGGGGGACCAGGATGGCAAAGGCTGATCTAGAACTAAGACCTATTTATTTCTACTTCCCTTAATCTTGTTTTCCCCCCACACGCCTACACAAGCTCAAATGAAAGCCAAGCCTTTTTAATCTGTAGTGTGACTGTTTCTTCTCTGATGAAGAAAGCTTGTTCCCTTCAGCAATCTTGCAAAGTGACTGTGACACCTGGGCTAACAGAGCCCATTATGTCCCAATAGCCCAAACCTAATCCATCATTCTAGGTGTTTTCCCATGTTATTCTATTGAAATACTAATTTTTCACAGCGCAATCCTATTCAAGTCCCATTGAATACAATGGAGCGTTTTCTGATTGCCACCACCCTTGTCATCTCAAACATTTTGCATGAAGATCCCCAGGCAACTTTCTTCCTAATCTTACAATAGCTCCTTTCTTTAATCTTCTTAAATTCTTGCCAGAATCCGAATTGGTTGGCTGGGATGAAATCTTACAGGCTGAGATGGTGTAGCCTAGCTCACACCATTCCATAAAAAGATGCTGAACGAATGATACTGTTGTTGTACCTGCAGCCCAGGGAAAAGCACTGAAAACAGCTCTGTCCGGTACCTCTTGTGGTATAGTGGTTAAGAGCGGTAGACTCGTAACCTGGTGAACTGGATTCGATTCCCCGCTCCTCCACATGCAGCTGCTGGGTGACCTTGGGCCAGTCACACTTCTCTGAAGTCTCTCGGCCCCACTCACCTCACAGAGTGTTTGTTGTGGGGGAGGAAGGGAAAGGAGAATGTTAGCCGCACTGAGACTACTTAGGGGAGTGATAAAGCGGGATATCAAATCCAAACTCCTCCTCCTCCATTTTGTGTGCTGTTACATAAATGCTTTTCAAAGGGTGACCTGTCTAACTGCTGAGTAAGCTAGTATTGACATTAATAACCATACTGAGTCAGTCTATTGGTCCGTCTCGCTCAGTAGTGTTTACTTTCCAGGGTTTCAGTATGGGGGTGGGGGTCCTCTCCCTGTGCTACCTGGAGATGCTGAGGAATGAACCTGGGATTTTAATTTTTTTTTGCATGCAGAGCAGATGTTCTTCCCCCGAGACACAGTCCTAGTCCTTCCCCAAATCCTATGCCCCCCTTTTTCCACTGATCTCTGTACCCTCAAACCAAAGGGACGTGAAATTTGCAGAGTACTTTTCTAGGCTCTTGAACTAGCTGAAGTTACTTGTGAGATGGTGATCCCTGTGCACACTTACTGGGTAAGGGGGACTTGCTTCTGTGTAAACTTAAGAGAGCACACTGAGCTGCCTGTCCCATTGAAAACAATGGAGCAAGTTAAAGTCACGACAAAAAAACTTCTGCCCCATTGCTTTCAATAGAAATTGCTTGTCATGGCTAATTTTAATTGGAGCCTAATCTTTGAGGCTGCATTGGATATTTTTCAGCTTATTAAACCAAACTGCCATCTTGGAAGTTAGAGATTTGCTATATAAACACACACACACACACACACACACACACACACACACACACACACACAGACCAATCTACTGGATGCAGTTCATACTACTTTGCAATCTACACTCGATAACTTTGATGTTATAAACCACAGGGGGAAGCAACCTACAACCCAGGGGCTGCATTTTATGCAGCCCTTAACACCTCCTGATAAAATAAACAGATATTCTCTATATTTTGGAAAGCTGTTTGTTTGTTCACTATACATTTGGGCACCTTTTAAGATAATGGAACCAAATTTTGTAAGATGGTTCCTGAGATCAAGGAGCCAGGTTTTCAACTAAGTTTCTATATGATTGGGTGCCATTTTGAATCAAGATGGTGGGCTGAACTTTTCAAAACTGCACCCATTTTTTGGTTTCAGAATTCCCAAATAGTGCCTGGTACAGGCTATTAGTAATATATGATTATATGTTGTATAATCTCATCCATGCTTCCTCTTGCCCTCCCCCTTCCCCCCAGGAAAACCTGCTGCCTATTGCTGGATCTGAATAAACATAAACTGGGTTTTATTGATGTTTGCTCTGATTGGGTTTTCTGAGGGAAAGGCAAATCCACCCATGCCTGTGCCAAGAAAGCATGGGCTAAGCACAAAACTGTTTGTGTTTTCTAGGCAAGCGACAAGAATAAGTCTGGACGTGCCGTAAAATACAATATAAATCAGTGTCTCTGGTTGTGATGAGGTTGGAAACAGAGATGTGATGAAGGGTGGTTTGGAATCCCCAACTGATGTAGTCAAACCCCTCTAGAAGCAGGTTGTCCTGGAAAAAGCCCCATCTGCTTCCAAGAATAAGTCAGGCGGCCGGACTGATCTCTGGGTAAGCTTTATTTCCAATCTATTACCCAATTTGATAGAGAAGGGAAAATAGGTGGGGTTGCAGCTTCAGCCCATAGTTTCAAAATGGCTGCCCCTTCCCTTGTTCTGAATTCATGAAGCTGGCAGAAGTTGCTGTTTCTTCAAGTGCTTTGTTGTTTCTTCAATAACGGAGCTTTGGTCCACATCTGGTGAGATGGTATGTTTCTTGCATAGATGGATATTAATTAGTTACTTTGAGGGGGGGGAGGCAGTGGGGGGGGGGAGTTAGGACATAACAAGCCTTAACCAAAGTAGCAAGGTCCAAAGGTTAAGCGACACAGGTCAGAAATCAGGTTGGGCAGGGGGAGTTTCAAAGTGAATAAAAAATCAGAATCAAAACAAGAAAGACGGAGATGAAGTCAAAGGTTTGGGGGCTACAGGAAATGGTGAAGATACTTTGGCAGGAAATGGCTTGTCGGGATTTGAATGGGGGGCAGCAAAAGGGGAAATCACATGCCAGCTTGACGGCAACAGGTCATGTGGAGGTCCAGCCTGACAAAAGACGGGAAGGTTGGAGGTAGAAGGTGGGCAATACTGAAAGCAAAACAGTTTGTGTCCAGTTTTACGAGGCAGCAGGAAGCAATCCGGGGCAAAAGCCACAGAGGTTGGATGTCAGAGAAGTCGGCGGGATGGCTCTCTACTCGCAAGCAATTTTCCCGTCGAAGCTAGACAGGCAGATGGCAAAGGCCTGAACGGCACAGAGAGGGAACCGGTAATCCATGGTGAACACATCGGGCGCCACACGACCAAACTGCAGCATAATGTAGTTAGCTGGATGGCAGGGATGGGAAAAGAGCACCAATGAGACAGGAAACTCTGTACGTAATCTCTGCTGCTAAACATGCAGACAAAACGCCTTTGAAGACATCCACCCTGGTCCACCACCTCGCCGGCCTGCCCCCCTGTTATGTACTGAGTTGAATAGGATCCAAAATGCAGCAGTCTGGTTGGTCCTAGAACAATAGGATTCAGAATGCAGCAGTCTGATTGGTCCTAGAAAAATAGGACCGAGAATGCAGCAGTCTGATTGGTCCACAGGAGCCACCCAATCCAGCTCCAGGTGGAAGTGAATCCGCAACCTGATTGGCCTACAGGAGAATCCCGGAATTAGCCAATCACATGGGGCCCATTGTGTAAATAATGCATATAAAGCAGACATTCTGGGGGAACTTCCATTCCTCCTCATCACTATGAGCTGAATAAAGAGCATGAAATCCATTCTCGACTCCCGAGTATATTTCACTACCCATCTCCCCATTCTTCAAAACCACATGCTCAGGGTGCTCTCCTCCAAAGATACATACCCCACCACCACCTCCGTTTACTACATACAGCCAAACCTCTGCTCAAACTTTCCTTCAGCCTGTGATAAACACAGGGAGGGGTGTGTATGTTTGAGAGGTCCTGTTCTTTTGAAAGATGGCTGCTGGGTGGTGCGAATAGCTTTCTTACGCCTATGGAGCTTGGTGAATAGAGGTAACTTGGTTACACAGAGATCCTTGTGTAGCATGTCTGCACAAGCCAATGTTTGTACAATCTACTCCTGTAAATATGTAATTTGTGCACTCAGGTCTGCTGCGACCTTTACGTCCAAAGGTTTCTTGTGCATTGCCGAGATGCAGCTATATCCGGGCTGGGACTCTTAGGCCAGAGCGGTCTCCCTTAATTTGGCGCCCTCTGTTTGTTCTGGACTACAACTCCCATCATCCCTGACCATTGGCTCCACTGCCTGGGGCTGATGGGAGTGGTTCGTCCAACAACACCCCGAAGGCACCAGGATGGGGAGGCCATACCAGAGAATCCCTTGCCCACGAAGGAAGTGGTCCTTCTAAGCCTGTTTGATTGGAAGGAAGTCCCAGTGAACCGGCCTTGCTTATGAGCGGCTGTGGCTTAAGTTACTGGGCTGCAGCACTTTCGCCTCGAGTCGCCTCCTCTCAACTCCGCCCACTACTCACGGTCGTCTTCTGAGATGATCTGGAAGTTCTTCACGGAGGCCTGTGTGACGCGCCCTCGGAAGTTGAGCACGTAGGACTGGGTCTCCTCGTTCCAAGCCGGCATCTTGTTCTGGAGTTTGATCAGGTTCTGCATGTTCCGGTTCTGGTACCGAGTCAGGAGGGTCTCATGTTCCTACCAACAACACAGACATGGGGGATGTTTTATGCTGGCGGCTTCAGCCCTAGAAGGGCGCTAGAAGGAGCGGGGCTGCCTGCCAGTCTCCATGCCGCAGTGAACCACTCACATTCTTAGGCCGGATGCAGATCCTTTCGTTGTCCGCGTCCACACCAGGGATTATCACTGTCATTTTCCGTGGGCCTCTGAATCCCAGCACATTGGTTTCCTATAAAGGAGGCGAGGAAAGGAGCAAAAAGCAACTAATAATAATAATAATAATAATAATAATAATAATAATAAACAACTCTCCTATTGCCTCACATTGGTCAGATTTCTGCATTGCAGGGGGTTGGACTAAATGACCCCACGGGGTGCCTTCCAATTTTATGATTCTATTCACTCTGCCATCGGGTTGTTACTGTCGCTTTATTATTCATTTATGTAGCATGTTGTGAATTCTGCAAATGCATATCTAAGAAGCCACCTCGTACCAAGTCATACCACTGATCTATCCACTCAGTATTGTTTACACTGACTGGCAGCAACCCTCCAGGGTTTCAGGCAGGGGTCTCTCCCAGCCCTACTTGAGGGTGTGTGCGTGCTAGGGATTGAACCTGGGGCCTTCTGCATGCAAACCAGCTGTCCCAGCACCCAGAAACAACTCTTCTCCTATCTGTGTGCAATGCAGTGGATAGATTCTAAAGCTATCACCTGAAACAGAAGCCAACATTCTCATTTTGTAGTAATAATATTAATAATAATAATAATTATTATTTATACCCTGCCCATCTGGCTGGGTTTCCCCACACACTCTGGGCAGCTCCCAACAGAATTAAACGCACAATAAAACTTCAGACATTAAAAACTTCCGTAAACAGGGCTGCCTACAGATGTCTTCAAAAAGTCAGGCACAGTGGTACCTCAGGTTACATACGCTTCAGGTTACAGACTCTGCTAACCCAAAAATATTACCTCGGGTTAAGAACTTTGCTTCAGGATGAGAACAGAAATCGTGCAGCAGCGGCGCAGCAGGAGGCCCCATTAGCTAAAGTGGTGCTTCAGGTTAAGAACAGTTTCAGGTTAAGAACGGACCTCCAGAACGAATTAAGTACTTAACCCGAGGTACCACTGTAGTTGTTTATTTCCCTGACATCTGATGGGAGGGTGTTCCGCAGGGCAGGCACCACTACTGAAAAGGCCCTCTGCCTGGTTCCCTGTAACCTCACTTCTCACAGTGAGGGAACTGCCAGAAGGTCCTCAGTGTCCAGGCGGAACGATGGGGGTGGAGATGCTCCTTCAGGTATACTGGGCCGAGGACTCAACCATCGTTGTCCCACTGGGAGAAAAAGCTGCTTCACCACAAGTGAAAACACCACAAGTGGCCAGAAGGTGATAAATAAAGCAGGGATGGAGGAGCTCTGGGCCTCCGGATGTTGTTGGACCCAAACTCCCGTCAGCCTCAGACTAATCACCAGGGATCGATGGGAGCTGTAGCCCAACATCTTTGTGGGACTACAGGCTCATCTCATCTCTGTAGTAAAGGCAACAGAGGTTTCTGCTTATACAGGCCATTCCTCCATCCAACTCAGTGTTGCCCATTTTGGCAGTTGGTGGCACTTTGAGATCTTGGGTCTTTCCTACTGCCCAGGCTCCTCCCCTCATTCCAACAGGGCCCACTCTCCATTCAAGCTTACATAGCAAATGGCAACCAGCTCTTGCCGCAGCTGGGCTGTTTCTGGAACAAAAGGTTTCTTATCTGGGTTCATCCCGTTGTCAAACACGGTAAATTTGGTTCCCAGTACATTGGACCTAGAAGGAGGTTGGGGGGGGGAGAGAAACGCTTATTTTAGAAATGTTATACCTTATCCTCAACTCCCCTGCTTCCCAATTAATAAATAACAATCCAAAACCCAAAATCAAAGGAAAATACAAATGAAGAACAAGAACACTGCTAAAAATAAAATGCGGCGGCCTAGAATGAAACTTAAGTGTTTGTGTCTCCCAGCTAAGGATCATTTGTGCATACATTAAAAAAATGAGGACAAATTCTCAATAAACAAGATGCCTGAAAGGACAATGGCTTAATAGCCACTTCCTGCTCCTTATGGGAATTGTTTTTGAACACCACCTCCAGAAAAACTGGGCAACTCCAAAGATCACTATCATCACTTTGAACTTTAAATTGCTCCAAGAAAAGAGGCTGCCTCGCTTGCTCTGTGGTTTTCTTTGGCGATAACTTATAGGAGGCGTTGTAGGTCCTTGCCTATGAATGCTCTTGGCCCAATAAATGGGTAGGTTACTAAGGTGCTGTAGGGCTGGATGTTTGGGGTGATGTGACCACAGCAGCATAACGGTGACAGGCCCTAGCACTCTAGGGTCTCGGTCTTTCACATCACCTGAGCTTCCTGAGATGGCATGGATTGAACCTGGGGCCACCTGCACGCAAACCAGGCACCCTCCCAACTGTGCCACAGCCCTGCCAATGCGAGATGGGGTTGAAACAGACTCACCTGACTTTCCCAATGTAGTTATCTCCATCCCTTGACAGATCAATGGGGTCCAGTGAAATGAGGTAGTTGGAAGTCTTGCTTTTCTTCCTCTTCCGCCCAGACATAATGAATCGCTGAAGGAGAATACACAGCAACGGTCAGTGAGACGGGTCCCTGGCAAGCCTCCCTCCTGCAATGGCTAGCATCCCCTTTCTGATCCACACAGGTATCTTTACATTTCCCTTTCTCTGGATATTGTTGGACTACAACTCCCTGACCGCCGGCTGCACTGACTGGGATCAATGCGAGATGGAATCCAACAATATCTACAGGCCCAAGGCTCTCCGTCCCAGTTCTAAGCCACTTCCATCCAGAATAATTGCAGAGACTTTATCGCAGGTGTGGGGAACTTGTGCCCCCCCCCAATGTTGTGGGACTACAACTCCCAACAAGCATGGCCATGGGAGCTGTAGTTTGGTCCCTCATGACCTACTTTTAACATCTCCAGTGAAGTTCCAAATGTATTGGAAAACAACCCTGGGATATAATTGCTAAGCAGTGTCAAATCACAGGAAGCGGTACAAATTGCACCTCCTTCTAGAGTAATTACCTATAGGTTCTTGAACAATATGATTGATAAGACTAGATATTTCCATTGGCAGCTTCCTCCTCTGAAGCTTGTTGCAACCTACTAAGAACATGGATCCATCTAGCCTTTCATTACTGTTTACTACACTATCTGACAGCAGTTTTCCAGAATTTCGGGCAGGGGACTCTCCTGGCCATGCCTAGAGATTGTACCTGGGACCTCTTCCATGGAACATCTTTCGAAGGTGAGAGACAATACATACACCAGTGTGAGGGCTGGCATATGTGAGGCACTTGCTTTTTTGCCTCTAACAACATCGCTGAGAGGTTGGTAAGGCCAGGGCCACAGTGATTGCCATGGCAGTGGGGAAGGCCCTTATGAGGCTGGAAACCATCCATTGAGAGAGAGAGATGAGCTCCCAGGATTGCCGCCTTAACTGAATTGCCAGACTTTTCTTTCCCATTAGACACCACTGTTCACCATTTCTGACCTTTTCTTTCTCACTATATATCCCCACCAAGTAAGGCTAAAACATGGGTAGGCAAACTAAGGCCTGGGGGCTGGATCCGGCCCAATCACCTTCTCAATCTGGCCCGCGGACTGTCCGGGAATCAGCGTGTTTTTACATGAGTAGAATGTGTCCTTTTATTTAAAATGCATCTCTGGGTTATTTGTGGGGCATAGGAATTTGTTCATTCCCCCCCAAAAAAATATAGTCCAGCCCCCCACAAGGTCTGAGGGACAGTGGACCGGCCCCCTGCTGAAAAGGTTTGCTGACCCCTGGGCTAAAACTTCATTCATCTGATGGACTCCAGTCCATGGGTCGGCAAACTAAGGCCCGGGGGCTGGATCCGACCCAACTGCCCTCTGGATCCAGCCCGCGTACGGTCTGGGAATCGCCGTGTGGATCGGCGTGGGGATTCTGATGGTTCGGGCTGCACCATCCCCCCCCCTTCCACCACGGTGCCGCCTCCTCCCTCCCTCCTCCTGGCTTCTCCCTGCCCTGCCTAGAGGAGGAAGGGGGCTGGGCTTTGTTGAGCCACGGTTGGCTGAGCGCCATTTTAAGCAGCCCCTCTACAGAGCCAGCCCTTTCGCACCGCTCATCATCCCTCCACCGCCGCCAGCCCTTGCCGCTCACAAGGCACAGGTAAGCAGCCACCGGGGCTCATCCAGTGCTGTGGAGAAAGGAGGGGAGAGTTGTGGGGGGATCCCCCCCAAATATAGTCCGGCCCCCCACAAGGTCTGAGGGACAGTGGACCGGCCCCCTGCGGAAAACGTTTGCTGACCCCTGAAAGCAGGGTTTTTGTTGGTGTTGTTGTTTCTAAAGGCACAGAATTCTTTCTCGCGTGCAGATACCTTCTTTCCGTTTTCCATCTCCAGATGCAGGTAGTAGAAGGGAAAGATGCCCTTGTCCATCCCCTTCCGGTCCCGTGTGATGCGACACTGGATTGTACTGCCTTGAGGAGCGGGTTTCAGTACAAATTCTTCTAGGTCATCCAAATTGAGGGACAAAGGGGTGCTACATTCTTCACTGGGAGACTGAGAGGGGAAAAAATAACGATAGACTGCTTCTTAAGGCGAGTTAGAGATTGCTTTTGGGGAAAACCTCACAAAGCAGTTAACATGGAAATAGAAAAACAATAAGCATCAATTGAAACAAAATTAAAACAACCAAGTGACAAGGGGGAACAAATCCTTTTCGATAACTGGACCTCTCCTCCCTTTGGGGCAAGATGGTCCTTAAGTAGCCCATCTGAAGGAGGGAAATGCCCTCAGGTGGAATACTGGGAATTAGATGGCAGCTTTTCAGACAATTCAGTCCTCTCTCTTTCCTTCCCAAGGCAAGATTGTCCTCAGATGGGAGGTGTTTTGGAAGGAATGAGGTAGGGTAGCTCAGTCAACAGCAACTGTTCTCTCCTTTAACTGCTTGCTTGGCTCCTTGCTCTTATATGTGGACCACAAGTGCTTCAAACACATGGAATCCTATGGATTATAGTTCTGTGAGAGGCTAAAGCAGGGAAGGGGGACCTATGGCACTCAATATGTTATTGAACTACAGCTCCCAGCTTCCCTGGCCATTGGCAATACTCGGTGGGGCAACTGGGAGTTGGAGTCCAACAACTTTTAGAGAGCCAAAAGCTGACAAATTTTATTGAACACCTCAAGCCATGTGATTATTAATTCCCTCAAAGCTAATGTTGGATCAACATGAATATTGGGATTTCCCAAGCCTAATTAAACACAACTTAAGCAATTATCGCAGAGAATAGACTCTTCGTTCCTGTATGGTTTATGACCTTGTAAAAGGAATACTCTGTTCCACGGCCGTCTTGCCCAAGAGGCAATGTGAGCTGACCGCCTCAGGCTTCTGGATCCACAGGAGCAGCAGATCCCAGTGTAGATCTTTATTCCCCTCCTTGTTCCTGATGTAGATATTCACTCACCCCTTCTTCCCTGGCGGGGAGGGGGCACCATTTTGCCTCAGGTGCCAAAATGTCTTGGGCTGGCCCTGCTCTGTGCTAAAACATAAATCTTAAAATAGCCAATTTTGACTCCCTGGTTTTTAAAAGGTAGTGTGTTTAGGGTGTGTGTGTGTAAAGCTGGAGAAGAAAACCAGGCACTTGTTATGTAGGCCTATGCCCGGCCAATCTCCTCCTGGCCTAAAGAACCTCTAAGAGAGAATTCTCAGCAAACCCACAAAAAGAACCACAGTTTCCAAGTTACCTCAGCAGAAACAGTGCTCTTGTGCTCATGTCCAGTTTGCAGACTTCCCACAGGCCTCTGGTCTGCCACTGTGAGAACAGGATGCTGGACTAAATGGGCCACTGGCCTGATCCAGCAAGCATGTCTTATGCTCTTAAACTATGACAGTTGAACCATTTGTAAACCCTGTTTTAAGTTTGCGGCACTGCCCTTCAAGGGAGCAGCACAGCAACAGATGTGTTCCATCTGAACCCATTTTTTAAGTCCTTCACCCACCATTCTTTCCACATATTTGGGAGTGCCTTTTTTCACCTTTAGACTTCTCCCTATATAAAAGTATGTTGAGGGGGCAAAACTTGTCCATTTCACTGTGGCCAGTTTCCATTACTGTTCTCTAGCCATGGATAAAGGGGAGAGAGAGACAGCATTGTCCGTTTCCACAAATGCAACCACCCCAAATTTGTCTGTCGAAACTGACAATAATTTCCCCCAACCTTGTCCGTTTCTGTGGAGACCAGGGCAGGGGGACAATGAACGAAATGGTGCTGGGGTGAGGTGAAGGTGTACCTATGGAATAGCACCCGAGTAGAGTTGCAGGACATTGGGGGCAACAGCTAGGATAGGGGGGTGGGGGGTCCTTCTCTCACATTAGCACAACTGCATACTGTACACACCATATATTTAAAGCATGCAACGTTTCCCCTAAAGAATCATGGGAACTGTAGTTTGATAAGGGTGCTGGGGATTGTAAGTATGTATGTGTAAACTACACCTCCAAGGATTTTGGGGGGGGAAGCCATGCACTTTAAATATATGGTATGCGCCCAGCCACATATATCCCGAGTGATCATTCAGATGCTTGAAAAGGGGATGCTCAATTTCAGCCATAGGCTCTTACGGTGGCCGAGTCAATTTCCTCACGGAAGTACATAAGAATGTCTTGATCCTTGTCCTTGAAGTCTTCATCTTCGTCATCCTTCTCTTCGTCATCTTCGTCTTCCTCACTCTGGCTTCTCCTTCCATTGGTGAGAGACCCTGAGAAGAGCAAGGAGGATTGCGAAGGATGGGGTGGAATCCAGTCACTAATCTCTCTCTGTCTCCCCCTTCTACCTCTTTAGATCAGGGGCATAGCCTATACATTGCATGCCTATTTTAACAGCCATTAATGCTAGAAAGTTGTTGTTGTTTTAAAAAACTAGCTACCTAAGGTCCTCATGACACTTAATTCTGTGCTAAACATTACTGGATGTTTGCAGAGAGCTGCAGAAACACACACAACTCTTGGCTATATCTTGGCTATATCTCAGAACTCTTTGCCAAGATCAGTGAAAGAGCAGTTTGGCAGATGATCCCCTTCCAGCTGGAAGGCCACTCACCTCTGTGTGCAAGCATCCTGTCCCGGGGCTTTTTCATGGGTGAGGGTGGGACTGTCAACTCCTGGGATGACTCCCCCTCACTGTCAGAATTGCTGAGCAATGTGTCGACATGGCAGGCTTCGCCAGTGGTATCCTTGGACCCTGTAGATTCTAGGTCCATGTCTTCTCTCTGCGGTTCATTCTCAAAATGGTCTAAGATGTGAAATCAATTCTGTTACTGCCCTCTTCTGGCTTGTTCTCGTCTCCACGCCACCTTCTACCTCCTGTCCCAGGGATGCTTCAGACCTTGTATCAGGCGTGTGGGGAGTCTCAGGCCCTCTAGATGTGGCTGAACTACAGCTCCCATCGTTCCTACCCATTGGCCCCATTTGCCGGGGCTGATGGGAGTTGTAGTTCAACAACAGCTGGAAGGCCAAAAGTTCCCCACACTTGCTTTATATTTTAGAGACCAGAAGTACATAACACACAAACCATGTCATTCACCAATGTGTCCCTGTATACCCCACAGCGTTTCCAGAAAAAAATACAAGTGAGCAACAGCCTAGCAAGGATTGATGTCAGGTAACAGATGATGGAAAAGACTGTTCCTGAGACCCTTAACTGCTGCAAGTCAGAATGGACAATATTGGGCGCCATGGTCCATTGGCTTGGCTCATATAGGATAGCTTTGTGTGTCTGTATATTCACTTCAGCATATATTGTTTGAACATCAGATGTAATTTCTGCACCCAGGGAACACGCACACCAGTCTATATTCCTGTCTGCATGCAGTTTAGGAACAATGGCTCATATTTGACATGGGGAATAATGTAAGAAGATGGGCCTTGTTGTCTTTCTACTTCTTCCTTGCTTGCACCCTCCCTCCATGAACCCATTTGCACACTCTTTGCACTCTGTCTTATTAAACACAGATCCACTGTGCATCCCCCATACTTGCTCGCTCATTCCATTCCTGATCTTGTGCTAAAGCAGAGGGCGACCAGCGCTGGACTAGGACCTGGAGATCGAAGTTTGAATCCCTACTCAGCCATGAAGCTCACTGGGTACCTTGGGACAGCCACTGCCTCTCAGCCTAACCTACCCAAAGGGTTGTTGTTGGGGATTAAATGAGGAAGGGAGATGTCATGTACTCAGTGGTCTGTGTCTGCCTGAGCTTGAGTCTGGACTAAGGATTCTGAGCTCCTGTGTTCTGATTCGATACATCATATCCAATCACAGAACATTTCAAGATATGGGCTTCTGCCATTGGCCCTTGAACTCTTGAGTCGTGATTCGCAGCTTGGAAGTTTAGACAGCCAATCACGTTGGGAGTGGGAGTGGCCCAGGCTTTCGGGAATGTATATAAGCAGTTGCTTTGCCCCCGTTTCCCAGTCATGTAGTTCAATAAAGGTCCTTGCTGTTATCGCTGTGTCTTGCCTCATGGGAACCCACCTACACTTCAGGAGAGAACTGTGTACGTCACCTGAGGCCCTTGTATGAAAGGTGGGGGAAATGTAATTTATTAACTAACATGGTCATTTGTATACTACATAATTGTCAAGGTGGCTTCTAAACTTGAGCCTGGAAACTGTTTAGCAACCAATGAAGTCGATGCAAAATTGGAGCGGCCCACCGCTTGGCAGCTGCATTTAAAATGGAAGTTTCTGAGCTGCCTTTTTTTGCAGCTTTTATACGGAAAGCGTTGCAGCAGTGGCATGTTATCTTACTACTCGCATATGCACAGCTTTAAATGCAAATTTTCCTGCCCTGTTAAGAGTATACGTGCTTCCCTGGCACAGTTATTTAGAAACGGGGCACATGCTCAAAACACAAGCTCATACTCCCTTGCCTCAAGAGTGGGCTTTTCTTCTTTCCATGCCTCCTTGTACTCTTATGCAAAACTCTGGAGTCTCACCTTCCATATCCATGATGATGGATGGAGCTTTCTGTATTGGGGATGAGGCTTCCTTTTCCAACAGGGGTGCCTGGAACTCGCAGCCAGGAGCCTCGCCTTCCATGTCCACAATGTTAGATGGAACAGCCTCTCTGAGTGACAAGACTTCCTTCTTTGACCTGGAAGCCTGGCTATGTCGCTGGGCACTGGGGCGCCCTGCAGGTGGTAAGAAAGAGATAACAATGACCTCAGGGGTTATGAATGACATGTGCCTTAAATAGCAAGCCAGCAAAAGCCCAGTTCTGTAACTTGAGGTAGGGGGGTGTAAATAAGAAAAAATGCATTATTTATGCTGTTAGTGTCCAACCATGCGAAGGGAGAAGGAAATATCATATAAGAAGCCCTGAATTCCCACTGGAATTTGATCAGTGGATGTCTAGCTCAGTCTCTCTCTCTCTCTGGTTCCTGTGATTTCACTAGATTATGCTCTCACATTTTTCAGCCTTTATCTGCATCAGAACTAGAAACTTGCCATTTTAAAATGAGGCCCAAAGTGTGAGATTATTGATTGGATCTCCTAATTTCTTTTTGTAAAACCTGTTGCAGGAAGACCTACAAACAGGCCCTGTTCCTAGGGGAGTGGGGATAGGTAATTTAATTATTCTTTTATTATTTATTAAAGTTGTATGCCACCCTTCACCTGTAGATCTCAGGGCGGTTCACAACATAACCCTTTTTGTAGCAATATTTCGCTGATTTAATTTGCCACTTCTCTTGAAGCTGCCATTTCTCGTATTATACCCGTGTTCCCCAACCCCCATTCATGGATAAAGGCAACTTTGGTGGTGACTGCTTCAGGAGATGGCACCGGGGAAAGGGTTAAATCCCTTCTTTTATTTATTTTGCTACAATAGAAAATAAAAGACGGCAACAAACTAACAATGAAAGCCTTCTTCAAACCCCGTTACCAGAGTGACTAATTAAGCAGCAATTCCTCACAAGCTCTGCTGAACAGGAAGAAATAAAATGGGCAGAAGCTTGAAGGGGGAAGTTTTTAACTAAAGGCACATTAGTTCTGAAGCCTCGGGCGAATTTTGCACTGGGCAGCTAAGCCCTATAATTTTTTTTCTTTTTCCCCACAGATCAGGTCTGGGGGAAAACACAAGCAGACAATGCTGGAACGCAACAATCTGGTGAGTGGCAACATTATTATCCATTATAAAGCCCCCTAAGATTTGCTATATGCTGTATATCTGGAATGAACAGGGGTAAAAACTTTGCTACTCCTTATTCCCACAGCAACTCCTCGTAGAAACCACACCACCAGCTATCTCCTCCTCATAAATTTAGCTTTTAGACCTTCTCTCCCTGCACTGGGGAAGCGACTAGTAGCGGGAATCCCCTCAAATCAACTAGGAACATCAGCAGAGGTATTTCCCGCATTGGGGTACCTGTGCGCCCAGCAGACTGCCTAATATAGCTGCCTCTGCCTTTCGGGAACCCCTCTCTGAATAAGGGAACTTCGTCCTTGGACATGGGCAAAGCAGTACGAGTCTTGTTGACTCAGCTCTGGTGCCTGGCAACCGAGCATCAGAGGCAGTTGCTTAGCAACCACTAACGGTATCGCAGTGGTGAATGTTCAGCAACCTGGTTCTTCTCCCCCCGGCCCCCCTTTCACCTTCTCTCTGTTTGGCCTGCCAGCCATTCTTGGGAGCTGATTCGTTCCTGTTGATAGGCTGGGTTTCTTCCAAAATGGCCACTTCCAGCTCCTCCTCCAGCTGGGCCTCATCAAAGAAATCTGTGGAGAGGGAAGGGCACAAAGACCACACAGAGGCTGTTCAATCAAGCACTGGATAAATTTTGTTGAATAAAATAAAAATAAATAAAGGTGAAAGGGTGCTGAAGACCTCAGGGAAGAGAGGAAACAGGTGGTGGGGATTATAATAATTCTAAGGTCTCAAATATAGAATAAATGTTCATAAACGTACAAGGCAAACGAATACATAAGTATATAAACCTCATGTCTGAAATAGTACAGGAAGCCATTTTGACTCTCCCAAAGTGACCTCAAATATTTCTCTGCAAGGAGGAAGAAAATGGGAAAAGCTTCCAATTGACTTTGGACTGTAGGGGTTTACACCTCTCTGCTAATACAGTCTAGCAAGTATGTGTTAAGCTGAGCAAACTATCGATATGCCTAAGAGATTAGGGAACTAAAGTATTTACCATCTCAAAGTGATGGCCAGGCTACCCAGAAAATGCTATCAAGTAAGGCATTATCAGGTATCCTGGCAGACAGGAGAGAAGCAACACTCAGAATTCTGCTGGGGACCACCTCTTTCTGTGATGTATGTATGATGTTTGGGGGGTGGTCTTGGGTTACAGGGTGGGCAATTTCAAAAGTCTTTACAGGGGCTTGCTCGAGGGTCTCCTCCCTCCTGCGTGTGGTGAGTGGGGACCCTGTTGCAATAGCTGATTTCCTTTAATAAAGATCAGGCTTATTAGCCGCTTTGCTTTCAGTATACTCTGGCTGGCCTCTGCTTTCTCTCTGACCGATAGAGATTTCCTGAGGGACTCTTAAGGGCTCCCCATAAGGAAAAGAGAGATATTTTCTTATAACAGAGATAATCACCAGTTATTCCTGGAAAGAGAAGTGCAAGATTTCAGAGCCTATGGGGTGGGGAACTTTTTTCTTCCCAAGGGCCACATTACCTTCTGGACAATTATTCTGAGGGCCACATGTGCTGGGCGGGGTCAGAGGGCAAAAGGGGGAGGAGCAATGAAAGTAAATTTTACCATGGCACGGTAGGCTAGTCCCCACCCACTCTTGCCTCTATCCTTCCTCCAGACAAGCAAGAGTCATTATCAGCAATGCAAAAACACTGAAACCAGGCTACTGAGGAGTGTGGCCTGAAGAGAGGAAGTGTGGCCTGGGAAGGGTTATGAGGAAGTCTCAAGGGGAGAGACGGCTGTTGTGCCCATGGCCCTGATTGTGGGCTTCCCACGGGCATCTGGCTGGCTACTGAGAGAACAGGAAGCTGGACTAGTTGGGCCACTGGCCTGATCCAGCAAAGCTCTTCTTCTTATATTACCGTATGTTCTTTTGTTACCTGGAAAGGGTTCCTGGCATTCCCCTTGGCCGTTGTGTGTCCGGTTCATCTGCACAGAGCTACCCCACATATGAGCGCCAAGGTGGGCCTCTGGGACCGATTCCACGAGGAAAGGGTTGCATGTACCTTTGGAAAGACAGGCGGATTATCGTTCAGCGGGCATCAAATCTCATCCGAGAAAAGCTCTGAACTCTCCACGCCATCCATTTTATCTACCATTTAGCTGAGAAGGGCAAATTTTGGTCCAGTACCGAAGTGGGTTGGTTGTGGACCTCAAGGATCCGAGTTTGAATCCACCCACAGGGTGATCTTGGTCTAGTCACGGTCTCTCAGCATAAGCTACCTCACAAGGTGGTTATGATGATATACCGGGGGGGGGAGGGGGCGAGAGAACCATTTACACCCCCTCAAGCTCCTTGGAGAAAAGGGGGGTGCCTTTAATATAATTATCAAAGCTCATCCCTGACTGCTTTTCCCCTGCTTTGCCCCCTTCTGTAGCCTTCAAAGGTGCAAATTTAAATGCATGCAGGTTAAATGTGTGCACATTTGAAGTTACTAATCACTTTGCAGCTCTGTTTATTTAAAAAATAATTATTACAATAAAAAAGCCTCCTCGTAGATTGGAATTTCATCCTACGCGATGGGATATGTCAACGTTCCCGAAGCCCCACCCAACAAAAGGATTTAAATGCCGAGAGCAGGCTGCTAGGCCACATGATCTCCTCAGGCTGGGCAGTGCTGATACTCACTATTGCACAGGCTATGCTCACTGCAAGACTCCATGAGTGGGACGCGTTCCTCTGGCTTGCGCCTCCCACGGCGCCCCTTCACCTTGGCCTCCGTGTTGGCCTGGACCATGAGCGGCTCCTGGCGCTTGCGCCGTTGCTTCTTTTCGATGATACGGCGCTGGAAAGGTGTACAGAGAGATGGTCAGAAACGGAAGCAGGGTTAAATAGAAGACGGAGAGTTTGGACTTGATACCCTGCCTTTCACTCCCCTTAAGCAGTCTCAAAGCGGCTAACAATCTCCTTTCCCTTCCTCCCCCACAACAAACACTCTGTGAGGTGAGTGGGGCTGAGAGACTTCAGAGAAGTGTGACTGGCCCAAGGTCACCCAGCACTTGCATGTGGAGGAGCAGGGAAGCGAACCCGGTTCACCAGATTACAAGTCCACCGCTCTTAACCACTACACCACACTGGTGTAGAGGAGGGTGCTGTGTATATTCAACACTTTTTTGGTGGCTGTGGTTTGCAGTACAGTCACCTCTTTCTTTGCGGTTTTATGCCAACACCCACAGCACTTTTATCAATATACAAATACCGATGTCCTATTTTTTTACCATTAAAAGCACTGGATTGGAGATTAGATGACCTTTTGTGTCTCTTCCAATTCTACAGTTCTATGATTCTAAGACTCACGTCAATTGCAATGATTCCCCTCTATTTGCCTCCCCCATTAAGAGATCCCACAGACGAGTTCTGCCAAAAATCCAGATCTAAACCCTTGTGCTGGAATACACTGCAGCAGCTGAATTATGGGGTGTGTTGCCCTTGCCATACTCAAGAACCTTTTAAACAAAGCATTGCCACTTACAGATAACACACGCCAAGCGACTGCATCCCTGCAGCTCGAGAGCTGTCTACCCCACCCCACCAAGAAGGTCCCCAGCAATGTTCAAGCTCCTCCCCACTCCCGAGAGTTTGGCCCGCTCCTAAGGCAAGGTACCTGGATCTCCAGTTTCTGCTTCCGGATGAACGCTGCTTCGTCGTTGCCATTGCTAGAAGAGAAAGGGGTACCAGCATCAGGAGGTGAATTGGAGAGGGAGTGGAGGCGGCGGTACAAATTCCGGTACATTCTGAGATGTGGCATCACTCTGCCAGCTCCGGGGCAGCCCCACCTGCTAGAGGGGTCAGTCCCCAGGATTGCTGCTCCCTGGGGGTTCTGAGTGCCATGGCGCTGAAAGGATTTTGTGACCTCACAAAAGCCTCAAAGGCCCAGCCACGGTGGAGGCGGAAAAATGGACAAGGCCATGTCCACACGCTCATCATAACTTATAAGGTATAAAGCCCTCCGTGCTCTCGAACTCCTGCAACACTCACAAAAAAATGGCAGTGTTGTGGCACCTTAAAGACTACGGTCACATCCACACGGCACATTGAAAGCACATGGCTTCCTCCAGAGGATCCTGGAAATTGCTGCTTACCCCTTAGAGAGAGCTACAATTCCTAGCATCCTTAGCAAAGGTACAGTTCCCATGATTCTTTGGGGGAAGCCACACGCTTTGAATGTATGGTATGGATGATGTGACCTGCCACAGTTGCCATGGCATATAAGCTATCGTGGACTACGGTTTTATTTCGGCAGATGGAGTCCGCTAATTCTGAGGTGCTGCTCAGATGTTGTGGATTGCGCAACTCCCATAAGCCACAGCCAGCATAGCGAACTGACGGGGATGATGGAATCTGCAGCCCACAACACCTGGCCACATCTGGCTTAGGTGCCATAATAAATATGTTCAACTTCAGGTGGCTCAAAGACACTCTGTAATTTTTGGTGTAGCAGAATAACATGGATACCCTCTGTATTGTTCACACTGATGGAAAGAGGAGTTACAAGTGAGGAAGAAACAAGATGGGCTCCACTATTTTAAAACTAGGCCCATTCCCTAAAGTAGGGATGGGGATTCTGTGGCCTTCCAGACTCCCATCAGCCCCATTCAGAAGGCTAACAGTTAGGGACGATGGAGCTGTAACAAGAGACAGCATCTAGGACTGAATGGAGCGGAGTTCTAATCAAAATAAGGCTTAATAAAGATGCTTAGGATTTCCAAAGTGCTTTGAAACATTCAAGGCACTTTACACGCACAACTGTACGGCAGGCTGGTATTATTTAGAGGTGCTGCCTGAATAAATAATGGATTCGTTCCCTGATGAGACCTGCACAGATTTTCCTATGACTAAACCGATAGTTTTGAAGGGAGAAAATATGCTGGGTTTTTCTTTATATGTAGATATATGATGGCACTGGGGCCAAGAGGCATCCCTTCTGTGTTATAATTAAAGGGGAATGGCATTTTTCAGCTGAAGTTTGTGCAAGTGCTTTTATTTAAAAATAGCGAACATTCGCCGAAACGTGTTGCCCGATTAATCGGTGTCATTTCAGTCAAAAAGGGCCTTAATGTATCAACCCAGCCAATGAACGGTTGCAGCCCTGATGTTCATTTAGCTCTGCTTTATACCATTTTGAAATGGGCGTTTTTGTCAGTAAGTGCATAGCTGGGGAACATACAAAGCTGTCCAACTGCTGGCCCACCTGGCTCCATATTGTCTACACTGGCTGTGGCTCTCCAGGGTTTCAGACCTGGGTCTCTCCCAGTCCTAACTTTCTGCATGGAAAAGAGGTGCTGCGCCACTACCTTTCCATTGATACAGCTGTAAATGTTTCCGCGTACAACCAGCCTCTGCCTCTTAACCACTATGCTGTTATCTCAGTTGCAATACTCAGCTAAGCAGCTAGCAAGCTAGGCAGACAGGCAGACTAAGCAGACCAGTTCTTACTAAATTCCCTTCCTCCCCTTCCTTACCTCCCAGGGGTGGGTGAAGCATTTTTACTTGTGGATTCCGTGAGGCTGCAAGAAAACGGTGCAGGTGGGTCAGACCACCAAAAAGAAAAATGCTTTCTGAATGCTCAGGCCCTAAATACATCCTGAGACTAGCAAGCAGAAAAGTCATATTTGCTGTAAAATGTCCAGTGCTCCTACAGGCAAACCACACAGGGACAGGGACAGTCCCAACGGCAGGCTGGGAGATTAGCGCAATCTGCAAGAACGGGGCAGCACAGGCAAGGGATTGCTGAGACAGTTGCACAACACCTCTCTTTATTTAATTACGCTCACACACTGCTGCTCCTGCCAAGCTCTCTGGACTGTTTGCATCTACTATATATTTTGAGAAGTTGTTTGTTTGCTATGCCTTTGGGACGCATAACGGCAGAAGGAAGCAGGATGGTTTTCACTTAGCACCCAAAGGACTACAGCATTGGCACCCTCAAGCAAGTATCTCTGGGAAAGAGCATCCCATAAGTGGTATATTCATCATGTTTTATATGGAGAGGCCAGGGACTGAACCAGGGACCTTCTCCAGCCCAAGCATATGGTCTGCCACCAAACTGCAGCTACTGGAAGCCTTGAAGAGCCAGTCTGAAAGGAGCAGAGGGACCCGGCTCAAACTCCCATCATCCCTGATCATTGTCCATGCTGCCTGGGGCTGATGGGAGTTAAGAGTCAACAATATCTGAAGGACATCAGGTTGAGGTAGGCTGTAGGAGCATCGCTGCAGCTCTACATGGGGCTACCTTTGAAGGTGACCCAGAAACTACAACTAATCCAGAATGTGGCAGCTAGACTTGTTCCTCGGCCCAGTATACCTGAAGGAGTGTCTCCACCCCCATTGTCCAGCCTGGACACTGAGGTCCAGCTCCGAGGGCCTCCTGGCGGTTCCCTCACTGTGAGAAGTGAAGCTACAGGGAACCAGGCAGAGGGCCTTCTCGGTGGTGGCGCCCGCCCTGCAGAACACCCTCCCACCAGATGTCAAGGAAATAAACAACTATCTGACTTTTAGAAGACATCTGAAGGCAGCCCTGTTTAGGGAAGTTTTTTAATGTTTGATGTTTTATTGTGTTTTTAATATTCTGTTGGGAGCCGCCCAGAATGGCTGGGGAAACGCAGCCAGATGGGCGAGTTATAAAATTATTATTATTATTATTCCATTTCTTTTACACACATTTAAGCTTCAGTGCAAAAGTGGGAAACCTGTGGCCCTCCAGATGTTGCTAAGCTATAATACAAAGTCCTGCGCCTTCACAAACAAATCTTTTAGGTGCCACAAGGCTCTTGGTTGCTTTGTGCAACAGACAAACACAACTGCCTGCCCTGAACATATTTGGGGGTGTGAGGGGCAGTGAGCCAGAGCAGCTAAACTGACATATAGAATTGATTAAGTCTGTGGCACAGACATCTCTTCTAACAGCAGCCTCACAAGTGGGTTCTTAAACGAAAATGACCTCCGGAGGCTAAGAGCATGGATTAAAAGCGTGAAGGCGAACGGGCGAGGCTATCCACACAAGGCATCTGTTCTCTTTCTAAGGTGGACGGGATAGAATTAGCCTCAGGAGGGATTAGCAAGAATAACAGCCAACAGTACACACCCACCCACCCAGAAGAGCTCGTGCGCTTACATTTTATGCCTTGCTGGAGATGGTTGGACCGCAGCAGGATCGAACTGCATCTGTCAAGCAGAAAAAACCAGATGATGGATAGAGAGACACAATATTACTTTTGATTTTTAAAATCATTTCCCCCCCTGCTGTCACCTACGACACAGCCGTCTTTGCCCTGAGCCTTTAGGACTCTCAATTCACTGCCAATCTTGGCTTCTCTTTGCTAGTGTCACAAATCACTAGTTCTCGCTCCTCGATCCAGAGTTCCCAGGTGTGACTCCTGGCACCTTCCAACACTCCCTTAAAAAAACGGTGCCAGATATTTATCTTTCGGTAGAGAACGACAGCTTGCCGCCATTTGATCAATGCAATCAAATGACACCCTGCACCCGGAATCCTGCTCAAGGACGAGCCCAAGCTCCCTTCTTAACTCACCGCTTTCACCCAGGGAAAGCCCCAAACCCCCAAACGGCAAGGCTGAGGTTGGATCCTGTCTTCTCCCTCCTAGCTCTGGTCTTCGGACTGCAGCTGGCTAAGGTAGGTGCAGAAGGGCGGGGGGAGCACGCAGTGGAGCAGCTCCTCTTCCCCCGCCAAACCAGCATCAGATTCTCCTAATCAGCTTTGTGACTTTGTCTGCCTTAAGTCTGCAGGACCTGTGGCTGCCTCGAAAGGTGCCTGCTGCCCAGTGGCCTTGGGATTCAGGTGTGCAAGCAGCCAGTGGCTGGGCTGCTAAACCCTGAGCAAGTCTTTCCTGCACAGTGCGTGTCTGTCGAGAGCGAGCAAGAGGAAAAGCTTGCATTTGAGTGAGCAGCTGCAGAACTATGGCTACATCCATGCACACATATACGAATAGGGCAGTGGTTCCCAATTGTCTCCCGGCTCCCTACCCACTTGAATGCTGCTAAGGGTCTTGGCAGACCACTTCATAGTTTTTCTGCCAGTTGTAGCAACTATTATGCGCTGTGGTGAGCAGGGTTGCAAAGTCAGGAGCATTTCAGACCCTGATATCTCACGGTCCAAACCTGAGACTCTGGGGCAGCCCCTGGTGATGTTATGATGGGGGCCCCCCAGTGATATCACAGGGCAGGCCCTGGAGATGGAGGTTAATTGGGAGGCAGTAGCAGAGGAGGGTGGAACCCCTCAGGGTGTCTATGCTGCAATTTGCACCCAGCTCCTGCTGAGCTGAAGCTTGCAAGATGCATGAACAGTAAAGGCACTCTCTCCCACCTGGAGATTCAGACTGGCAAGCCTACTGGTAGATGCTGCATGATTTTTAACGATGCTTTTTACTGCTGCTTTTATTTCCTATCGATTGCACTTTATTGTACAGTGGATGCTCAGGTTACAGACGCTTCAGGTTACAGACTCCACTAACCCAGAAATAGTACCTCGGGTTAAGAACTTTGCTTCAGGATGAGAACAGAAATCGGGCGGCGGTGGCGGGAGGCCCCATTAGCTAAAGTGGTACCTCAGGTTAAGAACGGACCTCCGGAACGAATTAAGTTCTTAACCAGAGGTACCACTGTACTACAATTTGAATTCCCCAGAATTCCTCCTGGCCCTGTTGCTCCTCTCCTTGCTGGCCAGAGCAAGGAGAAACAGCACCAACCTTCAGTTGCCTCGTGCTCCCCCTAGCGGAGGTTGGTCCATTAGGGCAAACGTTGGGACGCAGGTGGCGCTGTGGGTTAAACCACAGAGCCTAGGACTTGCTAATCAGAAGATTGGCGGTTCGAATCCCCGCGATGGGGTGAGCTCCCGTTGCTCGATCCCTGCTCCTGCCAACCTAGCAGTTCAAAAGCACGTCAAAGTGCAAGCAGATAAATAGGTACCGCTCCAGAGGGAAGGTAAATGGCGTTTCCGTGCGCTGCTCTGGTTCGCCAGAAGCGGCTTAGTCACGCTGGCCACATGACCCGGAAGCTGTACGCCGGCTCCCTCAGCCAATAAAGCGAGATGAGTGCCGCAACCCCAGAGTCGGCCATGACTGGACCTAATGGTCAGGGGTCCCTTTACCTTTTACCTGGCACTGCCCCACCGGCCTCAGACTGCCCTGAGCCAGCTCACATCTGCTGACTTTCTTACCGACAACCAATCCAGGGATGTGGTACTGCCTCTCCATTTCCTCTTCCTTACTCTCAATGCTGCCCTTTGTACAATTTGGCAGGAAGCAGGAGGATGGGGGCAAGACTAGAATTGGTCGGCTCCCCTGCTTGCCATTGGCTCTAGCTCCACCTACTGTTGACCTCCTTGCATTCCACCCTCCCTGTCCAAAGAGCACAGTCACAACTGACTCTCCATCTGGTGGTTGTAGGGACTGAGCCAAGAGGTAGGGGGCAAGCAGATGGGCAGCAGGGGCAGAAGTGAGGAGGTGGTGGTGGACCCATCACTCAGCAAGGGGGTCCACTGGGCATCTTTTTGACAGCCTGAAGCTGCAGACACCAACTGTTCTCTAAACTGAACTAAAAAATCTCCCATTCTCTGTTAGCTTACCTCCTCTGGCGAGATCAGTCTTAGTGACATGTTGATATCATTGTTCCAATTGAGCATGGCTCCAGCGTCCTTTAATATCCTTCCAGGAAATCCACGAAACCTACGGCTTGTATGTTTTGAGTCCGCTTTGCATAAAGGAGCCCTTTCAGGCTTTGCAAAGACACCACAAGTTCTAAGACAGCATTACAGCTGGGAAAGAACAAATTCCAGTTCAGAAACTGAGGTCAATAGATCAACCAGAGTTGAAGAACTTAGAACTTGCACTTAATATATTTTTCCCCGTCCTCCAGCTCTCAGCAGCTGCTTTACACACTAGTTCCTTCAGTGCTCAAGGTCACCATACAAGCTACCGTTTGCTGATTGGACAATGGGTAATCTTGGCGATGCCACAAAGGATTAAAAAGATGTTCCATTCTGGAATAAAGAATTCCAGAATGTAGAGACAGAGGCACTCACCATTCTACTGGATGCCAACATAGACGTGGCTTGGCTGGTTCCAGAGGGGCTTAGTAGCTGTGCCAACAGAGGCTCTTCCCATGGGCAGAGGGGAGTGGATTCCAGTCTTATCCGCGCCCTAACTTTCCTCCAAAAGGAGCCCAGAGCAGCAAACACATGAAAATAAAACAATTTAAACATCTAAAAAAGAATTCCAATGCAGATACAGACTGAGAAAGATCTCTGTTATCGTTGGAAGCTAAGTTGTTGGCTTGTTGGGAGAAGAAAGTCTTCAGTAGGCACTGCAAAGACAACAGAAGCAGCACCTGTCTTATATTTAACAAGGGAATTCCAAAGAGAAGGTGCCACCACATGAAAGGCCTGGTTTCTATATTGTGCAGAATGGACTATCTGCTGCAGACCTTCACCTGCAGAGCAGTGATTGATTGGGTATATAAGCGGAAAGACAAATGCTCAGGCATCCTGGTCCCAAACTACATATATCTTCCAGGTGGCTCATTGGCAGCCTGTGCAATTCTTTTAGCGGTATGCGTCGTAACATGGCGGCAATATCCTGCTCCGGTGAATGGTAGAGCCACTGCTTTTTGCACTAGTTGCCCAACAGTAAGGGCTTATTTGCTCCGCCCATGGCTACAGATGCAACTTACCGGTACATTTCATATGCAGTGGTACCTCAGGTTAAGTACTTAATTTGTTCCGGAGGTCCGTTCTTAACCTGAAACTGTTCTTAACCTGAAGCATCACTTTAACTAATGGGGCCTCCCACTGCCGCCGCACGATTTCTGTTCTCATCCTGAGGTAAAGTTCTTAACCCAAGGTACTATTTCTGGGTTAGCAGAGTCTGTAACCTGAAGCGTATGTAACCCGAGGTACCACTGTATACACGTACTAGCTGGCACGCTTACCATTTCTTGCAATAATTGAGAAATGCATACTTACCATGCAGATAAAACTATCATTTCTGACATTTCTATCCCCTATGCATTTTGGAAAGTTGACTGTCTGTTTGATATGCATTTGCACACCTCTTAAAATCCTGTAATTTTGCATGATGGTTCCTGAGATCTTTGTTTGGACTCCACTGGACACCATTTGAATCAATTTCGAAATGGCTCTGATTTTCTGGTTTCTTTGAATTCCCAAACAATGCTGGGTATGAGGCTGCTTGTGAACTATAAACAAGACTTCTTTCGTTTTGCTGCAAGAGACAAACATAATTAGCCTTCTGGAAATACTACCAACAGAGTTATTTTTAAATTATTATACTGGAATGACTTCTAGTCACTGTTATCACTGGGTGGCATTCAGGCAAGTTTTACTCAGAATACTGTAGACCCACTGAAATGAATAAGACTGAGATACCTCAGTTAATTAACCACCCCACAATCTTTGTTTTGCTCAGTAAAGATCTCCTCCTGTTTATTGTGTCTCCATGCTGAGGCATCTGCCCCTGTTGAATTTCTGCCTGACACTGGAAGCAGCAAAGCCTAGTGCCTCCGTCAGCAGATTTTTAAAAGCAGGCAGCCTTACGAAGCAAATTTCAGAGGGGTAACCAGCATATTAAGGAATACATTTTACTGTAGCAGAAGCTTTCCCGGATCAGCGCTCGCGAAGCGCCTTATACCTCTAGCTTGTGATTTCCAATGCACTCTGCCCATGCTCAGAAATACATTCGCCAGTTAGCAGATCACACGCGGCCGCTGCTAAATTCTCGCTCTCCAAATAAATCCGGGCTCTAATTGCGCCTTAAATTAACTTCTATCGCCTTCCTCTCTGCGCCCTCTAGCGTCCGTTTACCAGAAAACACGGATAAACGGAGGAAAAGGGGGGATGCAGCTATTTGGGAAGGAGGAGGACGGGGGCGTGGCCGTCTATGCAAAAGACGTTGGAAGGTGGGGGCATGACGCAAATAGAGCGCCGGACGTGACAGAGCGAAGGTGGCGTAGCCGGCGAGGCCCGGACTAGAGAGGGGGCGTGGCTAGGCATGCAGATATAGGGGCGGGGCCTGCTTGGGAAAGAGGAAGCGGACTGGAGAAGGTGGCCGAACGTTCGGTCGCAGGCACCTTTGGACTCAGGTGAGTCGCGGAAGGGTCAGCGCCGGGACCTTTGCTTCAGGCGCTAGGGCCAAGCGCTAGGGGGTCGCCAACGCCGGGGGCTCCTAGCCCTACGACGTTCAGAACAGTATCACAAAGGAGGGGAAAGCGGCCCTCTTGAGCATGTCCAGAGTGCATTTCGCTGGCCGCCCAACCACCGCCCGCCTCCGCGGCGTCTCCGGCAGGAGGGATTGGGGTTTCCAGGTCAAAGGATGCAACTCACCGCTCAAGCTCTCCCCACTCCGCTTTTAGGTTCCGGGTACTGCTGGGGATGTGTTTTGAGGCTTGTGAAATGTCGGGGATTACAGCTTTGCTCTGTGACTTGCAAGCCCTGCCCCCTGATCCAAGATATGTTGAGGGGACATAGCAAGTGAGGAACTGCTCTGCACTTGCTCTAGGGCTCCTGGCTTTTATTGTTATTATTATTATTACTACTGTTCTCAAGTGCTGTATTGAACTTTGGCATTGGCAACAAATTACACTGGTCAGCCGCAGTCTGTGGACTTCAGATTTGCATTTGCCACGTGGTGCAAACTTGCCCGTTCCTGGACTTTTATGTTTGCCTTTCCTTTGGGGTGGGCAGTGCCGGATTTACGTATAAGCTAAACAAGCTATAGCTTAGGGCTCCACTCTCTTGGGAGCCCCCCCCAAAATTTAAAGGAAAAAACAAACTGGATGTACATTTCCAAAATATAAGTTCAACAATTACTCTGATAAAATACATATTTTGTTATGTGCAAATGGCTTTAGATACCTATTAGGTCCATAAATTACCATATACTGTAGCATATATTCAACACAAAAAAGCGGCGATTTGTTGTTGACAAAGGACAGCTGGACGTATAAAGGGCCCCATTACCTTCAGTAGTTTAGGGCCTCATCAAACCTCAATCTGGCCCTGAGGGTGGGGGGAGGTGTGGAGACACAACCGCTCTTGCCATTTCTTTCCTTGTGGCCTTGGGAGTTCCATTTCTGTATTCCTAATGTAGTGTTTCCCAGTTTCCATAGGATCTTGGCGACAGGCACGCAAGGCAATGCACCTGCCGTGGCTCCTGAGCACTGCCCTTTTAGGGTTGGCAACCTGTGTGCCCATTGAACGGCCCAAGGAGAAGCAAGAAGAGGAGACTCCCCCTGAGGCGCCAGTAAGGGATCCTAATCCTAAACATCTCTGTATTCTTGAGTAGTGCCCTAATGTATAATGGTGGTTGGTGATATTATCATCATTATCCTATCTCCTGGTTAGCAGAACTTGGAGTCAGGAGTCAGTCTCCTACTACTTTAGAATATATATTTTTATTTCTGATTTCAGTCCAGGAAATGCTTATGTTATTCTTTGCAAGCCAGTACCAGGAATCATTCCATTGATCAATTAGTATTTTTTTTACATTTAGCTCTGAATACTTTGAGCAGTTTAGGTTGTGAAAGGGAGGGGAAGATTTACAGCCTCTGTCTCAGCCAGAGACCAGATAGCACTAAAAATTTCTGTTGGTCTCCACGGTATTTATGAACTGATTGTGATAAGGAAGTTGAAGGATCTTGGGGTGCAAGAGCAGGAGCAGGTCACACTGCAGAATTTTGTTACATCTCTCCACTTGCTTGTTGATGATGATGATGATGATGATGGTTAGCACATGGAGTTTGCTTATGTTGCATTGGACCTCTGAGTCCATTAAGCCCAGTTCTGTATCTTCTCTAACCAAGAATCTCTCCCAGGTCCTCTTCTCTGGAGACCCCAGGGACTAAATCGGAGAACCTTATGTATGCAAAGCAAACGCTTTACCCCTGACCAACAGCCCTTCCCCGGATGGTTGCCCTGACCCATTGCTCTCGCTTTTGCACAGGACACAGGCCTCTATTATCACCGCTACCTCCAAGAAGTGATCAATGTGTTGGAAACAGATGGGCACTTCCGGGAAAAGCTCCAAGCGGCCAATGCAGAGGACATCAAGGTGATCTGGACTATGTTGTGTGGTCATGTGTGCTAGCAAGATAGTTTTCTTCTTTAGCCAGCATTCTGAGGTTTTGGTTTTGGTGCATAGTGAAATATGGCTTCCCTGGGAGCCGGACTTGGATTTTTGTGGTAGTGATGAATCCATATCGCCCTGCAGTGTGGTAACTCTTCACTTGCTGAACTTGGACTGAGAAAACCTGGCCTTAAATCAGGTTGGGAAACCTTTTTGACTCCATGGACAAGATGCTTATCAGGCCAAATTTGACAGCCTTGGCCACCTCTCAAAATCCCTTGCATGGGTTTTCCAAATGGCCTGGTGGGCCAAATTGGACTCCCGGTGGGCTAAGGCTGGCCCCTGGGCTGGAGGCTCCTCACCCCTGCTTTTAATCCCAAAGCTCCAATCGCTGTCACTCAACCTATCCTATCTCATAAGGCTGTTGTGAAGATGGGACGAGATGCATGTTCTGCATTGTGTTCCTTGGAGGAAGGGTGGAATTAGCATGACTAAAACCTCTGCCATCTCTGGCTTCTTTCAGAGCGGAAAACTCAGCAAAGAGCTGGACTTTGTCAGCCACCATGTCCGCACCAAACTTGATGAATTGAAGCGTCAAGAGGTCTCCCGGCTTCGGATGCTTCTGAAGGCCAAGATGGATGCAACCATGGAACAAGGTGAGCTGGGACAGAAGTGGATTGCGTGAGTGGGGCTCCTGGAGGGATTTGGGGAATAGAAATAGGGGGTGCTGAGAGTCAGGGGTTCTGGTTTTGTGGTTGGGACTGTGGCATTTTGGATAGTTTGTGTTAGATCTGGGTTCCAGCATGAAAAGTTCAGGGCCACTGCAGAGTTTGTATGTGTGTATTGAGTGGTCTTTGGACACTTACGCCTCCTGATCAGGAATTAATTGTTCCTGACAGCCTATTGCACTTACTTATTAGTTGCATTTTCAGCCTGGGCTTCCTCAGATGTAGCCATAAAAATGGTCTTGTTAGATTGGTCCATCAGCAACCAGCCTGGTCTCCCCACCCTCACACTTACTTTTCAGGAGACTCATGAGTTAGGCTTCATAGTGAGCCCCATCCCCTGTTGTCACCAGGAACTGATACAGTCTGGAAGTTCCATTTTCAGTTGTTCTGACCAATAGCCATTGGCTTAAATGGAAGGTGGGGGATCTGCTGCCTTCTGTGCCCTGTCCTTGGCCAGGTTGGTTGGAGCTGATGGGATTTGTAGCCCAACAACCTGTGGAGGGCTGCAGGCTCCTCATCCCCATTCTCTGTGACCTGTTGGAGCTTCAGATGTGAACCAGCATCCTTAACCTCTCCCCTGCAAACTCCTCTCCACTTCCAGATGTACAGGTCGATCACCTCTCTTTGCTGAAGCAGTTCGAACATCTGGACCCTCAAAACCAGCACACGTTTGAAGCCCGGGATCTGGAGTTGCTCATTCAAGCCGTATGTCTGAACTTCCTTCCTTATTTCTTACCAAAATCGATGTGGCTGTCTTGTCAGCCTGTGGTGTGCTGATGCCCTGGTGTTTGTTCACCTCACCCTGGTCCATACTTGTGCAATGCAACACAACTGCCTGATTCAAGTGCTGTGCAAGAAGATATCCTTGCAGCGGGTCTTATTGCCTATTTATCAACCATCCTCTGTTGTTGCTGCTGTTGCGCTTTTCGACAGCTGTGTGATCTGTGGCAATTAACAGGTGATCGCATTTTGCTCCATGGTGGAAGAAGCTCCACTTGCTAATTAATATCTATAAGTATGGGTGACCGGTTTAAAAGCAAGGCCTTTTGCCTAACGCGCCATGTGGTTCAGTGTGGGATCAGCCGTGTGTGTCGTTTTCTCCTCCCCCATATTGTTTAAGGGAGTGAAGTTTTTTTCCTTTCCTTATGCTCTGGAGGAAAACAGCCACAAAAAGAGCAATTCTTTGGGAATTAAACTGGAGGTAATTGCCTGTGTTGAGGATTCAATTCCTCTGGAAGGAGAGCCAAGACAATAATTCTCATGCACAGTTTGTTCGAGGAAGTAAGATAATCTCTCTTCCCACCCCCACAATGCTTCTCTGCTTTTCTGTAAAGTGTTTTCTTTATTGGCTCATCCCCTTTTGAAGAAAGGCAGGCTGATCAGGATGGGAGATACTGTGTTTTTGTTACGTGCATGTACGTTTAGTAATCACAGCACACCCAGATTTTTAATATGTATCCAATCTATTCTACTTTTGGTCTCAAGGGATGGGTGGTGGATAGCAGGTCTGAGATCAAGTGGGGTTGCAAGACCCAAATCCAGAATAGCCTTTGAGTTTGCAGTCCTAGTGCAATTCTGTCTGAGCTCTGCCTAGCTCAGTAAGACGGTGGCCCTGTCTGCACTATACATTTAAAGCAGTATTATACCGCTTTAAACACTCGTGGCTTTCCCCAAAGAATCCTGGGAGTGACTGTAGTTCATTAAGTTGTTAGGAGTCCCTTATTCCCCTCATAGAGCTGCAATTCTTACAGTGGTTACTGAGAGAACTGAGAGTGGAGTTAGGAGTCTCCTGTTCTGAATAACTGAGTCAGATGTCTCTAAAGAATCTGTTTCTATATGCAACCACAGCAGCCGGGATCGTATAGGCTCAGAAATGAGAGGGAGGGAACAGTACCAACGAAGGAAGAATGGCAGACGAAGCTGGTGGAATATGCAGAAATAGCAAGTTTAACCATCAGAATTAGAGATCAGGAGGAAAGAGTGTTTAAGGGAAGATTGGAAAACGTTTGTAGAATATTTGAAGAGTTATTGCAAACAAATTAAAACATTGGCAGGATTAGAGTAAATTCAGTGGTATAAATTAAGCTGAGAGAAGATGAGAAAGAATTAATATGGAGTTAATTAGAATATGCAGCAGCAGAAGATAATTAGATTGAACCATGGAAAGGAGGGAAGTCAGTGATTGTTTATTTTTTGTGAATGCAAATGTGAAAAAGATTGTAAAAGTGAAAATTATGTATGCATATGCTGCACTAGATGGATCATTGGCCAGATCCAGCAAGCTTGCCTTACATTCTTGTGTTTACTTTGAGCTTTGCAGGGACTTCAGGCATCCGTCTTCGAGCATCCCGGGTTACAGCAGGGGGAAATGCTTTTGTCCCAGCTCTCCCACCCCACTTTGTCACTGTTGACACTATCTGTCTTGCCTCTTCGCCCCACAGGCTACTAAGGACCTGGAGAACTACGATGCCGCTCACCATGAAGAGTTCAAGCGTTACGAGATGATGAAGGAGCACGAGCGCCGGGAGTACTTGAAATCTCTGGATGAGGAGAAGCGCCGGGAGGAGGAGGCGCATTTTGAGGCGCTCAAGAAGAAGCACAAGGAACATCCCAAGGTCAACGTCCCGGTAAGGGAACCACTTGTAGGTTTTTTTGTGGGGGGAGGGCGTGCGGGTGTTCCTGTGGGAAGCAAAGATGGGAGATACTAATTCTTTTGACTGGCCTTGATTGCCTCATCTGTAACCCCAACGCAGGGGAGCCGCGATCAGCTCAAAGAAGTCTGGCAGGAGACCGACGGCTTGGACCCCAATGAGTTCAATCCCAAGACTTTCTTCAAATTACACGGTGAGGAGAGGGAGGAAGGGTGTTCCTTTCATCGCTTCCCTGAAGGGAGCTCTGGTTTCAGGCTTATAGCAGTGGAGGGCTGACAGGTTTAGCTGATGATCAGTAGATTAGTGACATTTTTTAGTACAGTCATACCTCGGGTTGAATGTGCTTCAGGTTGAGTGCTTTTGGGTTGCAATCTGTGGCAACCTGGAAGTAATGAAGCGCGTTACTTCCGGGTTTCGCCGCTTGTGCATGTGCAGACGCTCAAAATGACGTCATGCGCATGCACGGAAGTGGCAAAACGCGACCCGTGCATGCGCAGACGCGCCGTCGCGTCTTACGTTCCATTCAGGATGTGAATGGGGCTCCGGAACGGATCCCGTTCGCATCCCGAGGTGCCACTGTAGTTGGAAGTCACTCTGGATGGCTTCCAATACATAAAAACACAATAAAACATCAGACATTAAAAATTTCCAGATACAGGGCTGCCTTCGGGTATCTTCTAAAAGTTATATAGCTATTTATCTCCTTGACATCTGATGAGAAGGCCCTCTGCCTGGTTGCCTGTAACTTCACTTCTCACAGTGGTGAAATTGCCAGAAGGCCCTTGGAGCTGGACCTCAATGTGTGGGCTGAACGATGGCGGTGGAGACGCTCCTTCAAGTATACAGGACAGAGGCCATTTAGGCCACAGTTTGTCTTGAAAACATGGTTTATTTCCTAACGTGCCTCACCCTGTCCCTGCACAGCTTCTCTCTTCTCCCTCACCTCCACATGTTCTCCAAACGAGTCACATTATTTTCTAGATCTGATTTATTACTCTCCCTTCACAGCAAGGTACCAGGGTAATGTAGAAACACAATCTTGAAATCAGTTCAAACAATGGACAAAGCCACATTCTTTTGGCTGTAATGTTGTTCAAACCCAGAGCATGGTATTTTTTTAACCCGCCATGTGCAATAAGGCCAGAAATAAATTTAAGGTATGTTCTTGGATTAATTGGTAGCCCACCATGTTGTTTGAAGGAAACAAGGCTTTAGGTGACATGACAGGCCGTAATTTGTGTGGGCATATTTGTGATTAAACCATGGTTTAAGACAAACTCTGGCATATTGTGACGTGCAAAACCAGACCACTGGCTCTCCCATAATTACTCACTGGGGAGAGAGAGAGAGAGAGCGAGAGAGGCTTGCCTAAGTCTAACTCTATCTCCCTTACTTTCCCCCCTCAGACACAAATAGTGATGGAGTTCTAGATGAGCAGGAACTGGAGGCTCTCTTCACTAAGGAGGTAAGTTCTCTGCCTAAAGGTAAAGGTAAATGTACCCCTGACCATTAGGTCCAGTCGTGACCGACTCTGGGGTTACGGCGCTCATCTCACTTTATTGGCTGAGGGAGCCGGCGTACAGATTCCGGGTCATGTGGCCAGCATGACTAAGCCGCTTCTGGCGAACCAGAGCAGTGCACGGAAACGCCGTTTACTTTCCCGCCAGAGTGGTACCTATTTATCTACTTGCACTTCGACGTGCTTTCGAACTGCTAGGTTGGCAGGAGCAGGGACCGAGCAACGGGAGCTCACCTCGTCGCGGGGATTCAAACCCCCGACCTTCTGATTGGCAAGTCCTAGGCTCTGTGGTTTAATCCACAGCGCCACCCGCGTCCCCATAGTTCTCTGCCTAGTTCTTAGTAATAAGCCTGGGCCCAGGCTGTACCACAGCAGACTGCAGCTTTGAGGTGCATGCATGTTTCAATGCTCTTCCATACAAAAGCAAGCCTGCAAGCCCCTCTGCATGTAGAAAACTAGCACATGGGAGGAAAGCTTCTCTCTGACACTTCATTTTCTGTGTACAAAGAAGTTTTTCTTGTATTTGGGGGCAGAAGGGGATGCATTCAAGCATTTGAGCCTCCCCTTGCAGTCTGCTGTGGTGCAACCTTGAAACAGGTCCTCATAAGGACTAGCCTCTTGCCTGCATATAGTGAGCAATTTTATCAGGCAGGGGTCTGTTTACCAGCCCAAATGCTGGGGATTGAACCTGGGAAAGTCTGCATGCAGAGCAAGCCCTTTCCTAACTGAGCTGCAGCCCAGTTGTCAAGGGATGATCTGATAAGAGGGCTGATAGGAGTCCCAGCAATATCCTGAGGGTCACAGACTCCCCATCCCTGTTTTTTTGTGGTGTGGGTTGTGAGCAGTCTCGAGAGGCAGGTTTCCCTTCTGGGGAACGACATGAGCTCAGGTGTGTAGCATGCATGTTGTGCATTCCAGAGGTCCCAGATTTGATCCCTGGCGTCTCCAGGCAGGGCTGGGGGATGCCTCAGCTTGAAGAGCCAGAAAGACACTGGCAGTCCAGTGTAAAGGTAAAGGTAAAGGGACCCCTGACCATTAGGTCCAATCGTGGCCGACTCTGGGGTTGCGGCGCTCATCTCGCTTTATTGGCAGAGGGAGCCAGAGTGCAGCTTTCGGGTCATGTGGCCAGCATGACTAAGTCACTTCTGGTGAGCCAGAGCAGCGCACGGAAACGCCATTTACCTTCCCGCTGGAGCGGTATCTATTTATCTACTTGCACTTTGACGTGCTTTCGAACTGCTAGGTTGGCAGGAGCAGGGATGGAGGAACGGGAGCTCACCCCGTCGTGGGGATTAGAACCGCCAACCTTCTGATTGGCAAGTCCTGGGCTCTGTGGTTTAACCCACAGCGCCACCTGCATCCCGGCAGTCCAGTGTAGACAAAGCTAAATAGAACCAACTGGTCTGATGGGGTAGGAGGCAGCTTCCTATGCGCCCACAATTCAGGACCTTTGGACCTTTTTCTTTTTGTGGAGAAGAGGTTCCTCAGGGTTAGAGAAGGGGGATGGGCACAACAGGGCTTCTTAGCCTCTCACCTTGCCCTTGTTCCCCACTTTGCAGCTGGAGAAGGTCTATGACCCCCGGAATGAAGAGGACGACATGTTAGAAATGGAGGAGGAGCGGCTGCGCATGCGGGAGCATGTCATGCACAATGTAAGCGTCTGGGCCGGATGGAGAGGGCGATATAGCGCCATTGCTCCCTGCGATCAGAGAAGACAAAGGGGGTCCAACTGCGAGACATGCTTATTATGACACCCCAGCTTTTCTCTGAGTGAAACACTTGCTTCTTCCCCTTTCTGTTTTATCCCTGCGAGACGGGTTAGCCCTGGCAAGCTTCATGGCCGAGTGGGGACTTGAACCCTGCTCTCCCAGGTCCTTGTCCCAACGCTAACCACTGCACCACGCTGTCTCTTTGGCTTGTTTTTTGAAGGCTGCTGGTGGTAAAGCGATCCGCAGTGCTAGCGTATCAGCTGAGAGTGAGATGTCAAGTTCCCCCTGTTGTTGGCGGGAGGACTTAATGTACCTTTCCTCCAACTTACCGCCCTCCTGATTTTTTGACTCCCCCAATGACCCTCAGCCCCAGCAGTCATGGTCTATGGTTGGGGGATGGTGGGAGTTGCAGTCCGGCTTAATGTCTCTCAGCCCAGCCTATTGCCCGCAGCATAGCCCTGCCTCATAGGGTTCTCGTGCTTAATGTCCTGCGGGAGCGAGTTCCACAGTTTATGCTCTGTGGTGTTGCCTCTGCTCGTTCACAGTCCTAATGTGGGATGTCTTGAAGACTCGTCTTAGTAGAAAGCTTTGCCAAAAATAAAAAAATACCCAAACCCCAGAATTTGTGGGTGAGGGTGAACACTAAAAGAGACCACAACAGGGGTGGCAGAACCCATTGCCTGCCTCCAGATCTTTGTTTGAACTGTTCGCCATCTCTGATCATTGGACATGCAGCCCTGGGGCTGATGGGAGTTGCTGGAAATGGAACGGAGGCAGCAAGCGAGGTCATTGAATCTCTGCTAATGTGCAGCAAGCACAGAAAACATTGGCAGTCTATAGTGACAGGAGCAGCTTGCAACTGGAGCGGAGGAGGACTGAACTGCTTCCCTTCAGTTAACATCCTTTCACTACCAGAGTGGTTGAAAGGGCCAGACCACACGTTTCCTTTCCCCTGAGAGGTTGTGGAGAAAGAGACTGACTTCAGGAAATATGTGGGTGGCAGAGCCTGTGTGTTTGTGTGTGTGTGTACTGGGAAACTTGGCTTTCCCCTTTTCTCTCCCACACATTTGGCTTCTGAGATCTTTCTGCGTATTCTTCACATCAGCTGGTGTCATCTACACCTCGGTATTTTTCCAAGTATCTAGAATAGATGACTGGAACTTCCCCCAACCTGATGCCGCCCTCCCACCTGAGGACCCAAGACTAGGGGAAGGCTGTTCTGTTCTGAACATTTACCAGCTTGACTCATCACTGAGGCTCTGTTTCTGCTTTCCCCACCTTTTTGAAGTGAGGAGGATTGTTAACGAGAGCAGCTTTTGCCAACCTGGTGCCCTCCAGGTTGGCGGTGATGGGAAGTTAGCCAACCTGATGACTTCCAGATTTGCTAAGGCTGAAATGGAGACGGGGCCTTTTTGGTAGTGGCGCCCAGCCTATGGAATTCCCTCCACAGGGAGGTTTGAGGGGGTTCTCCCCCTCTTCCTAAGGGCAAGTCAAGGCTTTCCTTTCTAGAAAAGCCTTTGTGGCGAGAGCAGTTGTTTGTCCTGTCCTGCTCCTGCTTATTGTCATCTACTTGCTGCTGTTTTTGTAAGTTTTATTGTCAGGTTTATAGTGATTGGTTTTGTTTATTTATAATTCTGTTGATTTAAATTGGGGCCTGTTGTAACATTAAGGTGGGTTTTTTGTTTTTTCTGTGGGTGCAGAAATGCAGCATATAGATATACAAAATTTACTTCCATGTTCCAGCAAACGAGGCTGGAAACTTGCTCATTATTTTCTTCAAGAAGTGAAAGCTTTAAGACATGTTGTTCTGTAGCCAGTATAAGTATGGAGTGACCCAGAGTCAAGAGAGAAGGGTGGCGGACCCATAACTCATACGCTGCAGATTTCTGAGGCGCCAACAGGCTTGGAGGGGAAAATGTCAGAAAAGCAGGGAGGGGCTGAAAATGGCGATTGAGGCCTAATAGAGGGATTGAAGGCCCAGGCAGATTTCTGTGGTCCGTTCACAACTTATCTTCTTGCAGGTGGACCTTAACAAAGACCGCCTGGTGACCCTGGAAGAGTTCCTCAAATCCACTCAGAAGAAGGAATTCAACGAAGCCGACGGATGGGAGGTTTGTGGAGGGGAGACTGCTGTGCGAAACAATATTCTGAATGTCTGCTAACAAGGATCAAAGAAGCAGGTCACTAGTAGCAGATTTCAGGTTCAGGGGTGTGGGGCACCTCAGTTACAGGGGCCAGAAAGTACCTCCATCCTTCTCTGTCTCTCTCAAGCCCTGGGACTCTCCATGGGCCAAACATTTGTTCCAGCCTTGTTCCAAGTGCTTTTCCCTGGTTGAAACCTGCCATTGAACTGTGATTATGCCTTGGATATGTAAGGATAGATTTAGGTGGGTGGGTGCCTGGAGAAGCCTGGGTTTGGCAGGCCTGGAATGTAGCTACTGTACAGAGGTAAAGAGTCAGATCATTAGCCACACCCATTTTGCCTCTGGCCACACCCACCTTTGCCTCTGGCCACACCCACTACTGGCATGATGCAAGGTGGCCCTTGAGAGAGTGATCCCCTCTGGTTAAATAAGGTCTGCCCATCCCTAGGCCAGGAGCAGATAAATCTAACACACTCTCTGAAACTAGGTTAATCTTGCTGCATCCATGTGAAGTTGCTAAAAAGCAAAACATCTGTCTTTGCTTGAGGCAAGCTAATTCCCTTGGCGTGGAATGAGACTTGTCTTAAATTGTTTGGGGCTGTGTATCAAGAGGGCCTACTGCCCCTGATCCGATATAGTGTGGGAGTTTTTGAAAATTGATTTTGTGAGAGACTTCAGAGTCAAGAAAACAGCATTTCAGTTTCATCTGATTACAGTCAAAACGTGCTGACTTTTCCTTGGCTGTCTTAGATGGCCCTGAGCCTCAAGCTTCTGGTGTTTTTAAAGGTAAAGGTTGTTTCAAGTTTTTTTAATAAAAAATGTGTCAAATGATTTTAAGCCATGCAATTAAAAAAAAAAAAAGATTGGGCCAGAAGAAGGTTTTAAATGATAAATGAAGGTGACTGGTTTTTCCTGCCCTGTGTATGTTAAGAGAGTTTTCTATAAATTGCTCAAAGTTGCTTGCAGCATTTAAAAAAAAAAAACTGATTGCAAAAACTACTGTCAGATCTAATAAAGCCGTTTTAATATGCAGCATAACTACGAAGCCAGCAACCTTGTGTGGCCATTTCTGATTCTCACCCCTCAGCTCGATTACATTTTTATTTGTTGAGGAGAGCAAAAATGCTCAGAACCTTTCATTTTTGCAGCAGCAGCCTTTTAGGAGCTATAACTGTATTTTTCAGTGGGTACTTGTTCCAGCCATGGGAACATAAGCCCAGTAGCTGCCGGTGCCCGTTGGGGCTGGTGGGGCAGAAGGCAGTGAGCCCAAGAGCCAGAGACTAGTGGAGTTTGTATTTGGTTTGTTCCCATCCTCATCTTCCCTGTTGAGTTCTATCGAAGCAACTCTGAAGCTGAGGAGGGAGAGGAAGCTGACAGGCAGCGCCTCCCCCTGGACAGAGTGATGTTGGTGGGGCAGTGCCCCGTTTGCCCTAATGGGCCAGCCTCCTCTGCTTAAGCCTTGGTATTTGTGAAATCTGCAACAGAGGTACTTTGATCCATATTACAGGCAACTCCCCACTTAGGCACATTCGAGGCATGGGTGACTTGCACACCCCAGAAGTGGAACAAAACGGCACAGAAACCATGTTAGCAATCCCACAAGCCTTTGCGAGTGCAATCCCAGGAGCCTTTGCACCAACCTTTGAGGCCTGCGGGGAGTTGGAGTTTGAGAAAGGAGGTTTTCAGGGAGCGATTGCGGTGGAGACTTTGTTGTATTTTGGGGTTTTTCGAGAGTTTCCAGAGGCTTGCAGGCTTCCTCAAACTCGGCCCTCCAGATGTTTTTTGGCCTACAACTCCCATAATCCCTAGCTAGCAGGACCAGTGGTCAGGGATAATGGGAATTGTAGTCTCAAAAAACCTCTGGAGGGCTGAGTTTGAGGAAGCCTGGTTTAGAGGGTGTTTGCAGGCAGGCTCTTTCAATGATTTTTGCAATAGACACAATTTCACTTAAACATGCGCTGCCTCGGAACGTAACCCCTGCATCAATGGGGAGTTGCCTACATATACAATCACCACCACTATCACCCTTCGTTCTGTGTTGGACCAAGTCCATGTCACGTGACCTAAAAGAGCTCCCAGATTTAATGATCTCTCTTGTCAGTTAAGCCAGCCGCTCTGTTTCTCACTTCTTCCCCCATCCAGACTGTGGAAGAGACCCAAGTGTACTCGGAAGCCGAGCTTCAGCGCTTTGAGGCAGAGCTGGCAGCCCAGCAGGCAGAGTTAGGCCGGCAAGCGGAGCAGCTTCGCCAGCAGCACCAGGAACTGCAGCAGCGGCAGGTGGAGCTTGATGCCCAGAAGAAGGAATTTCAGCAGGTGGGAAGCACGAGGTTGGGGGAGCGGCAGACATTTGGTTGGGTGGCATAGCTGTTGGGTGAGGGTAGTCGGATTGGGAGACAGGTTAACCGAAAGGGGAAAGGGCTTTGGTGTGGCGAGAAGTGTGCAGTTGCAGTCCTTTCTTCTGCAAGGAGATCAAAGCATGAGGGAACATGTGCAAAAAGAAGAAGAAAAGGTCCCAGCATTTTGTAATTGCATGCATGCCGTTTTCAGGATGCAATTGCACTTTGAGGGTTTGTGTGAGCTCACCCAGCTTCCTGTTCCTTACAGGTTGTTCTCCAGATGGAACAGAGGAAAGCCCAAAAGCAGCCTGAGCAGGCAGCCCACGCTGGACCTGACGGAGAACTGAAGTTCCAAGCCCAGCCGCCGCATGCAGCCCCAGCAGGTAGGAGGAGCCGTATCCCCTGGGTTCTCTTGGAAAATAAGGGAATCTGGTCCGTTGAGAGAGGAAAAGTGGTTGGCAGCTGGGGTCTCTGGGCTTTTTTGAAAGGGACGAGGATCTGGGCCTGTATGCAGTGCAGTTCAGCCGCCTCTTTACTTCGAAATATGCTCCCAAACACCAGAAGCTGTGTGGCAAAGTGACCAGAGTGTTGGTCCAGGACTGGGGAGACCAGGTTTCAAATCCCCACTCAGCCATGGGACTCGCTGGGTGACTTTGGGCTAGTCCCTGTCTCTGAGCCTAACCCATCTCACGGAGGGGGTGAATCATGTAGGCCACCTGGAGCCCCTTGGAGGAGAGGTGGGCTATAAATGGGGGGGGGGTGTTAAATTAAATCACAAGTAAAACTGGCTTCAGAACTGTTTATAATGTCTGGCAGTAGTTCTCCTGGGTTCCAGAGAGGGAACATTCCCAGTCCAATACAGTGGTACCTGGGGTTAAATACTTAATTCGTTCCGGAGGTCCGTTCTTAACCTGAAACTGTTCTTAACCTGAAGCACCACTTTAGCTAATGGGGCTTCCCGCTGCCGCCGCGCCGCCGGAGCCCGATTTCTGTTCTCATCCTGAAGCAAAGTTCTTAACCCGAGGTACTATTTCTGGGTTAGTGGAGTCTGTAACCTGAAGCATATGTAACCTGAGGTACCACTGTATGGAAAAGTTGGGGAGTGAACCTGGGACCTTCTGCATTCAAAGCAGTTGCTCTACCACTGAGTTACGGCCTTTCCCCATAGCAGGAGAGTGCGGGGGGTGGGGAGGCTTGCCTGGCCGTGGCGCTCTGGATTCTTTGCAGTCTCCACCAGCCACCTCCCCAATTCTGATGCTGGGGAAGGAGGGAGGGATGTCCCCGTGTAGCTGCCAGGAGGATCTCTGCCTGCAGCTTCAAATTTTCGAAGAGGGCTGGTCACTTCTGTACCCTCTCCAGAGGGTGGCACCAGGCATGGCAGGTGGATCCGTCTAAACCTGTGTTCTGGGCCCCTGCGCCAGGAGGGCAAGCGAAAGGGAGGAACAGGATTCCCATGCTCTTTCAGAGGCAAGTGAAGTCCTGTCGATGACAACAGCTCCACGCTCTTGTCTTCTCCTTTCCCCCCAGACCAAACACCTCCTCCTCCACCCGAGTCCCGTGCTGGAGGCCCTGCGTTGCCGGATGCTCCTGCCCTGCAGAACCAGGTGGAACCTCTCCAGAACCAACAGCATCACGCGAATCCTGTGGAGCACTGATGGGTGTGGTTGTGGGGAATTAGGGTTGCCTTTTCCTCTTGTTTCCCCATCCCCTTTGCACCTGGAGCTCCCAAATCCAAACTTTCCCCGGTACCATGGGCAAAGGGAATAGGCAAGAGATCTCTCCTATCGCAGAAAACAGTGGGAAGAGTCTTTAATGGAAGCCCTGCCCCTTAACCAGTCTCTGCCCACTCCTCTTCTGGTCGCACACAAGAGAAAATAGGTATGGGAGCTGTTAAAAAACAACAACGCACACACATAAATCCTCCCCTTTTTTAAATTTAACGGATCCGGGCTCTCTGCTTCTCTCTAGCCACAATGAGCCTCTGAGGGAGCCCTTAGCAGGGCTCTAATGAGGGAGGTGGAGGAGCGTTTGCCATGGAAGATGAGCAGAGGGAGGGAGAAGAAACTGAGCGAGAGACCAGCACCACACCTGCCCTGGTCACTTTCTACTATGTTCCTGGATGCACTGGGGTGAAATCAACAGGGTTGGGGGACATGATGTCTCTCTTGCTGATGTCAGTATTGTAGACTCGGGCCACTACCTTCCTCCTTTTCAAAAGTTGATTCCTTTATAATGGGATTGCAGTGTTGACCTTTTTTTATTTTTAATTATTTGGGCCCTTGTATTTAAATAAAGCTCTCAAAACACGTCTGATTTCCTGTGACTTCTCTTGCTTCCTTCTGTAGGAACTTATCTCAATGCACATACTTCTGAGAAAGTCCCACTGTGTCCGGTGGGGTCTTAAGGGAAGGAACAGCAAAATTGCTCTGAGTCTGTGTCAGTATCAGTCGGGGGCCCCAGGCGGAGGTTGAGCCATCCTTACTTTACAATAAATAAACTGTGTAGATGTGTGTATATCCACCCTGGCCACACACCCTCCATGCCAGTAGTTGCATCCTGACCTCCACATGGAATCTAGAAAGTTGCCTTGTACTGAGTCAGACCATTGGCTCATCTAGCTCAGCACTGTCTGCACAGACAGGTGCCAGCATTCCAGGCAGGGGGATCTCTCCCAACCCTACCTGGAGATGACAGGGATTGAACCCAAGACCTCGTGCATGCAAAGCGGATGCTGTAACCATTGAGCTGCAGCTGGGCCCCCATCGTTTCTGAGTGGTCATGTGGTAAATGCAGGCAGAGCATTTATCCGCAGTCACTTCTTAAGAGGCCTCCTGTGGGCGCAACTGCTTCCTGCAGCACCATGGAGGGGGCAGAAATGAAGGCAGGAACTGGGGTCCGGTGCAGCAAGACTTTGGAAAGGGTTGCAAAATGTCAGGGGTCGAAACTCTTTGGCATGTCCCCTGCACGCAATTTGGGCAGGCTTGTATGTGGCCTGTTTATTTTTTAAAAATGTTTTTATTAGCAATTTCAACATATCAAAACCTATCGTATTCATTATTTTTCCCCTTCCCCCCCTCAAACCCTCCCTCCCCTCCCCCAGAGACTTCCCTCAGCTCCTCTCTGATTTCTCAGCCCATATTATTCTCTGCATATTGTAAAGTTATAAAAATCCTTACGTTATCTGTCTACCATGTTGTATGTGGCCTGTTTAAATGGGCCAAAGCGCAGGCCTGTGCCAGCTGCCATCACGTGCCCAGGTGGGTAGCCTTTACCCACTATCTCATGTCATAGGCACTCTCCCCCTTGGATGGAAAATAATGTGGGTGTGACAGAGAGCAACCTGTTCCTTCCCTGAGTTGTGCAGTCTGCTCCTGAGCTCCACCCACGTGCGTCTCATGTGCCCTGTGGTTTCATGCATCTGCTTTCGATGTGCCACCTTCCTTCCTTCCCTCCCTCCCCATTTAGAAATGCACCATAGGGCCAGGCCCCACCTGCACTCTACAGGTAAAGCAGCATTGCACCACTTTCAATGACCCCCAAAGCATCTTGCGAAGGTTAGTTTGTTAAGGACGCTGCTGAGGGTTGTTGAGACCTCTATTCCCCTCACAGAGTGACAGTTCCCTGTGAAGAGGGGTTGACTGTTCCCCCTTTAGATGTCAGGCTTCTGCTTCCATCAGCTCCAGGCAACATGTCCAGTGGCCGGGGACGATAGGAGTTGGGAGTCCAAGAAGCTACAGCAGGAGAGAACAACCTTTACCCAGATGTTGCTGAACTAACCCCCCCGCCCCCAAATTCCCGGCCATTGACCGTGCTTGCTAGGCTGACAGGAGCTGTCATTTAACAAGTTTGCCTTTTGCATAGCAAAAGTCTACCTTTGGGTTTCATAGAACCAGATCTTTCTTTTTCTTACTTGTCCTCTCGCACTAGGCCGAACAGTGTGGTACCAACAGGCTGCCATTTTGCTTAACTGTTTACCTCACAAAACCCATCTACCACCCTCAACTCTAGTTAACAGGACAGAAGCTCAAGTTATTTCTAGTAGGTGCTGGCTTCAGTTTGCCAGTCATTTATTTTTAAGGCCTTATGAGTCAGTGCCCTTTGGTATGCAAGACTGCATTCCTAAGCCATGAGAGAACAGAAACGTCATCCATCATTAGGTTGTTTGCGAAGAGCTGATACTGTTCTGGCTGTTTTCTTACTCCAGTGGCTTTTTCCTTCCTCTTTTGTGTAAACTTGGGAAGTTCTGCCTACTTGCCAGGCTTAAAACTAGGTTCCGATTTGACAGTTCCAGGAAATAAAATCTAGGAGAAAGAAAGCAAGGGACCAAAATGGGAGAGGTGGCTTGGCTTTCATCCATTATTTTACTATGTCTGTTGCCACCATCCTAAAATAGCATTGGGGTGGGAAACAGTTTTCAAGCTGAGGGCCACATTCACCACTAGGCAGCTTTCCATGGGCCACATTTCTGTGGTAGGTAAGGGCAAAATTAGGCTGAGGAACAAATTTAGAGAGGCTAGGAGAGCCAGGTTAAGGGCCCAGGGCCTGACTCTCATAGCTACAATTCTCAAGAGGGTCAATCCCTCTTCCCAGGGATCTATTGAGAAGTGTAGAGCTCTGAGGGGAATAAGGGTCTCCTAACAACACTTGGCACCTGTAACCTACAATTCTCAGGATACTTTGGGGGAAGCCATGACTGTTTAATGATGTTGCTTCACTTAATGTCGATGGGGTTTCAGAGGGAAAGTAGCAGCAGGCTTGGGGGAAATCCCAGGCTTTGCAGAAATACTAAAAAATTAAGTGGGAGGGCGGATTGCCATCCTACACTTTCCTGTGATTTCCACCCTGCCATCACTTTTATCACATAAAGTCTGATTTTGAGATACAGCTTTTGAGGCATGTTCGTTGCTCAAGACACCCATGTCCCCCTGGAAAATAAACTCTAGTGGGTGCTTCTAGTCACAAATAAGGGGTAAACACGTGTTGTGGGGAGACTTCTGAAATCAGCCTTCGATATTACATTTTCAATAACCAAGAAGATGATGAGGGAATACACAGTAATAGCTGTAATTTTTTTATTATTTAAAAAAGTAATAATTTGTGGACAGATAAATTATACATACAGACATCAAGTCTCTGCTCCATCCTGGGAGTTCACATCACCATTACTAATAATTTAATACATATTTTGAAATTAAGGGGGAGGGGGGAAATACTACTTAAAGAAATCTCAAAGGCTTGCTTTGAAAGATAACTAGCATGTAAAATAGAAATACATTAGGAAATTCTGTCCACTTAACATCATGTGTAAACTAGAGCATGCACATAACACACTGGCGTGTCCACCAGGGCCACCAATTCCTTGTGTTATGCTACACACATTGTAGACTAAGGGCCTGGCAGCCACATCCTTCAAATCAACTGAGGTAGTAGCAGCTTTACATCAGTGCATTTATTCAGAAATATCAGAGCACAGAAGCTCTTGCTCCTCACGGCAACTTCAGGGCCCCACTCCACCCTGAGAGAATGTGGATTTCAGGCCCAGAATTAAATCTTGCTACATCACACACACACACACACGGCCCTCCTTTCAGACCCATGAGCCTCCCCTTATGATCTCCAGTGTTTAAAAAAAGGATTCAATTTGGCTCTCAAAACCTCAGAACCCTTTATATGTATCTCTAATGGACGGTTTACTTCATGGCTGCCATATCTTGAAGAGCCATTTCATTCCTGACTTAATCTGGAGCCACAGCTTAATCTGCCTCAGCAGAACCAGAAAAGAGAGGGGAGTTGTCGTTGCTGCCTTCTTCCTGAACCCCATAGATCTCCCTCCAAGCTTTGGCCCGGTGTTCCGCCCTCAGGCAAGGCTCCAAGATGGCTCCCACTTCAGCAATCCTCCGGCGGAAGCGGCATCGGTCGCGGGCCATTTCTTCCCAGGGGCCACGGCGGGCAGCCCGAGATGCGTAGCTCCAGGCCACCAGTGGGTGAACGGTCACCACCGGAGAGAATCGGACCTGAGGAAATTGAGAGGCTATGAGGATAGTGGGACAGGTATTTTCTTGCTCTTAAGCAAATTTATGCCAATGCTACTAAACTAAATAATTGGCTAGACCTCATACAGTTAACAGGTTGGTTTTTTTCGTCCTGTAATGGCCCTGCTGAATCCTACTGTCTTTTCTCAGCTAAACAAGCCAAATATCATGTTTTAAGGCCATCACTGTGCTCCAGGGGTTAGGAAGCTGCTTCTCTCCAGATGTTTCAGGATGTGCAACAGGTTATCATCCTGGCTGTAACCATTCCAGCCAAGGACAGGGAAGAACAGCCTTGTGTTGTCCCTAGTTTTAGTCCACTTCCTTTTCTGTGGGTACTGAATCAGGACCTTAATTTAAACTTGCCCTAGGCAAGAGAGATGATGCAAACCACCTCTTACTCCTATTTAGACACCATACATGAAAGCCAGTGTGATAGAATAATGGAACTGGAGAGTTAGATGGGACCCCAAGTGTTATCTAGTCCAACCCCCTGCAATGCAGGAATCTCAACCAAAGCATCCAGGACAGATGGCCATTCAACCACTGCTTAAAAACCCCCGAGGAAGGAGAGTTCACCATCTCCCAAGGGAGACTGTTTCTCTGTTGAACAGCTCTTACAGTGTCAGAAGTGTTGGAGTAGGACCTGGGAGCCCAGGGTTCAAATCCCCTACCAAGCCATGACTTTCACCTTGGACCAGTCTGCTGCTCAGACTAAACTACCTCACAGGGTTGTTATGCGGATTAAATGAGAAGGGGGGGGAAACCATGTACACCATCTTGAGCTCCTTGGAGAGAAAAAGCGGGATATAAACACTAACAATATATTAGCTATTATTTTTATTTACCCCCTCAAGTGATAGGTTTCTGGAGGCTGGCTGTGGCTGCTCAAGAGTAAGGCAAAGGCACTCTCTACCCATGCTCAGAGGAACACTTTTCCACGACTCCTTGAGTTCCATTGCTAATCTCTAGCTGCGTCTTGAGCATCGCTTTGGGTTTCACACAACTGTGGGCACTGCACACAGTTGCATTTCCTAGCTGGAGGAAGAGAGGCTGTATACAACTGAGTCCTACTCAGAGTAGACCCACTAAAATGAACCCAAGTTGGTCATGTTAATTAACTTCAATGAGTCTACTCTGAGTAGGACTAGCAACTATAGGTTTCTGTTGTGGGTGTCCACTTTGCATTGTTCTTAAATTGATCTTGTTATTTTGTGTGCTGCTGTTCTTACATTTGGGGCATTTGTGGAAGGTGACTAAGCAAACTACTAAGCTCAGCTTCCAATAGATCTACTGACACTCTGTGGACAAAAGGAGGGAGGGGGAACAGTGAGAGTAAGGCAGGGGAGTCCTGTCTGCTGGGAAATGACCCAGCCTTACATCATCCACTTCCTGGTTGGTCATGTTGCATGAAAGGGATGTTACACGATATTTCAGGATGGGCGAAACCAACAGCAGGACGGGGGAGGCCAAGGAGCATTAAGGAGATTCTAGGGTGGTGCTAACAGGGAACAAGGTGGGGTGCAGAAAGTAAAAACTGAGGGCTGAGTAAGGTATCTTTAGAATGGGAGAGAAGGCAGCTTAGAAAAGGAGAATGGGCGTAGCCAGGATTTATGTAAGGGGGGCAGGCTTTATGTTGGGGGAGCAGAATCCAACATTATTGACTCCCTTGATTTTAATCTTTGTTGGAAGCCGCCCAGATGGGTACAAATAATATATTATTATTATTATTATTATTATTATTATTATTATTAGCAACCCCTTTCTCCCTGCGCAACAGCCATGATGAACTTAATTCGTTCTGGAGGTCCATTCTCAACTCGAAACCGTTCTTAACCTGAGGCGCGCTTTCGCTAATGGAGCCTCTGGCGCGTGATTTCTGCTCGCATCCAGAGGCAAAGTTCGCAACCAGGAGACCTACTTCCAGGTTAGCGAAGCTCGTAACCCGAAGCGTTCGCAAGGAGGACAGTTTGTAACCAGAGGTATTACTGTTCAGTTCTCACCCCAAGACACACACAGCATGCTCACTTTTCTTCCTTTGAGGAAGAAAATCCCTGTGAATACATAATTTCAACAGATGGAGCTTTCCCCATCGCTCCAACTCAGGCCGATTCTTTAAAATGGTTTAGCGCTACAGTATCACCAGAAACACTTTGTTCCCTGCTATGACCATACTGTGCCCATCAAGACCACCAGAGTACCCTAAGCTAGGCATCCTTTACCCTGCGAGATGCCCGCTTTCAGGTTTTTTTTAAAATAGCTTTTCAGTTCATCAGCTAAGATTTCAAACCGCTCTGATCTACTGAGGCTGACAGAAAGAATTGTTTATCATTGTAAAAGCCTGTCTGAGATGCCTTCAATTGTTTAAAAAAAACAGGAAGAGTGTTACTTTGATTAATTTATGTAAACAAAAGCTATACCTGTTTAATTTCTGCCTTAACTTCAGCTGTCAAAAAGGGCACAGGGTGGGGTGGGGAATAGCTTCTGTAACACCCAATTTTCTACTCATAACCACTGCTGTGTAAACATAGTAGTTATACACAGCAGTTAAGTGATAAAATTAGGAAGACTTCCTGAAACATTTGTGAATGAAATGGGCAAATCTAATCCAGGCTAGTAATTTGTGAGGGGCAGAACCAAGGGCGTTAGCAATTCCTAATTATGGAATGTCTCTCTCTCTCTCTCTCTCTCTCTCTCTCTCTCTCTCTCTCACACACACACACACACACACACGTGTTTCTGAACTGTCTCCCTCAAGACTCATCCTCTGGAGAACCTAGGGGTTCTGGTTAGTCCACACACAAAGTATTTAAAGCAACTCACCTTCTTAATCACCTGGTTTGCCTCCTGGGAAACGGATGACACTTCTGTGGTCACAGGATCAGAGTTTTCCTCAGAGTCTGGCTGGCAACATTTCTGAGATGGATGCCTGGAGGAAACTCTTGGATTCCACTTGAAACGTGGTCGCGTTGGTGGATTACGTAGCTCCTCAGGCTTAGAATCCAGCCTTGTCTGATAAAAGGTGACCGTGATTTCCTTGTGCTTCTTGGCCGTAGGCTGAGGGGCAGATGTGGGGGCTTGAATGGGCTTGGAAAAGCAGAGTGGGTGAAAAGGGTCATTCCTTGCAAAAAAAGATTTGCAGAGGCTCTCCAATACATCCTGATGCAGAGAGTCTGCTTCCGCTTCCAGATGGTTCTCCCCGTTCCCCGAGTGCCCTCCAGACTGAATGCTCTCTTCCATCTCGTCTTCGCTCCACCAGTCCTCTGAATCGTCACTGCCATCCTCCTCTTCCTCTGATGGACTGTAGAACAAGGATAGGACAAGGGGGCTTTTGGAAACACAGGAGACTGAGTTGAACGCACCCTTATCTCCACCTTTCTTGTATGCTTCTATCTCTTCCCCATCCTTTGGGGAATTAGATGGACTTTCAAAGCTTTGCCCGTCACGCATCACCAAATCCCCACTAGATCCCGGGCCCTCCTCGTTTCCCTGGGAAGCGGAGGTACTTTCCAAACAAAAGCCCCCTCCAAAATCCTTTAACTCTCCACGGTGGCTACAGGAACTTTCCACATTCTCCCTACAGTATCCGCCAATATTCAATCCTTTCATCAATGCTTGCGGATGGCAACAATATTCCAGCCATTTCTGGGGGGAACTCCCAGGGTTCTCTCTGCCTTCCAACGCCATGTCTTCTTCTGAAGAAACGTCCCAGTCATTTCCAAGGTCGTAGGCAATGGAAGTGCTGATCAAGTACGGTTCAGAAATGCCATCCTCTTCCAAACGCATGCTATCCATTTTGGATGGACCATTAGAAGCAGGCAGAAGCAGTGCCAGGTCCTCTTCAAAATGTCCGCCTTCAGCCAAGCTTTCCGTATCCCTTTGAGGGTAACACTTGTGACTGTCCAGGGAAAAGTACCCTAGATGGGCAGCTTTCAAGTTTCGTCCCTCCACTTTGCTTTCTTCTCTTCCAAGTTCCTCCCAAGTTCCTCTTAAGAGTTGCTTCGTCTTCCCTAAGATGGGCATTGCCCCCTTGGCAATGCCCATCAACACAGCCCTCACCAGGGTGGCAGGGCTATGCTGCCAGAGGTGCAACCACCTCCTTACCCAGTCCAGAGCAATCTGGGCCATACGTCCAAGAATCACGGCCGCCATGTTGAATTTGCCAGCAGGGCTGGACTGGCTCGATTCAGCAGGGAGGATTTTAGCCATTTTGAGCCTGAAGGGGTCACAGCAAACCAACAACCTCTCTGTGTCTGAGGGGGGTGATGTCAGATGGCTGGATGTGATGTGAGGGGGCATCTTAGACCTGAAAAGAAGCAAAGTGAAAATAAGCCACCAGCTATTAAAAATCTGAAAGTGGTGCTGGGGAAAGCCCAGAGAGTCAGATTCCAGTATGTTTTGTTTTGCTGCATTATAGGAAGGGGTCAGACTTAGGCCCCATCTGCACTATATATTAAAGTAATAGGATACTGCTTTCAAACAGCCATGGCTCCCCCCAGAGAATCCTGGGAACTGTCATTTGTTGAGGGTGCTGAGAATTGTTAGGAGAACACCAAGCCATCTCACAGAGGTACAGATTCCCAGAGTGGTTTAACAGTCAATCCCTCTTGCCAGGGCACTCAGGGAATTGCAGTTTTGTGAGGGGAATAGTGTGTGTGTGTCCTAACAAACCTCAGCCCCCTTAAACTACACTTCCCAGAATTCTTTGGGGGAAGCCATGACTATTTAAAGTGGTATGATACTGCTTTAATATACAGTGGTACATCTGGTTACATACTTAATTCGTTCCAGAGGTCCGTTCTTAACCTGAAACTGTTCTTAACCTGAAGCACCACTTTAGCTAATGGGGCCTCCCGCTGCCTCTGCGTGATTTCTGTTCTCATCCTGAAGCAAAGTTCTTAACCTGAGATACTATTTCTGGGTTAGCGGAGTCTGTAACCTGAAGCGTCTGTAACCCGAGGTACCACTGTATAGGGCATATGGGAGCTATTTGTGCCTCTAGTTCAGCATTGTCTTCTTTCAACTGGCAATAGTTCACCAGGGTTTCATCTCCACTACCTGGTCCTTCCCCCGCCGCCCACATTTCCTTTTTTTCCTGGAGATGCCAAGGATTGAATCTAGGAAGTTCTGCCTGCAAAGCATTTCATTTACCACTAAGCTGTAATCTCTCCTGTAAGCAAGACATTTAAAACACACACACAGAGGAGATACAAGACCTGAAACCTATCCTGAATCCACCTGAAAGGCCTGTTCCCTTAATCCAGAGTGTGGAAGAACAGGTTGTTTATACAGTACTCAAGCTGTGAAGTATTTATTACTTATTTATATGGTATTTTATATGCTGCTTAATTTCTAAGCTGTGAGTAAAGGCCTTCTGTGCGTAATCAGGGCTGCTATGACTAAGCCCAGTATGGACTGAGACTTGGCACCAACAACAGATTCTGGAATGGAGGCCTTAGGCAAGAAATGTCCTGAAGGAGAATGGGTTATGGTATCTGTAGCAAATAGCACCCTTCCCCGATTGATACTGCATTTTTGGGAGCTCAGGGTGTATGTATTATTTGTTCCAAGCAATATAATGATATGTACAATGGCATCCTGTTTTTTTGGAGGTTGTTTGAGGGCGGAATATGAATGGTTTCAGTGTTTGTTTAACTGTTCTTAACAAGAAATCCTTTGGTGAGTGTTTTCTTTTGTAACAAAGTATTTTTTTTAAAAAAGTTACAAATAAGAGGAAACTTTAATACACACCTTAGCTTTGTACACAACACACATTTAAAGCACACCCCCCACACAAAAGCCTGGGAATTGTTACCAGTCATAGAACTTACAGTTCCCAGCACCATTAACAAACTACAGTTCCCAGCATTCTGGGATGTGCTTAAAATGTATGGTGTGTACGCACTCATGAAGTGGATTAGGAAAAGCCCAACTAAGAATAAGACTGTGGAGTAAAATAGGAGGTAGGAAGTTAAGGCATGGGGCAGGAATCCTGCACTTCTAGGCCCTTATCCCCACATTCCAGCAAGATTACTTCCGCCCCCTGTGTGCGCCTCAGTTTATCTTTCTTTTTTTCCTATGGGTTGTTTTCCTGGCTTGGATGTGTAGGTTGATTTAATCCAGGGCGCGCCCCAAACAAGCTCAAGCAAGTGCCCCTGGAACGCTGGCAACACCCCAGTCCGGAAGCAGAAAGGGGGGGAAATAACACAACACACACACACACAGCCTGGATTCCGGGTGTGCAGCTGTCGGGGAGAGAGGAAGAACAGCAAACCTTCTGACCCACAACAGGTTAGAACGGGAAATGGTGGGTAGGGGGAGAGGAAGGGAGGGGAGGGGAATGTTCATTTGAAGATTTCCAAATGCCCTCAAAGCAAAAAGATGCATGGATTCTCAGGATTGTGGGACAGCAGCTGGAGAGCACCCCGCTTTTGACAGCGATCTTAACGATCAAAGCCCTCCTCTAAAACAGGAAGGGGGCCCATTCAGAAATAGACCCCCTCCCTGTCATACAGGACAACTGTCACACTCTCCAGGGTTATAGCTGAGGATATTCCTAATGTGAAGTACTGTAAATACTGTATTAAGTTTGGGGTAGGGGTGCCGAAACAGTGGCAGTAACAACCTCATTGTCATTCATCCTAGTCTGTTAGGTAGGATGGGATATTTTTGAAAATGTGGAGCGAAAAGGAAATGGTGCAGTTTCTTAACTAGGTGTGCTAGGGAAGGTAGAAACCAAATGAGGGTGAAGTTCAGTTTCTTCTTTCTGGCCTTCCCTAGGAATTCAGTATTGGGGGAAGTGGAAAATTGTGGCAGTCTGAGGGCAGAGGAACAGAAAACGAAATCTTGGAAGAGCTCAAAAAGAGCAGTGGATATAACTAATGCATTTTTACAAAGGGGAGGGGAGGTCTGGGGTGCAGGTTAATGGGGGGAATGACCCCCCAAAATGCAAAAGAGGACATAGAGGCATAGACAAGATACAGAAGGCTATTGTTTTAGGACTAGCAGTGCCACAATTTGGGGGAGGAGGGGTTCAACATAAAATAAGGATACTTTAAAAGAAAAAGGAACAGCAAAAATATAGAATATTCGTTACTAAATCTTGAGGAAACTACTGGAATGGGGTGTCTGGAGATCTGCCCCATATGGATAATACTGGGGTACAGATTTGGGGCACGGCACCAAGACACCATTCTGAGACCCGCACATAGCTGTCAACTTTTCCCTTTTCTTGCGAGGAATCCTATTCAGAATAAGGGAATTTTCCTTTAAAAAAGGAAAACGTTGACAGCTATGGACCCGCATTAAGCACGATGTGAGGTCGATCTGCGACATCAGTCTCCCCATTGATCGCAAGGGTTGATTTGACTGATTTGGCTGGCTAGGCCGCTCCATGTGCATCCTCGGTGGAAGAGGACGACCATCCCAGATAAAAGGAGTGTACCGTTCTTGGGTCAAGGGTGTACGATAGCTGCGCTCCCCTGCCAGAACCTCCAAACAAGCTCGAGAACTTGCTTGCATTAAGCAAGGACGAGGACGTAGCAATTAAAAAGGGTGTAGGTCTTGGGTGGATACCTGCGGAAGAGATATACGGGGGTGGGGGCCGGCACAGTGCACGCACCACCAGCGGGAAGGAATCTGGAGAGGCGGGGTGGTAGGCAGGACTCCTGGGTCCTCCGCAGGCAGAAAACCTGGGTCCTAGGGCTGAGGAGCCCAGGCGCCTGGGTGGTGTGGAAAGAGGCGTGGTGGGCGGTCTAACTCCCAAATACAAAGCGAAGGAGGGATCCCGGGTGCCGTGGGCGGGGAGAAGGCGAGAAGCCGGCCGGGATTCCTGAGTTTTCTAGGAAGGGATGGGAAGATCGAGCGGTTAACAAGCGGTCTGCAAAATTCCCTGGTCTGGCGTGGGAGCGAGTCTAGCCGTTCACAGTACCTGCGGGGGTCCAGGACTCCTGGGTTCCAAGGAAAGGGGAGAGAGAGGACCCCATGGTGGACTTTTGCCTCCTTACCTCTCGGATCGAATTAGCCAGTAACAAACTCGCTCCAGCAAGCAGCTGCGGGGTTGGCGCGGTGATCGGGCGATCGAGCGGCGGGCTTGGCAGAAGAGCGGTCGGTCGCGGCAGAACCCATGTCTCTCAATCGGCGGCGGCGGCTGTTTTTCTTCTGTGAATAGGAATAGAATGTTTGGATGCGTCGTTGTTGACGCCGAGTCTATATAAACACTCGTTCTGGGGGGATTACGTCACCACATTGTGACGTTGTGGAACGGGGCGGGGCCAGGGGAGAGACGTGACCGATGGAGGGTTCTGGGGAGAGGGAGGGGCGAGGAGTAGCGGCGCTGCGTCGGGTGGGTTGGGAAACAAAACTTGAAACGAAAGTACTTACCGCTGTTGTGGACTCTCCTAGTAGAAAAGAGGCTTCGTTCAGAAAATGCTCCTCGTACTTTCCATTTTCATTTTTTAAAACTGGTGGGATTTACCATGACATACAGAAATGAACTTTTCTTTTTTTCTGCCTGGAGCAGCCATTTGCAAAGTTTATTGTGGCATAACCTTTGTTTCATTTCAGCTACCTGGCCATTTATTCTCAGCTGGCAAATAACTGTCTATGACTCCTTTTTAATTCCACCCTTCCTCCAAGCAGCTCTGGGTGACTTGCAAAGTCCCTTTTACACCCCCTGTTTTATCTTCCCCAACAGGCAGGTTAGGCCGAGAGAAAGTTAGGTTCTTCCTTACTCAATATAAAGCAAAGTTGCTCACTTTGTAGGCACAGAACAAGAGGCTTTTTATCAGGGAACAGGCTAACAGCAACAATAACAACAGCAGCAAGAGGAAAGTCACCACAAGGACAAGCTAAAAGGTGGAGTCTTGGCTCCAATCCATAATTTGAGACAATAGTCATTATCAAGTATTAGTCACTTTCTATGCAATAAAGATTACCAAATTACCACTTTTTCTGTTTTTACCTAAAACCAGTGACCATCGCCAGTACACATTTGCATGCTTCTTGCTTCTACTTTTCATGCAGATGGTCCCAGCTACAATCCTTGTAATCTCCAGGTAGAATGGAGAAATATTACCTGTCCAAAACCCTGAAGAGCCACTGCTAGTTCGGTGCAGAGACAATATTGAACTAGATGGGCTCAGCATAAGGCAGTTTTCCTGTGTTCCACACCACAAGATGCATAGCCTTGCCCCATGATGCAACCACATTTATTCTAGCTTGTTGGACAAAAACGAATACAAAGGATTTACATCAGGTAAATGTACATCAGATACCCACCCAATGAAGTTGAAAAAATAAATTGACAAGGCCAGACCAGTACTGTACAGTGGTACCTCGGGTTACAGACACTTCAGGTTAGACTCTGCTAACCCAGAAATAGTACCTCGGGTTAAGGACTTTGCTTCAGGATGAGAACAGAAATCGTGCGGCAGCAGCAGGAGGTCCCATTAGCTAAAGTGGTACCTCAGGTTAAGAACAGTTTCAGGTTAAGAATAGACCTCCAGAACAAATTAAGTTCTTAACCCGAGGTACCACTGTAAAAGGAATAATCTACTACAGGACACACAACCCAATATGTATACTTGCTATTGCATACGTATTGTTGTACACAGCTCTGATATTTTGGAGAAGACAGCATATCAACACTTTTACAAATAAAAGGACAGAAACATCACTTGTTACCCACATCTCTTTTGTTTTTTTAATTCCCCAAGATCAGTGCTAATTTTTCTAGAAAAAGAGGTGCAGGGACTTGCCATGAATACCTCCCTTGTTCTCTTATTATGGCTATGGTGCCCACCTGAGAGGGGGCAGAACTGAGTTCCAGCTGGAAAAGAAAAGCCCTGCCCAATATATTATCAATGATCCATAGCCCATTTTGGACAACAGTATTAGGTGGAAGGCCTGTGCTTGCTTTCTCACAGCCCCCTGGCATTTAGGACCAAATCTGAACAATAACTGAAACAACATAAGAGAGAAACAGATCCAGGTGTCAATCAGTCAGGCAGATGAGAATTACAGGACCTAATAACATCTGGGTCACTTTCAACCCAGTGGTATTGCTATCACCTGCCAGTAATGTAAAAAACCAATTGTGAGGGGTGGGGTGGGGAATTGCACCTGATTAAGATCTGTTGTAGTTTGATATTCCCTGTCCTGTTTCGGTTTCTCTTTCTGTTTTCCCCACTCGTTTTTGTTTGTGGACAAAATATTTCTGGAGTATGCCATGTGCAAGAAGAAGAGGTAACCAGAACCACTAGATTATTGGAAAGGGAGGGGGTTTATAGGCTAAGAATCTGGGTGGGTTGTGTAAGATTACAGGAAGAGTGTAGTTACAGGGTAGCTCGAGCCCCAGGTCTTTTCTGTCAGGTCTTAGATCTCTCTCTCTCTCTCTCTCTCTCTCTCTCTCTCTCTCGTGTGTGTGTGTGTGTGTGTGTAAAACGTACTGCTAAGCACAGTGTGAGTAACATCCCAGCAACCTACCACTGTAATTTGTCCGGAGGTCTATATACATGTAAATCAGCATATATGAATTTGTATTATGGGCTTGTGCCCTTTTAAGTACTGTACCTAGGAACACTGTGCCTCATCCTGGATAACAGACTGGAAATTTTCTTGGTGCCCGCCAGATGATTTGGATTACTACTCCCATCAGCTGGAATCCAAAACTCCTAGGCTGCATACATGCCATAGGTGACTTCCCCCAAAGAATCCTGGGAATTGTAGTTTATCCTCCACAGAGCTACAATTCCTGGCATCCTTAACAAACTACAGTTCCCGGCATTCTTTTGTGTGTGTTTTGGGAAGGGGGGGCATGCACTTTTAAAAGTATGGTGTGTATACAGCCCTAGGCTATTCTAGGAGTTTAAAACGGGTGGAATGGTTGAGGGAGTTGGGTATGTTTAGCTTCGTAAAGAGGAGACAGAGGAGATGCAATAGCCATTTTCATTTATCTAAAGGGCCGCTACATAGTGAATGGAGCAACCTTGTTTTCTCTTGCTTCAGAGGGTAGGGCCCGAAACAATGGCTTCAGTTTAGAAGAAAGGAGATTCTGACTAAACATCAGGCTCTACAATTCTATAAATCTATGACTAAGAGCTAGCAGGTCAGAGGTGAAACTTGATGGACTCGTGCAATAAGGCTGCAATAAGGCTGCATTATTCTGGAGTTTCTCAAAACTCCAAGCAGCTTTCTAGCAAGCAGTGTTGATGTAGAAGCAAATCTGTTTCGTACCTGCAACTTCCGCCCCCTAGACACACCTGTACCATCTCCAGGATCTTAGTAGGTTTTAAATTACAGAAGCTGCTGTGGATAAGGGTGGCTTAAAAGGGAGGCCTGATAGCTACATGAGCATTTAATGTACCGATTAACAACTGCTTGAAAGCAATGTTATAAATCACGGAATCAAAGCACTGCAAAACTGCTTTTAAATGGGTCGAGGTCTGTAGTGCTGGCATGAATCATTCTGCCATAAAGCACTGCAGTTGCTGAAAAATGCAGTAGGAGGACAACACACAAACCCTCCTGGTTCAACGAAACCTGCGAGGGAAGGCTGTGCAATATGCACATGTGCCTTGAAGCCTCTTAACATAGGAAGAGAAGAATGGGCCTGCTGGATCAGGCCAATGCCCCATCTCGCCCAGCATCCTGTCTGTCCTCATAGCTGTCAAACGTATGCATGTGGGAAGCTTGCAAACTGGATGTGAGCAGCAGCAGCTATTTCCCCCACCTTTGATTCCCAGGAAGTGGTGCTCAGAGATATAGCACCTCTGACAGTGGAGGTAGAATGTAGCCACTGTGGTTAGTTGCCATTGATAGCCTTGTCCTCCATGAATTTCATAGAATTGTAGAGTTGGAAGGGACCCTGAGGATCATCTAGTCCAACCCCCTGGAATGCAGGAATATGCAGCTGTCCCATACAGGGATCGAACCTGGAACCTTGGTGTTATCAGCACCACGCTCTAACCAACTGAGCTATCCAGGCTCCAATTTGTCTAATCCTCTTCTAAGCTATCCAAGTTGCTGGCTATCACTGCCTCTTGTGGGAGTGAGTTCCGTAGTCTCATTACGCACTGCACAAAGTGCTTCTGTTCTGCTGCTGGTGAAATGGTGTGTTGCTGCTGAGCTCAGTGAGGTTAACGCACATCTGTGAGATGCACCCTTCAAGCATAGTTCTGGCCTTTACATACAAAATTCTGGCAGCTGGCCAAGAGGGTTTTCCCCTTTTGGTTTTTTGTTTCTTTAAGCTTGGAAGTTCTGTTACATCCTGGTCATATTTCAATCCTGTGAGCAGGACACCTGGGTTCTCTGCCAGGCAAAGAGGTGCGTGGAAATAATAAGAATAAGTAGAGAAATTATGGGTGTTGTGTAGGACTGGGAATCAAGCCCCACAGTCTGTTTTCACAAACACACCCCATTTGATTAAAATATAGCATGGTATCCCTGCCAGACACATGGTTGCATTTATATTATTTTTCAAATCAGGATAGGAAGCGGATTCTCTGCTGGAACAACGTCCCCTTTTGGGGGGAGACTCCCACCAGCAGGCGGCGCCAGAGGATGCACCTTTTCCTGCACGAGGAGACATCCATATCGCACACCAGTCAAAGAATGTCTTTCTTCTTTGACAACTTCCCAAATCCCTGTTTTTCTAAAGCTTTTGTGGCCACTCCTCTCTCTAAAGTTAAGGTCAGGAATTCGGACTCCTGTCTCCCCCTCTCATTACTCTCCCCACCCCACACACTCACTCTCTCTCCTCTTACCCTCCCCTCCTTCTCAAGCCAAGCCCCCAGGAAGGTGGAGTGGTGGGTCCCAGGATTGAAATTCAATCGCTCTGCTTTTATTCCTCCTCTCTCTTCCCCCCAGAGCTGCCAGGGAAAGGGAAAGGAGAGGGAGAGAAAACCGCGATTGGGAAGGTCGATAAGGAAGGGCAGGGAAAGGAGGACGGTGGAAGACCGACTTACTTGATGAAAGAGCGAGGGAATTGGGCTGGTGGAAGGAGGAGAGAGATAGAAAGATAGATAAGAGGAGTGGAGGGTATAGTGGGGGGTGGAGAGAGAGAGATAAGGAAGGGAGTGGGTCATACTGGAGGCAGAAAAATAGAGGTGAATGTGTTCGAATGAAGAGAGCAAAGCGGGGCACGCAGGGCTTTGATCCCAAGTTCTGCTGAGCGCCAGAGATCTGATTCTGTAGGGTATGAACCCAAGAAAGACTATAAAGTTTCCTGCCGCCAATGAGCCGATAAGGGGCTGCCTTCCTCCTCCTCCTCTTCCTCCTCCTGAATCTGCTTAACCCGTAGGAGATACCTCTGGCCAACACCAGTAACCAGGTAAGACCGTGGCGCCATGACATTGTTGCTCCTGTGCAAGATGGCCTTAGGGAGATGAGGGAGGCTTGTCCTCAAAAATCTGTTCCTCTGGATTCCCTACCCCTCTCTGCCTTTTGAACATGGGTGGGTGGGAACCAAGGAATAATAATAATAATAATAATAATAATAATAATAAATTTATTATTTATACCCTGCCACTCTGGGCTGCTTCCAACAGAACACTAAAATACAATAATCTATTAAACGTTAAAAGCTTCCCTAAAGGAAGGGGCAGGTTTTGTGGGGCAAGCAGTTATCTTCTAGTTGTGCCTCCTTCCTGCCTTGTTTGAGAAGAAGAGCATCTTAACAGAGAACAGTCCCTGTCTTCAGGTCAGTCTCCTGCCTCTGTGGGCCCAGGACCGAAGATTCCTGAAGGATAAGGCTATCAAGGGATGCTAGCATTGATGGGAATGCTCTCCCTCCACTGTTGTGCCTCTGAATGCCAAGTGGGGAGAGTTGCTGGGCCTTGGGGGGCTTCCCCCTGGGGCATCTGGTTGGCCACTGTAGGAACAGGTTCTGTAGGGCTAGATGCAGAATCTCTGGACGCCACAGTGTCCTCAGAGGATGCTCCTGAGGCATAGCAATGTCTCCGCTGCCTATCAACCTCTCTACATCGGTGGCCCCACGCTAGGTATTTTGGACTCTGCAGCTTTCCCTAGGCAATGCTCCTCTGGATCTAGGATTGCCAATGTCTCTCTGTGTGTGTTTTAAACTGGACTTCTTCCTGTGCTGTGCAGAATGGAAGCAGGTGGATTCCTTCCCCAATCCCCCGTCATGGAATAATGGAGAAAGCTGCTTCTTCTTTTGCTATGTTTGGCTGCTGTTTCAATAGCAGAGGAGCAAGGGTGGGGTGGGGAGTTGGCAACTTAGCTAGGTCTGCCGTGCTTCCTCACCACAGCACCTCCTCTTTACCACTGGCCCTGAACGGGTTAAAACGCCTTTTAGCACAAGCTCTTTCCGACTGCTGGGTGTGTCGGGGTTATGCATGCGGGGACACACACACACACACACACACACACACACACGGACCCCTGTGACTGATGCAAAATATGTTTCCTCGCCCCCGCCACCAGCTGCCCCAGCGCCTTTTGTCTCAGCTGCTGCGTCCAAATGCCAGTGGATGAATAAATAACAAGAGCTAATGGCAGCCTCCAGCTATTTCCACCCCACAGCCCTCTCTCTGCACCCCCTGCCCCACCCAGCCCTCAGAGAAGATAGGCCCACTTTTAGCCGTGGTCAGGGACCTACATCCCTCGCACTGCGGGCTACCCAACAAAGATGAGACCATGCCTTGGGTCGGGGTGTGTGTGTGGCTCTGGGCATATCAACAGGCGGATTGAACTCGCTGTTGGCTGGCCTAGCCTCCTGTCACTCCCAGGGTCTGGTCAGCCAGCTCATCCAGGGGCTTTGCGTTTCCGTTGGCTGCACTGCTAAAGTCGCACTGCAAGCTTTGGCCAATTAACCACTGGCAGACTGATGGGTGTATCCCTGATTCATCGGTGAGGCTGCTAGCACTTAAAAAGACTCAGAAAGGGCTGGCTCTGTGCAGGCCACAGGTATGATCTGCGCCAGGTTCAGTCCCCAGCACCTCCAAGTATAGCGCTGCCTGAAAACCTGGAGAGTCACTCAGTGTAGACAGTTCTGAGGTACTTGGACGAATGGCCTGAGTCAATATAAGGTACCTTCCTATGGTTGTATGCACTGTATAAATGCCAAAAGTTGGCATAACACATTATGAAGGAGACACATTGCCTGGATGTCCTTTCTTGGGCACACTAGAATGTTTTGGGATAACCTGACGTTCAACGCTCCAGTTTTGATGAAGAATCTTGGGGAGCGTTTCCCCTCTTATTTTGGCGCACAAACAAAATACAGTAGTACCTCGGGTTAAGTACTTAATTCATTCCGGAGGTCCGTTCTTAACCTGAAACTGTTCTTAACCTGAAGCACCACTTTAGCTAATGGGGCCTCCCATTGCCGCCGCACCGCGGCCGCACAATTTCTGTTCTCATCCTGAAGCAAAGTTCTTAACCTGAGGTAATACAGTATTTCTGGGTTAGCGGAGTCTGTAACCTGAAGCGTATGTAACCCGAGGTACCACTGTACAGCTGCAACTGTATGTAATTTCACATTTACCTACCATAGATGGCAGGAGCCTGTCTTAAATCCTGTGTTTATATGGCGTCAGACACAGCTGCGGGGTGATAGAAATAATAACATTAGTAGGAGCTGGTGCAGCCCGGTGGCTAAAAGGCTGGGCTACAAATCAGGAAATCCGCCCGGTTTGAATCTGCCTCAAGCTCACTTGATGGCCTGAGGTAAACTCCTCCCCATCGCGCTCAGTTCTTCCCTTCCGCAGTATTGAGGGGGGACCTACTTTACAGGGTTGTTGTAAAGGTTGCAACTGGATACTACATGTGCATTGAACTCTCAACAGTGCTATGCGAATGCTAAATGAGCTTATTACCCATAATAATACTTTAGTTCCTAAACTCCCTATCCCTACAGACCACCTGAAAATTGCTGAAGGTCTTGGCAGAGGATTTAATGATTTGACTGCCTTGTGGAGCAATTGTAACGTTCTAGATGCTCTGCGATTTATGTTGATTGAATCGGGATGAAACTTCCTAATTCTAGCCCTGCATTCACTTCACTGCTGATCCTCTCCCCTCCTTTCAAGTGCCTCTTCCATACCTACCTGTCTCTGATCCATCCCACTCACACCTTCTGGGCAGAGGTTGGGTGGCCACCTGTCTTGGGTCCTTTTGTTGAGGTTCTTGCATTGCAGGGGGTTGGACTAGATGACCCTTGGGGTCCCTTCCAACTCTCCGATTCTTTGATTCTATGGACTGCCGGGAGCAACTGCGTCTGCCATTTACAGACACTGCTCCTTCTGTTCTTCACTGCCCCATTGCAGAGTAGCTGAATGAAGCTTACAGACCATTAATGGCCCATGGAGCACAGTTGGAGAATCCCTGCTTTAGAGAAGGTGCCGTCTTCATTGTGGGTTTTGCAATACAGTAAGCCTGCAACTTGGGATGCGGGTGGCACTGTGGGTTAAACCACAGAGCCTAGGGCTTGCTGATCAGAAGGTCGGCGGTTTGAATCCCCACGACGGGGTGAGCTCCCATTGCTTGGTCCCTGCTCCTGCCAACCTAGCAGTTCGAAAGCATGTCAAAGTGCAAGTAGATAAATAGGTACTGCTCCGGCGGGAAGGTAAATAGCGTTTCCGTGCACTGCTCTGGTTCGCCAGAAGTGGCTTAGTTATGCTGGCCACATGACCTGGAAGCTGTAGGCCGGCTCCCTTGGCCAATAAAGCAAGATGAGCGCCGCAACTCCAGAGTTGGCCACGACTGGACCTAATGGTCAGGGTTCCCTTTACCTTTTTAAGCCTGCAACTTACACAAGGGTTATATTCCAGGGATCGCCAAAATCATATATAGTGAAAACATGTTGGCTTCAATGGTGTGTGGGATTGCCAAAGTCTTTATTCCCAGATTCCTGCTCCCTTTCCTCCCCGCTTTTAAAAATTCTAACTTATTTTTTTCTACAAGCGTGTAAAGCTGAATGTGCACAAGTTAAATGCGTGTAAGTTGCAGTCTTACTGTACATGAACGTAAACTTAAGTAAGTAATTCACTGAATAATAAGTCTGCATAACTCGTTGTATTAATAAATCCTGATTGCTTGGCCGTTCCTGATCAACGTATGGTCGTCTTCAATTTGCCTTCTTGGGAGTGTTTTTGGAAAGGTTCCTGCAGAAGAATCCATGTGGAAAACATTATAGAACTGATCATTCTTGTGGGTTCTTGAGTAATGAGTCGGAGCCAGCAGGAATCTAGCAGGCCTTTGCTTAAAAATTCAAATGAATGACCTATTCTGATATAATATTTTCCATGTGGCTTTAGGCATCAAAGCACTCCCACTAAGGAAGGCATAACCTTAAAAACAACAACACCTAATTGGTAGTTTTATTTGCTGTGATTTCTTGAGTACCTTACCAACCAGATAAACAAGATAAGCTTTGCAAGAGAGGAGTTGCAGGATCAAAGCTTCTTGCCAAAGTTCAACTCTTTTGTAGGTTAATCAACTGCCCAATCCTTCTCAGGGAGGCTTACCTCTTAGTTGAGTTGGACTTATTCCCAGGAGGATAAAGAGTGCCTAGAATTTCAGTCAAACAGTGCAATCCTATATGTGTTGACTTAGAACTAAGTTCCATCCAGATGAATGGGGCTTACTCCTAGGTAACTTGGGAATAAGATCTTAAGTAATTCCGTGTACAAAGAGTCAGTCGCACTTTCTTGGCACTTGTATACGCAGCAGTTTACATGCCTGCAGTACAATCTCATGTTTCAACCAACATATGGGAATCATGTTACTAAAACAGAAGTTACTTCCATGTAGAGATCCGGTAATGGGAAACAGCCTATAGAACCAGAGCAGGCTGGCGGTGAAAGAATCTTGAAAGAATTTCAGTCTAACTTTGTGGCTTTGAAATATGGCAATAGAAAATACATTGAATATTTTTGCTCTTTATGCATCTTAAGGAATCTACCTTGAACATTTTGCTTCCTTGCTTGCTACGTGTTCACATCCCTCTTAAGATATCTCGTAATCAAATTCTGCACAATGGTTCCTGAGATCAAAAAAGCAGGTTTTCTTCTGTGTTTGGATACAGTTGGGTGCCATTTTGAATCGTGATGGTGGATGGAACCCTTCAGAATTGCTCTGATTGTGACCACTGATGTCAAAACTGCACTAATTTGGGAGTTTCTTAGAATTCCTGAGAAATGCCTAGTATGAGGCGGCTAGTGCAATCGAAACAAGGAATCGGTGTTAGATATTCAAGGTGATAATGAAGAATGGAGGAAGGAACATTGGGTGAATCAAGAAAATGATTAGAGTGAAAGGAGAGTAAAGTCAAGATAGAAGAAGAGATTAAAGAAATAATGAAATGTGTTTAAGCTAGTTGGAAAAATAAAGTAGCGTAACAAGAATGGCTGGAAGTCAAGTCACTTGGTGGGTGTCCATGTGGGGTAGGTGTATAGGTATGTTGATATGTATAGTATAGCTTGGTAATGTAGGTATGTTTTATGTTATGAAAATAAGGTAGTGTGTTGTGTATGTGTATTGTGTAAATGCAAATGTATGTGTTTTATATGTTAATAAAAAAAGAAAGAAAGAAAAAGAATGGAGGATGGAAAACTAAATCAGCAGAGGGACTTACCGTAACTTTTGGACTATCTAATAAGGGCAGAAGGGCTGTGTACCAGCGAGAGGGAGGACCATAGTTAGATGCCAAAAGTTACCGCAGTTGTACTTTGATGGTGTATCAATACACCTGAAGTTTAGAGTTCAGTGACAGCTGGCTGACCCTAGCTCTTACTACAGTCTGAGAAATCTTTGTTTTAAATATTTCCAGGGTAGTTGACAGGTGATGTACAGTGGTACCTCGGGTTAAGTACTTTATTCGTTCTGGAGGTCCGTTCTTAACCTGAAACTGTTCTTAACCTGAGGTACTACTTTAGCTAATGGGGCCTCCTGCTGCCGCCGCGCCACCGGAGCACGATTTCTGTTCTCCTCCTGAAGCAAACTTCTTAACCTGAGGTACTATTTCTGGGTTAGTGGAGTCTGTAACCTGACGCGTCTGTAACCTGAGGTACCACTGTAGTTGGAAAGGGACCCTAAGCATCATCTAGTCCAACCCCCTGCGGTGCAGAAATACACAGCTGTCCCATACAGGGATTGAACCTGCAACCTTGGCATTATCAGCACCACACTCCAACCAACTGAGCTATCCAGGTGATGTAATAAAATCTAAAGCAACCCCCTACCACTACTATTTATTATTTATTGTTTTATGCCTTTCCTCCAAAGAGCTCAAAACATGGTTCTCCCCGCCCCGTTTTATCCTCACAACAATCCTGTGAGGTAGGAGAGGCTGAGAAATAGGAGACTTAAGTTAAAGAAGAAAGCTGCATAAAAGGGTACCATAAAATGGAAAGTTTAAAAAGCCCAGGAGAATTTTTTTTGGAAAATTCTTCTTTGGTGCCTGAAGTAGATGGGCTGCAGGAGTGCCGACCCCCCCCCCCAGTGAAAAGGAAAGCTTTCCTTTTGGACTACCCAAACTCTACAGAAATTTATTCATATATGCGACTACAGCGGCAAGAATGTTACTTGCCCAAAAAGGGAAAGAAGAAGAAGTCCCAGCAAAAGAAGAATGGATACAAAAACTTATGGAATATGCAGAAATGGCAGAAAAGAATAAGAAATCAAGATAACAAACTTTTTATAAAATAATGGAAATTGTTTCTTGAATATTTACAAATAAATTGTAAACAGGTAAGAACATTGGTAGGATTATAATCTGCAGTTTCATAAGAGAATATATTTAAAGTAGAGGAATGAATGAGTAAATTAAGTTAAATTGGATATGCAGAAAATATTTAAAAATAAATTTAAGGAACTGCAGAAAGAGGAGGAAGGAAGTCAAGTTTTGAAGTGTTAAAATGATTATAGAATTATTGAAATGTATAAAATAGAAAATCATAAATTAAAAAAAAGGAGTGCCCCCTGGTGGAGAAAATTCCAGCAGCGAGGGGCCACCATTGATAAGGCTCTGCCTCAATATTAGGAGTTTCCAGGTCTGTCAGTTCATATGTTGTGGAGGCAGGGTGGCGTTGGGGGAAGAGATGATGACTGATGATAATGTGTCCCCTTGCAATCTACCTCTGCGGTGTCCTTTTCATCCTGCTCCTCATGGAACTGTGCACTCTACTCTCCAGAAGCAGATGGGGAAGAGTTAAACCTACCAGACAGCTGCGAAAACTCAGTCAGCCATGCAAATACTTCATTTCACCCTGACCTTTGGCCAAACTGTGAAGTACCACTGATGTGAGGGCATTTCAAGAGTTTCTGCTGGGGCCCTGCTCTCTCTCTCTCTCTCTCCCTGTGTGTGAGTGAAACTTGAGTTAGCATCCCTAACTAAGGAAAGGCACTGCTATGGGGAAGTTCTCTGTGCCAAAGTCGGGGGCGTAATGACATATTCAACCGTGAATGCCAAAACCTCCCTCCTTCATCCGCAAAAGGCTACCTAGTTTTAAGTGCTGTTTTTAATGACTATTTCTTTTTCTAATAGGATTGCTTCCCCCCCCCTTTGTTCTGGTTTTATTGCATTTGTTTTCAGGTTGCATGCTCGTTTTTTGCTTTAAAGTGATGTTCGTATTTTGTTGTGAGAACTGTTTTGGTTGAAGGGCGAACCGCCAGCATATAGAATGAAGAGGATCATTTTTTAAAAGACCGATTCCTCCCGCCCCACCCAAAACGGCTTCCTTCTCTAGCCCCTCGCCTCCCCATCTTTTTGCTGATTTTTCCATCTTTCCGGATCGCTCCAGGCAAAGCCAGTGACGTGAAGATCCTTGAACCCAGTGTGGGAGGTTGGGGGGGGGCGGGGAGGAAAGGGACCATCGCAAACAGCTGGCACAATGTCTCCCCCACCCCACTGCTAAGGGTCAGGAAGGGGGGTCCTGGCAGCATCAATGCCCTATTCATTCGCCTGGCGTCATTGCAAGGGTGAGAGGTGGGAGGAATGGAATGCGAGGGCCAAAGTGTGCCAGGGAATACAAGAGGTGCCCCTTCGGATCACGAGGCGCAATTGTATTCCCAGCCAGTAGCATATGGGAAGGAAGGTTTTTTGCATCAATAGGCAACTTTGTATGGATTATATCCGGAATATACTGCCACAACCCCCTGCCACTGGTCGTGGCGTTACACTGGTGCTTCTTCCAGTGGTCGTTGGTGGCAGGGAGGGTGTCTGTGGACACTTGACTGATGACCCATCATTGGAGCACAGCATCATAACCTGTCTGGATACCCAGAGCTTCCTGAAATGCATCTTAAGTTGCGTCCACCTGCCAGGTAGGAGGAGAAGGAAGTGAAAAAATGGTCGGGTCAAGCTAAGGGTGTGAACAGCAGTTGAGCTTTGGCAAGCAGGAAAGATGGTTTTGGATTTCAGGATGCTAGACAGATGCTTCTCTCTCTCTCTCTCTCTCTCTCTCTCTCTCTCTCTCCTTTTGCCTTTCCTCTAAGGAGTTCACGGTAGTGCATCTGGCTCCCTCAAGGGCCAGCCCTATTGTTAGGCAGAGTCAGACCGCGGTGGTTTTTGCAGGGAAAGCACTGTGGCAAATACCAAAAAACAGTAAGTGCTTGAGCACAGACCTTTTAAGAACGGACCTGTTCCTAGACACACTGTGCGAAAGGAAGGCTGGATGAGCCCTAACACAGCTACCCCATCTGGAAGGTATCTGAGTTGTGTCTGTACTTACGGCTGCTGCAAATTAGGCTTGAAAGTCATGCCTGCTGCAGTTGGCAGAAGTTGGTCGGGGTGTGAATGTGCATTGCTGAGAGAGGCGCACATCTAGTTGTCTAGGATTGGTTTGATGGCCCAGGAACTCTTCTTGACCCCCTGGGGAAAGATTTGCCAGAAGCAATATAACGAAGCACATCTGCTTATTTTGTGCGAGGACCAGGGAACTGAGCTTCCCCTGGCAAAGAATGTGGATTTGCTTTTTCAAACCCAGGGAATTTGCAGCCTAGAGGCTAACGTGCTTTCCATTGTTGCAGCGGTTCTCTGAACCTCTTCCTTTCTGTAAGCTGAGAACCAGTAAGATCCTGCCTATCCCTGCCCTGGAGAAATCTAATTATAGGCAGCCATCTATTCTTTTGAATTCACCAAAGTGGGGTATGCTAGGCTTCCTGCTATATCTTTGTGCTAGGAGTATTAGCTTTGGCTACAGTTGTTAGTCAGGAGGAGCCACATCGCAGTGGAAGGGACCATGATGTGTTCTGTATACAGGACGCTGGTTCAATCCCAGCCACCTCCAGTTCAAAGGATCTCTGAATGTTTTGGTAATGGTATGCACAGCAACTGAAAATGTGACTTGAAACGCAGCAGGGAGGGAGGAACAACCTCGCTGTGTTTTCAGCTGCTAACATGTGCATAGCTTTAGTCTCAGAGCAGACCCATTGAAATTAATGGACATGACAAGCCCATGAATTGCAATGGGTGTACTCTGGATTACTTAGTTGACTTAAACCCATAGTTGTAGGGGGGCATAGATGGCTGGCTGAAATCCCACTTACCTAAAGCACTAGATATATACCCCCAGCATGGTTAGAGTGTTGGGCTATGACCTGGGAGACCAGGGTTCGAATCCCCACTCAGCCATGAAGCTCACTGGGTGACCTTGGACCAGTCACCCACTCTCAGCCTAACCTTACATTACAGGGTTGTTTTGAGGATGAAATTGGGAGGAGGAGAAGCACCTTGAGTTCTTTGGAAGATAAAGGTGCTATATAAAAATGTAATAAATAATAATAGAAATAAATAACGGAATCAGTAACGCCAATGGACAGGAATGCCAAAAGGGTGTTTTCCGACAGTCACTGTTTCTGGGTGGTATTCAGTCACATACGGCCCAATTTAGGTTGCGCAGTTAAAGCTGATTGGGAGGCCTTGTGCAACAGATTCACCTCCCTGAAAAACCTTGCTTTTTAATGACAAGGAAAGTGATAGGAAAAGGCAGTGAAAAGTGTGGGGGAACATTTGCTTTGATGCAACGGTCATCTTAACCTCCTTGCAAACAAATGAATGCCCACTGAATAGTCAACATCGTCTAATATCCCTGCTAACAAGTCGGGATGAATGCTCAGCAAACTAGATGCCTAGAAAGGCTATGAAGTTCTAAATGTCTACAGAAGAGGGACTCAGAAATCGCTTCCAGGGGTTAAAAGCCTCCATTATTAAGAAATGCAGGCCTGAGTGTTTAACAACAAAGGGGTGATTTAACTGTAGAATTCTGCTGCCAAGGGAAGGGGTGGAATTTCCCATCTCACCAAGTTGACACTCTCTCGAATGAGATGCTTTTGCCAGACACAAGCAGGTGGGCTTGATCCAAAAATAACTAGAGGGAATTTGCTGGCAGGGGTTGAACTGGGGAGCAGGTTTAATGGTTTCAACACTCTATTCTGACTTTCAGTTCAAAAAAAGAAACGATGAAAAAGAATAAATGAAGCCTGCAAAATTAACAGTGTGTGTGTGTGTGTGTGTGAGATATATACTGGAATAAACGGAAATATTTTAACAGGGGCTGATTGGTGTCTCCTGCTGCTTCTAAGAAAATTGAATTCTGTGCCCAGGAAACTAAAATTCGATGCTCAGCAACTTAAGTTAGATGAAGCAAAAGAACATATGTTACTACACTTATTTTTCACAATGCTGCTTTATTCTATAATTTAAAATGTATTTTGGGTTTTTGTTGTTGCCAAATCTGGAATGGGAGGGCATGAAAGGGATGCAGGTGGGAGAGAGAATGAAGAGAAAGAAAGGGATTTGAAACCATGTTTGTCAGATGGGAACAAATAATGAAAGAAAGAATGGATTTTGCATATCTTGTCAGGAAACATTTTGTTGTGAGGTGGGAATATAGTCTCAAGAGGGAGATCATTTAAAAACATATTATGAGCTTTATGGATCAACCCCCATGCACAACCTACTGAGCTGGATAGACCAATGTTCTGACTCAGCAGAACCCAGTTCCCTGTGTTCCTAAGCTGGTGGGATGTGACCCACAATTGTGTCAAGATCTCACCCAAGTTGCATCACACAGACAGTAGTACAGTGACCATCTTTCTGTGGGAGGAGAAAGAGGTGGGGAAAGAAAGGATGCCATGAAGGATGGTTTGGTTGAGGTTGTCAAAAGTGGGTTCCATGAGGCTGAGGGGTTAAGCCCGGGGTCCCCGGAGAAGGTTAAAGACCTGGTGCCTTACATTCCCCCAAATCGCTGGGCCCAAGCTGTGGGATTCTGGTAGTGTGAACATCACATGAAGCATTCTTGCAACAAGTCAGCATCCTCTTTTCTTTTCCAGATCAGCATTGGGTCAGCTGAGGACCATGTCAGAAGGGGACCGGCCTACCAGCGGCCTGAGCCAAGCTAGCAGCACAGTCACCATCTCTTCCGTCTCCATGGGAACGAAGGTGAGGAATTGGAAGTGGTCCGAGCCCTCTGGACAGGTGCTGCTTGGGCGATAGATAGGATTCCAGAGATCTTGCTTGCCTTGTCTTCCTGAGCTAATGGGCTTTGCAGCTTCATTTGCAAGGAACACCTGAATAGTGTTTACCTCAGGAGTTGGCAGCTTGTGCTTTAAAATAAACAAATAACCAAAGCTCTTTTTCGGGAAAAGGAGAATTCTACAATAACCATGTGAACAAGTCCACAACATTTATGAGGCTTCAAAACATTCACATTGGCAGATGTATCCCTGCATACCTATGTGAGGGCTTATCCATATTTCCCGCTGCTTTCTCCCAGGGAAAACTGCTCTTTAGTGCCCAATCAGAGCAAACGGGGCAGTCTGGGACAAGTGTGGATGAGCCCTCAGTCATTTGTGGCACATTTGTGACCTGAAAGGAAGGGAGGAGGGGATAATCATTCTTCTCTCAGTTTACAAAGGCTCTTTCTTTCTTTCTTTCTTTCTTTCTTTCTTTCCTCTGCCTTCACCCTAAGGTCCCAGGACAGGTTACAACAATTAAAACATAATGTTTAAAACAGTTTAAAACAACTTACAATCATAGAAATAAGTCGAGTCCTAAAAATCCCAGGTGTCAAACGCCAGGGTAAAGAGGTACAAACCTTTATACGGTGAAGATGCCAGACAGTGCCGAATTTACGTATAAGCTAAACAAGCTATAGCTTAGGGCTCCACTCTCTTGCCCCCCCCCAACATATACTTCTTCTTAATTATATTTCACTATCAATATACTACTTCTTAACTGTATTTCAGTTCAACAATTACTTTGATAAAATACATATTTTGTTATGTGCAAATGGCTTTAGATACCTATTAAATCCATAAATTACCATATAGCATATATTCAACACAAAAAACAGCGACGGTTTGTTGTTGACAAAGGACAGCTGGACATACAAAGGGCCCCATTACCTTCAGCAGCTTCATCACACCTAAATCCGGCCCTGATGCTAGACACACTGTGGGGCAGAAGTTCCACAGTTTAGGGGTTGCCATAGAGAATCCCCTCTCCTGGGCTATTTCCCCCAGCTTCTGAGGGTGATGGAGCAACAAAAAGTACCCCCACTGCCGATCTTAATACCGGAGGGTGTTTGTAGGCAGTCTTTCAGGTATTTGGGTCCTGAGTCATGTAGGGCTTTAAAACACTAACATGAGCACCGGGAACAAACTCATAACCTGCGATTAGAAGCAGGCTACCTGAAATTCACCATGAACTTTACTAAAGCCAGAAATAAATATATGGTTAGGGTTGAAAAGACTTGCTTGGGAGATGGTAATTAAATTAATTTGAATGAGTTGTGAACAGCAGCTCAGATGTCCACTGCTTATACCATGGGAAGCAGCTTGTTTCACCAAAATCAGAATGGTTTCGTAGGGATTTGGGATATTTCCATTATTACAGTGATAACGTATTACACCTGAGTATTTGAGGAACATGAGGCATTTTTATTTAACTTAATTATATCAGAATTTAGAAGCCACTGTACATTCAAGGAATCCCCAAATGCTGTACAGAGAGAGAATTATAGAACAATACAGATCCCAGAACTGTAAACCCAACAAGGATTAAAAACTGCAGGAATGTCAGAGCAATCTTGGAAGACAATAAAAGTTTTCAACAAATGTCAAAAACAATGTTGGAGCTTGCTTCACTCCTAGGGGGAAGCAAATTCCTGAAGTCTGGTGCCACAGTGTTGAAAGCGCAGGCTCAAGTCTCAGCACGCCTTGCCACAGGGGTGTTGGGCATCATCAGGAGATCTAAGTGATTGGAATAGGATGTGTGTGTGGGGAGAGAGAGAACTTCTCAGACGCCCCGATCCAGAATCATATGAGGCTTCTAAATACCAGATTCAAATACTTGAATCTAGCTTGGTAGCCAATTGGCTACTGACACAAGACATAAGCATATGTAGCAAGAGGCAATGTTTACCTTGCTCTTAAACAATAGATCTTGAGATTGTCTGAGGCCATATGCACTCTGCCATGATGTATTGGGAATATTCTCTTGGTCTGTTTATGTATAAAATATTTTATGTAACAGAGACGTGGGTGGTGCTGTGGTCTAAACCACTGAGTCTAGGGCTTGCCAATCGGAAGGTCGGCAGTTTGAATCTCCGTGACAGGGTGCGTTCCTGTTGCTCGGTCCCAACTCCTGCCAACCTAGCAGTTCAAAAGCACACCATAAAGTGCAAGTAGATAAATAGGTACCGCTCCGGCAGGAAGGTAAATGGCATTTCCGTGCGCTGCTCTGGTTTCGCCAGAAGCGGCTTAGTCATGCTGGCCACATGACCCGGAAAAACTGTCTGTGGGCAAACGTCGGCTCCCTCAGCCAGTAAAGCGAGATGAGCGCCGCAACCCCAGAGTTGTCCGTGACTGGGCCTAACGGTCAGGGGTCCTTTACCTTTACCTATTTTATGTAACATACATTCAATGGGGATACTCACCACTGGCAATGAGGCAAATGGATGTTTACAAGTGCCTGCTGCATAGATGTCTGAAGCTGTTTTAAGGGATATAAGAGGGAAGAAAGGAGAGACAGCACATCCTACATTCATCCTGAAATAGGCTCTAGTCCCTAGCTAACAGGACCAGTGGTCAGGGATGGTGGGAGTTGTAGTCCCAAAACATCTGCAGGGCCGAGTTTGCCTATGCCTGCTCTAGTCCAGCACTGTTGAAAGCACTATACCTTTAAAGCACTTTTGAAACATACTCTTTCCCTCAAAAAATTCTGGACACTGCAGTTTATCCTTCACAGAGCTACGGTTCCCTTAACAAGCGACCGTGCCCAGAATTATTTGAGGGAAAGACTGAGTTTCAAAAGTGCTTTGAAGGTATAGTACGTAGACAGCCAATGACAACAAATCTGTTTGTACTGATGGTGCTACAAGGCTCTTTGCTTTTGCTGTAGTAGATAAATAGCAGCATCCCTCCCAGAAATGGCCGGTTTCTAAGTCACACTCATAAAGAGTGCCAGTTCCTTTGGCTTACCGTCCTTTCACTTATCACTTTCCTGCGGTAAAAAGTTTTAGGGCTGCAGCGCTTATTCAGGTTTGGTTTCCTTTGGAAGGAGGTCACGGGAGGCCTATTGGCATTGTGTAATATTTGCATTTGAACTGATTTACATAGGTGGAGGCAGGCACAGCTTCAAACACTTGAACTGATAGGCAACATTACATCAGATCTCTAGGGAGGCAGCCGGCAACCAGAGATCACTTTTTAGAGCTCCAAACTCAGCTTTTTGTGGCTTTCCCAGTCAAGCTGAAACTGCAGACATCTCTTCACATAAACACCTGGATTACATCATCCTTAGTCAATGGGATGGGAGTGGTCTGCCTCTGATGCTTCTTTCTGTCTACATTCCCACAACATTCCTGCAACAGGAGACAAGGGGCTAAGTATTTAGTTCCCTATTACAACATATCTCAGGGCTATTGACCACTCTTTTATCAGCTTCAGGTACTGCCTCAGGGAAACCTGCCCAATAACCCTCTTTACAGAAATCTGATAGGAAACCTGTTGCTTTTTTCAGGTGGGATTTAATCAAATACTGGCAAATTCAATTTGTGCAGCTGAAGTTGATTTGGAGCTTTTGAGCAACAATATCCACTTGTTCCTAAAATTGGGCATTTGATGATAAAGCAGGTCTGGATGACCTTTGGCCTCCCAGATGTTGCCAGACTACAACTCCCATCAAGTCCAGAGAGTGTGGTCAGTTACCAGGGATTATCGGAGTTGTAGTCTTAAAACATCTGGCAGGCTGAAGGTTCCCCACACTTGTGATACAGGAACGTGATTCTCACCAGGCTTGTAAATAGCATTAGCCCACATTCTTCCATTTCTTTCCTTACTTACCTCCTCCCCCTGCTGTTTGACCACTGCCAGTTTTGGATTGTAAGCTCCTTCGGAGCAGGGACCATGCATATACTGCCTAGGTAAGGCTTTGCAATTTGTAGGGTAGTTTGTCCACCTTGCTCCCTAGCTTGCATTCAGCTCTCACCTGTGGCTCCTAGAAGTTGTCAGCATGTGACAGCAGCCACACATTGTGAAGGGCTTTGATTGGCTGGCTAAACCAGGTGAGGGTAGCCGATGGGACTCAAATACTAGATGAGTTGGGGACTTCTCCTGCGTACAAAGACAGGCTCCAGCAGATTGAGCGGACGAGACCGATAGCAGGTCCAACGGTCAAGAAGACGGTTTCTCCCCGTGCTGCAGAGGGTAGTGAGGGGCAGATGAGACTCATCAGCTTGGGAAGGTAGCTCATCTAGGAGAATGAAAACTCTGGTCCTAAAACTCCACTGCCTTATGAGATATCTTCGGGAGAAGAGAAGTAAAGCCTACACAAATCAAGAGTCCCTAAGATAGTTGGGTGGCGCCTTGTGCGCCTCCTTCCAGCAACTCCTGCAACCAACCTGGGACCAAACGTACCTCTCTGCTTTCCTTTGGACCACATGAGTGAGATGGAGAGGGGGGAGATCTTGTTGTCTGGGCAGCCCAGGACCTCCATGCATGCTGCCCAGGCTTGCCACGGTTTGGCATCACCCCACAGAGGCGCACTCCATTGCCTTGAGACAGACCGATGCCAACACTGATGGCGTGCTATTAACAACCCAGTATTGCATTTCACCATTTTGTCTTCTGCAGCCACGCTCAGCCCGGCCTGTCCGGAAGGTTCACGCTTTTGGGAAGAGGGCAAACTCCATCAAGAGAGACCCCAACTCGCCTGTCATCATGCGCGGATGGCTTTATAAACAGGTAAAAAAGTGCATGAGGAACGAAGGGGGTTCCTTAGCTCAGAAGCAGCCAATGTGGTTCCCTCCAGGTGTTTTCAGCCACATCTCCTCCCATCTGCTCCAGCCAGTGTGGCCATTGGTCAGGAATGAGGGGAGTTGTTACTCACATAATACAGATGTTATCACGTTGGCTATGCATTAGCCTGAAGGATGAGTGGCTGAATGTTGGCATGGGTGGACCCAAATAGAGCAAGGGAAGCCAGAGGCTGCTGGTGGCATCACACGCTCAGCATCTGTCATTCTTGGGCAGCTGTTAGAGCTCCAGTGTTGCAGCAGCAGGGGCCACCACAGATGAGACCATGCTCCTCACCACCACTGTCAGCGTTGCCAACACTGCAATAGATCAAGATCTTGCAGAGATTTTGAGATCTCGCCCAGAGTTGTCATGATCTTGCCCCAAATCAATGTTGATGGTGGTGCCACTTAACGAGCAGCTCAATAAATAGCCAACGTCGTGTCATCTCCCTGCAAGGAAATCAGGACAAATCTTTGATAGAGAGGTCTTCTGGAAGTAGCCCATGTCCTCTAGCCAGGGACAGAATGTTTCCCCTCCAATTATGGCAGAAATCCACATGTTAGCAGCTTTACTACCAATTCTGTACCCACTGATAAAACAATATGCTTGACGTAACTAAGCAGAATGATCAGGGGTTCTCCTGAGAGTTGATGCCCTGGACACCTTTGATCTCCCTTTTTCCTTTCCTTTCCTCCTCCAGGATAGCTCTGGTCTTAAACTCTGGAAACGGCGTTGGTTCGTCCTTTCTAATTACTGCCTCTTCTACTACCGAGGTAATTGGGATTTCCCCAAGGTTCTGCCAGAGGTGGGCGGAAGTGATGTCATTGTGCTTTTGGAGGGAGGGCTTTTTTCAAGTCTCAGGCAAGGTAGGCTGGTCAAGCATCGGAGGGTGTGCCTCCTTCTTCCTCCTGTTGTTTCTCAGCCAATAACATTCCTTATGGTCTGTCTGGGAGCAGAGCTGGGAAAATATGCTGTAGGTTGGGGTGGAAAGCTCATGGGCCTCCAGCTGTTTATTCCTTTTACTTATAAGCATATTTTTATACTGCTGCATCAAAAAATACATCAAAGTGGTTTACAACAAGAATTTCTATATGTATTCTAAAAGCCCACATGTTCTGTATCCAGATCTGAAAAGGGTGTGCTGAGAATTTGGTTGCTTTCATTTCATTTTCGACTCTGCTCCTTACTCTTTCTGGTGGAGGAGTTTAGCCTTATATATACCCTTTTTCTTCTGATTCCTCAGATTTGCACAAAACCGGATGTTATGTTCTTTCGGTCTGTCAGATTTGCCCAAAGCCAGAAAACTGCACAAGCAGCTATACAGTTGCCTGGCTCTGTGCTTTTGTGTGCTTCTTGGGTGGGGGATATTAAAACAAAAACAAGATGTGCACACAGCTATCTGTTGTCATGCCCTGTTGGCACTTAACTGGGGTGATAGAATCCACAAACTAGAAAGCAGGGAAAAACACAAAAGATAACACCTGCTGGTATGAATAGGAAAGACCGAAATTGTTTCTCATATGGAAATTAAAATACGTGTGGGTGTGGACTACTCCAGTGTAATTCAAATTCTGTGTGTGTGTGTGGATAAACGACTAAATAGTGCTCAGATGCGGACAAGCTCTTTTGTCCCCCAACTTAAGACCTATGGTTGAGAGAGAAGGCCTTGACTCTTCTCCCTACCAGCCGGACCTTAGGCAGTGGAGTGGACTGCTAGCCAGGTTTGACAGATTAGAATCGCTAGTTCAGGCCCCAGAGATATTGAGGGCCCCACAGGGCTGGAGGGGAGATCCTGTGGCCCTTCAGACATTATAGGGATCCAACTCCCATCAGCCCTGACCCTTGGGCAGGTGGACTGGAGCTGATAGGAATTGGAGTCCCAACAACATCTCAAGGGCCACACAGGGTTCTTTCCATCTGGGCTTTAGGGAGAAGTGCATTGAAGCGACTTCTTAGAATCATAGATCTCAAGGGTCCTCTAGTCCAACCCCCCCCCCCCCCAATGTAGGACTCTCCTGTGACTTTTTTCTTTCCTTTGGCGGAGGTGGAAATGTGTGTGTGTGTTTGTTTTCCAGACAGCCGCGAAGAGAAAGTTTTGGGCAGCATCCTCCTCCCCAGCTATGAGATCCGGACAGCGTTCTCCAAGGAGAAGAAGAACCGGCGCTTCATATTCAAGGTCAGTCCACCCCCCAATGGGATGCTTGTTTTCTTCCAATGTCTGTTATTTTGCTGTCACCCAAGGTCTGTTGACAGCCATGAGTGATAGGTGAGAGATTCAACTTAGTTTGCATTTGAAGGTGAACTTAAGTCCCACTGTGCAAAGCAATAGGAGAACCCGAACAGAGTCGCCCTTCAGAATCCGCATTTCTGCATATTTTGCAATGCACACAGTGTGTGCATATACTAGGGGAAAGTGTGCACGTAAATGAAAACAGCATATGAAAGGGCATTATATTAGGGGGAACTGCTTTGCAAAAAATGTGTACGTGAGGCAAAATTGCACACAAACATACGTATATTAGGAGAAAATTGCTGAAGAATTTTCATGAAGCCTTTTTTTTTAAAAAAAAAGAAAGCTAATAAATCGCAAACTAATGTGGAAATGTGGGGAAATGACTGGAAAAATGAGAAATGGAGAGAACCAAAGCCGACAGATTCTCTCCTCCATTAGCCAGCCATGCAGAAAGCCCAGCAGAAGCCCTCAAGCCCACCCTTGCCTCTGCTGTCCAGCTGTTGTCCACCAGAATTTCTGTATGCCTGCTGCCCCCTTGAGGATGCATTGGACCACTGCAATGACCCGTCTTTTTCTTCTTTTACCTTCCAGGCCGAACATCCTGGCATGAGAACCTATTATTTCAGCGCAGACACCCAGCTGGACATGAATAGCTGGATCCGCGCCATGAACCAGTCGGCCGCCGCTGAGTGCGACTATGGAAGCTAGTAAGGGCTGGGGACGGGTGTATTCTACGCACAGCCCTGCGCTGGCTGGCTGGCTGGCTGTAACCTTGCCTCTGGGTTTCTGGTTTGGGGATGGGACATGAACCCATCAAAAGAGGGACTGAGAAATAGGAACTTTTGAAAGGGAAGCAAGTTCCATTATGGTCAGAATCATAGAGAGATTAAAGGTGCATATTTTTAAAAAGTTTTCTGGGAGAGAGATTCAGTTTGCTTAGGATGGGAGACTCTTCTTCCTGTTGTGGTCCCTTGGGGAGGGGGCGTCACCGATCAAGGACCACATCCAGCAGCCGAGACAGACGCCCACTGTGGGGAGGAGGGCAAAGCCAAACGTAGGCAGTGTCGCTCGCCTTTCTTCCTTTCAACCATCGCCTTCTCTCTCCTTCTGCCACTCCCGCCATCGGCCTCTGCCTCCCCACCCAGCAGGCTGCCCAGAGAGGGACAAGTTGTTGTTGCCAGACGCCCAGACTCGTCACTTTGAGATTAGTTTTGAAATTAGCCCGTGGACACCCTTATCCTGGGAATGTGGGGTGTCTGGATTCATGGGTTACCCAGAAGCAAGATGGGCGAAATGGGGAGGTTAAGCCGTGAGTTTTTAAGCAGCCAGTTAGGTTGCAGCGCAGGCTGGTCCATTAGGGTGAAGCAAGGCCTGGCCCCACCCATCTCAGCCTGCCCACAGCCACTCCACATCTGCCTGCCTGCCTTCCTTCCTTCCTTCCTTCCTGTCATTGACTCTCTGGCGCCACCTACTGTTGGGCTCCCTACATTCTGCCCTACCAGTCTCAACAGCCACCACTGTGAGGTTGAACGCGGGGTGGGGTTGGAGGGGGAGGAATCTTGATCTCAAACTCTCTGCGGGCAAAGGGGAAGGTCACTGCAGGGGAACCAGGCACCTGGGCTTTGATACAGTCTAAAAAAAATCTCCCCTTCTGCCCCGCCTCAGCAACCGGAGGGGTCTCCAAAGCCAGTCCCCATCCACATGCACCAGCTTTGAGGACGTCACGCTCACACAGAACGACTACGCCAAAAGCGCAGAATCCCTGGAGATCGCCCGTCTCTCGGAGGCACACGACGGGGAGGCCTCGTCGTCCGACAGCCTCCACGTGCAGGACAGTCAGCAGGGGACTCCGCGGCTCGGGAGGACGTCGTTGTGCAGCTCGCTCAACGGCGGATACAGCCACATAAGGAAAGAGCAACCAGATTTAAGGTAAGTTGGTGGGTGGAGAGGGAGGGAGGGAGGGAGGGAAGAACCAGTTTTCCACCAGGGGGCGCCGTGGGGAGCTAATGATGATTGGCTCCCACAGGTGCTGTTGGGGCGGGACTTGGATTGTCATGTTTGTTGTTTGATTCTGTGCCTTCCTATTTTCTTCCCTCTGTTTCCATTGGCAGCTCCCTGTCTTCCCAGACTCACGGAAGCCCCTCGCCCGTCATCCACCCCAAGCTCTCCTCCCGGCCGCGATCCCCCTCCGAGAGCCCCACGCCTTCCTCCCCATCCCGGACCCCTCAGCCTTCCCCTCTGCTTTCCATCCGCTCCTCTCGTTCCTACTCCCTCCCCCTGACGCCTGCCGAATCACCTCAGATACCCGACGCCCGCCAGTCGCCCCCTCGCGCCCGCAGGAAGCCCCCGAGAGCTGCTGCCGCTGCCGCACAGGCCATCTCCTGCGAGGACCTGTCCTCCGCGGCCTCCCCAAGGGGTCTCGGGCGCCCCAACACCCCCATGGGGCGTGTGGACATTGCCCCCGGCGAGGGCCCTCCCAACAACCCCTACGCCACGCTGTCGCCCGCCACCAGGGGGCGCACCCTGACGCCTGCTGATCGGTATGACGTGTTCCCCTCCTCCGAAGACCCCTATGGCAGGCGTTACGCCCGGAGCCCTCACCACAGCAGGGCCCGGCCCGTGGGCGAGGAAGGCCTGGCGCCCACATTGGCAAGGCAGCTGCCGCCCAGCAGAGTAAGTAGAGGCTGCGGCACCAGTGGGCAGGGCAGCTCTGAGTTTGGGTCTTATCTTGACTTTGATCCACCCAGGCGCTAACCTTTCCTTTCCTGCCAGTTTGCAGACCGAGGCTATCTCTCCCCGCCATCTGGGACGTCCCGTGCTCTGGTCATGTCTCGGCTACATGGGCGACTGGTGAGTACCGGGGGCTGCGTTCTCCATCTTTCCCGTTCGCCATGGTCCTCCTCTCCCTTGTCTTCCTCTCCCTGTGACACGGAAACAAATGAGTCTGCTGGCTTGAATGTCTCTTTCCTCGCTCGTGACCTGGGCTGTGTGTACCCTGTACTTCACGTTTCTGAAATCCTGAGCCAAAGGAGTCTCAATTCTGCAGCAGGAAAAGCTCGATTCCGCAACTTGCGTAAATTATTCAAATTTTGAGCTACAAACTTGCTTCCTTTAAAAAAATGAAAAGAATTTTTTCTTTCCATTTTTTCCAGAAAGCTGCATTGTGCGGCCGATATTATATTGCGCAGTCTTTCTGTGCAATTTGTGGCATACCCTGTTTAGGGAAGTTTTTAATATTTGATGTTTTATTGTGTTTTTAATACTCAGTTGGGAGCCACCCAGAGTGGCTGGGGAAAACAGCCAGATGGGCAGGGTATGAATAAATAAACAAATACTATTACTATTATTATTACAGTCATACCTCATGTTACGGCTGCTTCAGGTTACGTGTTTTCGGGCTGCGGACCGCGGGAAACCCGGAAGTACCGGAACGGGTGACTTCCGGGTTTCGCCACTTCACGCATGCGCAGAAGTGCCAAATCGCGCCTGCGCAGACGCGGCGCTTCAGGATGTGAACACTGCGGGTTGCGGACGTACCTCCATCACGGATTACATCCGTAACCTAAGGTTCCACTGTATACCACACAGTCCTGCTCATGAGCTTCCCTGGCTACTCTCCCTAACACTTGCCTTCCCTTTCCCTACAGATCACTCCCCACTCTGCCTCCTCCAGCTACCTCCACCTACCACCCCTGCCCCCCCTGCCTAACCGGCCCACCCCTGGGAAAAGGACGTCCTTGGGAACCACGGTATGTGATTTCGTGCTTGATCCTCCCTTGAGTCTAGGACTTATCAAACGTTGGCTTAGCAAAAAGAATAGGCTGGCCAGGAAAGAACAGCAGCACATTCTCTGAGCTCTGTTTTAATACCAAATTGTCCTCCTGTCTGTTGTGGTTAACACTGGGCTCCACCATTTCCCCCCGTTAGCTTAACATTGGATTGAACAGCCCTTGAAGTAGTTAGTCTTGAAGCCATGGGCAACTTATCCTGATAAATACGCCCTCTTAATGCTGAACACATAAATGTCTTGGGCATATTTAATTTTCTTTTTTTTTTAAATATAATTTTTATTAGTTTTTCCATTTAACAATATATAATCACATCATTATTATCCACTTTGCCTCTCTAGCTCTTTCTAGCCTATCGACTTCCTTCCCTCCCGCCTCATGGCTTTCGAGATTAACCTTTATATCATAGCACTTTATGCATTTTCCAATTCTAATTACACTCATTACAAAATACCTCAAAACTTAAGTAAATATAAAAAGGGAGAAAATTTCTCATTACAAGTCTTCAGACAACCCTGCTAGTCATGTTAATCACTTACAGTGATCTTTCAATTATCGTATAAATTTACTCCAGTCCTTTTGAAATACTTGATTGTGCTGGTTTCGGATTCTTCCCGTCAGCTTTGCCAGTTCCGCAAAGTCCATCATTTTCACCTGCCACTCTTCTTTCGTTGGCACTTCTTGTTGTTTCCATTTTGGGGCTCAAAGAATTCTTGCTGCTGCTGTTGCATACATAAACAGTCTTTTATGGGCATATTTAACTTTCGTGGTGCAACACGCTGGCATTTCTCCTAGGAAACCATGTGGGAAGTTCAGGGGCTTATCCAGCCGTGCCTTTGCATGCTGTTCACACCAACCATTTCTCTGTCTTTCCAGTGCCGGACTCTGGTGCGAGAGAGGAGCATCCATTCTGCCGGGGGGCAGCGGTTTGAAAGCGACACTGATGTACGCACTTCTGTTTCTTCTCATATCAAGGGTTCATTTGTGTGTTGTTGTTTTTTTAAAAAAACTTAATTTTATTTGCATCCAGCTTTTCAAAAGACAACTGTTGTTTTTTGCAAAGTGACTTAGGAAGCATAGAGCGTAAACATCACTTTGAGCAGGGGCAGGGGAACCTGTGGTCCTCCAGGTATTTACTGGACCAGGGATGATGGTAGTTGGTAGTTTAACAGTATCAGGAGGGTCACAGGTCCCTGCATCCTTGACTTACGAGTAGATTGAGACATTCTTTCATTTATGGGTGAGGGAAGAAGGAATGCCTCATTTATAACACGGTGTTTGAAAGCTCATTTTTGAAATCTCTTGCAAAATAAGTAACTACTTCCAAGAAAACGGGGTTGGGATCCACTGTGGGGGTCACTGCAAAATAATTAACATTAAACTGGGTTGGAATCCACTGTAGGGTCTCTGCTCAATGCTGAATTTACAGAGAGTTAGTTCTACAGCTTGTTTTATTGTCACCTGTGCAGCTGTCAAGAACACCCCCAGATTTTTGCCACTTTCTGTTTACATTTTCAAGCAAAAACCAACTCGGAGAAGTGCCTCTCTTCTGACACTCAAACAAAGGCTTTGTTTGAGACATTTTACTACACACTGAAATTGGCTAAAGGTGGAATAATTCCCCCCAATAAAACTGTGTGCATCGGTTTCATGCTGCAACATGTCAATTTTCTAACAGCATTAGAAGTCGCCTGGGGTTTTACAGGGTGGGAAATCACCCTGTAAGTCTGGATGTGCCCAATGTTTTGTTGTCTTGGGTGAGGTCAGGACAGTCAAAAAATAAAGTGCTTTTTCACACAGCGCACCGTTGGACTGTGGAACTCACTCCCACAAGAGGCAGCGAAGGCCACCAAGTTGGGATGTTTTTAAAAGAGGATTAGATACATTGATGGAGGGCAAGGCTATCAACACCTACTATCCCATGGGCAGAGTGCAGTTGTGCTCATGTCCTGCTTGTGGGTTTTATATGGCCTCATCCAGCTCTTCTTATGGTTTTTTTTTTGAAAAAATCTGTCTGAATTAATTTGGATCTCATTTTTAGTCCAGTAAGAATTTGAGTTTATTAATTTAAATGATTAACTGACTGGCCTTTGGAACGCTACGTTGTTAATAGCGTAACCCATCTCTGATTTGGAAGCTCTCAGAAAAAAAGAAAGAATCTCACCAGGGCTGTCTTAAGCATATGCGGTGCCAGGGTGCAGGCTCTCGGGCCCTGGACTCTCAGCCTGGCGCCCCTGAGAGCCTGGCGCTCTCACAACACCATGCCAAACATTTGTCCCAAAGTGGGTTTGCCTGCTTTTATAAAGCCATGGTTGTATGTGCCGCAGCACCCTCTGGTGGCTTCTCTTAGAATTGCACCCCCTTTCTCCTTCTAGGCTCTCTTGACAAAACTTTGCGGCCAGGACAAGGTGCTTCGTGGTCTAGAAGAGGACACGGCACAGCTCCGGGCTGAAAAGGTATGACTTACTTTACCCCCATTTCCTCTTTCCCTTCCTCCTGCTATTAAACCGGCCATCTGATTTATTTTGGCTTAAGTTGAAATGGTTGGCCCTTTTTTTTACAGGAGCGGATTGAGAAAGCCTTGGAGGTGACACGCCTGAGGCTGGAGGAGTTTAAAGGCCAAGACGCCACGATGGAGAAAATCTGCTACCAGCAGAGGCAGCTGCAAGACGAACTGGTGCAAACCCGAGCTCGCCTCTGCGATCTAGCGCTGGTGAGTTGCTTTTATTCCCATGCCGGGAGGCTGAGCTGAGAAAACACTGTAGCCAGGGGTGGAGGAAGGGGTGTGTGGTGGGGGCAGACCGCCCCGGGTGTCACCACAGAGGGGATGACAAAATGCCAGGCGGCACTCACCGCAGGGCCTGCATCACGCCCGAGCCATACGTCTCTCCTGGGAGAGACGCAGTGGCTTGGGCGCATGCAGGCTCCACACTGCCCAAACGGTCTGCCCGCCGCCTCCCCCCTCAGCTGTAGGGCGGCTGAGTGGGAGGAGGCAGACAGACTCCTTGGAGGCCCCACAGAGCGTCCTGCCCCAGCTGGCCCCACCCCTGGGCACAGGGCACACACTCCGCCCCAGGCGCCCAATCGGCTTGCTCCGCTGCTGACTGTAGCCATAACCCCTGAAGTTTAGGTTGAAGGGCTGTGCTGAGAGAGCGATGGGATGCTCACAGTAGCTGTGCAGTGACTAGTTCTCGCTTAAAAAGGTAAAGGGACCGCTGAGCATTAGGTCCAGTCATGGCCGACTCTGGGGTTGTGGCGCTCATCTCGCTCTATAGGCCGAGGGAGCCAGGGTTGGCCGCAGACAGCTTCTGGGTCATGTGGCCAGCATGACTAAGCTGCTTCTGGCGAACCAGAGCAGCGCACGGAAACGCGTTTACCTTCCCGCTGGAGCGGTACCTATTTATCTACTTGCACTTTGACGTGCTTTCAAACTGCTAGGTTGGCAGGAGCAGGGACCAAGCAATGGGAGCTCACCCTGTTGCGGAGAGTTGAACCGCCAACCTTCTGATCGGCAAGCCCTAGGCCCTGTGGTTTAACCCTCAGCGCCACCCGTGTCCCAGTTCTCGGTTAGTTCTCGGTTAATACTACAGATCAGAGATGAGGCAGAGGCTCCTTTCGGTTCCCCGTCAAAATTCCTCCAAGTTGCAGCAAATTGCCCCCTCTCACCTCCTTCGAAGCCAAATTGAGAACCTGGTTGCATGAGGAAGTCTCATACCCCAATTGCCTTGCATACAGACTGGTTGGACTTTTAAGACTTTTTTCCGCACCTGAAGTTGACCCCGCATAGAGCAGGGACTCCTGCCTTTGATGCTAACTTTTTTCTTTCAAGCCCCTCAGCCCAATGCTCAGGCAACACCCTCCCACTGGAGATACACAGCAACATTTTGCTGCTGTGCCTGCTTTTCCTTTCTATTTGACCAATGTTCAAAGGTGCATGCCCGGTACTTAGAGGGCCAGAACTTCTGTGGAGAAGAAGCAGCAGGCTTACAGAGACCCCCAAGTTTACAGAAGTACAAAAAAACTTTGGGCATAAATGCATATTGGGGGCACCCTCAAGATAACCCAACAAGGACTGAGAATGCCCAGTGGCCACTGACTGCTGAGTGACTATTGTTGTTGTTAGGGGGCAGTTGCACACAGAACGGTGGGTGGGAATGGATGGGAGCACTCCATACTGCAAGATTTTGTTGCAGATCGTGTGTGTGTGTGTGTGTGTGTGTGTGTGTGTGTGTGTGTGTGTTTTCATAAAATATTAGGCAGGAGGCATTAAAAATAGCATCCTTCACCTGAAGCGGTATAGCCCACCCAGGATTCTACGACCACATTCTGCAGCAGGGGTTTACCAGGCTTTATCTTCAGTGAATCAGCACTTCGTAAGGGATCTGGATAAGCCGCTGAGTCTTTGTTCTTCCCCAACTCAGGACAGTGAACGAGCGTGGGAGGATTACGCCGCCTTGGAAAATGACCTGCAGATGGTGAAGGGCTCCTTGGAGCATATCCGGACTGTGGGGCACCCCCAGGTATGTGCTCCCTATTTCCAAACCTCTCCCTACCACTTTTTTGTGGTACTTTGCAAGCATTCGGGCTGTGCATAGTTGCTGCAAAAAAGTGACAAAACTCCAAATTCTGTACTCTGAGAAGTCAGGTTTTGTAATCTGAGGACTTTGTGCAAATAAAGACAATTTTGTCAACCGTGCATACATACATACATATATATATATGTATAAAATCTGCCTTTCAAATTTACCCGTATTTTTCACTCTATAAGACGCACCAGACCACAAGACGCACCTAGATTTTGGAGGAGGAAAACAAGAAAAAAAATATTCTGAATATCAGAAGCCAGAACAGCAAGAGGGATCGCTGTGCAGCGAAAGCAGCAATCCCTCTTGCTGTTCTGGCTTCTGGGATAGCTGCGCAGCCTGCATTCGCTCCATAAGACGCACACACATTTCCCCTTACTTTTTAGGAGGGAAAAAGTCTTATAGAGCAAAAAATACGGTATTTCTTTTTTTCTGCTGGGTGGGTAGGAAGATGAGCTGTCCACCAAATATTAAAGTCCTCCTCTTCTGACCTGTGGAAATCCACCTCAGTCTTAATCCTGGCCCTGTATTTTCTGGGATTGATGTCTATGTCTGCCGCTGCCAGACAGGCTAAAAACTTATTCAAAACTTATTCAAAAATGATAAAAGGCATTGAGTCCGTGCTTCGTAACTGCAACCTGCTCAGTAGTTGGTGAAATAATCCAACCCCAAAATGGTCTTCCTCAGAAATAAATGGCAGGGTTGAGATTGTGGAATCACTGCTAGATTGAGCTCATGGCTCCGATCTGGAGGTAGTGTGTGTTGGGAGGTGGTGGAAACATGGTACCCCAGGTCCACAGCTCAGCAGCAGAGCATCTGTTTTACACGCACAAGGACCCAGGTTCTGCCCCTGGCATCTCCAGGTAGGACTAAGAAAAACCCCAACCTGAACTCTTGAAGTAAAGGAGAGAGAGGGAGCTTCAGGCCAAACCTCTCTCTATCTGTGACTCTTCCCCAGGCCACGCCCCTTACCAGACCTGCATTGCTGAGCTGGGAATGGAAAAGTCCTGCCCCAAATCCCGCCCCCCCCCGCCCTGGTGTCAACAATCCTGAGCTATGCAGGTTGATGGCCTGGCTTGGTTCAAAGCAGCTTCCTATCTTTCCGCACTGATTCCTGTTGCCTCCACCTGTCTGATCCTTTCCTCCTTAGGACCAAGTAGCTGCCCAGCAAGATTTGTGGAGGATCCACGACATCCTGGCAGGACTGAGATCCAGCCCAGCCAACCACCACGCCCTAGAAAGCAGAAGATCAGGTGCTGAACGCAATACTGTCCTAGGAGCTGGGAGCCGGCAGCCCAGGAGGAGGAGGAGGAGGGAGGGGGGATATTTAGCAGGCGTTGCCCCTTATGAGTCTGAACCTCTCCATTGTAACATCTGAACCTCTCCATTGCAGGTGTGTCTCCAGCTACCACCCCAACCCTGGATTCTCATCTGGGGCCAAGCCACACATCCCAGCAGCTTTGTGCAGGAATGGAGGTATGGGGTTGGTCTCTGGGTTCAAATGGTACAGTGGCTTCACCATCGAGACCTTTGGTTCCAAAGCACTTTGAAGTTAGGGGTTCTGTGTTTTAATTGTGGGTGTTTTTGTATTTCAATATTGGTGCCCCTGGTTTTGGTAAGCTACTTAGAAGCCCATTTGGGCATTAAACTCTGTGTGTGTGTGTGTGTGTGTGTGTGTGTGAGTGTGTGTGTTTATGTACTTACTTTATGGCTAGATAAAAACAGTCATACCTCATGTTACGTTTGCTTCAGGTTGAGCGTTTTCAGGTTGTGTCCTGGAAGTACTGGAAAGGGTTACTTCCAGGTTTTGCCATTCGTGCATACGCAGATGTGCAAAATGACGTCACGCGCATGCGCAGAAGCGGCGAATCGCGACCCGCATGTGTGCAGACGCACAGATGCGACTCACGTTCTTTTCAGGTTGTGAATGGGCCTCCGGAACGAATCCCGTTCACAACCAGAGGTACCACTGTAATATTTATTTCATGTACACAGCTTCATTGTAAAGACAAGCTCAAACAGTTTACAAAAATAGGAAAAGCAACTGACAACAACAATTTAAAACTTTCATAAGTTAAAACAGCCGTAGACTAAAAACGGACTTAAACTTGCATCAGCAATCTGGGTAGGCTTGTCTAAACAAGATTGTTTTTAGCAGGTGCTGAAAAGGGAATAGTGAAAGTACCCGCCTGACAGCTGTCTATCTATAACACACACAGGCAGACGGAGGATGCATCACTAATAATGTTCACTCTTTTTCTATGGGCGCCCGAAGGAGTTTGAACCGTCTCCTCCTCCCAAATCCACCCTGTCCTTCCACGAATCCACCACCAGCCACTTGCCAGCCACAGTGGGCCAGCTGGACAGCCCTCGGGCAGGGAATCCGCCTGTAAGTTTCTGCCCCAACAGCATCCTCAGTTCCCTCCTTGCAGCCTTGCCCACTTTCTCTTGGCAGCGACTGAAGTTCGCTGATGTTGTGTTCTTTGCCAGCAGAGTCCACCTGCTTCCTGCAGAGGGCAACAGGGGTCATCACGGCAGTCGGATGCCACCAGGCGACCTCGATACAATTCCTCCGGGGAGCCCGCAGAGTCCGAGAAAGTGAGGGCAAAGGATGTGGTTGGTCCAGGTAAGTGAGATGCGGGAGGAACATGGATTTACGTATAAGCTAAACAAGTTATAGCTTAGGGCCCCACTCTCTTGGGGGCCCTCAACAAACTTAAAGAAAAAAGATGGATGGACATTTCCAAAATATAAGAGAAAATAAAAAAAAATAAAACCTACATACAGCAACAGTGTTTTGTATTGTTTAGGCTCCTATGATGTAAGTAATGGGCTGTTGGCTGCTCCCTAAAATATCACTGGTTTGCTGATGTCTAAAATAGGGTGCCTACATTCTGCATGGACTGGTTGCATGGCAACAAGCTTTAGATACCTATTGGGTCCATAAATTACCACATGGCATATATTCAACTCAAAAAACAGCAACAATTTGTTGTTGACAAAGGACAGCTGGACATATAAAGGGCACCATTACCTTCAATAGCTTAGGGCCTCATCAAACCTAAATCTGGCCCTGCACACACACAAGGTGCCTTCTCAGGTCTCAAGTTTCAGTGTGGGTTGACTTGGGTAGTTGACATTTGCTTCTTAACCCAGGGTGTGTTTTGGGCACTTCTGATTAGCGAGAAGGATGGATCCCTTCATTCTTTTCACAGCTTTAGTTGTGAAACTTTGGATGCTTTAGGTGAGATTGGACTAGATGACCTTCCAAGTCTCCCGATTCTATAATTCTGTGAACTCTTACTTCCCTTTTGAATTACCCACCATTCCCTTTCCCCACCCACTTTCAGAGTACTGCTTTCCCATTGGTCAAGCAAGGATTCCGCCATTAGTGCTCGCCATTGGTGGCTTAACCTGCCCTGATATTGCCACAGAGTGTGGTGCATAAGAGCTGCCTTTTGAGTTGCGTTGAGGGCCTATCCCTGCCAGGACAGAGGTGGGAACTAGGAGAGAGAAGCAGAAAACTTGGGTTCTGCACCCTCCGAATGAATGCTCTGTCTCCCTCCTCCTTCGCAGATCACGGGAGCCACATCAGCAAACTCTGTGAAGACACTGAGCACAGCATAATCAAGGTACGCGGAGGACCCTCAGAATCATGGCAGCAGAAAATATATGCATTGCAGGGGTGTGGTGCCCCTCCAGATCTTGTTGGACTACAACTCCCATCATCCCTGTCCATTGGCTGGGCTAGGCTGTCTGGAGTTGATGGAAGTTGGAGTGCAAGCACCTCTGGAGGGCACTGTGTTGGCTATCCCTGTTCTAGTGCACGACAGGGGAAAGGAAGGTTTTGTTTTATTACTTATTAATATGTTTATGCTCTGCTTTCCCTAAAAGGTTTGTAGTGGTTTGCATTGCAAAAAAAAACACAATTTAAGCTTCACGGCTCCTGTTGAAACTGGAGCGGCTAATCGACATCTTGCAGGTGGGTGGGTCTGATCCGGGCCCCCAAGCAATACCCCGGGCCTGACTCTTACCTATTTCAACAGGCAGGAACCACCAAGGGAAGAAGGCTCAGAGCCAGGGGGTTAGCAGTGGGGTGATGATGATGAGTGGGCAGAGGGAGAAGCCTGGGAAGAAGAGGTGGAGAGAAGTTCAGAATCGGATGCTGAAGCAGGAGAGGAGTCCTGCTGTTGTAGAAGCCAGGGTGTCTCCTCCTCCTGCTGTAAAAAAAAAATTCCCTCCTCCCTGGTCTCCCAGAACCAGGAGAGGCATTAAGAGGGAGGAAGAGAGGTTGGCTTCATGCAGGCGCCGTCTCTGATTGCTTGGGAAAAGCCCTGGAGAGGAAGGAACTAATGGCTGTGATGAGGTGGGGACTTTTACTCTCAGGAGGGACTGCTACAATCATTAGGCCTGAGACTCAGGCAAGACTGTGCAGATCATGTTCTTGCTAATAAATAGTTAATTCCAACTTCGACGGTGTGATATACTGCTAGCTCGCTCCTGAGAATAGATAAGAAGGCAGGCCTCTAGGACTCTTGGGGTGTACCACGTACACTTCAGAGTCTGAGAAGGATGGCGGGATGCTGCGAGAGAATGCCAGCATGGCTGAACACTGGCAGTAGCATATAAGCAGTTGTTGAAAACAAAATCCCATTTGTGGCAAAGGGAGGGACCCGGAGACCGGCGTTGTGTTCTGGTCTGATGCAGGATCCCACTCAGAAAGCAGCAAGGCTGCCAGACCACAGATAGCTCCCAGTGAGCAGCTTGCTCCGACAAAGGTTGGGAGCAGGCTGAGGCCTTGTGAGTCCAGCAGTCTGCTCGGGGGCCTGATCCTGACTCAGCTCCCTCCCGGTGCCCCTGCTGCCTCCGACTCCGGATCACTGCTAGATTCAGGGGTCATGAATCTCAGGGTCATGAATGAGGTCAGGTATCATGAACGAGGGCTACTGGTCGGCGGCATCTCCTAACCCCTGGTCTTGCGTCACGTCTAGGTCGTCCCCACAGAAGCGGTCGCCTCTCGCCGGCCTCGCATGAGTGCCCAGGAGCAGCTGGACCGGATGCAGAGGAACCAGGAGGCCAAAAGGAGATCGGAGGCTGCCCAGCCAAACGCTCTGGGCCCCTGGCGAGACTCTCTCAAGCGCGGGTCCGGCCGGGTGGGTGAGAAGCCTTTTGGAGGGGAGGGGCCAAGAGGCAAGAGCGAGGTCTCAGCCATCTCCTACAGGGAGGCCCCACGTCCTTGACCCTGGATGTCTCGGGACAAGGGGTGGCGGTATGGTCAGAAGGGCAGATGCCTGGCGGGGAGGGGAGCTGCATCCAGTGGGAAGTGCTTGAGGGGCTGGGTTTATCGTTTTCCTGACAGGGAACAGGTGGGTAATGTGGCTGGGAAACAGATACAGTGGTACCTCTGGTTAAGTACTTAATTCGTTCTGGAGGTCCGTTCTTAACCTGAAACTGTTCTTAACCTGAAGCATCACTTTAACCAAAGGGGGCTCCTGCTGTTGCCGTGCCACCGGAGCACGATTTCTGTTCTCATCCTGAAGCAAAGTTCTTAACCCGAGGTACTATTTCTGGGTTAGCGGAGTCTGTAACCTGAAGCGTATGTAACCCGAGGTACCACTGTATACCTTTGAGTTCTGTAAGAGGGAGAGGGAAATCTCATTGCAGCTGGAGCGTGGAATAGGAAAGTCCCGAGAGAGAGAGAGAGAGAGATAGAGAGAGAGAGAGCGGGCTTGGAAGGGCTGGAGCTCCTCCGGCAGTGGTGTGAGATGCCATGACTCTGGCCAAAGAAAGGCTGAAATCAGGGACTCCTCCTATTTTATGCAGCAAAATGGGATTGTGTGTGTGTGTGTGTTAGAAGAGTCATCCACATCTTTAATTAAAACCACAGGGATGGTTATTATTTTCGCGGTGTGCTTAAGTTCCAATTTGGGTTGGTGAACGAGGGGAAGTGCTCTGACCTAAGGGGGCCGGTGGGGCCAGAACAGCCTTGTTCATGCCCCGTTCCCCTTCCCCATGATTTAATCTCTCCTTCAGCCCCTCCCCAATACCCCCCCTGAGCCATCACCCAAGGAGGGCGTGCAAACTGGGGGACTCAAGCCTCCTCGATGCCCCCCGACCCCTGAGTGGGAGCGACAGCGAGTAATCCAGCTCTCCTACGCCCTGGCGACAGAGGCTTCGCAGCAGCGGGGGAAGCGCATCGCAGGTACTAGGAGAGGCAGTGGTGGCTTTCCGGGGTCTGTGGGACGGGAGGGTCAGGTAGTCAGGGGGTGGGACTCAAATCTATTTGTCTGAAACATTTCTATTCTTTCTTAATTCTCAACCTCCCCGCCCCCAAAAAAACCCCCATCTTCCAGCTGCTGCTGGGCCTGATGGTGTCCCTGCCCTGTCTTCTACTGGAACGCAACAATAGCAGTAAATGCCAAGCAGCCCACTCCATAATGTACCGTATTTTTTGCTCTGTAAGACGCACCTAGTTTTTGGAGGAGGAAAACAAGAAAAAATAATATTCTGAATCTCAGAAGCCAGAACAGCAAGAGGGATCGCTGCGCAGCGATCCCTCTTGCTGTTCTGGCTTCTGGGATAGCTGCGCAGCCTGTATTTGCTCCATAAGATGTACACACATTTCCCCTTACTTTTTGGGAGGGGAAAAGTGAGTCTTAGAGAGCAAAAAATACGGTATATGCCAATATCTCCTGTTTGCTGTGTACAGAATTCAAATGTCCATGTGGTTGATGGGAATTCTTAATGTCGTCTTTCTCCCCAGGAAGGACCAGCTCTCACTCCTCCCTAGACGATATCCCTGTGTCCCATGAAAGCCTGAACCATCATGGCCTCCCCGGTGACAGCCCCTCCAAAGAGCCAGAGCTCCGTGGACCTCTGCTATCTGAGCATGACCAAACAGCTGCTCGGAACTCAAGCTGCCACGATAACTCCAGAATGGCGAATCAGGGGGCACCCCACTCAACCAATCGAGTGCCGGGTGCTTCAGAAGCATCCGATTGGCCGCCGCCTCCTCTTCCCAAGGAGGCGGGCCATTTAAAGCCCAAGACTCTGCAGTTGGAGTCGCACCTGCTGGAACCAGCCAATGAAGAGCTGCCCCTGGTCAGTGGTCCTCCCTGGGCGGCGCCTTTGCCTCAGCCAACCAGCCAGCACCTGTCTATCTCCAGAACAGCCAATTGGGCATCTGAGCAAAGCCTCGTGGGCGGGCAGGGTGCAGCCAATGGTAGGTGCCTGAAGTGGAGGAGCGAGAGCCAGTCCCGCCATGTGGTGGCCTGCCTTGGTGAGACAGCGCAGCCTGTCAGGGTCACCCTGGTAAAATCCAGCTTTTAGCTCCAGAGGGTGGAGGACCAGGATTTGGGGGGGGGGGGGGGAGTGAGGAAGCCCTGCTGCGTGGCTCCATCTTTCTCTAACAGGGACAGGGCAGAAGAATAAGTTCAGTCCCATAGAGTTGGCAGGCTCAGAGCGACAGTTTCCATAGGAATATGAGAAGCTGCCTTATAACAAGTCATGCCATTGGTCCATCTAGCTCAGTACTGTCTACACTGATTGGCAGCAGCTCTCCTGCATTTCGGGCAGGGAGTCTTTGCCAGCCCTATCTGGAAATGACGAGGATTGAACCTGGAAACTTCTGCATAGAAAGCAGATGCTATACCACTAAGCTATGGCCCTTGCAAGTCTTCCACTCCTTTTTTTGTAACTCTCCAACCCTAGATAGCATCATAAAAAAAACTTGTTATAAATCCCAGGGATCAGAACTGCAACACCGCGCCCCCTGCTCAAAGCGCATGCACTCACACATATATGAACATGTTACACGTGTCTTTGCGCAGAAGGACATGAGTCTGGCAAGATGCACCATTCCATCGCTATCACGCTGACTTGCACACACAAGTTTAGGAGAGTATCTTCGACGGGGTTCATTGCTCTCGTCTTCTCCTCCAACAACCTTTGCAGGATGAGAGTAGTGGGGGACTTAGACAATGGCATGACTGTGGAAGCACAGCCGGAATATGGGGGTCCTGAATTCAAATCCCTGAGGCAGAGTGGCAGAGTTCTCAGTTGTTCCCAGTTTGCCTCAGGAGACCGTGCCTGAGGTCAAGCTACTCGCCCAGTCTCTACAATGAGTTGGTGGCAGAGATGCTTCCCTTAATGCTGTTCTGGACTATAGCTCCCATCTGCCCCAGCAGCATGCTTCTGGTTGGGGTAGATGGGAATTGTAGTCCAAAACAGCTGGAGGGCATCAGGTTGGAGAACGCTGCTCTAGGATGTGGCAGGTGCAGGTATTTATTTAGCCCTTCCCAGGGAGAAGGCCGGGGGAATATTTTTTTCCTAAAGAAATGAAGCATCTGCGCTTATAGATGCATAACTGCTAGTTTATGATAGGAAACACACACTCAGGCGGCCATATCCATTCATGCCCGTCTTGACACCCTGTTTGCTCCCATCAGGGGAGCCAACTTGAATAAAATATTGTGGGGGCCCAGGTAAGCCCCGCCCCACATAATCAGTCAAATGATGCAATGCTCACACCATTTGAATGGGAATGCCAATCAACTTTGTTGGGGCCTGGGCCCCCTCAAATATTTTATTGTGGGGGCTGGAGCCCCCACGGCTCCTGGGAGTGGGCTCCTATGGCTCCCACAGATTCACATCCACCCAAGCCCATTCCCTGAGGCACCCAATACGGCTAGAGCGCCTTGCTCCATGCAAATTCAGCTCTCAAGCTTAAGAACTTCAGAAGTTACTGGCCTACAAAGATGGTTTAGTTTTCTTGTTCACAAACACCTGTGGTCTTCATCAGTGCACACGGATTGTCATCTTGAAAAAAAGACAACCAATTCTTTTCTTCCAGTTTACCTTTCCTAGTTGCCTGGAGGTGTTTAGTAATCGCCACAAGCGATCAGAGAAGGGGCTTTGTAAAAGCCTGTGCTTTTGCAAGGCCAGTGAATTTAGAGGGCAAGGTGAACATCTAGGCAGGCAGAGCAGCTCCCCCCGAAGGTGAGTAGGAAACACATCAGGTTCATGGGTCTAGGGAAATCTGAGTTTCCAGCATTTATTAGGCTACATTTGCACAGGCCCTCCTTTACAGCAGGTGTTCAGGGTTTTCTAATGCTCCCCAGCCCTTAGGTTGTATATTGGGCCAGGGTTTCTTTTTTAAGAAAAAGCACATGCCAGCAATCTCCCCCGCTCCGCAAATAGTGAATGCATCCTCTGCCTCTGGGTGATTCAAGTTCCTAGAATTGTACAATGTTGGGTGGGGAGAAATGAAGGTGTCTATAATTGGAATGTGTACATTAGGGAATAAGAAGGGAAAGCAGAATGTGAATAGCTTTAAAAGAGGATCAGACAGATTCATAGAGGAGACAGCTATCTTATGGCTACTAGCCATGACAGCTAAGCTTTGCCTCCACAGTCAAAGACAGTGATGCTTCTGAATGTCAATGGCTGGAAAACACAGGAGGGGGAAGCGCTGTGTCACTCACAGGCTTCCGGTTGGTCACTGTGAGAATGGGATGCTGAACTGGCTGGGACACTGGCCTGATCCAGCCGGGCTACTTCTCATGTATTTGTGGAAGGGGAACGGTTGGCCGAAGGCAGTGATGTGAGAGGCACCGTGGAATGCCTATCCAAGCCAACGCAGGGGGTGGCGTATGAAGGTTGAAAAATTCCTGCTTAAAACAAGGCCCTCGCTTTTATGCCAGGGCAGCCAGGATTTGGCAAGGGTTAGGTAAGTGTGGCAGTGTGGGCTGCACAAAGCTAGGCAAGGGCACATCCTGGAACAAAATTGCTTGCTGGGGAGTCAGAGAGAGAGACGCAGCTCAGAGGGAAAGGGAGAGTGGATTGGGCAAGGTGATGGGGGGGGAAGGGGAAACTGCAAGGGAAGAAGAGGGGTTGTATCAGAGGAGAAACAGTGGGGAGAAGGACACTGGCTGCTGCAGAATTTGGAAGGGAGACGGGGGATTTCAGTTGCTGAGGTGCCCAGATAAGGTGCCCTGCCAACGCAGGCCGCTGCTCGGTGGGTTAACTGGTGAATCGTAGCCCTGGTGGGCAGGTCCACTGCTTTGCCAAGGTGCCCTGGCCCCAACACCAGCTCTGTTGCCAGGCTTGTAACCCCACCAAGAAATGCAACCCCTAACGTTCCTGGATGGAGACTTCGGCATGGTGAATTAACAACCGGAAACCCAAAATCAGGACTGTGAAAGCAAAATGCTGCGACCCTGGGCCTGCCCCGGGGAGCTCAAGGGATGCCGGAGCGACGCAGCTTGAACGAGGGATCCCTGCGGTAACACCCACCTGCACGTCTGCCAAGGCAACTGCTGCATCTCAGCGCTTGGGGGGGGGGGGATTCCCTCTACGAAGACTTGCTTCTCCCCCAAAGGAGGCAGCTTCCACCTCCCTTTGCATTTTAACACTAGCAGCTGCCTGCTCCCCATGTGTGAAAGATTCCAGTTCGTATACTCAATAAAAGATTAACACGATATATATCCCGGAGTCTGCCTGACATATTTATTCCAAGGCTACCATGCTGAAATTTACTTTGAGCGATAATGTAAATGCAGAGAAGTGACGGATGCAGGGCAGGGACGGGGAACCTATGGCCCTCCAGATGGACTACAACTCCCAGCATCCCTGGGCTTAGTTTTTTATGGATTATTGAAACTGCCAGCCCTCCAGGTGCAGTAGAGCTACAACTCCCATCAGCACCAGCCAGCACGGCCAGTGAGCACATCCCTGCAACACTGATCTGTTAAGGGGCAGGAGGGGGTCCTGCAGGGAACTTGTGGGTGTTCCTTTTCCATTAAAAATCCTGGGCCTGCGACTGAAAACAAGCAGTAGAGTTAAGCACCTCTTTAACCTGGCATACCAGGCCGTGTTCAGGTCAGCCATTTGGTGCGTCAGAGGGGCGAAGGAAGCAGGCCATTAGAGGGTGTGTTTTAACCACAAAACAATTGTGATCTGTGCTCAGGATGTAATGGGGCAGTTAGGCATGACTGTTCTTTCAATGGCCATTTGCGCCTGCGAAACTTAACCAGTTGATATCCTGCTGATATCCTGTAATTTTCCATACTGCAAGCCTCCTGCTTTTAGTCATCTTTTTTCCTTTTTTTAAAATCTTGCTTCTGCTGTACTGTAGCAGAAGAGTGCGGCTCCCGCTTCAGCCATGGAACTCAACCAGGTGACCTTGGGCCAGTCCCTGCCCACCTCACAAGGTTGTTGTGAGGATAAAATAGGCAAGCGGGAAACCACCACCTTGAGCTCCTTGGAGGAAAGGTGAGGAAAAGAAAACAGATGCTCACTAGATTAGCCGAGCCCCTGCGCAAGGATGATAATAATAATAATAATAATAATAATAATAATTTATTTGTACCCCGCCCATCTGGCTGGCCTTCCCCAGCCACTCTGGGCGGCTTCCAAAAAACCCACAAATCCGTGAAGCATCCCATAATTTAAAAAAGAATAGGAGAAAAGGTAAAAAACAGAAAAATGGATTGATATATGGATGGTCCAGTATGAATCCACTAACGCCCTGTACATCCATAATACACCTGCAAAAAAGATACAAGATGCCGCCTGACCCTGTCCACGTTTACTTGGAAGCAGGGCTGGATTTAGGTTTGATGAGGCCCTCAGCTACTGAAGGTAACGGGGCCCTTTATATGTCCAGCTGTCCTTTGTCAACAAATTGTCGCTGTTTTTTGTGTTGAATATATGCTACACGGCGATTTATTATTGTTAGATTATAAGTAAATCCGGCACTGCTTGGAAGTAAAAAGTATTGTTTAGAATCACAACCGTGGACAGTGAACCTGGATTTTACGCCTGCTTGCTCCAAAGTGCAGTCATTTGCACTTGCAACCCAAATTGCACTTACCTGGGAGTAAGCCCCACTGAATTCAATGGAGCTTACTTTTGTGTAGACCCTGGTACATTGCAGTCCTAGCTCTCTTAACTATGTTCATAGGATTGCAACCTTAACCCCCCACCCCCACACACAGGAAATGCACGCTTATTTAGGAGTTTGAGTAAGCTTGCGCAGGATCGGGCTGCACCGAATACGAGAACGAAACGCAGGAGCAAGGACTGCATTTCCCAGCATGCCCGGAGACACAGAGCATGCGCAATGGGCGAAACCACATGTTGCAGCGTCTGCGTCCAAAGTTCAGCTGGATGTTCGTGATTTGGAGGAGCCGCGACAACATCTGGAATGGCAACTGGGCTGCGGTACCCGGGCAAGGTCGTCATAGTAACGGGGGGCACCCGGGGTATTGGCGAAGGCATCGTGAGAGAATTTGGTGAGGGTGGAGGGAACCGGGGGGGTTGGGGGGTTGGGGGCAAAGGAGGTTCTACAAATAAGTGCCGGGGCTCAAATATGCCAGGAAGACTGACGTGGAAACCTTGTTCCCCAATCTGTATGTGTTGAGATCGGAGAGGGACTGGATAAAGTTGCTTCTGATAGGAATGTGCTCTGCACGAGCTCAGAGGCAATGTTGGCGTTATTGCAAAACCGAAAGTTTTTGGACATATTTTTTTTTAAATTATTATTAAAGATTTTATTGTTTTACAGAAGTAAGTGTAATGTCTCTCGTATTTTTTCCATGTAACATTTTTACAAATCCGTTTCATTTGTTGAGACACTAGGGGGAGAAAAAAGAAAAGAAACAAAGGGGGGGTGGAGGGAGGGAAGATGGGTGGGGGTGGGGTCGGGTGGCGATGTTTCTATTATGCTTAATGTATGTAGGGTTTGGTGTCAGCGTTGCTTGTGCTGTTTACTTTTGTTTCCTTGGTGGTGAGAGAGGTTGGGGTTGGCCTAGGGTGTGGTTGTTTGTTTGTGATTGGCTGTGATGATCTTTGTTTCCGTGTGTGAGTGGGGTGGGTGGGTGTTTTGGATCAGGTTAGCCATATTGATTTGTATGCTGTTGGTGGATTATTGTCATTGTCTTGTTGGGCTGTGTATGTGATAAAGGGGAGCCATACCGGGGTAAAGGCGTCTCCTTCTGTTTGTCCCCGTGTTGAGGCAGGGCAAAGAACATTTCCTAGCTTCAGTTCCCAGCATCTCCAAGGCTGGGAGAGAGACCCCTGCCTAAATCCCTGGAGAGCTGTTGCCAGTCAGCGTGGACAATGCTGAGCTAGATGGACCAATGTGTTTGTAAAGACCATGGATTTATTGCTGTCGTGGGCATCCATAAGGCTTCTAGCACACAGCAGCTTATGCCACAATACATTTGATGAGACTTTAAGATGCCTCATTCAGAAGGACTCTGGACTGACCCTTCTCTGTAATGTTTTGTTGTTTTTTTACTGCATGGGTCAGTGCTGAGCCCTTGAACTGAAAACAGGAACTGGTGCCCGGACATGAGCTCTTCTTTTTCAGAAATGGGGAGGTGGGGAAAAGGAGAACGTGCTGTTGAAGCAATTTCAGTCTCCCTACCAGGAAATGGGACGTGGGTGGCGCTGTGGGTTAAACCACAGAGCCTACGACTTGCTGATCAGAAGGTCGGCGGTTCGAATCCCCGTGACGGGGTGAGCTCCCGTTGCTCAGTCCCTGCTCCTGCCAACCTAGCAGTTCGAAAGCACCTCAAAGTGCAAGTAGATAAATAGGTACCACTCCTGCGGGAAGGTAAACGGCATTTCTGTGCGCTGCTCTGGTTTGCCAGAAGCGGCTTAGTCATGCTGGCCACATGACCTGGAAGCTGTATGCCGGCTCCCTCGGCTAATAAAGTGAGATGAGCGCCACAACTCCAGAGTCGGCCACGACTGGACCTAATGGTCGGGGTCCCTTTACCTTTACCAGGAAATGCAGGGCATGCTGACTTTCTCTCTGCTGTGAAGCTCTTAGTGGGAAAGAGGAATCTGTAGCCCCTCCAGATGTCACAGAACTACAGTTTCCATTATCCCTGGTCATTGCTGGTGGGGGCTGATGGGAGCCTCTCCACCCCTGTGTTAAAGGCACAAAGTTCTGCTTCTGTGGCTTTAGGTAGAGAATCTTCTTCCTAATTTTGCCCTCTCACATGTTGGGCTGACAAAATACGCATATTTCAAAGAACAAGGTGGACATCTTTTTCTGGCAGGATTTCTGTACATATGTGACTTTACTTGGTGATTTTCCACCTGTAAGTCGCCACTGTTAATGGCCAGAGCCTAGGGGGTTGATGGTAAGGCTTAATCTGAAGTCTAAGACAGGTTGAGCAGCCGCAAAAGGAGCATCTGGATCTAATTGCCTAGGAAGCATAAGAAAAGCTGGTTTTCCTGACCTGAAAACATGAATCTTGTGGTACCTGAAAGACTAGAAGATTCATCATGGCATCAACATGAACTACAGTCTCTTTCATCAGATGCCTGAAATTATATCTTTGGTTGGTAGGCTTTTTGCTGGAGGGGAAGTAAGTGTGGAATGCAAACAGGGAACAAAAGGAGTAATTAAATTAAGAGTTTGTGACAGGTAGGCCCTCTTTGACATCCCTTTTTTTGGGATAGGCATATATTGAATATCTGCTTGTCACTAAAGGCAGGGAGTCTCTGACAGGATGCAGAAAGACAGGAATCTGAGTTCCAGATAGGTTCATATGTTTCGCGGCCAGTCATCAGTTGTGCAGTACTTGAAGTCGTTTGTGATGCATGCGGAAGGTCCAATTTCTGTCTTCCCAGCTCAGGCTTGGAAAGACCCCTGTCTGTCAGCTGGTGTAGGTCAGTGGTTCTCAAAGGGTGTGGCTGGGGAGAATGGCAAGTGTGGCAGGAAGATGCAAAGAAAGAAACATTTAAGCATTTCAGTATAGTGTAATACAGTCGTACCTTGGCTTTCAAACAGAATGCGTTCTGGAAGTCCGTTCGACTTCAGAAATGTTTGGAAACAAAGGCGCAGCTTCCGATTGGCTGCAAGAGCGTCCTGCAGCCAATCGGAAGCTGTGGAAGCCTCACTGGATGTTTGGCTTCTGAGGCAAAGTTTGCAAACTAGAACACCTACTTCCAGGCTTGTGGCATTCGAATTCCAAGTTGTTTGTGAACTAAGCTGTTCGAAAACCAAGGTACGACTGTATAGTATAGTATAGTATAGTATAGTATAGTATAGTATCAAAATATTTTTGGGGTACACAACCAGAAATAGTATCTTTTCAAGAGCATTGGTTACACTTCTACAGTTCTCCGCAACATATTGTTCTGACAGGGATTTTCAACTCTGACAAATTTGAATGATCAGAAAAGAGAAAGAATTATTTGTGTTGATGAGGAGATGATAGTTTATTTGTCTCAAATTAGACCTGATATAAATGAGAAGATTGCCTGGCAAAAGCAAGCTCACGCCTCTCATTAGGCTTGTATTATACATACTTCAGGTACATATCAAAGAGGCTTGTTTATAATTATATTTTGGGGATGAGTCATTTTTTTTTTGCAGCTGAATTTATACTTTCTGGATGCCCCATGCCCTAAAGTATTTTATTCTATGTTATAAATCATGCACTGCTAGGAGTTGTTTCTTTTTGTTTTCCAATGTATTTCGTATCAATTAAAAAATTGGTGTGGCATGAACAAATTTTTATTCTGTAAGTCTGGCCCAGAGAAAAAATGTTTGAGAACCTCTGCTGTAGACAATGAACCAAGGGTTGACTCTGGGATGATTTCTGTGCTCCTGAGCAAGTGAGTTGCGCGCATGCCTAAGAATTGGGCCTCTGGGATATTTTATCTTGCATTCATTTCTTCCCCTAACTTTCCTTCCCAGTTCGCCATGGAGCCAAAGTAGTCTTCTGTGCCCCAGGATCTGAAGGTGAGGCTTGGAGATCTTTCATTACCCCCACTCATGGTTAAAGGGCCCCCTCGGTCTCTCACTCCCAATGCGTATATCCAAATCGGTTTGGCTAATGCAAAGGAGATATGCAAGGTTAAGACAGCAGAGGGCAGCAAAATGTCCCAATAAAGTTGAGAAAGAAAAGCATGGCTGGAAAAACAGTCCCGTTTTGTGGCAGTGGTAGATATTCTACAGGTGCAGGCTTACAAAAGTTGCAGTGATGAAGCTGTACCTTTGAATTTCTGTCTGTCAATTAGGTGTCAAATTGTATAAAGAGCCCTGCCAGGAAAAGGGGGGAACCTAATCCCCAGCCTGCATACTTGCTGCACTTCAAGTGACAATATACAGCCCCGCTCTCTTTCTTTCCTCCTGGAGATTTTCTTCATTTAGGAAAAAGGTGTGTGTTTGGTCCTGAGAACTAGCAACTTGTGCAGTGGTCTTTTTGTGCAAGGATTTAAACCTGGGTCATGTCACTAGGGCAGCCTTTCTTGGCTCTTGTTCCAGCCTGGGCCAATTGCATCACCAGCCACTGAGAGTTGCTGGGAGACCCCCAGTCCCATCACAGAGCTACACTTTCCAGAGCGGTTTGACAGTCAGTCCCTCTTCTCAGGGAGCTCTGGGAATTGTAGCTCTGGGAGGGGAATGGGGGGGGGGCACCTCCTAACAATTCTTGGCACCCATAACAAATAATGTTTCTCAGAATGCTTTGGAAGAAGCCATGGCAGTTTGAAGTGGCTTCATGGGTCCACTGACTGGGGAGAACTTTGTTCTGTGTGTGTGTCCTTCCTTCCTCTTCTGCTCCTCAGAAGGCCACAGTAACTCTGTTAGTTAAGACTAAGAGCCAGTGTGGTGTAGTGGTTAAGAGCGGTAGACTCGTAATCTGGGGAACCGGGTTCGTGTCTCCGCTCCTCCACATGCAGCTGCTGGGTGACCTTGGGCTAGTCACACTTCTCTGAAGTCTCTCAGCCCCACTCACCTCACAGAGTGTTTGTTGTGGGGGAGGAAGGGAAAGGAGAATGTTAGCCGCTTTGAGACTCCTTAAAGGGAATGAAAGGCGGGATATCAAATCCAAACTCCTCTTCTTCTTCTGAGCTTTTATATTTTCCTTCAGGGGAAAGGGGGAAAGTTATTGAAAAGGAGCTGAATGATTCTGCAGGGCCTGGGGAAGGTCACTTTGAGGTCTGTGATGTCCTTCGTGAAACAGACATTAAGGTAAGCTGAAACTGGAGGAAGAAGAGTATTAAATTGGGGAAGTTTCTCAGGCACCTCCAAGACCAACTTTTCCTTTGCTGAACAGGTTGCGGAAAGCCCTACCCCAAATTCCAGCTCTCTGTTATTTAAATTTTCTGCCTTTGGGGGCATTCCTCTTGGTGTCTGTGTCTGACCTTTTCCCACAGATTCAGAATAATTTCCCTGTTATTTGCTAAGTGCTTTCCTCACCAAAGTGACCCAAAGCGCTGTAACATTAAAGCCAATGTTGATACATGTCTTAAATAAATACTACACTAATGCATGCTACACTGTGTTTAAAAGTGCACCCTTATAGTAACAAATGTGATAAAAATGAAAGGCAGAAGTCACCCGAACGTGACTGCTGAATAGAGCAAACACATTTCCAAATAAACTAATTTAATATAAAGCACCTTCTGTTTCAGCCTTTAAATACCTGCTGAAAACTTGTCTATTCCACCAGGCTTATGCAAGCAACTAAGAACACATCTTTCCATAACCATTAGTTGATGATCTCTGATTTTAAACATCTATGTGTTTTCATTATCTATAGATATTACTCTCCACACCTATGATATTTTTAGGCTATAGTGGCATAGCTCCTCACTCCCGTTCAAGTAGCTGAATGTTCTAAAATTGCAGAGATTTTTTGGTTCTCTTTCCTGCGGCAATTATATTCATGCCCCTCCTTGCAGACTTTGGTTTCTGTGACCATAGAACTTTACGGACAGCTTGACTGCCTGGTGAACAATGCTGGAAGCCGTGAGTTGTTTCCAAAATTTTGGGGTGTGTGGGAAGATTTGGGATGGTTGTCTCCTGGGAGGTGGGGCCTTCTTTGATTAATCAACGACAACAAAACGGCCATGAGGACATACCTCCGAGGAAAGACAGCTTTGTGGTTGTCTGTTTACAAAACCGAAGAGAAAACCAATCACAGTGAATGTCTGTGTTTCTTTGACAGTTTAGGACAGGGGAGGAGAACTTGTGGGCTGTTTTCATGAAAGTTGGTGGAAGCCTGTTGAGATGGAGGGGGCAGGGAGACAAGGGGGGGGGCAAAGCTCTCTGCAAACCGCATTCGGACCCCTGGCAACAGGATAGCAGAAAGAGAGCGTAGAGGAGTTACAGGGGAAAAGGGGGTGGTGGCCCAGCTTTTCACTGACTGGCCTCCAACAGATTACCACTGAGTGAATGCATGGCCCTTCCCTGGTGTAGGGCATTCTAAGCACTTCATATGAGTTATTCCATCAGCTCCAAGGCTTACTATTATCCCCATTTTGCAGGTGGAGGACTGAGGTTGAGAGAGAGAGAGAGAGAGAGAGAGAGAGAGATGGAGAGGAAGTTGCTTGCTTAAGGCTGCTCTTGGAAAGGAGTGAGGAAGGTTGAGCCTATGGGAACTTTTTGACTCCTAGCTGCTCTGTTACATGAGCTGCCTTTATTTTCTGGGCTCATGCTCTGACCCATGAATATCCTTGCAGGTGTTGTACCTTTTATGTCAAGGAGCAAAACCTAAGCCCTTATTGGAAAGGAAGTAAAACTAATTAGGATACTTATCATTTGGGGGGGGGGGGAAGGGACACCCAACTCTCATTTTCATATCTGATGTTGGATCTGTAATATTTACATCCCCTCTAAGATGGTTTAGGAACGACAATGAATGTTGAGTCTTCTTGCAAACAGATCCTCCAGACCAAACCATAGACGACGTGTCTGCACAGGAGTTCCGCAGCCTCATGGACCTCAATGTGGTGAGCTGCTTCTTAGCCGCTAAGGTGAGCAATTCCAGTTTTGTACTTGGGATACTGCCCTTTTACCAAGCCAGGCCACTGGTCCATCTGGCTGAGGATTATCTGTACTGAATGTTCTGAAATTGCAGAGATTCTTTTTTTGGGGGGGTGGTTCTCTTTCCCCCTTGCACGAAATCTTGTCTTTTTATATCCCTGCTTCTCTAGTGATGGCTGTGCTCCTTAGGACTGGTAGGGGTAGCAGGCAGGGACACATGGAACCAACTAGGGACACTTCTCCACCATACATTTAAAGCCCTGTGATGCCGCTTTAGACAGTCATGGCTTCCCCCAAAGAATTATGGGAACTGTAAATTGTTACAGGTGCTGAGAGTCGTTAGGAGACTCATATTCCCCTCCTACAGTTCCCAGAGCTCCCTGGAAAGAGGGGTTGATTGTTAAACCACTCTCAAAGAAACCAGCTTTAATCCCTGGCCTCTCCTGTCAAAGTAATAATTATAATATAATAATAATTTATTATTTATACCCTGCCCATCTGGCTGGGTTTCCCCAGCACTCTGGGCAGCTCCCAACAGAGGACTAAAAACAGAATAAAACTTCAAACATTAAAAACTTCCCTAAACAGGAAGGCCTTCATATGTCTTCTAAAAGTAAGATAGTTGTTTATTTCCTTGACATCTGATGGGAGGGCGTTCCACAGGGCGGGCACACTACTAAGAAGGCCCTCTGTCTGGTAATATTGGGTAGGCCTCCTGGGAAAGTCCTTCAATCATAGGAGACCAAGCGTGTTCTCCAGATGCCAATGGACTGCAACTCCCATCATCCCTGCCCTGTTGGCCATGCTTGCTGGGGCTGAGTCCAGAAAATCTGGAGGTCACATTGGTTACTCCTGGAGTCAAGACCATTAATCTTCAACTGGTGGGTCATGGACTCTACAACGTGGGGATCTAAGATGATCTAAAGTGGGTTGCAACAGCAGCACTTACCAGCAAACACACACACACTGAGAACAATTCAGAAGTGTGTTCCTAAATGCATGTTTGGGTTAAGGGTGGGTCCCAGCTGAGCCACTTCTGGAGTAGACAATACTGTGCTAGATGGATCAATGGTCTGGCTCCATTCAAGGCAGCCTCATCTGTTGGGATCTTTCCTCTTGCAAGCAGGCCGCCCTGCCTCACCTCCGCAAAACGAAAGGGAACATCGTCAACATCGCCAGCCTTGTTGGTCTCATTGGGCAGAAGTATGCGGTGCCGTATGTTGCAACCAAGGTAATCCAGAGCAACACCTAAACTTGGATTCAGGTGCCCTTCCTTCCCACCCTCCCCTTCTGGTTGTAAAGACTGGACCGCCAACTTTTGTTTACAAGCATCTGCTTCTGTGCTCTTAATCACAAGGGATAATCCCGAACGATAGTGCCTGTCTTTATGCCATTGAAAATCCACTTTCTGCTTTCCACATATCCAGCTGCTGTTTAACGACACAGGAGCAAGTCAGCTTTCCCCACCCCAGTCAGTTGGCAATTCTGTCTAAACTTCTCTCTCTCTCTCTCTGTGTGTGTGTGTGTGTGTGTGTGTGTGTGTGCTTGCTTACTATAGCCAAAACAAATTGACTAGCTTTATTACACCAGGCTTAAACCTCCCTGTAACACAAATAACGAGTTCATTTTTTTTGTTTTTTGTTTTTAAACAGAATTCCATAATTTAACTAAGGACTCTTCTGTCCTTCAGTCTATTCAGTTTTGGATTAGCCTCTTGTGGTTGATATAAATCAGTGGGATTACTTATTTGCAACATCATTAAAATAAAAAAAAATCATTAAAATAAAAAAGTCACCAAAGATGGGAGCAAAGCGGTAAGAAAACATTGGCCTGTTATTTGGGTTGCCAACTTTTAATTGTCGACGCCTTCTTTCATTCCATTTGCCAGAGGAACGCGAGGGACATGGTCAATTTACACGCCAAGAAAAGCTTCAGATTGTTTTCTGTACCGCAAGATGCTGTCAAGAGGCAGTGTCATTTCCTCCTCCCCTCTGGTCCGTTGGTAACCCTCCCTATTAATGCCTCTGACTTTGCAGGGTGCTGTTACTGCGATGACAAAAGCTATGGCCATCGACGAGAGCAAATATGGTGTCCGAATCAACAGGTACTGTAGTGGCAGCTTGCAGTGAAGTTCTGTTGTGCACGAGGCCTTCCAGGGCGATCAGCTTTCCTCCTTCCATGTGTGCAGGGTGTTTGTTTGGATACCTTTTCAAACAAAAGTATGGGAAGTGTAGAGGATTTTGCACAAAGTTCTGAAAGGATCCCTCCGGACTTGGTGAATGGGCAAATGGCAAATGCGGTTCAGTGTTAGCAAGTGCGATGTGATGCACACATTGGGGGCAAAATAGATCCTAACTTCACATCTGAAGTGGCAGGTGGCTTGGCCAGGAAATAGTGGATAACGGTGGATGACTCAGTGAGGATGTCAACCCGGCATGTACAGGGATGCTAGACATGATTGAAATCAAGACATGATTTAACTCAGGCAGGTGTTACCCTGGCCATATCTGCAGTCTCCAGGAATGGATGTAGCTGGAGCACAACTTATTTATTGGCAGGACACTAGCAACCAAGCATAAGATTTCACTGTGAATTATAATTATAAATTACCTTATATACCACCTTTGTCTTCCAAGGAGCTCAAGGTGGTGTACATGGTTCCCCCCTCCCCATTTTATTCTCACAACAACCCTGTGAGGTAGGTTAGGTTGAGAACTGGCGACTGGCCCAAGGTCACCCAGCGAGCTTCATGGCTGTGTGGGGATTTGAACCCTGATCTTCCAGGTCCTAATCTGATACTCTAACCACTGGCTCTCTCTGAATCAAATTTAAAGTCGATATGGGAGTCTTTACTTCTGGAAATAACAAAAGGGGGACATCTTTCCTCACTAATTTTGAAATGGATCTGTTCTATTTTCCTTGCCTTCTACCTCTCCACCCCCCTCTTTTTTTTAAAAAAAAGAAACCCCAACTATTTGAATTCCAGCATCTCACCTGGCAATATCTGGACTCCTATGTGGGAGAAGCTTGCAAGCCAGACAGCTGACCCAGAAGCAACGATCCAGGAAGGCATAGATGCTCAGGCAAGTGCATTGTGGGGAAACAGGCCTGGTGTAGCTAAAGGGAAAAGGTTCCATCCTACAAAAGGGGGGGGGGGCTGTGTAGCTGTTGTAAACAAAAATTGCCCTTTTCCCTTATGGGGTATCCCAGAGCCCATATAGAGTCCTTACATAGGTTCCCTATTGGTAGGAGAGAATAACAAAGGCCAACCAGAGAATATTGAGAAGCAAAGCAGCTAGTAAGCGTGATCTTTATTGATCTGTTGCAACAGGGTCTCCCCTCACCCACAGGAGAGGAAGTGGAACCCAGAAAATTGGCGTGCAAGGCCTTATAAAGATTTTTGAAATTGCCACCCTGTAGATGAAGACCACCCCCAGAAACATCATACATACATCACAGAAGGGGTGTAACCTAAGACCACCCCTCAGATACATTACACCTGCATCACAGAAAAGGCGGTCTAAACAGAAATTTGAATGTTGTTTTTCTCCTGTCGTTGTTTATCTCCTGTCTGGCAGGTTATTTGATTGGATTGCTGGGGTAGCCTGGCCAGTCTTTTGTAATGATAAATACTTAGTTCCTGGGCCAGGTCACAGGCTCACACCCTATTAAAACACAGACATACCCTTAAGACAGGATTTGTGAAGGAAAAGACTATGGGGAGGCTTTTCCATTTTCCTTTGACCTTGCAGAGAAAACATTTGGTCAGTTTGGGACAGTTTGGGAATCAAAATGGTTCCAGGTCGGTCTTCCTGTGCTGATCTATGTATGTGCTTGGTTGGTACACTTATGAACATTTAACATATATCTAAGACCTCAAAATTCCTATCACATAGCCAACACTGGGGGGGGGGGGGGGGGATATGGCCAGACCTCTGCACCAAGGAAGCCCTGATCCTGCAACCTCCCTATAGTGTGCAAATTAATGACATTTGTATATATGAGCTATTTCTGCATAGATCCGGTGTCAGGAACCTGTGGCCCTCCAGGTGTAGCTAAACTACCACTCCCATCACCCCTAGCCATTGGCCATGCTTGCTGGGCCTGATGGGAGTTGTAGTTCAGCAACATGCGGCAGGCCGAAGACCTCCCACCCCTGGCGTAGCTGCCAATTTTTCTGTTTAGTTATGGGGAAAAGCCAAAGTGTCATGCAAAGCATTGGATGTCTCACTAATCAGCTTCTTAGCCTGACCTCTTAACTTTTGAGATCTCATAGATTTATGGACTAGAAACTTGTTTTGGTGTTTTTTTTAACTGAGTCTCAGGGGCTAGAAACTTGTGTCTTCTTTAAACTGAACGCTAAGAGTATGAAGTAAAAGCACCAGGTAAGAGGAATGGGCTGTGCACACTCATAATATAAGGTGCAAAATACTGATTTCCCTCTCAACTGTATTTGCAGCTTTTGGGAAGAATGGGGACCCCAGCGGAATGTGCTGCAGCTGCTCTGTACCTCGCTTCTGAGGCCACCTTCTGCACTGGCATCAACTTGGTGCTTAGTGGTGGAGCCGAACTTGGATACGCACAGAAGAGCCACAGAGAGCTGAATCCCAGCTTGGAAGACTAGTTAGAGTCAGCAAAGAAAGCACGAATGTCTTCAGTGGTTAGTTGATAAGGTGGGCTGATCAGAACAGCTGCAGCTCCAGTGTCGATTTTACTCAAGCCATCCTTTCAAAAAGACAGAACGTCCGCAGGATAGCGACTACGTTTTTATCTGTCTTAGCCAAAACAGTAAGAGCCCTGTGGCACTTTTAAAGACTTAGCAAATCCAGATATGCCCCAAGGATGAAGGGGATTCTTCACACACACACAAACACACACACACACACACACACACACACACACACACAGACAGCAGGTTTCCACGCCTTCTCTGACAATTGTTTAGCAAGCAGAAAGGCAACAGCTCAAGCTTTTCCAGTACAGTGGTACCTTGGGTTACATACGCTTCAGGTTACATACGCTTCAGGTTACAGACTCCGCTAACCCAGAAATAGAACCTCGGGTTAAGAACTTTACCTCAGGATGAGAACAGAAATCGTGCTCCGGCGGCGCAGCGGCAGCAGGAGGCCCCATTAGCTAAGTGGTACCTCAGGTTAAGAACAGTTTCAGGTTAAGAATGGACCTCCAGAACAAATTAAGTACTTAACCTGAGGTACCACTGTACTTTTATGTTCCCATGTAGGGCAGGAGGAAGGGGACCTCTGGCCCACAACCCAATTATGGCCTGCAAAGCTGTTTTCCCCAAACTAAACCCACCTGTCCCAAACCTGACCCCATTTGCGATGTCAATTGTGGGGCAGGCAGAGGCATCGCTGGATCGGCTGTGAGATCCAGATTCACACAACCAGTCCTTGTAGAAAGCAGGTTTGAAGTCACTGCCTATCTTGAGCCTGAAGATAAGCAGTGCTTTGAAGCCCTGAGCAATCATCACGTGATGTAATTGTGACATCAGGCATTTGACAGGTGGGTAGTCCACCCATCTGCCTATCAAATTTGGTCCTTTGAAGGCTAGGGGAGAAAAGAATCTGGCCCACTGGACCAGTGAATAACCCTGTTTGCCATGGAGCTAAAGGCATAGGAGCGTAGTCAGAAGAACGGTGGCAACCCGGTCCTTAATATTGCTTTACATGTTCTAGGCCTTAATACTGAAAACAGGTTCTACAGCTTAGCCCCAAGGAGTTCCTAGATAACACCATAGGCCTGTTTGTCATGCAAATATGCTCAAGGTCAGCTGGACCTTGAAGCTGAACATGTGGCGGTGAAGATTTTGTTATATTTAACATGTGCCTTTTGATCAGTGACCATGGAAATTCTTATCCTGAATCTGCTTGTTAAATAAATACTTCGGAAAAGACTGCCTTAAAAATGCGACGCCTCATTGGGCTTTAATGCTGTTGGCCGACAAAGATTATCATCTAAAAAAAAGCACCACCCCACCTGATTTCTCCAAGAAATTGACAAGCTTATGGGGCTTGTCCCCTCCAGCTTTTATCCTCACAACTATCCTGTGAAATCAGCCAGTCCTTGTGTTCACAGTGCTTTAAAATGATTTGAGTCGGAGAACCTACCAGAAGGATTTGGGCCTCCTGGTCAGATACTAGATTCTGCGGCCTTGTTCCCACTTTTGCACCTTTCCCAGGCTTCTGTTCTGTTCCTCTAACTCTGTTCAAATGGCATGTGGGTAGATTGATTATATCTGTTTGCAAAGAGAACTTCTAGCATGTCCAGCTGATCAGGGGTGAGGTGGGCTGGGGGTGGAATGCCCTGACTTGCACCTGTTCCTTTAAGAACAGCTTGATTTGCAGAAATCAGCCACTGAATTCATGGTCATGAGATAAAAAAACCCCGCCTATTAATTGTAGGAGTACCCTCCTTTTTAACACACACATATAGCCAGATCTCCATGATGGGCAGTATATATGCTATCTAAACAGGGCCATTGTGTTCTCAGAAGTGGTTGTGTTTAACCCTTTGAAAAGCATCACTGGCATATCTTTGCTCCAACTGAGGCTGGCTGTGAATGCTGCCTTGGAAAAGGATGTCTGTATAAACAGAATAAAGAGTTCACAAGGAAACCTGGGCACAGTTCCTGTTTTAACAGCTGTTCCTACCCCAGAGGCAGCTGTGTCTCTGCTCTGTTGGGGGGGGGGGTAGCTACGTGAACAGCCAGCATCTTCTGCGGTAATGAGCAGTCCATGCAGCAAAATCAATTACTCCAGAGCTCCCTTAATTGCTTCTTTCAAGCCAATTAACTAACGTCCTGGAGAAACAGAGCATTAGCTCTTCATTGACTAGGTACATGCTAGAATTACTGGTTGCCACTCCATGCCCCCCTATGCCCCCAAGAACATCCAGTGCTGCACGAGAAGCAACTTCACATGTTGAGTTTCTGGCTGCCAACATGAACAACAGTACTGCCCTGAAAATATAGCAATCCTATTCATAAAACCTCAGTCTCTCTGTCTCCTATGGGTGGGTTGGTTGTGGTCACTCCCTCTGACAATGTCGTCGTTATATGTGTGTGTCAAATTTATAAATTTTCTACTGCTTAATGCTTAAGATGGCTTCTAAACCAAAAGATTTAAAACTAACTATATAACGTCTGCATTTAAAGCAGTATCATACCACTTCAAACAGTCATGGCTTCCCCCAAACAATCCTGGGAAGAGTAGTTTGTTAAGGGAGCTGAGGGTTGTTAGGACACCCCAATTCCCCTTCCAGAACACTTATTCAAAGAGTGCTTTAAAGTCACCCCTCGTTCCATGGAACTGAGAATGGTAGCTCTGTGAGAGGAAGAGGGGGCTCCTAACAACTAGCACCAAACAACAAACTTCAGCCCCCAAAATTATTTGGGGGAAGGCTATGACTGTTTTAAATGGTATGATATTGCTTTAAATGTGCAGTACAGATGGGGCCTTAAAATACAGTATAATTAAAAAGGGACCATAAAACAACCCTATTAAAATATAAACCTCCATGATTAAAATGTGAAATTAAAACAGCTAAACAATACAGGAGACTCAGGTCAAGCAATCAAAGGAATTTTTATGAAAAAAAGTGCATCTTCAAAAGCTGGCAGAATGCCAATACAGATGTTGCAAGAGTTGATGGGTAAGTGAATGGTTTTGTTCTAGGTTTTCTCATCTGGATGATTACTCCTCTTCGTTTCCAAAACTCATGAGTCCAGGATGCGCTCTTCCCGCTTTAGGCAAGCACATAAACACTTTCTACACCATTCAGATTTTTTTTAAAAAATGTGTTTATTGTCTCCCCTCCCATTTTTACAAAAAAATGAACTAAAATAAATAAAACACATGATTATCACTTGAAAAAAAATTCATTGTCTTCAAAGTGCTTAAGACCTCCTCTTCTTCATCCTCCTAAGAGCCCTAGTGATGTAGTTTTTACTACATTAACCAGTAAGGCTGGGAGATCTTGCTGTCATTTCCTCAAGGACATGGCTAAACAGGGAGAACATCAATAACATTTAGGATTTAAATATGAGTTTTTGTAAGTGCCTAAAGCCTTTGCATACGCGATCCTAGTGAACTTTGTAAGTACAACCAGCTTTTACGATAGGGTAGAATTATAATTATTCCCCCCCCCCTTTTTCTTACAAAATGGGTGAGAGGAGAGACTGAAGCTCAGTAGTGCCTTGCCAATGGCCAGTCACTGAGTTCACAGCTGACAAAAACAGACAAAAGACAAAAACGGGGGCTTTCCATCTCTTAGCTCATGATTTTAGCAACCACAACTCTGGACCCAGATTAACACTTTAGACACTGATTCACACAGCGGCTCCTGTGCTGCCTTGTGCATTGCAACTTTTGGATACCTAGACGTATTTTTACTGCAGGTGCCTTTCCACAGCTGTGGTTAGTCCAGTAAGAAGTCATGCTTTTCAGTTTCCTTCTGTTGTGGCTTTCCAGTCTAAACCGATTTTTAACTGAACATTTGATGTGTTATGCCCTCCCATTTACTGTTCCCTGTTCTAAGTTTATGGGAGGGCTATAACGTTTAAAATAAATAACACCCAAGCCAGATGACGTGGGTGTTTGTGCACATTCTTGAATCCCTCCCTGCTGTTGGCCATGCCCCTGTGCTGCTGTTTGCTTGCTCTGTGCATAGTCAGATGCAAAGCTGACACATGTGCTCCTTGAAGGGTGTATGTGAAACTGCTAGCTTTGCCATTGGATGGGTGAGTGGGCGTGTGTAGGGAAAGCGAGTATGATTGGCGGCAACACCCCCCCTACTTTGTAGAGGGTATTTGTGCCAAGAAAAACGAAGATGTGTTTGTGTGTCTAAAATACATGTACACATTTCCACAAATCCTTTCCTAACAGATACCCTTCATTCTTCTTGCATCATCAGTGCTTCTAATCTTGCCTTTATCAGCTACCCTAAATGTAGCTGCTTCTGTAAATGTTTGTTTTGCTCAACTTGCTTTTTTTTATTACTCATACATAGGGAAGAATGTGCTGAACACGTCGCAGTACTGAATATAATCTCGATATAATTCCTTATTTCCTTATTAGGGTTGTAGAGCCTTCGCATTTTAACTCGCCGTTTAAATGAAGTCGACCGGGGGAAGGCAAGCAAAGCCCTCTGTACATACTTAGCGGCGCACTCATCCTTCAAAATTTGACATTGAAAACAAAGGCGTCCTGAGCTGCGCCCTCTTTTCAGCTGGAGCCTTTTTGTCATGGAGAGCCGCATGGAAAGTAGGCAAATAGAGGTGGAGCTGGAGGCGGGCGAGGGGCGGAACCTTTCTGCCCCGGCTCCAGCAGGCCCCGCCCGGCCTCATTAGACAGAAGCACCACCAACAGCATGGCAGCGACGGCGGGACTCCCGCGCTCTTTGGGGCGGGTAAGTTGGGGAAGGGGAGGGGGGCCAAGAGGGAAGGAGACCCGGCGGCCTTTCCCCGCAGCCCATCCCCAAATAAAAGGGAAGGGGGCTGCACTTCCGGTATGGGGGTCACGGTGGTGGGCTCAGTCCTGTCCTTAAATAGCTCCGGGCGGGAACGTAGCTCCCACGTTAAAAACAACCAAAAAACACCCTCGTATTGAAGAGCCAATCGCTTCTCTAAATCCCTTGCCCAGTTCCTAAACAGATACTTATTACCGATTTCCTTCCAGATGGGTATTAGCTTGCTTCTTCCCCAGTCCTTTCCAAGGAGGCACCCCCAACCCCGATATTCGCCTGGACACTCACCACCTGGCTCTTCCAATAACTGTTTTTCAGCCTGGAAAAGATTGGGATCAGTAGTAACACGTTACCTATTTACCCCTCCCTCAAGCCCCATATCTCTTCTCCAACACAGGAAATTTACTGAACTGGATAGCCCCGCTCCAGCTGGCTTCTCTCCTTCAGTCAAATAAATTCCCAATTTGATATTTCCCAAAGGCACATCACTGCCAAGTTGTTACAAAATACACTTCTCCCCGCCTCTTGAGATCTTTTAGTTCTAAAAAGATGGCTAAATCTTTTTGTCCTAAAAATAACACTCTCCTCTGCTATATTTCCTTTAATTCCTCACGAGAAATTCCTTAGGGCACCCAGAGCAGTACTTTCCCACACCTAAGGTACTGTTCTCATACTCTTTCTTTTTTTACAATTTTTGACACAAGGGATGCTTTGTACAATAGGAGGAATATTGATTTTTAAGTCTATGTTGATGGCTGCCTCCCCCCCCGCCCGGTCTTGCTTGAAATGGCATCGATTTGACCCATGCAGCTTATCCCGCTCAAAATTCCTCCAGGCTTAGGGTAGATTTTTTCCAAGAACAACTTTATCCTGCTTCAGTGAGTGGAGTGTTATGTTCCTCAGCAGTTGTAACTTCCCTGTGATTTTTAAGAATGGCAATATGCTTAAACGGAATAAGGAGCAATTTAAGCGTTCACTACACAGATAAAACCCTGTGAACTTTAAAAACAACTGCTAACATTCAGTTTAGGCATTTCTGATGCGAATGTGTTTCTGATGCTCACTTAATAGACACTAAAACACGTGGGTTTGGCAGTGGGGTTATGAAAGTTCATGCTGGTTAGGAGGAAATTGTGGATTCTCTATCTGTTCCTTGTAAACTCTGCCTGGAAATATCAACACCTGGAGCAACCCCATTTTGTCATTATTCTTGTCCTGACCTGCTATACAAATCTAGGGGCTGCCCCTCCCTTTGCAGCCACAGTCCCATGGCAGCATACCTCCTGCTTTCTTTATTTAAGTTGGCATGATATTCTCACCTACCTGGAACACTGTGTTCTCTCTTCCGCTTCTTTTTTCTACCGCTCCACCCCTGACTTTCTGACATGCATCTTGCGAGAGAGCTGCAACTTCCTGATAAATAGAGCTGATTGTGTTCAGAGGGCTGGATTGGGTTTCTACTGGAGGAGAGAGAGAGAGAGCAATTTCAAAGTGTTATATTGCTTGTCGGCAATGAAAAGAGGAACAGTTGCCAAGGCACTGAAAATTCTGCAAAGGCCAAGAGTTATGGTTGCCACTACTGCTGAGTTTCTCTCTTCAGTCCCCTGCTGTCATGCCAAGAGCAGGGAAGTGTCCTTTCTGGTTATTTTGAGATCCAACTCAGTTGTTTCTCACTCATTAACAGAGTATTCTGCACCCAGGAAAACTAAATTCAATGCAAAGGAAACCCAGGAGTTTGGCGTTGCTGGCTGCAGGTTGCAGCAGCCCTGGATAAGATGTTCCCTGTTGAGGCCCTCCTCCTGAGTGAGGGGCTTCTTGGCTTTCATGACACTGCTCCGAGCAGAGAGGAGTGGATGTATCTATCCCCTCCCTTTATGAACGATGCTAATTCAGGGGTACTGTGGGGAATGTAAAGGGTGGTTAGATACAGCTGCCTGTCACAGTCGAGAGTGGTGAGTCATTCATATATAGGGGTGGGGATTGGGCAGGCATCAGCAGTGGGCCCTGCCAGGGAACTAGGGTTCTAGCAACTGCCCATGGGTGCCAGGGAAATCTTAAGCATATGTGCCTCCGGGGTGCAAAGATCTGCCCAGCGCCCCCAAGTCTGACAAGCGCCTCCGTTGTGAATGACAAGCGCCCCCGCTTGCGCAGCGCATCTTAAATGAGCGTACAAAGTCGAAGGTCCTTTAGTGAAACAGTAGGTATACATTTCGGTAATACCCAGGTACATACCGTACTTTTCCGTGCATAAGGCTAGGTTTTTCTCTTTAAAAATTATGCTAAAAAGTGTGAGTCATCTTATACATGGAGCCATCTCCCCCCATTTTCTTAAAATCGAGTCCCCCAAAATAGGGGGTGTCTTATACATGGGGGTGTCTTATACACGGAAAAATACGGGCATGTATTTTGTTTTTCTAGCTTGATCAAAATTATTATTTCATAACAGGTAGATAGTTAAGAGCTTAGGCAGCTTCAGCACTGGGCGCCTGGCACCCCCCCCAGAATTCGGTACCCGGGTACCCCGCACCCCCGGGTAAACATGGCTCTGCCAGGTGCTAATGCTAGCTTTGAAGACCTGGATGTTGTAGTAGTACCATTGGCTGATTGCAGTAGATCAGCAAGGGCTTCTAACTTCCAGTTGCAGAGCAAGAACAACAAGGCTTTCCTCCTTTAAACTGGAGCTTTAGAACCCCTGATCTGTAATAACTGAGATTTGTACTTGTCTATGTAGATAATCCCAAAGTATGGCTCATGGACTGCAGGAGGTAGGTGGTTTCACCTCCTTCAGCCACCATTTTGCACTTGGTTGGTGCACCTCAGGGTTCAAGTAAAAACAACAGCAAAGTAGATTGCGCCAGCCTGATGTCTGCCCATACCTGCTGTAGATCATAGGCCTGATGGGTGGGCAACCACTGCCACCGTTTTCTTGTTTTGTTTTGTTTATGCTTCCCTAAGAGAAAAAGAGGAGAGATGAGAGTAGCCTTAAGGAAAATTATAGAGAGAGACAAAGGTGTGCATATATATATATATATATATAACAAAAACAGTTCCCATATTGCCCTAGATTAAAGGAAGCAACTGCACATTAAATCACATCTTGTTTAGTTTATATATCCTCAGTTCCATATGTTTGCTTCATTGGTATTCTTTATTCCGATCCCAGTAGCTGAGTTCTGCAGAACGTTTAGTTAGGAATGAGTGGGGAACGATTAGTTGGTGAGAAAGCATTCCCGTTTAGATGTGTCCTGGCTACCAGAAGGTAAAGTGGCTGTGATTCGGTGGGAGGTTAACTACAATGGGGAATAAGGCTATCATAGCTACGAGCCATCATGCCTATGTTCTGCTTCCACTGCCTCTGAGTACTAGCTGCTGAGAATCACAAGTGGACAGGGAGTGCTCTTGCTCTCAGGTCTTGCTTGTGGGCTTCCCATGGGCATCTAGGTGGCCACTGTGAGAACAAGATGTTGGTGCAGATGGGCCTTTCATAGCAGGGTTTTTCTTATGTGCATGTGATATTTCTATTTCCACAGGTCCAGTCACCGTCTGTTTAAGGTCCTCCCCATTTTGTTCTTACAACAGCCCAGCGAGGTTTTAGATTAGGATGAGATACAATCACTAGTCCAAAGCTACCCAGTGACTTCCGTGGCCAAATCGGGGGTTTGAAAACAGGCCTCTCCAGTCTTTGTCCAACACTCTAATCCCTACACTGCGCTGATGATTCTCATAATATCTCATATCCACATCTGATGTGAATCTCCATGACGGAAAAGCTTGGAAGAGGTAGTATCAGATTACCACCTGCTGCTGCCTTGTGTGTGTTTAAGGTGGCTGTTTTTAAATTAGATTATTCAGTGATTTGTGACAGGGCCTGCAGAAAAAGCCACCTGGCACTGCACAAAAAAGTTATTTTTTGCATTTCGAAAAATTATAATCTACTTGATCAAAAGTCTCCAAGCAGCATACAGATAAATAGTAGATAAAACCTAAATCAAAATCCACCATTAAAAAAACCCAACCCAAATATATCATAATTATAAAACAAAGACAAAACTTTAAAAACAAATATAAGTAACCAAGTTATATGTCTGGGTAGGCTTGCTTTTCAGCATGTGTATCAATGTAGTGAGGGCATCCGGCCAATGTCAGTGGGGCAGGGAAGGTCTGAGACAGAGAGGACGTTGGTGTAGTGTTGAGATAGCCAACGTGGTTCCCTCCAGATGTTGCACTACAATCCCCCTAATTCCCAACCAGTATTGCCCACAGAGTTTATAGGAGTTGAACTCCAGCAGCAGCTGGAAAGCACCACCCCACTCGCTACCCCTGGTGCGTTGTCTTTCTTTCTCCTCTGGAATAACTCGTGCCACTGAGGGCATCGAACTACCACACTTGGCCTTTGGGCACATCTATATAGGTCTGTAAATCTGGGTAAGGGCACATTAGGAGATTTGCCCTTATTGGGCAGAAGTGCTCCGGATGGAGACAGCAGGTGGATGAAAGGTCAAAACTGAGGGCCAAGTGGTATGGGGAATCGGGACTGGCAGAGCAGAGACCCACCACAGAAGGAGCCTCCGCTTGACATACAGTGGTACCTCGGGTTAAGAACTTAATTCGTTCCGGAGGTCCGTTCTTAACCTGAAACTGTTCTTAACCTGAGGTACCACTTTAGCTAATGGGGCCTCGCTGCGCCGCTGCTGCACGATTTCTGTTCTCATCCTGAAGCAAAGTTCTTAACCCAAGGTACTATTTCTGGGTTAGTGGAGTCTATAACCTGAAGTGTCTGTAACCTGAAGTGTCTGTAACCTGAGGTACCACTGTACTGCAATGGCTTTGAGCAACCTGCCCTTCTTGTTGCTTCTGCTGACCGATGCTGGCTTCTCTATTTCACAGGAGTGCATTAAAACGCTCCCTCTTGTGGTTGTTATTAATCTCTCACAATCCCTCATTTGCCTCCTAATCCCCTTAATTAGAGGTTGACTTAATGCTCGGAGGCTAGAATTTCATGTTTGCTGTCAAGCTAGCTTGCTCTCTGCCACGTGGCTCTTGAGGCCTTCAGCAGTGCGTCCTGGGGTATCCGATTTCTCCCAGCGGCCCTTCTCTTTCCCAGATGATTTTGTACATTTAGCTGGCATATCAACTGAATCCCCTGTTTTGCCTTAATTTGTTCAGGGCCTGCCTCCTCTGTCACGTAAAGCAAAGGGAAGCAAGGAAAGGGGTGTTAAGAAGCTGAAGGCAAAGCAGATACTGTGGTTGAGGGAACTAGTGCAGAGCATAATAAACGGGCTGGGAGACCATTTTTCAGATGGCAAACTGAGGCCAAGAGCTAGTGATGTGTCTCTGTGACTGAGGTAGAGTTTCAGCTCAAGTTTCCTGGGCCCACAAGCTACCCACACAGGATTGTAATGCTTGTGGAAGTTGAATGCTGGAAGAATTGGGGCACACAAAGGAAAGAAGTCCTTCACACAGGGCATAGTTAAACAATGGAATGTGCTTCCACGAGAGGTAGCAATGGCCGCCCACTTGGATGGCTTAAAAAGAGCATTAGACAGGTTTAACAAGACCAATAGTGAGTCCAGCGGCCAAGAAGGCGGTTTCTGCATGTGCTGTAGAGGGAAGTGAGGGCTTGCGAACCTGGGAAGGTAGCCCATCTAGGAGAAGGAAAGCTCTCATTCTAAACCTCTGCTGCCTTGTGGGGATATCTGTGGGAGAAGAAAAGGCTAAGGAGTAAACCCTACACAAACCAGACTGGATTCCCTAAGACGGTTGGACAGTACCTTGTAGGCCTCCTTCTGGCAACTCCTGCAGCCAAGCTGGTGCCAAATGTATTGCTCTGCTTCCCTTTGGACTGTCTCTTGAGACAGACGGATGCCAGCAACAACACCTAAGGCCAGCAATGGCCGCTAGCCAGGATGGGTATGTTCTGAATAAGTGGAGAGCATGTGCTGTTGCCCTCAGGTCCTGCTTGCAGGCTTCCCAGAGGCACTGTGGGAACAGGATCCTGGATGGGCCACTGGCCTGATCCAGGAGGACTCCTCTTATGGAACTATATGTCACCACCTGCCACCTCTCACTGCCCCCTTTACATGCTGCTATTCTGTTGGCTCAGCCCCCATTTCTTAGAGTGATAAGGTGGAATCTTTCACGCTTAGTCTTGTCCTATTGTTCCTCCAAGGAAAGCGGAATTCTCTGGGCCTGCATTGGCTTTGATCCCAGGCACCCATTTAGAAGAAAGAAACTGGTTCAGTCAGCCTCAGGGTTATATTCCAGCCTTAGCAGGTTTCTTGCTTGAGGGCGGGCTCTTATCTGGACTGGAATGCAAGGGCTTAAGAATTCTGTCTTCCATTCAAATTTGCACAACTTTCTAGTCCTTGTAGTTTTGGAGAAAAATGCATTTTCCTTAGCTCTATGTATTTTCCCGTATGAAAAAGCAAGGCAAAACAAAACAAAACAACTTAGCCCAATCTGAGGATTTCAAAATTTAAAAACTGGTTTTGGGAAAACAGAATGATGTAGGCAAAGTAAGGAGATGCATGCAGATATATTTCATTTGCATAAATGAGGCTAATTACTGATTTTTGCATGTGCAAAATTTGAATACTTTGGGGATAGTGTACACACAGTCGAAGAAGTATACTGGCTAAAGGCTGAAACATTTTATGGACCTTTCTAAATAGCCATTTACCTGATCACCAGTGAACTGGACTCCCTTCCAGAAAAGGGAAGTGTCTGTAAACACAGAGCTGGTCATTTCAGGTCATCAATGTAAATGGTATATATGTGCTGTAAAGGTTTTCCAAGGTTCTTTGCCTCTTGCTGCCCCCTGCTGTTGGAATTGTTTTCTGCATCCATTTAAACAACCTTTTCCCAGATTGCAAAATCTGCTAACTACACATTGTCTGGAAGCCTGTTGATGCTTAACACCCAGTGCACCCTGCGCTCACAGTCGCTGCCTTTTCTTTTTCTGAGCCTGTGCACCTTTAAAATAGGTATCTTGCAGGCAGAAATTCAGTAGGCATTTCCCTCGCAGCATTGCATTTTTGTGCCTGAAGATCTGTTGAATTTCTTCCAGGCACACAACTGAAAAATGCACAGCAGCTCTATCATGGGGAGCGGGAGGCAGATATTCAGTCCACAAGACTCCCTGTCATCACCCATAACAGTGAAATGTCTTTCCAGCAGAAGGAAAACCGGAAATAAATAGTTTGTATTACTTTGAGCCTCCTCCCACCCTATGTGGAGTCCTTGCTTATCCTAAGTATGAAATCCTAGAGCCCAGGTCCACTTAAAACCCATTCTTCTTCCACTAAATACTGGGGTCCCAGCTTCCAGGCCGTTCTGCAGTTACCGGTTTTAAACCCCAACCCTATCTTTGGGCCCCTGGGGAAATGAGTTGGGGAAATGACCATTGCTCAGTGGTAGAGCACATTGTGAAAGGGCCCAGTTCAGTTCCTGGCATTGCCAATTCAACTGGGCCCTATGGGGGTGAGGAGAAGGCAGGGGGAAAGACTTCTGTGTCCAACACCCCAGGGAGCCACCACCAGTAGGACCACGCAGCGCTGGAGTGGATGGAGAAAGAATCTGACCAGCTTCCCACATTCCTCCAAGAACCCTTCTTTAGAACCACTCTATGGCACCCGTGGTCCAACCTGCCCCCTCAAGATGTTTTGGATTGTAACTCCAATCATGCTGCCCGGGGATGATGGGAGTTGTGGTTCAAAACATCTTGATGGAGGCAGCTTGCAACAAGGCTGGCTCACAAGTAATAGGCTCTGCCCTATTACTTTGCGTTTGGCCTGACCCCTGAGCTGCCGTTATGTTGTCTGGCTCTGGTTGGCGAAACTGTATATTCCAGCAGAGAGAATAGAAGCAAGCCTGTTCACAAGCCTGGAGTCTCCTGCTCACTGGCCTGGTTGCCTCGGCCTCCCTGTCCCCAAAACGAAGTCGTTCTCCTTGGTGCCAGCTTCTAAAATCTACCCCAGCTTTTAATGCTGTGATCTCTAGGTTTTGTCAACGCATAGGCTCTCTTGCTGGCAGTGCTTGCATGTGAAATTTCTATCCAGCTGGAGCCAGCGCTGTATAAGAGTTAGAGTGTAAGACTTTGGCCAGGGAGATCCAGAGTTCAGATTCCCCCTCGGCCATGAAGCTTGTTAAGTAACCTTTGACCAGCTGTTCTCTCTCCCCCCCCCCCCAGCTTCATGTGGCTTATGGGGTGGGGGCCATAACCTACTCCACATCTGCCATACTAAGCTAATGGAAGGCCAAGATACAGATGCATTTTAATATTCATCCAGGTTCTTCTAAAGTACAGTGCTACCTCGGGTTAAGAACTTAATTGGTTCCGGAGGTCCGTTCTTAACCTGAAGCACCATTTTAGCTAATGGGGCCTCCCGCTGCTGCTGTGCAATTTCTGTTCTCATCCTGAAGCAAAGTACTTAACCTGAAGCACTACTTCTGGGTTAGCGGAGTCTTCTGTAACCTGAAGCGTCTGTAACCTGAAGCGTATGTAACCCGAGGTACCACTGTACCTCGGGTTACAGACACTTCAGGTTACAGACTCCGCTAACCCAGAAATAGTACCTTGGGTTAAGAACTTTGTTTCAGGATGAGAACACAAATCGTGCGGTGGCAGCGGGAGGCCCCATTAGCTAAAATGGTGCATCAGGTTAAGAATGGTTTCAGGTTAGGAACGGACCTCCAGAACGAATTAAGTTCTTAACCCGAGGTACCACTGTACTTTCCCCCCAGGAGCTCACATCACTCTTAAGCGTGGTGTCTTTCCTTTCCTTTCCCTGAGTTGGGGAGGAAAGCAGAGTCTCCTGCCAACCTTCTGAAAGCTGTCACTTCATAAATCATCACAATTCATTGCAAGCAGCTCACACCGTCAGGCCTGATCAAGAACTCTGTGTGGCTTCAAACCTTGCATATTCTTACAGAAGCTGGCTCACTAGGAAAGGGTTTCCCTGCTCCCCTTTCCAGCCCATGGGATCCACTATCTCCCTGTTCCTCACTTCCCAGTGAATTGCATGATTTCCAGTTAAGGGTAGAGGACGGGAGGAGAGGATCCAAACCACCTTAACGCCCATATTCATGCAAGCTTACCTTTTTAAATCTTCCCCCTTTTCTTCACCAAGAAGAGCTGTGCTTTCTCCGTGCTTTGAAAGAAAATAGTATTTTAAAAGAATCTTGCCGTACCAGTGATCTCTGCCGCTCTTTGTTCCTGCTGCTTTCCACCCTGGACTGCTGTGATGCAACAGGGGCTGAAGTTCAACTCTGGGAATTCCTCCCCCCCCCCCAAAAAAAAAGAAGATAGAAAGGAGGGGAAGGAGTGGGAGACTTGTTCCTGCCTCTGATTGGGGAATGGCTTCCTCACAAATGGAAATTGCAGTGTTCCCACGCTCAGATCACCAGCCTTTTGTGCTCCCTTTGCTGAGCCTGGCAATGAAGGCAGCACTTTTGAAAGCCGTGGCACTGGTTGCCAATGTAGCAGCAGCAGCAGAAAGCAGGCGTAGAGCAGGGCAAGATCTCTCTCTCTCACATACCCAACCAGGGATGTCAGCCGCTTAGCTCCCCCGAAGGCCCCTGGTGTTTGCAGATTACACATTAACTGAATCTGTTTGTTCATGGCGAATGAGTGATTAGAGAAGTTGGGTTAGCAGCAAGTCCTGGGCTGAGGCTGCCTGGCTTGTTTGTTCTTTTTAATCCTGAGGCAGAAGACCCAGCAGCATGACCAGGAGGGTGCTTGTGGTGTCTCTGAATGAGTCCCTGCTCTGGGCTTTCCTCTTCCTAACAAGAGACACACACTCTCATATGAGAGCATAAGAGTTTCCTTGAGCCTGGTCATGGGTCCGCCTTAGCTACAGGACTTTGATTGGCAGCAGCTCTCTGAAGATCCCAGTAGAGCAGGGGTCGGCAACCTAAGGCCCATGGGCCACAAGCGGCGCACGGGGGTCGTTTAGCCGGCCTATGAGCCACCCCCGAACGGAGCCACCCGCTTGGCGAGTCCCCACATGCTGCACTAAACCAGTGCGGTGCAGGGACTCGCTTCTGCAGCGCCGGAAATTGCACATGCGCAATGCTGGAAATTGTGTTTGTGTGCACGCAGGCATGCGCGTGCAATCCGGCCCACAGAGGGATCTCAGCTGGAGTGAACCGGCCCAGGCGAGGTAAACCTTGCCAACCCCTGCAATAGAGACTTTTCTCAGCCCTGCTTTCTGATGGTCTTTTTGGTTAGGGTTTGGAACCAGGGTGGGGTGGAAACCCATAAGTCCCCCCGGATGTTGTCAGACTCCAACTCCTATCAGTCCCAGCCAGTATGGGCGATGGACACTGTGTTTTCTCAGGAATGAATACCTCTGGATTAACATTCACTAGGCATGCTCCTGCTGCAGCTGCTGAGCCAGGGGCAGGGTAAGAGTTAGGGCAGAGTGAAGACTTGTCCTCCAGAATGGGATGTGTGAGACCCAGTAGCTCGGTCCTGCTCTCTTGCCTCAGAGAACAGTGCTGGGAGCTTTGGCCTACTAGGCAGAGGCTGAAGACCAAGGAGGAGGACAGGAAATGCCACCTGGATTGTCCTGGCATTGCAGAGGCCCTGTGTTGATTCTATTCCTGATACCAGACTTGACTGTGGTTTTTTTAGTAGCAGGACCTATAACCATGATCTAGGGCTGCAGAACCAAAGGGAGGCGTACTCTGCCACCAGCCAGGGCACTGCTGGCCACTGAGGAGCTGCACCCACTGCCCCACCCACTGGCCCCGTCCATTAGTCAGAGAAGGACCAGCTGCCCCAGGGATTGATTTCCTCTTCCCTCCTCATTCCCTTATCCTTTTGTATTGTTATTTGTTACTACAGGTCAGTGGAACCTGCAGGCGGGGGCTGCCTTCTCTTTTAATATATGCACAGCGCTTAGAAAATTCTATGTGTTTTCTATGTGTTAAATAATACTATTACAGTGGTACCTCGGGTTAAGAACTTAATTCGTTCCGGAGGTCCGTTCTTAACTTGCAACTGTTCTTAACCTGAAGCACCACTTTAGCTAATGGGGCCTCCCGCTGCCGCCGCACGATTTCTGTTCTCATCCTGAAGCAAAGTTCTTAACCCGAGGTAATATTTCTGGGTTAGCGGAGTCTGTAACCTGAAGCGTCTGTAACCTGAGGTACCACTGTATAGGGACAGGCTTTAATGCCAGTTCTTAGCCCTTTTCCATCTTGCCTTCTAGGTTTTGAGAGGGAGGACCAGCGATGCGCTAATTTCTCTTCTCGGTCCCCAGAGATTTTTAAGCACCACGTTCAAGGTGAGGAAACTTGCGGGCTCATGAACTCCTAATCTGGGGGGAATCTGAGCTAGGAAGATGTGGGTTGGATCCGAACCCTCGCAGGGGGAGATCCCACCTTTTAGTTTGATATTGAAAAAGCAAATTCCTAGCCCTCATGGAGGCCTGACTGATGAACGGTCCCTGTTTCTTGTTTTGTTTCAAAACCAGGCCTCGGACCTCCAGATTGAATTGAACAAGCACCCAAAGTCCAAACCGGACCCCAAGGACCTGGTCTTTGGCAAGTATTTCACTGACCACATGCTCATGATAGAATGGAGCCAAGAGAAAGGCTGGGGGAAGCCACACATCAAACCGTTCCAGAATCTCTCGCTGCATCCAGCCTCTTCTGCCCTGCACTACTCAGTGGAGGTAACTGCTTCCTATATAAAAAGAGTCTCCGCTGTCAGTTTCACTAGGTAATAATAATAATAATAATAATAAATTTTATTTATACCCCGCCCTCCCCAGCCAAGACCGGGCTCAGGGCGGCTAACAACCAATAATAAAAACAAGTTGATTAAAATACAATTTAAAAACAAGATTAAAAGACAACATTAAAACATTAAGGCAGAGTCTCTAAATAGCTTGTTTCTTCCATACGACTCTTTTCTCTCTCTCCCATCTAGCTCTTTGAGGGGATGAAGGCATTCCGGGGCCCAGACAAGCGCATCCAACTTTTCCGTCCCATGATGAACATGAACCGCATGTTACGTTCTGCGCTCCGTACTTCCCTGCCGGTGGGTACTTCCGGTGAGGCGGCCCCTTGCCTCCCTCTCCTGCAGGAACTGTGGGTTGCTGCATCTTAAGCCTTCTTCAGATATGCCCCCCCCCCACAAGTGGTGCTGCAAGGTTTGGGGGCTGAGACCCAGGCCCTCCCCCCCGCTCATCCTCGGGTCCCTGAACACAGCAGGACTGCCTTGCCACCTCAAAGGGATGCCCAGATTGCTGAGCCTGGCATCTGCATTGACCCAACCGCCCCAGGGCAAAGCCTGAACTTACACTACTTGCATTCAGCTCGCCCTCTCCCTTTTCTGTCCTCGGCACAAACAGCGATGCAGCCTCTTTCTCCGCACAGGGTGCGAGCGTATTCATAGAAGTGGCCCTCCAGGGTTTTTACCTGGGGAATCCAGGACTTGAACTCGGGACCTTCTGCATGCAGGGCAAGATGCTCTGCCGTTGGGCTGCAGCCCTAAAGCGTCTTTCTGTGGGAGTGGGGAAAGAGGCTCGCCTTGAGACTCTAGGGGTCCCGAAAGGAGAAGGGGAAACAGCATCACCGGTCTTACTTGCTCTTTCCCAACCCCTCCCTTCTGCACAACAGCCCTTCGACAAGTCTGAGCTTCTCGAATGCATCCGGCGGCTGATCCACCTGGACCAAGACTGGGTCCCACACGCCGAAGCCACCAGCCTCTACATCCGCCCCACCTTCATCGGCACTGAGGTGTGTTTCCCGAGCCCACCTCCCCGCTCTTTTAAGTATACCTTGGAAGTCAAGCGGAATCCGTTCCAGAAGTCCGTTCGACTTCTAAAACATTCAGAAACCAAAGTTCGGCTTCTGATTGGCTGCAGGAAGCTCCTGCAGCCAATCGGAAGCCGCGGAATGTGGGGACGTTTATATAATTTAGCAGAGTTTAAACCATCCCCTGTTTGAGTTTATGCAGCGATAAACAGATTGCTAACCGTTTGAGTCCTATAAATAATTATACCTTCCTGGATGATAATCCCTTTCTGTCCCTTTTAATGAAAACACACATGAATCTGAATCATATTAACATAAACTACTTTACTATCAGATTCATTCAGGTTTGCAGAGTTGTTCCTGAAGGCAGGCTTAGGTTACATAACAGATAAACTATATACTAGATAGTAGTGAGTCATGAGAAGACGGCATCCGGGCAGTTACCAGTTAACACTCCTTGCAGCAACCGACCAACTGCCAAAACTGCCTGCCCCATAGAGGCAGTTAGTCCTCTCGAAATGTTGGACTTGACTGACAGCTTTATATCCCACACGGAAGCCCCGTCAGACATTCGGCTTCCAAAAGAATATTCAAAAACTGGAACACTCCAGGGTTTGATCGTTTGGGAGCCAAAACGTTCAAGAAATAGGCTGTTCGAATTCCAAGGTATGACTGTTTTTTTTAATTGAGAAAGAGGGTGTATCCCTCTCTTCTGCTAGAAAGGCTCCCTCAGCGGCTTACAGGCAGTCAAAACAAGGCAGTCTCTACCCACAGCCCCCCCAAAAGGCCACAGCACCCCAGGGAAAAGGGGGAGGGGGAAATCAAAACTCAGGCACCCCCAGTTTCTAAACAGTGGTTCCTAGATTGGCCACGTGGCGTAGTTTGGGGCAGGAGGTGCCTGATGGAGCGAGGCCATCAAACCTGATGGAATGTGCCCTGATTCCTGTTCCTCCCACGGAGGCAGCCTGATGGAATGGTGACTGTTGAGGGAACAGGAGGGAGGCTTGATGGAGCTGGCGTGTCGCAGCAGAGCCGATGGAGGGTATTGCTCGACTGCCAATCAGGGGAGTCTGGTTCATTGAGGGCGCACCATCCTCAGTCCGCCATCTTACAAGCAGCCCAGCCTCTTGGCGTCCTCCTTCTCAGGGTCACCCTTGAGGGAGGAGCAGCGGGAAGAGGATGGGGACAGAACCAGAATGAGGTGGCTGCACCTGCCATTGGCTCTCGTTGACTCTGACTCCGTCCCCTGCGGGGCTGCCCTTCTCCCCACTCTGCCCATTTCAATGGCCGCCAGCCAACGCCTGTGCCAACACCTTGCTCTCTCCCTCTCCACAGCCCTCCTTGGGGGTCGCCAAGTCCAGGCATGCCTTGCTCTACGTGATCCTGGGCCCCGTGGGAGCCTATTTCGCTACCGGCACCTTCAGTCCCGTTTCCCTACTGGCCGACCCTCGCTTTGTCCGTGCCTGGATGGGCGGCGTGGGGGACTGCAAGGTGGGCGGGTGAGTACGGCTTCTGTTTCAACAGGTACGGCAGCAGGATGGTCTCCAGCCCAACGCTGCTGAATCCAGGGGCAACCAATGTGGTGGCCTCCGGGTCTTGATGGACTGCAACTCCCATCAGGCCCTGACAGCCTGGCTAATGGTCGGGAGAGATGGGAGTTGTATTCCAGTAGCATCTGCACTGCGTTGGCTACTTCTGTCTAGCCCGACTGGCAGTGGATATCCAAGATCTCAGGAAGAGAGAGAAAAGGGAGCTTATTTCCCAGGTGTTTTGAAATAATTTAATTGGAAATGCCAAGGACTTCACTAGGCCTGGGTGATATATCGCCCAGGACCAGTATGAGGAGCGGACCGCCATGTCTGCTTCACTCAGCGATATATCGCTGGTGAAACCGCCACCGCTCCTGAGTCCCTCTGCTAGCAGCGTCCGCTGGAGGGAGTCAAGAGTTCCTTCCTCCAGTGGGTGCTGCTAGCAGAGGGAACCAGGAGAGGCAGCAGTTTCACCAACGATACATTGCTGGGTGAAACCGCCATTGCACTCTGCCCTCACTCGATGCAGAGGGAGAAACAAGCTTAATAATAATAACAATAATAACAATAATTTATTATTTATACCCCGGCCATCTGGCTGGGCTTCCCCATCCACTCTGGGCGGATTTTAACAAAATATTAAAATACAGTAATGCATCAAACATTAAAAGCTTTCCTAAACAGGGCTGCCTTCAGATGTCTTCTAAAAGTCTGGTAGTTGTTCAGTTCTCTTTGACATCTGGTGGGAGGGTGTTCCACAGGGCAGGTGCCACTACCGAGAAGGCCCTCTGCCTGGTTCCCTGTTACTTAGCTTCTCGCAGTGAGGGAACTGCCAGAAGGCCCTCAGCGCTGGACCTCAGCTGAATGATGAGGGTGGAGATGCTCCTTCAGATATACTGGACTGAGGCCGTTTAGGGCTTTAAAGGTCAGCACCAACACTTTGAATTGTGCTCAGAAACGTACTGGGAGCCAATGTAGGTCTTACACTGCAATGTTGAAAAGCTGATATCCCCCAGCTCTAGACTTCAGCTAGGACTCTCTTACCTGCGCCTGTATGAGCCTCCTCCATCACTGGATTGGGGAAAGCTGGTCCCCACTCTCTTAAGCTGACATTTGAACAGCTGAGGCTCTTTTTATCACTGTCACTGAGCAAAATTATTTTTGCATGTTGTTGTGATTTGCATTTTTATCTTTTATGGCTTTGCGAACTGCCCTCGGCGGGTACTTTGCCCTGAACGGCAGTATAAAATTACTCACATAAATAAGTGTAATGGGGTTTTCTCTGAGAGCTGTGGCCTGCCTTCCCCACACCTTCAAAGAGAGGGTCGACTCGGTACTCTCTGCTGCCTGCAGATGCCTTTTTTTAAAAAAAATCTGATGGTGGAATCCTGCCTTGCTCTTGTGTTGCCCTTAGCAACTACGGCCCCACCATTTACGTGCAGATGGAGGCCGCCAAAGAAGGTTGCCAGCAGGTTCTCTGGCTCTACGGGGACGACCACCAGATCACAGAAGTCGGGACTATGAACATCTTCGTGCTTTGGAAAGACCAGCAGGGAGGTGAGGAACTGGGTCCCTGAGTTGTCGGGAGCTGCGATTCTCAGCAATGGGGGTACTGAGACTCACTGCCTCCGAGAGTGGAGGCAAATAACTTGAATGAAATAAAATAAATGCAGCATTGGCTGGTCTATTAGGGCATGTGGGATGACACTGCTGCATCGATCTCCATCGGCAGTCCAGGGGGTGGCAGGGCCTGCCAGCTTCCTGCTCTTTGCATCAGCCTTGTCCTTGTAGAACTCGGCAGGGAGGAAGGAGGTGGGAACAGAACTAGCCTTTCTTGGCCCTGCCCCTCATTGTCTCTGGCTCCGCCTCTCGTTGCCTTTGGCTCCACCTCCTCTTAGTCTCCTTGCCTTCTGCTGTATGACTTCCGATGCGCACCAGCCACCACTTAGTAAAAAATATTTGAATGATGCCCTGTATGTGAAGGAAAAGGGAATGCCTCTCCTAAAGCAGGTGCTTCCGTGGACATATGAATGCTTCATTCAGAAGCAAAGTATATTTCTTTTCCCTTTAGATGTATTTTTCTGTATGTTTCAAATGCAAATTTATGCCGATGAAATCTGATTAATCAGCTAAAACTCATATGTTCAGTCAAGCAGGGTTTCTTTAATCGGGTGTCAGCTCTAGCTTTTCTTTCCTTTTTTTAAAAGAAAGAATTTGGACTATTATTTTAAAATTTTGCAAACTGACATAACCCCTCCCCCAAAAAAGACGAGTCCACAGTTAATGCTGCCATTGCATTACGACACGTTGGAAGAAAATTAAAAGCATAAGTAAAGGTAAAACAATTTGCGTCAGCTATTACCTCGTCATATTTATGGAGAAAATAAATGAATGCAGGATTCTTTTTTCTGAACCTTTTCTTTACTAAGTGCAATCCAGGTAGATAATTCTGTCGGAATTCAAGCCTATATCAGCTGTAACTGGGAACTCTCCAGGCACCCGGCTTGATTTCTTGTTGACCTCCCTGTCTGCATTCCCCAGCAAGATCCAGGCTAGGTCGCAATAGGCGATTCTAGAAGAACACCCTCCCTCTTTCTTGTCTCCCCCCCCCCCCGGCAGGGGAAAGAGATAGACAGAAACGTATTTACATGCCTTTATTTCTGTCTTTGCAGCGTTACAAAAAACATGACTGCTCTCTTCAAGCTCCAGCAGTCGAGTGACAAACACTTCCTGTACTTCCTGTACAGGAACAATAGGAAGAACTCATATTACACTCTGAGCTAATTCCGGTGCTTCGCACTGTGAATTGACTGTCCCTCTGTCTCCCACGGAACAGTCCCAACATTCCATCATGTGATGTTTTCAAGCTAGCAGCTCGCAGCTGCATTGCTTCTATATCGTAACAAATTCCGCCCCGTCCCCCTCAGATTTTGTTCCTCTTTTGATCTTGTTTGTGGTTTATGAAGTGTCTAAATGTGTTGGCTCACATTCATGGCAGCTTGGTATGTGTTGAACCTGCACCATTTAAAAGCAAAAGACACACAGTCTTCTCTATATTGTTGTTGAAAAACCATTACCTTCTATGGCTTTTTGGCTTTTCATCCACCTCTTCGGCTTCTGACAATTCAACATGTGTTGCCCACGCAGTTTAAAGTATGTTATCTTTGAAGTTATGAGGATGAGAAAATTGGATATTAACAAACAAACAAACAAAATTGTAGGGAGTTGAGCGCTCTCTGTGTGTGCATGTTTTCTGCATGTTTGTCACTGGTTCCTCCCCTTCTAGATCTGGAGCTGGTCACCCCTCCTCTGAATGGAATCATCCTGCCCGGTGTGATACGGCAAAGCCTTCTAGATCTGGCACGCGAATGGGTGAGTTTGGAGAAAACAGGAGACTTTTGATAGTTCTGGAATGGACCTGAGGGTGAGTGGCGGATTTGCAAGCTGGAATTTTGCAGCAAAAATCTTTTTTTGCTTTCTCCAGATTATCTTTCAACACACCCACAACGCCGTTAGAAAGGAGGGGAGAACAATGCATTTTGTTGAATGAGCTAAGTTAGAGAAGCATTTGAAACTGCCTTGTAGGGAGTCAGGCCGCTGGCCCACCTAGCTTAAGATTGGCTGCACTGACTTGGCAGCAGGGTTTCAAAGTAGGGCACTCTCCCAGCCCGTGTTAGGAACTGAGATATGAAAGCTAGGAGCTAAATGGAACATTAAACCAAGGTTGTGGGCGCAAAAACGGAATGCCTAGGTGCGCTTTTTTTATATATACCGTATTTTTCGCTCCATAAGACGCACTTTTTTACTCTTAAAAAGTAAGGGCAAATGTCTGTGCGTCTTATGGAGCGAATGCGTGGTCCCTGGAGCCAAATTGCTGGAGTGTGGCACGTTCTTGGGCTGCTCTTTGGTGGGGGGGGGGCGCGCGCTGCTCTGCCGGCAGCCTCGGCTTCCCCCTGCAGCCCCGGGAAGCTTTGGAGCAGTGGGAGGGCTGTGCGCCCATGCCCCGCGCTCCTGGGCTGCTGAATGGGGGTGGGGGTGCTGTTCCCCCAGCAGCCTGCCCTTTGCCCTCAAGCTTTGGAGCAGCAGTCAGCCTGCCCCACACTCCTGGGCTGCTGAATGGGGGTGGGGGGTGCTGTTCTGCCAGCAGCCTGCCCTTTCCCTCAATTCTTGGGCAGCAGTCAGCCTGCCCCACGCTCCTGGGCTGCTGAATGGGGTGGGGTGCTGTTCCCAGCAGCCTGCCCTTTCCTTCAATTTTGGAGCAGCAGTCAGCCTGCCCCACACTCCTGGGCTGCTGAATGGGGGTGGGGGTGCTGTTCCCCCAGCAGCCTGCCCTTTCCCCTCAAGCTTTGGAGCAGCAGTCAGCCTGCCCCACGCTCCTGGGCTGCTGAATGGGGGTGGGGGGTGCTGTTCCCCCAGCAGCCTGCCCTTTCCCCTCAAGCTTTGGAGCAGCAGTCAGCCTGCCCCACGCTCCTGGGCTGCTGAATGGGGGTGGGGGTGCTGTTCCCCCAGCAGCCTGCCCTTTCCCCTCAAGCTTTGGAGCAGCAGTCAGCCTGCCCCACACTCCTGGGCTGCTGAATGGGGGTGGGGGTGCTGTTCCCCCAGCAGCCTGCCCTTTCCCCTCAAGCTTTGGAGCAGCAGTCAGCCTGCCCCACGCTCCTGGGCTGCTGAATGGGGGTGGGGGTGCTGTTCCCCCAGCAGCCTGCCCTTTGCCCTCAAGCTTTGGAGCAGCAGTCAGCCTGCCCCACACTCCTGGGCTGCTGAATGGGGGTGGGGGGTGATGTTCTGCCAGCAGCCTGCCCTTTCCCCTCAATTCTTGGAGCAGCAGTCAGCCTGCCCCACGCTCCTGGGCTGCTGAATGGGGGTGGGGGTGCTGTTCCCCCAGCAGCCTGCCCTTTCCCTTCAATTTTTGGAGCAGCAGTCAGCCTGCCCCACACTCCTGGGCTGCTGAATGGGGGTGGGGGTGCTGTTCCCCCAGCAGCCTGCCCTTTGCCCTCAAGCTTTGGAGCAGCAGTCAGCCTGCCCCACACTCCTGGGCTGCTGAATGGGGGTGGGGGGTGCTGTTCTGCCATCAGCCTGCCCTTTCCCCTCAAGATTTGGAGCAGCAGTCAGCCTGCCCCACACTCCTGGGCTGCTGAATGGGGGTGGGGGTGCTGTTCCCCCAGCAGCCTGCCCTTTGCCCTCAAGCTTTGGAGCAGCAGTCAGCCTGCCCCACACTCCTGGGCTGCTGAATGGGGGTGGGGGGTGCTGTTCTGCCAGCAGCCTGCCCTTTCCCTTCAATTTTTGGAGCAGCGGTCAGCCTGCCCCACACTCCTGGGCTGCTGAATGGGGGTGGGGGGTGCTGTTCTGCCAGCAGCCTGCCCTTTGCCCTCAAGCTTTGGAGCAGCGGTCAGCCTGCCCCACACTCCTGGGCTGCTGAATGGGGGTGGGGGGTGCTGTTCTGCCAGCAGCCTGCCCTTTGCCCTCAAGCTTTGGAGCAGCAGTCAGCCTGCCCCACACTCCTGGGCTGCTGAATGGGGGTGGGGGTGCTGTTCCCCCAGCAGCCTGCCCTTTCCCCTCAAGATTTGGAGCAGCAGTCAGCCTGCCCCACACTCCTGGTCTGCTGAATGGGGGTTGGGTGCTGTTCTGCCAGCAGCCTGCCCTTTGCCCTCAAGCTTTGGAGCAGCAGTCAGCCTGCCCCACGCTCCTGGGCTGCTGAATGGGGGTGGGGGGTGCTGTTCTGCCATCAGCCTGCCCTTTCCCCTCAAGATTTGGAGCAGCAGTCAGCCTGCCCCACACTCCTGGGCTGCTGAATGGGGGTGGGGGTGCTGTTCCCCCAGCAGCCTGCCCTTTGCCCTCAAGCTTTGGAGCAGCGGGCAGGCTGTTCCCTGAGAGAGGGAGGAAGAGGACTGAGAGGAAAAAATGTGGCATTAGCAATGCTTTGGATGGAAACGAAGATGGCATTTTACATGAAGATAGCGAAGAAAGTAATGTCAGTGATTGTGAGCAACTGAGCTTCATAAATTCTGATTCTAGCAGTGATGAGTTCTTGGGGTTCACAGAAGACTAGAAGAGTACTCAAACCTTAAAGTCTCTCTTCATTTGTTAATGACAGTGATGATGGTTCTTAATGCCATTGTTGACTGCTGTTCACTTTACATGGCTGTAATATGATTCTGATATACCGGTTTTTTATTAAATACAGTAGTTTATACAACATTTGAATCAGAATATTTTCTTCTTGTTTCCCTCCTCTAAAAACTATGTGCGCCCTATGGTCGGGTGTGTCCTATAGAGCGAAAAATACGGTACATAACAAGAATACAAAGCTGAAAATTAATGAACTGCAGCTAAAATATTAAGTTCATTTTCCACATGCTCTAGTCCTTCCCCTGCCCACCCCCATAATATTCTGAAGTGGGTCTATTCTCCAGTCTTCAGAGAGTAGCTGGAAGTGAGGAGGCAGAAAAAGGTCCTCCTTTCCTTCCGCTCTGCAGTTTTAAACTGAAATCTTAGGCACAGTACTGCACCCAGAGCTCAGAAACTGCTTGAAATTCCTGGTCCCAAAATGCGTCCAGAACAATGGGAGTTTTGAACAGGGCTCCCGGCCCTTCCTGGAGATGCCAGGGATTGAACCTGGAAACTTCTGCATGCCAGGCAGATGTCCTACTCGCTGAGCTATAGCCTCTTTCCTCAATGATGATTGCATTGCTACTCCTTCCATACTGAACTTGAGAGGTTTAATGTTGCTGCTTTTAAAGTAGCTGGCAATGGGTTTGTTTGTTTCTTGTTTTCAATCCTGAATCTCTTTCCACCCAGGGGGAATTCAAAGTTTCTGAAAAGGTTATCACAATGGCTGAGCTGATCCAAGGCCTGGAAGAAAACAGAGTCAAGGAAATGTTTGGCGCGGGGACGGCCTGTGTCGTTTGTCCCGTGAATAAAATCTTCTACCAGGGCAAGGTGAGAGTTAGGACACTGGCCTTTTCTGAACCGCCCGAATTGTGATTCATGTTTCGTGACGAATCTCTCCTCCTCTCTCATGTCAGAATTACCATATCCCCACCATGGAAAACGGACCTGAGATTGCAAAACGGTTTCTGAAGGAGCTGACAGATATTCAGGTATAGCTCAGCAAATTGGGGGGGGGGGGGGGACGGACAAGTTTTTTTTTTCTTCATTTTAAGAAAACAGTTTGTAGGCGAAGGGCAGAGCCCTGGGTGCTTATCCTGCCCGTGGTTCCCTGTTTGGCCACCAGGGGGCGTAGTGACCTTGTGGAGTAACCTGCGTTTGGTACCCACTGTTCAAGAGGAATTTAATAGGTTGAATTAACCCGGAAGATTGAAGTGTAAAGGGATAATTGTGCACAATTGCACACATTCCAGGAACAGTGGGGGCTGGCGGCAGATTTCACCCGTCCTGATCTGGAACGATACGCGCTTTCCATCGCTAGGGGAAACCACTTCCCCGCTTTTCCGCCAGTTCACCCCACATATTTGATAATTGCTTGATGACTTTCAGCTGCAGGTGTGTGGACACACACAGCAATTTTCCTTTTGTAGGGATGTAAGAGCTTCCCCGAATTTTTGAAGCTATGTGTTGGGCGGGGGGAGTGGTTTGTTTCCAACCCCCAAACACACACCCCACCCCATAAATTTAATAATAATTTTTATTAAGTTTTCCATTTTAACAATCCAATGAAATCACATTAAATATTCCCAATTATACAAATACATATCATAAAGTCCAAATATTTTGCCAAATTATAAATTTTTGTTGGGGGTTCCCATGCTTCAAGTTCAGTGGGGTCCAGTCATCTCATATTTCTACTGTTTTGAATGTCCACTAGTCCCTTCTTTAAATCTTCTTGTTGTTTTCCTTCTTCTTTGCCACCCCATAAATTTAAGGGGATGTGGGAAAACAGACTTTCTTTTGCTCCCTTACTGCATTGTGGGGTTAGGCCCATTTCTGCCTCTCCTGTCCTAATCCCAGTGTCAGGCAGCTGCAAAGCCCAGAGCTAAGCAGGGAAGTGGCCGCAGCTCAGGGATAGGCCCAGACTCAACCCCCAGCCACATCTCCAGGAAAAGACTCCCGGGGAGCTGCTGCCAGTCAGTGTCAACATTACTGGGCATAACATTGTCTGTGAATTTGCGGGCAGGTGGCATTTCCAGCCATGCTAACTGACTACCGTATTTTTCCATGTATAACATGCCACCCGTGTATAAGACACCCTGTATTTTTGGGGACTCAAAATCAAGAAAATGCACTATGCACTATCCGTGTAGAACGGCCTCAGTCCTGTATACCTGAGGGAGTGTCTCCACCCCCATCGTTCAGCCTGAGGTCCACCTCCGAGGGCCCTCTGGCGGTTCCCTCATTGCGAGAAGTGAGGTTACAGGGAACCAGGCAGAGGGCCTTCTCAGTAGTGGCGCCTGCCCTGTGGAACGCCCTCCCAGCAGATGTGATGGAAATAAGCAGCTATCTTATCTTCAAAAGACATCTGAAGGCAGCCCTGTTTAGGGAAGTTTTTAATATTTAATGCTGTATTGTTTTTAACACTTGATTGGGAGCCGCCCAGAGTGGCTGAGGAAACTCAGCCAGATGGGCGGGGTATAAATAAATAATAATAATTAGACAACCCCTTATTTAAACATCAAAAATATAGGAAAAAATATACACAGAAAAATACGGTATATGTCCCCACCTTCCCTTATTTATTTATTTATCTATCTATCTCTCCCTCCCTCCCTGCAGTATGGACGTGTCGCCAGTGACTGGGTCTACCCAGTCTGACGTAGGCTGAGCAACACCCCACCGGAGCCGCCTCTTCTTCCTCCTCCTCCGCCTCCTGCTACAGCCTCTCTGTTTTTCTCTCTCATCTTACCAATGCTGTATTTATGACTTGGTTCTATAGCTTTGACAGTCCTGCCTTTTTCTCTGTCAGAGTTTGGACTGGACCGGTTATGCTCTCGGATAAAGGTGGCCTTCTTCTGCCTGTTACAACCGCAGGCCGCTTTGTGGCCGCGAAACACTCCACTCTGGGATGTGCCCAGAGCTTAGAAGAGCTCCTGCTCGCATCTTCCGTGCAATGGGAAGGAATCTTTGGACTGAAATTGCCGCCTCCGCTGCTCTCTCTGCTCCAAAATTCAACCGCCTCCTGCTTTTAAAGTGCAATATTGAGAGAGAGAGAGATGGAGAAACTGACGTGTCTTCAAAACTGTTTAAATCCACACAGAAACTCACACATGTTTTGTGTTTGTTTGTTTTTTTTAAAAAAAGTAGTTACACATCCAGGATCTGTCCGGAAGAGACTGTTTTTAATTTTTTTAAAAGTATGTTCTTGGATTCACGCAGAAGCACAGAAGTCTCAAGTCTAAACTTTTTGCTCTGGCAAAAGTTAGCTTTCGTACACTAGTCACCGGTGCTAAAAAAAGTTAACTTTTGCTTCCTGATCTGCAGTTCTCCAGACGTTTCAAATTTACCACTTGAACATTCTTGCCACCTCTTTTTTAATATTCCAAATCTGTCTTGGCTTAGAGTTAAGAGAATCCATCTGCGTTTAGGGGTTGCAAACTAGCTTTGAACGCCAAAAGGTATTGGGAACGGGAGGCAGTTTTTTTACATTTAAAAAATGCTATTTAAAATTAAAAACCATCTCCTGGAGAAGCTTCTGGGCACCTGTTTCTGATTTCCCCACATGGAACGACAGTCCGCTTCTTTTAAGCAGCCACTTGTTCTGGGAAGAGTTTTGAGGAGAACGGTCTACCACAGGAGGGGGAAAGCTGTGGCCCTGTTTGGACCTTGATGGACTCAGCTCCCATGAGCCTCAGCTGGCATAGTCAGTGAAAGGGATGATGGGAATTGTAGTCCAACAGCATCTGGAGGGCCACAAGTCCCCCACCCTTGATCTAAAGGGTGCTGTGTTGTGCCAGGAAGAATAAAGCTAGATTAACAACATAGTTGTGAGTCACATATTCCATCATAAAGAATACCAGACGCAGGGGTGAAGGGATCTCCGGTTGGGAGGCAGGGGCCAAGCCGATTGCCCAGCCGGAAAGTGTCCTTCAACTCTCATGGTGCCTTTTTGCCTGGGTGAAAGAGAGAGAGAGGTGCGTGAAACTAGCCTGCTGTAGGACGGTAACATTGATGGTCGTTGCTCCGCCCACTTTTGCCTCTGGCCCCGCCCACCACTGGCATGTGGACCCTGAAAGCTTGCTCAGAAGCAGTAGTTGCCCTCAGACTGGAAAAAGGTTCCCCACCCCTGACTTACACAAGGCACTGATGATGGGTTTTCACTCAGATGACGTTGCACGTTGTTCAGGGCGGCCTGAGGCATTTTGGCACCTGAGACGAAACACCTCGCTGCTGCCGCCCCCGTCCCTGGGCACAGAGTCCCTGAGGAGTCTCCCCACACCAGGCAGTTCGGCTCCTGCTCAAACCTACGTTATCTGTCTTGCTACGCAATGCGACGGAAATGAATGTAACCCATTGATTGCATAATTTCGATGCATTTTAGGGAACGGAAAATGTAAAAGAAAGAAAAGGAACAAAATGTATGTGGACTTTTAAAAAAATGATAGTGTGTATTTGCCCGTGTGATTTCTGTTCCTAACTGGGTGAATGAGCAACTTGTGGCAATTTCCATTCCTCTTTCTGTTTCTGATGGAATTCTCCAACATCCTGAGTACCTTGTGCAAGTGGTGGTCATAAGGCCCAAGGATGTCTCTGGGTTTGATGGAAGCCCAGGGGGAAAAACCCCTCTGGAGCAGGCTTTTCCAGCTTACTGGACCACAATTTCAAAAGCAACAGCAGCAACACTCTGGCAGCTAGGAGACCCCTTTTAATTTCACATAATTTTGAGTGCCCAGCTTAGTGTCACTCCAGACACGGCCTTTGAAGTCTGTTCACAGAGGTTTCCTGACAAACTGCTTGTAAATGGACTTCAGACTGAAGTTGATCAGCACCTGTCGGCTAATCGGCACCAAGAGATTTTGCCTTTGAAGTCTATTGAAACTGCTTGCAAAATGTTTTCAAAGGTGAGCCCTTTTCAGGTTGTCACTTGACCTCAGAGTTGGCCAACAGGGTGAGGGGAAGGAATGATCCATTCAGTGACCATACCCAGTCCCCTCCCTCTGCTCCAGAGCAATATGGGAAATCAGACTGGAAGCCAGCCTGTGGCCAGCAGCAGGGTGGAGCGTGGAATGTGGCTCTGGCAGGCGCTGTGGTCTAAACCACCGAGTCTCTTGGGCTTGCTGATCAGAAGGTTGGTGGTTCGAATCCCCATAACGATGGGGTGAGCTCCCGTTGCTCTGTCCCAGCTCCTGCCAACCTAGCAGTTTGAAAGCACGCCAGTGCAAGTAGATAAATAGGTACCACTGCAGCAGGAAGATAAAGGGTGTTTCTGTGCACTCTGGTTTCCGTCACGGTGTCCTGTTGCACCAGAAGTGGTTTAGTCATGCTGGCCACATGACCCGGAAAACTGTATGTGAACAAATGCTGGCTCCCTCGGCCTGAAAGCGAGATGAGCACCACAACCCCATAGTTGCCTTTGGCTGGACTTAACCGTTCAGGGCTCCTTTACCTTTTTTACTTGCAGGCCTTGTGGCAGCTGCCCTGGGATTCAGGTGTTGGTGTGGAGCCTGGTTAAAATGCACCAGTGGTCCGCAAGCGTCATCCAGGTGGTCCACGGCGTGTCTCTGGATTTGCGATTGAACAGAAGAGGTGGCCTATCCATGCATTAAATAGAATTCTGTATCTTATGGAAAAAATAATGACATGTTGTTACAATTGCACGGGGATAAGTGCATCTGCACAAACATGTGCACACAAAACACCCAACCCTCTTCATGGGACTCCAGGAAATGCAAGAGGAGCTCTTCTGCAAATGGCCTTTGCAACATAAGTCACTTAAATGGGAACAAGGGATCCAGATGCGCCTATTGACAGCAGTTGTTTTCACTTCACCCTGTTTTATCCAAGAATCCACCAGTTTCTTGATGAAATGTCGCTTTTACCGATAAAATCTGAGCTGGAATAGTACAGAGAGAGCAATACAGCAGTCGTGCACGGCCCCCTAGTCGGCCTCAAGACTCCTCTGGCCACAGAGCAGGAAATTCTTCCTAGTCTCCCCTCTGTGAAGCTGATTTAACAAGTACAATCATACCTTGGGTTGAATATGCTTCATGCTGAGTGTGTTCGAGTTGCGCTTCGCGACAACCCGGAAGTAACGGAGCGTGTTACTTCCGGGTTTCGCCGCTTGTGCATGCGCAGACGTTCAAAATGACATCATGCGCAGAAGCGCCGAAAAGGGACATGCGCGTGCGTAGACGTGCCGTCGCTAGTTACATTTGCTTCTGGTTGCGAATGGGGCTCCAGAACGGATCCCGTTCGTATCCAGAGGTACCACTGTATTGGTAGGCTATCCAAGCTGACTTGTCAATGAATGAAACAGGCCTGTGACAATGTATTCTTCAGTCAAGATATTCACCATTTCAAAAGAACGGCCCAAACTCACTGGGAAAAGGCAACCAGCAAGCATTGTCAGGTGTCTTGAACGACAGGCACCAAGTCATACTCTCACTTTTCTGTTGTGGACCACCTCTTTCTGTAACATTTGTATGATAATTTGAGTGGTCTTTGGCTAAGGGGTTGGGCAATTTCTAAAGTCTTTAAAAGTTGTTGCGGGTCCCCTCACCACCTTGCGAGGGCGGCGGGGAACTCTGTCGCAGCAGAAAATAAAGATATTCCTTGTTTTCTTCAACTCATTCCCACCTCCATTCATTCATCTCGTAGAATTCTATCCACGTATTCCATAGAATTCAGATTGTGAGATAATAAAATGCAATGCATTGAGAAGTAAAAGAAGCAATTAACAATACAGCATCCAGCACAGTGTTTTACCATTGATACAACGGGCAGGAAAAGTGGTCCACCCAGTAATGCTCATGTGGTCCATGGGTGGGAGAATGTAAGAGAAACATTGATTTGTTTCATTTGATGAATTTATATCCTTCCTCCAAAACGGTACACAGGGTGGGAGTGAGGTGCCAGCAGCCACCATGAGTGGCAAAGGAAGAACAAAATAAGCAGCTGCTGGATCCGGCCAACGGCCCACTGTCTGAGTCCAGCATCCTGTTCTCACAGTGGCCAACTAGATCCCCGTGGAAAGCATGCAAACTGGGCATGGGCGCCACAGCACTTTGCCCATCTGCCCAAGGTGGCAAAACAATGAGGCAAGAGGGAGAAATTAGCCTTTGAGCCAGTTAAAATGGCCTGCAGGCTATCCACTGATTAACAAGTCCCCAGGATTCTATTTTGTTTTCATGTTTGTGCGCCTCATGCCAATGCAAGCAAGTTTCTCATGACTCCGTTTAAGGACGGCCACCGGGATCTTCCGACACGGGCAACAGGCCACAAGGCCAGAGGTGAGGGAATTGGCATCTTTAAAATTAACCAAAGTGGTTAAACAACAAACTGGATCACAGCCCTTGGCCCTACTGTTGCGCAAAGGGGAAGGAGGCCCCCGCCTCAGGCAGCAGAATGTGGAGGAGCAGGCATTTGTCTCCAATCAACCCCCCACCCCTGGCATGGTCAGTGGTCAAGTTGATGGGCATCGCGGAACGACAACATTGAGAGGACCACAGGTTTCTCTATCCCTTTCTGAGAGAGGCTAGCTTTTATGAGCCGTACTCTGCAAACAGGGCTCATAAAAGCTAGCCTCTCAGAAAGGGCTGCAGGGACGTGGATGGCGCTGTGGGTTAAACCACAGAGCCTAGGACTTGCCAATCAGAAGGTCGGCGGTTCGAATCCCCACGACGGGGTGAGCTCCTGTTGCTCAGTCCCTGCTCCTGCCAACCTAGCAGTTTGAAAGCACGTCAAAGTGCAAGTAGATAAATATGTACCACTCTGGCGGGAAGGTAAACGGCGTTTCCGTGCACTGCTCTGGTTCGCCAGAAGCAGTTTGGTCATGCTGGCCACATGACCTGGAAGCTGTACGCTGGCTCCCTCAGCCAATAAAGCAAGAGCGCCGCAACCCCAGAGTCGGCCACGACTGGACCTAATGGTCAGGGGTCCCGTTACCTTTACCTTTACTCTGCAAACACAGGCTAAGGGCTGGTGCTGAGGATTTTCCGACCCACTCAAATGTACACCACCCACACCTTTATTTGTTACGAGAGCAGTAAAAAACAACAACCAGATGAACCACACCTGCTGTCTTTTGATCCATTATTACATCCTCTAATTCACACTAGAACTTGTCCGGGCAAGCCCCCCTCTTCCTGTTTGCATAAGGTCGAGGGTTGGATTATGAAACTGTTTGCCAGGAGGAAGGAAGCAGATGCATATTGGCCAAATAAACGCTTCTGCTCCGGCTTCGGTTTGTTTGTTTTTTTATGAGTGAGATTTCAGGGGGTGGAAGAAATGGAGCCACCAGGTGCTTTGCAGGAGGGCTTGGTGAGCTGAAAGGAGGTTGGGATTGGGCCCCATCCCAGGATGGCCCAGGAGTCTTTCCTGACAATCCACTTAGTGGGACAATCATCTTGATTAGCTTGCCCGAAGCTTACATGGAGATTAGGCAACAAGCATCCATTCCGATTTGTTTTGGGGGAGATTATCCAACAATTAGCATTCTCATCCTGATTTAATCCGTATTAAGCAGCTATTATGCATCTTCCCCTTCGCCAGCCCTTTATCCCATCCTTTCTAGTGCATATCTGTGTACACACTATATACAGTGGTACCTGGGGTTACAAACGCTTCAGGTTACACACTCCGCTAAGCCAGAAATAGTACCTCGGGTTAAGAACTTTGCTTCAGGATAAGAACAGAAATCGGGCTTTGGCGGCGCGGCGGCAGCAAGAGGCCCCATTAGCTAAAGTGGTGCTTCAGGTTAAGAACAGTTTCAGGTTAAGGACGGACCTCCGGAATGAATTAAGTACTTAACCCGAGGTACCACTGTACTTAAGGAATATCCCCCCCCCCCGAATCCTGGGAACCGTAGTTTACACTTCAAAGAGCCACAATTCCCGGTACCTTAGCAAACTACATTTCCCAGGATTCTTTGAGGAAAGCTGCGTGCTTAAAATATATGGAGTATGGGGCTGGGGCAACCTATGGACAATGTACAGGGTAATCATCATCATCCCCCATCACTTTCCTAACGGCCAAAGGTGCTTTTTCATTAAAAGCAAGCAAACAAACAAACTGGATTTGTTATGCCAGACCACTTCAAATGAACAAACCTAAATTTTTGGTATGTGATTGAATCCCTCCCTCCTATAAAATACTGATGTTTCTGGAGGCAACACAGGCTTTGGAGTATTTTAGGGAGCGAATAACCCAGCTGGCAAAGGAAAAGCATGGAACTCTGGAGTCTGCAGAAGAATGGGAGTGGAGTACAGGACAATGTAACCTACTCTATAGGGCTGTTGTGAGGATAAATGGGGGGGGGGGCATTTATGCCACCTTAAGGGGGAAAGAGGGTGGAGCCCAATCATATC